TTTATACAAGAACATCTGTGTAAGATCAAAGAGAAATTACTATGATGAAAAATTATTGATTAAACTTACCAATAGAATCTATACCGTAGTGTGTTTACATGCTTCGTAGCTAGCTTATTTTGTATTCTACCTGAAACGCAATATTCCAATATTGCATACCTATTACAGGTAAAGATAATCTAATCATAATATATTTTACCTGTTCATTTGCACCTGTCTGGGTCACATCTTCCTTTAGATTAAAAAGAAACTGAGCTTGGACTTGAACTTGTTCACTTGTCCCGACAGACTGTTTACTATAGTTAACTATAGGTTGTGTCCCTGACGTATCAATATCTGTCTCTTTCTTCGACTGTCCTAACCCAAGTAAACTCCTCAAGTCCAAACTAAAGCTATAATTCTTCGCAGCTTCAAAAGCCATCTTGGGATAATCCGCTTAGAAGCCAATAGCTAATTACTCCAGAATTTGATTATATTCGAGTTATAGTCTTATATAATTCGATAAAGTCTACCTAGCGATGTTCCGATGTATGGTTTGTGTTGTAGTAGTAATGAGTCATGTGTGAGAGTATAACAAAGTGGAAAACCAATCAATAGATGGTCACGTGGTGCTGTGGAATCTAAATCGTATTGGATACAGCACAAAGGATGAGCTGGAACTATTGGAATTTCTTGTAGCTCAATAAAGCATAATTAAAAATTTATAAATAAACATGAGATCATGGTTTCGCTATTGTTGACATCATATGCTGATTGTTTTTAATTAGGAATATGTTTTTCATAGTCGAGTGCAACATATTTAATGCTTCATTTAATTTGACATATGTACTTGGTTTTATCAATGTCTATTTCCTTTTAGAGAAGAAAGCTGACATCTTGACTTGTGCTTTAGATATCAAAGAAATGTAATAAGGGCTCAGTATGCCACCTAACACATGCTGATCTTCAAGGCTCAAACTTCATTGAGAAAAAATTCATCCAGTCAAGCTTAACTATACATGCACTACACCAAGGCTACCTTCATGCAAGGGCAAACATTGAAATTAGCAATACTGAAAATCCATTCCATGGCCCATAGGCTACCAAATGATACTGATAACAGGGCAATTCAATTATTTAACATTGACAAAACTGGAAAGACGGATTAGTCTTTTAGAGTTTTTTTAAACTGAGACAGTGTACTTATAAACTTGCCAAAGATTCTATTATACGGACAGACATTTATTGCTTTAAGGCAATATCATCCAACAAATTATTTTAATGGTTTGATCGTTTTATCTCCTGATTATATAAGAAAATGTTCTCATGATTTGTTATGATAACATGCATCATTAATATTATAACACAGCCTTAGGCTGAGTTGTTTTTTAAAGTGTTCTGTTACACGATTTACAGTATATGGTTTAGCCTTTAAAGTTTCTGTATTATCTATGTTAATCAAACAAGATTTTATATGCTCTTATTTATTATTCAAGGTAGTGGCTCCATCTTTATGAAGTATTTATATTATTTTCAAACTTAGTTTCAAATTTTTTAAAATGTATTATATAAAGTTATTCTGTACGCACAAAATAAAGAACAAAAATGACTTTAGAAAACCCTACCTCAATAAATAGCACAAAGTTCCATACACAATTCCATAATATCTTTTTCTAAAATTATAGATGACAAAAAAGATGACTCACTATATGAAAATTTTAATAATTAACACCAACGGTCATTAAAAGTTTGTAATTAATAGATAAGGATATTAAACATTCTAATTCAGGTTAGAAGCTAAAATAAAATGAATCATTATGAAAATGAACTTTAACTAATATAATACAGGATGAATATATACCAAGCAGAGTGAAAACCTGTTTAAATATGTTTATAAATGTGTTTTAACAATAAAATGTGTTTACATTAAATCCTGTGATAACGAACACTGCTTAGAGTGGCCTAAAGTATTCATATTAAAAATGTTCATATCATATTTTTCAAAAAAACATTAATTTTAGCTTATATGTAAACTTGACTACCCTGAATAATTATAATGAAATGTGTGTATGCCCAATTGTAGAATAAAGCCTCATAATGTGTGCAAAATTGATTGTAAAAAAGGCATGCAAAGTATCACTACCTGCCATTTGTTACAGATGCTGAATATCAACTGCCTAACAGCGAATTGCAAACACCATCCTCAAAAAAGTTTGAGACATAAAAACATTGATGGTTTCAATCCTTTCTAATAGTTTGACTATTCATGTACATGTGCATCTAATATACTTGTATCGGCTCTGACAACCGGGTACCTGATTTTGAAGACCTATATAATACAATGAAACATTTCTAAAAATTATTACAAAATGGGTATGCTATTTATTTCTTACCTTTTGAATTGTGTATGATCTCAAGTATATAGTAGCTGTGTTTAGCAATGTTCTTCAGATAACAGTTGCCATGTAAGAAACAATCATAACCAGTTTATTAGCAAGATAGATGACTGAACAATAAAAGCTCAACATCGTTTCTCAAATCTTTACTTCAGTTACAGGCACTTAACCTCTTAAAGACAGCTTCCTCAATGCTACCCCATGTTAAAGCACGCATTAACATTTCACAAAGCCCTGATCTATCTACATCAAACGTAATTCCCACTTGAAAATAAAAGCGAAAAAAAATTCAAAATATTTACAAGCTGCTGACATAAAAGGATTTACAACAAATATAAATTCACATAAAAGTAAAAATAGCCGGGTTTTAGTGGGGGTATTCAACTGAGAGACGCTGTCTGTTAGGTTACACTATACAAAATGTGCAATGTATATTTAACACAGAGCACAATGTAAACAAGAATGTGACTTCAATGTATGTTCTTAAAGTAAAAGTAAATGCCCATAACAACAGTTCATAAAACTTGAGCTTTTCAGCAGACTCTTTACCGTATTTGAAATCACTTGATTTCTGGTATATTGTACTAAAGCTTGGATTATTCTGAAATCCTGGGAAGAACGTGTTACTGACGAAAAGCTCCTCTGATCTCTCAAAATTCTTGTGTTTGATGAAAGGCTAAAGTGTTCTGCTTATTTTTAGTGTGAAACAACAAAAGAATGTTTGACGTCCTTGTATTAAATAATTCTAATACTATAAAATTGTAATATAACTTCTGACACCTAAGAACCTCATGAGTCTTTGGATATGGAAAACATTTAAAAACAACAGCCACTCTAAACATGTTGGTACCATTCATCCCTAAAGTCAACATTAACTATAGTAATGGTAAACAACAGGGAAAGTAACAACCAAAATTGAATTTATCCATTTATCCTTCATTTGATTTGAGCCAGTTGCCATTACCTTATTGACATACTAGGTCCCTATTCATAAACGTATAAAATCAAGTGAATCATGATAAGAGGAAAATCAAGTTACAGAATAAACCACTGTTATTTTGATTGTTCAATTTCATTACCTCTATTGTGAAATATACTGAGATTAAACATCAAAGGTTACTCAGTAAGACCCCTCCCATATTGTAAATCAATGCAGTGACCCACCCATATAGCCACCAAATAGCTGGGGTAAAATAACAAGTGATAAATCCATGAGCTCAATTGAAATATTTATAATTAAACTATTATTTATTTATTTCAGAAGCTGCTCTATTTCTGGTATGATTTCTGGTATAATTTTCTTTCCTGTTGTTTTAGATCCTGAATGAAAGTCCTTAACTTCTATGACTGAGCCAATAACTTTCACTGTTATATTTGGATCACTTTTCATATATCCCAAACAATTCAAGCTGAACTTGTCTCTATCTATTCACTTGCTAACTGATACAGTACAGGACAATTTAGACAAAGATTGTTTACACATACAATAAAGATAAAATGTGCTATAGTTCACATGTGGCTAAAAGAAATGATATTCTGTTCTCTAATTTTAGATACCACATTTGGTGTTGTCAGATTTTCTAAATAAAGAGTTTGGGAAGCGTCTTCTTATAGGAGACAAAATACACCTTAATCACCTCACATGTTTTTTACTAAATCCCAAGGAAAAAATACTCCCTGTCAGTAAGAGTTAAACTTAATCACATTGTTACCTAATTTGATAGAATCTTGATTCTTTAGACATTTTTATGGAACAAGAACTGTAACACTTACACGACATTACACCTTTCTCAGTTCAAGAATCATCAATTCTTGAGAGTATAAAACTTCGCTTCACAAAATGTTGGAAAGTAGTACAAAATGTTTTGATTGACTTCAAGCATTATTTTGATTGGTAGGTATATCAAAGCTTGGAGGAAATGCAGAATGTCACTTGACTTTTTGGTGATTTTGAAGTCATGTCTGCACTTCACAGTTCAAAATCAACATCTGTAGTAATATTAAACCACCTCCTAATTTGCCTAACAGACCTTTTATTGTCTCCCAAAACATTTCTCTAAAAATTAGGAAATTAGGGTGATGAACAGAGAAATTTTCTTGGGAATTTCAGTCACAAAAAATAACGAGCAACAACTTACACTTCCTCTGAGAGTAGTAAGTAATGTCAGTAGAACATTTATAAAGATCCAGCTCCAGCGTACGAGATTTATGAGACCAAAATATTGCCATTTTTAAAATAAATTTCCCCTTTTCTTTTCGTAACTTCCTATAATATTGTACATGGGGGTGATAACTGCTCACTGTGCCCCACCCCCTTATTGCCATTTACAGTAGTTGTCAACAGATCTACTGGTTGATTATTTGATTCGACTCTTATGATATCACTGTTTTGACAAGAGCATATATATATATATATAAGTCCAAGGGTTATGTGTACCAACAGTGTTCACAATGAAATAATAATGTTGTCAAGATCAAGAAATAATTTCTTGTAAAATCAATGATTTTCAATGAATTTTATCAGTCAATCTCAATGACAACCAAAATAAAGTGAATTTTCAACATGACATCGAGCACTAGTTTAGATAAAATTTCAATCATAGAGAGAATTCTTATTCATCTTACCTATCAGTGTGGAAACAAGGGTCTAGACAAGCGAAGTATACCTAGAATCCGGATAGTATTCAAGCAGGTGCTCTTTTCGGAAATTATTTTGATTTCTAAACTGAATAAATTCTCGATTCTGATTGGCCAAACATAAAATTCACTTCGGATAGTATAAACTTCCGCTTTCCAAATTTTAAAAATTACCCGCATTAAATCAGTTTTTAGCTATGTTATGAACTCATAATTCATGTTTAAAGGTAATAAAACTGTTAATTGAGTATGGGAGCCAACACTGAAAAGCATCATGCATGATGAAAGATCCGAGGATCAAGGGAATACATTCTCTAAATATCAACGTTCAGTTAGAGGTAAACAAATTATATTATCGCCCATTTTAAGATTAAATATTCGGTCCTGGGTCCACAGATCTAATTTACATTGTTTGGTTTTTAGTTATTTTCTTATTCCAAGGGATTCATCACTTCTGTTAGGGTAGGTCAAGCTTTTATCACAATCAGTAGAGTCTACTCCCTAGTTTGAAACAATTAGTCGGTAAACTCTAGATCTTATCCAGGGGTCTATTTCTCAAAACCCCGTGAAGTTACGGATACGTAAGTCAATTGTTCTTTCTCAAACTTACAGAGATTGTGCATTTCTCGAAAATTCGTAGATTTACGGGATTTTGTGAGATTTTCGTAAGTTTACGATGTTCATGACTTTATGGGCACCTCAGACCCTGTCTTACGATACAGAGATGCAATTTGAAAACTCCACATCTTTCTCTTAAATTTTTAAATTCTACGGAAATCGCAAATTTACAGATCCGCAACTTTACGGAGTTTGGAGAAATAGACCCCAGGACAATAGTCATGAGAACGGCTATTGGGGTTACCTGTACGATTTCAACATGGGAGAATAATCCACGCCTCCTACACATAAACCTCAATACATTCCTAAGTATTTTAGAATTCTTTTTATTATGTAGTTGAATCTTTTCAAGATGGCAGAAGGGAACCCCCTTAACAACATCTGGGTCTGGTGCTACAGCGTCTTCCATTTATTGGTACATCGGGGTCCTACTTTTTACAATATTGTCATAATCTTATGAAAAGGTTTTCTTTTTAGATGATGCCAATCGAACATTAGATGAATTAAGAGACTCAATAAGTCCAGTACCAATGACTATGACATCACAAGGCTTAAGTCAATCTAACAGATTTAGGGCGAAAGAGAGATCAGTATCACCACGACGTGATACGACATCATCGCCAGAATATATCGAGCGCCAAGTTTATTCTAGTGGTAGACCTAGGAGATCTCAAAGACATCAACATCAAAGAGGGCAAAGCCAAAGGACGTCATTAGCAAGGTCTGTGATGAGTGAATTATACTTCTTCAAATGTTGATAACTTGAGGTTACCATACTTACTGGGGCCATTTTACAAATATCATTTTGTGATTTATGAAACTGTTAACTTCTTCAAATACAATTCAATTTTCAACTGTAAGACACTGTTAAATCATGTATTTTAATTACACATATCCTTAACTTGTTCTACATTTGGACATCCATTAATGTATTGATATTTCAGACCACCACAAGAAGGTCACAACAGCAGACACCAAAGGTCTTCCAGTACAAGGTCGCCAGGCCCTAATGACTACAGTTACAGAGCAGCAGTAGAACGCCTCAGGGAAATGCTCAATCAAAAGGATGCACAATCAGATGAACAAATCTGGTCTACTCCGAAGCCTGCTCAATATAGACATTCAGAGCGGTCATATTCTCCAGAGATAGGTTATCAGAGGTCAAGGTCACCTACATGGCCAGTGCATGGTCATGGTCCTCCAAGGTCACCGCCTCCAATACGTAGAACAGTGCAATTTGACACCAATAATCCCCCCTTGGTAGGTTACTGTTTTGCTCCATAAACATGGTCTAGGATACATTCTAATTATTTTACATGTGATGCAGATCATAATGGATATCATTTGTCATTAAGGGTAATTTTAGGATATCAGATGCCATTTAAATAGTTTCAAAAGTGTTTTACCATAACCATGGGTACTCACCTAGTTACGATGACGATACGTCAGCAAGATGGAAGAATGAAGATCATCAACGTAACAAAAGCAAGGGACTAAATATGTAAATTGCGTCTTCGTTAATATACCAAACATAGAACCGCCTGCATATTCTCAAACTAAACTATCTTCCTTCACTTTTTGCCAAATTATTGTCCACAACTTGACTTATAAGTGGTTTAGAATCGAGAAATAAAAATATCTTACAGAAAACGAAGCCCGGAAGTTCTTCCATCTTGTTACTCTGACGCGTTGTCAGCGTAACTAGGTGAGTACCAGTGATAACAGCTATTATGATATAATATAATTTGCTTCAGAACCAGCAAGTGCCATCTATGAGTGAAATGCCGAACCAGGAGGAGATTTTGTCCCTACTGCAGAAGCAAGCTCTTTACATACAACACATGGAGGGGGAGAATAAGTACTGCAAGGTATAGACATCTTTTCTTCTTTAAATATGAGACGCACACAACCATTTCCCTACCTAGACAAAAGGACAACTAAAACTAGACACGATTCAAAAACTACTTTTTATATATTTTTGTTCACATTTCATGCCGATTGTCTAAAATATTCAAAAGTTCTGATTTAATTTCATGATGATGCATTTTAAGGTAATTTCATAATTGGCAGTAATAGTAATTTTTGTGCTAAAACAAAATTTAAGGAACAATTTTTAAATATTTCAGGAAGAATTTGAAGTTTTGAAGACAAGATTACAAGGACTGGTATTAGAAAATGGAAAACTGTATGAACAAGTCAAAGCGGCCGCAATACAAGAGATAATGAAGGAGAAGGGTGGTGAACTACCGCAGGTAACAACGTCACTCCTAATGTCACTTTTGAGAACGTGTATGAAACCATTGGTTTTAGGCTGATATAATATAAAGACAGTGGTTGAGGAAGGCAGAAGTCTAGTTTTATGTGATCCTTAAGAGAAGATACATGGCTCTCATAGGTTGGTATCAGCCAGGCACTGCTTTTCATGTCACCTCCACAAGTGGTGACATATTGTTATAGTCTCCAAATTTTTGTGGACAGTGTTCAATGGTTGAGCAACTCTAACAAATGGCAGGTGGTGACATTTGGCATGCCTTGTTATTATATGTTTATTATTTTCACATAGCAGTTCAGTACCAGGACTCGAATAAATAAAACCATTACCAGAATCAGGTTAATTCCACTGCCATCTTTTTAAGCACATATTTACAACACATATAGCTGATAGACACTTATATGTGAAACATAATTCTTTTTTATATTGCCTCAACTCTGCTTTCAGTATGCTCATAAGCCAATAGGCCTTAAGTAAAGAAAATAAAAATAATTTAGACCTCTGGACATTTTCACTAACCAAGGACTAAGTGAAGGCGTATGCCTTAACTTTTTATTAGTATTCTTTATTTTATTTACATCTAGTATTGTTCATTTATTGTGTGTCAACAGAGCATATCAGGGGAACAAGGTCAACAACATCAAGATGAAAACATTCCTAAGATGGACAAGAAAGATATGACAATGTGGAAAAAAGAATTAGTAAGTTGCTAGATAGATAATTGAGTCTCGCCATAGGAAAACCGGTCTTATTACAAAAATTTTAATTGTGCTACAGAGCCAAAAGTGTGCCCAATGCAAGATTAAAGGGAAAATGTGCTAAATTCTATAGACATCTTTTCGGTCTTTTTGGTCTGTAGCTTACTATATCTGCAAGGAAAAATTGTTAAGACATAAGCAATGGCTCATTTTCAAGGTCTCCTAGTGCTTTTAAAGATAAACAAAAGATAAAAATATTGAAAAATCAGTGATAAGACCCCTTTTCCTGTGGCCTGGCTCAATTAATGATTAAACAATTAAAAGAAAACACTCTACTCATTTAAACAAGTAGTACAAGTCAATGTATTGTTTTGAATTTTTGTATTTTAAATATTTTGATCACTACTTAAGAGGATCATCTTGAGAGAATCATATTTGTTGACAATGGTATAAATGCATGATCATATTGGGAAATGGTGCCCAGAATTATGTATTCATATAAGTACATTTACATTTCTGTAAAAAAGGTGTTTCTTTTACAATGGTTCCATTACAATCATTCTTTTATGATGTTTCTTTTACAATATTTCTTTTATCTAGTCCCGGCTCAGTGCCATGCATGCAGCCAAGACTCAAAGACTAGAAGCTCAACTCTCTTATACAAAGTAAGCATTTTATGATTAATTCGTTTAAAGTCATTTTCCATTCATTAAATGCCAGCATCATGTAAGTCTAATTTATTTCTTAAGCTAAGTTCACACCAACGGCGCTTTGATGGCGCTTTAAAGTGTCCATTTGTACACCGCATTAAAGCGCCATCAAAGTGCCGTTGGTGTGAACTTAGCTTTACGTACGTTTAGTTTGTCATGATGAGATTTCATTTATTATTTTGGAAAATCATAAAGTTTTAAGATAAAGTATTTTTCACCACATTTCAGAACATTAATCTGAACAGACTACACCCATAAACATATTTTTCTTTCTATTGGTAAAATTTCAGGTCTGAACTAGGGAGGCATGAAAAAATAGTTGAGGATTTGAAATCTCGTTTACGGACAGTGGAATCTTTACCCAACTTGTCACAATCTTCTACACATGGGGGTAGTACAGGTTACACACTGTGTGTGATTTGTGCCAAGAATGAGGCTTTGCTTCCACAGTACCAGGGACTTCAACCAAGTGCTAATTTGGAGAAAATTACCAAGTGAGTGATTTTTAAACTTTTAACAAGGCTGAGCTAAAAAGTCTGATTTTTATTCTCTGATATTTCAATATCTATTTTACTTCTAATTCTACGTACAATGATATGCTGATAAACAAAACCAAGAATAAACATTTTATGATGTAAGAGTTTAAAGCTCTTAACCCTTTGCCACCCAGCCCATTTTTGACGTTATACTCCCTTTACCACCCAGGTGGTAAGCATGTGACGTCAAAACTACGGATATATCCGTAGTTGGGTGGTAATGGGTTAAGAAACAAATGATATGTGACATTTGAATTCCTCCTAGGGAACGTGATGAGTTGACTGAGACTATTACACAGCTGAAAGCAAGACTTGATGAGTTGAAGAAAAACGAGGAAGACTCATATGAACAAGTGAAGAAAAGTTTGGAACTTGTGGAAGCAGCTCAACTAGATAAGACACAGGTATAGAACTTATTATTGTTCTTTGTGAAATTTTGTTTGGCTGTTTTGAATTTTTTGTTGTAGTCAGATGTTTGTTTAAAGAGTGTTATATTTATACTTGGTAGTCACACAAAAGTATGTTAAGAGAAATTCTGCTTGGCTAAATTGTATGTAATTTTGCGTGTTTCCAGGCATTGGTGCAAAGTGAACAACTGAGGGAGGAAGTATCTAACAGCCGCCAGAGGATGGAACAGCTTATATTGGACGGACAGAAAAGCATTCAAGAGGAACGAAAAATTGTTCGGAAAGAATGTGAGCTAGAAATGAATGAACTGAATTCAAAGGTAATATAACAAATGATGAGATCAACATTGTGATATGATTGTGACCAGGTGTTGATATAATTGTTAATGTCTGGCATCATTGTCTATCTCTGATTCTCACTTTAAAGGTAGTTTTAGGTCTAGGGAACAATTTTGAAAATTATCTCAGTTTTAAAATTCTTTTGGGAAATATATTTGAGATGGTAAAGGATATACAGTAGTAGGTCAATAATGTGCATATTGCTTTTAAGGTAAAGGAATTGCTTGAGACCAACACAACACTAGAAGCACAGATAGAGAAGGTGACTCGGGAGAAGATGTCTACGATGGCAGAGCTACAGCAAAGCAGACATCAGATACAGTCATATGATGATGACTACAACAGGGTAGGACTTGCCTCATAGAATCAACCCCATTAATAAATCCTAGCATGATGCGATATTTTGGCCATCAATATAGCCTTTTTAAATCACACGCTGCCAATAGATAGTCACATATCAAAGGATTTCGCCACTTCTTATGAGGTGTCATATTGGCTCCCATTTATCAAAACGTGACAGAATTTGATTACTATACTGTATGTATCAAAATACACTTTGGCAAAGGTGGAATACAAAACACACATCCTTTAATTCTAGTTTTTATTATGCAAATTCAAACATGTAACAATAAACTTTATGCCATTTACCTTATGCCCTTTATTAAGTGAAGTTTCATAATTTTCAACTTTTTCAAGTATATTTTATTTATGTTTAGTCCAGCTCAGGTGTTCAGGCCACACTCACTCAGGCCAAGATAGAACGAGATATTGCTGTAAAGGACATCACTAAAGTAGCACACAAACTAGAGAGACTCAAGCGGGATAAGGAACAGGTAAAAATATTCTTGTTTGGATGCTTTTATAGAACTCAATTTTGTGCTCGTGTAAAAATCACTGCAAAATGTAATCAGCTTTGCAAAATTATTTTCTTTACTATTATAAATGCAATCTCAATCAGTTATTGAATTACCATTGGATTGGATTCACATTCTGTTCAATCAGTTGTATCCCCACACTGTTGATATCCCCTCACCACTGTACTATCAAATCAGCACACTATTTCACATTATCATGATTTTCATTTGAAATATATCACATCACTTGCTTGCTTATGTATGAAGGATGAAGCAAAGTTGAGGTCTGAATTAGAAGATGTACGAAGGCGCCTCCTGGTGGCTGAAAAGGAACTAATGTCATCTAAGGAGGAATGTATACAATTGACTACCACCAACCAGGCACTAGAGAGAGAGGTAGTTTGATAAAACAATATTAAGTGTTTGTGTCTAAATACCTTCTTATAGGTCGATCTAAGGAGAACCTGTACTAGAAATCTTATTTGCCTTTACGATGTATATGAAAAATAATTGCTATCTAAGAAGGAATATAAGAAATTGGACTATTTAGGCAGTTTGAAATTATTGCAGGCACATTTGGCAAAGATAAGTAAGGAGAGCATAGAGAGAGGACGTAGTGATGAGATAAAGAATGTGACAAGACGTGCGACACAACGAGAGGAAGAACTCAACATGTTACTAAATGATACAGAGGCCAGACATAGTGAGTTAAAAGCTCTCATTTTGTAAAAGTTTTATATTAGAGAGCATGACATTATATGACATTTCAGTCCAGTTTCAAGTTATTTTCTTACACTATATAAAATGGCAGACAGTCTCTATAAAAAAAATAGTAACCCTTTCTTGAAGAGCCTTGTGTTTTTTATGTCCTTATGTGCACCAATACATAGACGTACAAGTAGTACACACCGCAGCCTTTTAAACAAGTTTTGGACCACTGGACCACTCAAGCAAACACCCTGAATTAAATAACGCACAAACAAAATGTCTGAACCGGGAATCAAACCCAGGGCAAAGTGATTGCGATAACCTTGACTGTGCCAATTAACCAATAGCGGGTAGACTGAAGATGTTGAGATGTGTTCTTTATATTTAGGTCAATCCAGATGTGAGCTTGAAGAAATGTTAGATAAACAAAATTCTCTAGTTGGTAAGCTGAGGGAGGAATGCAGGAGGCAGGCTGGCCAGATAGAACAGATAACATCAAAATACAGGTACATTACAATTATCCACCTTGCCAGAGGTGAAACGTAGAAATTGTACACTCCACTAAAGGTAGATGGCGACATTTGTCCATCAAGAATATTATAAATGACTTGTGAATTTCTAGTAAACCTCTCCCTCAAAATTAACTAGAAAACCAAACACATCAAATATCCACATATGCGATGGCTTCAGAAAATAAAGGACTAAAGGACTTTATTGTTTTTATCTGGCATAAGTTTTTACGCTAGCAAGATGAAAACATTGAATATATCAGGCAAACCAAAGTTTGTGTGGCATAGATCTCTTATTTTTATAGAAGAAAACGCTATTAATGATACTGTACTTGTAATAATACTAATATGTTTATTATAATACTACTGATATATTTATTGAACAAGCACAAGTACATGAAGCAGTGACATTTTGCATATATAAATTGCATTCTACCTACTAAATAATTAACGACCTTCATAAACAGTGGTTTTATATTGAATTATCAAATGGTAATTATATACAATAATGTTTACATATGCATCCAAGCTGCAAGCAATCTTATGAAAGAATATGTTATATCAGTATCTTGCTAAAATTGCTATAAGTACAGTCAGGTATAAAAGCAAGTTTTTTATTTCCATTTATACATGATTCATACCTATTTTTTGTGTTACTGTAAATGAAAGTCATTTCTCGTAATTGTCAATCTGAAATTGATCATTACATGAAAGAATCAACAATGTAAAGGTAATATTGAACATAAGTATATTGAACATAAGCCAACAAATCGAGGAAATCTTGAATGTCAACACTTCACAATTTCGGAAGTTTCTAGTGTAAAAACTTTGTATATTGATTGATCACAAACTTTTTGGTATTCTTCATGATATATTTTAGTGTTTTAGTTTCATTTTGAAATTTCTTAAACTAAGAGAGTCTTTAATTCCCAGGTATAAAGACCTACACCTGATTTGACTTTGGGCATGCTGGATGGTCATTTTTAGGTACAACATTGTTCAGCCCGTGCCTAGCTTGTATTGCTTGAATATATTGACAAAAACATATTTGATTGTTAATAGTTGGATGAACAACTATGTGAGCCTTGTCTAATTTTTCTTGCATAAGTCCCTCCATATATACAGGAAATATATTTTGAATCACCTTTTGTACCCAACCCAGTTCAACATCTAGATTGACACATTGCTGGATCATGCGCTGATAGCATGAATTGATGTCATATTTTACAATTCTCAAATATTGTTCAGTCCTTGCAAAACATATATACATTTTGTGATTGATCATTGTCACCATAGAAAGATCTCTTATCAACTCAACAACTTTTTTTAGCTTTCTTTTTCTTAAAGTTGAGTAAATGAACAAAGCCGTTGATGGGACACACCCTAACAGAAAAAATAATATTTCTACTGTTATATACAATGCATTGCATTCCTTTCTTGTGTAAGTTTTGGTTAATTGTCTGCTACAAAGTGTCATGTTAGCATTAGGATCCTGATTCTTAGAGAGACATATTAGGGCCCATATTGCATTTACTGTCCAAAATAGAAACCATAGAAACCCCATGAAATGTGAAAATCCAATGCACAATAGGAACCTGCCAGATGGTCTGTCAATTTGTATGCTGGCTTCACGTAGAGTTAATCCTTGAAGCAATTCATTGATTTCCTCCTCTGATATTGTTATACCCTTTTGTTCCAATGCATCTTTCCCATCTTGTGGTAGTTCAAACCTAATTTTTTTACGACAGCATCCTTTCTTAACAGTTACTTCCGTAATTGGGAAAGATGATCCATTGATGCGTAAAGCACTGTTTTGTGGGAAAAAGCCTTGACCTGGTTTTTCAACATTCTTCTGTAGTTTTATTGCAGCTTGTTGAACATCTCCATGTGTTACGTCAATGTAGTTAATGTGTTTAATCGTGTCAGGCACAGGGCATTCTTGCAGCATTATCGGTAGCAAGCTGATGTTATTAGCAACTGATGCAGTTTGTGCCATCTGCATTTCCCATTCGCACCAACGACTGTCTTTGAATGCAGGTGTCAACACAAATACAGTCCTCATACTACCTGTGATACACCGAAACATCTCATTCATGTCATTTTGACCTGGCATGAAGTCTCGGTCACTGAATGCGCACTTGAGGCTATAGGGGGGAGCCTCGAGAACTTTTACGACATCCCAAACCCAGGCTAGGTCAACAGAGGAGTGACAGAAGAACAGATGATACTCCTTCCCTTCCTCTAGATCAATTTCCACAATATCACCAACTGGAATCTCAGCAGTGTCATCTTCATTCACTGTGTTAACATCATCATGGTCTGGCTTCTTAACATTTTCCACAACACAGACCTCTAATTCATAAGCTCCATCTACAGGCATATCATTCTCAATATCCTCATCATTATTGTATTCCATTAAGGGAATTTCATCATAACATACTGCTGCCATGTTACTTTAAATGTAGGGAAACTATTAATTCACGTTCTAGAATATTCTATGCACAGTAATCCTATCTGTCTTTACTGAAGATTTTTTCCAAGTACATGTAAAATACTTTTCTTATAAATGATTCTTCTCTTTCAAAGGTTCTTGCTACTATGGCTACACTCCTAAAATCCATTTCAGTTTAAATAGTTCTCCCTATTGCTTTTATCAGTTTGGTTTCATATAGTATTGATCTCAATGTAAATAGAAACCAAGAGTGGAAACTGCTAGTGGAATTCCCATCACATTTACGTCTGCTCTGAATCATCATGTCACTGTGACCTTTGTCTGGCATCTGTAGAACAAGAACTCTAACTAGTCCCGCTGTATTTGAATTCTTTCGGAAATATTTCCAAATAATCTCCCTACACAGAAAGTTTTATGTTTTTGGTAGCTAAGGAATATTAGAGTGTCAAAGTTAGTGGGAAAATATCTGCCAGGAATAGTTGAGAATATATGGCTTTAAGATCTGTTTCTAAGGGGTCTCAAACTGTTCTCAGGTTTATCATTAATTCCATTATTTGGGACACTACATGTTAAGTCTGATATCCCACAGAAGGAAGTTTGAGTAGGAATATGGAAAAGCTGTCTTTCTGTCTGTTCAACTATTGGTTCTTTCATATTTCTGCATCGCAATAACTCAAATACCAGTTGAAAGATTTGGAAAGGGATGAAACGATGATTTAAGGGCTGGGTACAGATGGGTTGATTGAATGATGCAATGAATTTATTTCGAATGATGCAATAAATTTATTTAATGATGCAATCAATTTAAGTACCAGACATTCACAGAATGCTTAAGTTTAATATATCTATCATTTATTCTTCAGGAATGAATCACGCCAGATCCGGGCCAGTAATGAAGAGTTGACCATAAGGTTGGAGAAGGCATTGAGAAAGATTTCTGAACTTGATAACCAGCATGTTCAACATGGAAGAGTTCATGAGAAGATGAGACAGAGGTTGAGACAGATGGATGAGCATGCACAACACAGTGCTCAGCAAGTAAGAGGATGAACCAAGCTTTTGGGGCATTTTGGGTGGGATTGATTTCCCAGTAGTGGAACCCATCAGAATCTGGGCTTGATCATTTAGCATATACCACATCTCTTTGTATTTTCTTTAAATATCCATAGTACCGATTTTTTGTGTGACTTAAATGGTGCCTCACTAATTCAAAAGTCAAGGTAAAATAGTAATGATAATTATATTGAATAAATCAAATGAGAGTCATTTTGATGTTATGTGAAAAATTAGAGAAATATGAAAAAAAACTCTTGGAATAAGAGCCCATTTCCACAAACTTATTAAACGGTACACATCATTATCTTTACAATCTCAAGATAATTTTGCATGTGTATTCAGTGTTTTGTTTCTTTCAAAATCATATCCATAAATGTATATTTATCGTTTTTCGCAAAACTATTTTTCAGATTGTTGAGTTGTTGAATAAACAGGGCACGATGATGAAGGACAGACAGATGTTGGCCAGAGAGGTGGAGTTCCTACGTAAACAGATGAAGGAGAATGCCTCAGACATTGATAAACTCTACTCATCTCATAAACAACAGGTGGATGATATTCTAGAGAATGTCAACCATGATGAGTCTTGATAGAATTGTAAAACTGAAATTGCTCTGTAAATGTTTATAAATTGATCAGCTTTACTCGACCCCTCCTTAAAATATATTTATATTCATTAATTTATTATTTTAATCAATATACAGTATAAAACATATCAAATTCACAAAGCACAGATTTTTAACTGTATTTAAGATTTTACCTTTCTTAGTTAACAGCCTTCAGTGCTAATAATTGTTTGAAACGGCATATAAAACGTACAAAGAAAAATATGGCATAGGTGGTTTTATGATACATTAAAATATGTTCTTGCGTTGTAAAGAAATGTTTTAGTTTCATCCTTATTAAACTTGATGAAGTAAATTTCTCAGTAAATATTGTTGGGTGTATTTTGTGTTTGCCATCTGGCCATGCACCATGAAATGAAGCCCCTTTACTGAAGCATTGCTAACTTATTATTTGATATTGAATGCGAGGAGGTTTGGGTATTTTGGGTTTTGGCAAAGTAATTCAGTCTAGGAGTTTGGAGTTTTGGTTGCTCCTATGGTAACAGACTGATTTTTATTATCAAAATCTCAATCACTTCCCGTGTGGGGGTCTCATGCAAACCTTTGACTGGTGCATAGCTGAATAAGAAAGTATACTATTTCTGATTCTGTCTTGGAGACCTTACCAGTCAACAGTTAAGTGCCTTAATATAAATGTATTGTGACAAGTTAACAATTGAAACTTTATCAAATATGCATTTATAACATTGTAGACTTGAAGTTTACTGTACATGTATGTACTACTTATTACCTCTGTTAAGATACTGACAATTTGAGTTTCTGTGTATAAAGTTGTGTATATATAAATAATACTTGTTAATAATATTAATCATTTTAATTACAAGTAATATAAATACTTGTTGGTATTGAATTGTTTTAGCTATGGCCTTATTAATGATGCATTTATTTTTTATAAACAAAGTTGTAATATTCTTAAATGTAAAAAGCAATAAAGTTTTATCTAAAACTTATATTATTCTGTTATTAGACATTTTTTAATCAAACCGGATCCATTCTGATCACTTCATGTTTCGGTTACTGCAGTACTTACTGCATATGCTAGTTATGGTTCATATGATATCCTGCAAAATATAGGCTCTTACATAGTATTGCATAAGAATTATGAATTATGATTGCGATGGCATGGTGTATTTCATATTTCTTTGTTTTCATATTCCCTCATTTTAAACCCTTATATTCCATACTTTTCACGGCCCCACATATTCCTCAATTTTGGTATATCATTTCATTTTTCTCTACTCTATAATATTAACTTCAAATTTTCTTAATCCTCTCATTCTTCTATATCCAACTTGTTTTAACTGTAATATTCCATAATTAAAATTTTTTGTAAAAGTAGAAAAAAGTCCTCTTTTCTGAGATTTGCAAATTGCCTATTATCCTATTTTGTTCTATTTATAGATTTTTTCTAGATGTTCTATGTGATTTATAAATATAATGCCCAACACATTTAAACAAACTAATTCGATTAGTGAAATATATTTTATTTTATTGGTTTTGAATTGATGACCATTAAAAATAAGTTTTCTTAAAAAACAACAAGATTTATCCTTCATTTCTTCACGTGATCACGCAAAGTTTCCCTTACATGAAAATACATATTGACGACATTGTATTTTAGAAGTATTTGACACAAATTGTACATTTCCAATTAAAATGTTATCTAAGAAAAAAATAAACAAAAAATAATATAGCTGATACAATATAGTTATAAAATGTATAAATATTGAAATAATTTACGATACATGACAGATACATATATACTCAGAATTAGATCTACAAAGTACATTGTAAGTCTGCATTGATAAAATTAATTCAACAAATATTAAAATCAAAAATACAAATTAAAAAAATGATACAATAATAGTAATGTATTATTAAAAACTAATGTAATATTAAATACATTTTTACTTATTGATCACTGAATGCAATAATAAATCTGATTGCCAAAATTAGAAGTACATTTTACAATCACTCCATGGTTTACGATAACCAAAAATAGAGGCCAAAATATTATAATAATTTAGGACGGAAAAACAAATAAAATAAAATACTTTGATTAAATACATGTTCACATGTACCTTTACTTGGCCTAGAGTCCAACACTTGCAACGGATTCAGCTCTTAAATATCATTTAAACGAGTATTAATGATGTAATCATTGACAATATGATGTAATATTACATTATGATGTAATTACTGAGACACTGTGTGGTGTAGAACATAATATAAAATAATAACAACTAAAATTTCAACACAATTTATAAATCATTACTTATATTCCTCATACAGTGTTTGATCTTTGATATGGTTTGTATATGTGTAGATATCAAATAAAACCCATATGCACTAAGACACACTGGTGATGAATATTGTGCTTCCAAGAGCATAATGGCTGCAATGTGATTTACTCAACACACCCGAAACCTAATCAGATCATGGCACTAGTCTGATTTTGTCTCTGTAAAAATTTCAAGTTGAACGAATAAGTGTCTTTCCTTAAATATCAAAGATAAGATATATGTAGTGCCCAACCAGACAAACACACATGCCAAGCAGCACAAAAGGGTGACACTATAGCACTCCTTCAGTGTATGATAAAATCAGAATAACTCGCATCATCGACAGACTTTGATACCTTGACAACTGTAAAAATTGTAAATCTGTCCTGTTAAACAGTTTATAATAGATTGCTTTTAAAAGAATTGTCTTAACAAACTGAATACTGTCATGACATTGTAACTTCTGATTCACAGTTTGAGACATTTTAAATAAGCTAAAACCATCACTGATTTCATTAAATAGTGAAATACTAAATATACCAGTAGTCTCATATCTACTCGATACTTTATATGCCTAAAAAGCATGTTAACTGGCACATAACAGGCTTTTGAGAAGCAAACTAAAATTCTGAGATTTTTTCTTCTTAATATGAGTATATAATCCTGTATACATAATATCATGTACTAAACACATTGGCAAGTTTGAAACTGTATCGCATTATTTCATCACAACTTCCCAATTGATGAATCACAATTCTAGAAGGAATATACACTGTACTCAGGTACTTGTCATATGTCAATACATTTCTCCTGGCTTGAAATGGATACTTCAGTTTTGCGCATAGTTTGGAAATTGCTGAGTGTAATGCCTGGGTCACATATGCTCCGATCCATCGGCTGGCGCCCTGCCGATTGAGTGTTTTTTCAATATTGTATTCAATTTTGAACAAAATACTCAATCGGCCAGGCGCCGTAGTGAAAATCGGAGTAAATGTGACCAAGGCATAAGTCAATGGAAGATTTCCTCAATTTGAACTATTCCTTGCAGCAATGCATAAGACTGTATAGCTTGAATCCAACTGTAATGCTCTATCAGTCAATGAAGACACTGGTTGTAATTTGAGCTTAATATCTTAGGAAATACAGTGAAACCTGTAAAGTGGAACACCTCTAGAAGTTGAACACTTATTAGAACACCTTCCAAGTGGAACACTTAGCCAGGTTTTACTGTAATCTGATATGTATATAATTTTGTTAAGAAGTTAAACTGCACTACATGGGTCCCCATTCTCATCCTCGTATGTATTGTTGAATTCTGGGGGATCAACATGAATAGATGGCGTGACAGGAGTATGGTTAACGTCATTGTCTATGTTCAAGTCTGTGAAGTCGTCAACGGAGCCGATCTCGACGACTCGAGACTGTCCTCTGAAAACAGATGATATTAATATTTATATTATATATAATAGAAAGTATTTTTCATTTTGTATCTATTACATTTATAGAAATATGTTAGGAGTTAGTCAAAATAGTTCAGTTTCTTAGCAAGTATTTTGTAAAGTGAAAATATATTATGTATTCAGTGCTTAGTTCATATCAATATAAGAAATATAAAAATGCAGAAACAACAAACATTCATCTTATACTGGTGTACCCATATTTCAAAAAAGGGAATGAATTCTTGTGACTCGTCAAGTCCCCCTGCCCCGAGTCCAAAACACTCTGTATAATGTCATGAGGTAGAGATGAGTGTAGTACAAGGAATTGATACTGCTAAATAATTCACAACAGTGTAATGTAATAGTACGTTAGAGGGAATTTTCTTTGGTTCAGTGAATCATCTCCAAAATATCAGTCCATATGTGTAATGACGAACACTTAAGTTGAATATTTATGTTTTAAGTTGTAAGGGTTGGAATAATGTTCATGTTAACTTATTAAATGTTGGTTTCCAAATAAGAAGCTGGCTGCTATGTTATTTTACAAGTACTACTCATTTTAGAGGTTTATATGCTTGAACTGACATAAGAGAGTCTGTAGATTAAGAAAAAAGGGAAAAATGTGTTTGATTCGTGTAAAAGCTGAAGCTGTGGTCAAAAACATTGTACATTGTCATGTGAGGAAAAGTGTGTAGAATTAGTGTACTGTTGAATTAATTCTTGTGGTGCTAGCACTTTGAATGCTTATTAGTTGGATTGATGTAATATAATACAGGTACCCATCACCCTGTGTGGAGTGTATATAGAAGTGATTGTTAAAATAACAAAATAATAAAATGTTAATGTTTTTAACAGCTGATGATACAAGTGACCAATTTGAGATAACTGGGAATTGTGATTATTTAAAATCTTGGAGGTGCATTTGTGCCGTTTTACCATCGGAGGCATCAGATTCAGTCAATGTGGAGTTCTCAGTCTTTGCTTGAGAAACTGAATCTGATTGGTTATCCGCTACTGAGCAAGCCTCATTTTCATGATTATCAAAATGAGTCTCATAATCATCTTCGTCACTTTCCGATAATGTATCCTGACGTGTTTTGACAATTCTGGATGAAGCATATTCATAGAAATTATACAACTGAAACATTTTCCAAGAGCATCAGTACTATAATGATTTCAACTGCAGATTGATGTATATTAAAGGAGAGATAAATCAATTTTTGTCAATTTATAAACACTATGATCATATTTATACATGAATAAACTTAATTGTTATAAATAATTGAAGAACTTACCTCTTTCTATTAAAGAGATTTTTCAATGAGTCTCTAAACGATGACTTTTTCTTGGGTCTATTTGGATCCTCTGCTTTACTTGCTTGCATATTCTCCAGGATCTGCCTCTGTTTTTCTTTCTTCTTTCTCCTCAATTCTTTCCTTCTATTGCTTTCTGGGCCATTATCTTGAGACACATCGGGTTGAGATTCATTCCACACATTCTCCTTTACTCTATCAGGAGGTGGATCTGGTAAAGTCACTCTCTGAGGTTTTTGGGTTTTCTTTTTAGGCTTTTCTGATATTGGCTGTTCGGCATATACCACCTTACTGATGAATTTTTCCTCAGCTAGACTTTTAGCCAGAGACATATTGATTCGTTGTTGCATTGGGCTTTCTGAGTTGGCATCGATTAAAATATCACCCTGACTTTTGGATTTTTGTAATTGACCTAGTTTTTGAGCTCTCCTGGTTAATGCTTCTCTCGTGCTCAACGAGGGTTCATATTGAGTTCCTATATCTCCATTAACTGAGTCATTATCTCCATATATACCAAAGTCTTGACCACTTGTGTCTTGGATTTGCTCAGAAATATTGCCATTAGAAAATCCCATTTGGCCACCATTTTGATTCTGTGGGTCCCATTGATTGTAATCCAGGGAGTGCACAGTATGTCTGTGTTGATTCATATCACTATAGTCTTCATCTTCCTTAGAATCTACTCTACTATGGAAACTGGCCTCCGACATTTGATCAAACATCGATTTAGAACGTTGGTTACGAAGTTTCCTCTGATGTAACCGTTCAGCAGGATTAGTAGCACCATCTATATCATTCCTATACAATCCAGAAGGAGGCTTCGTTGAAAACTCAACATGGTCATTTCTCTTCTTTCGCCTATCCCTATGCGGCCTAGGAGCTGTGTGTGCTCCCTCGAAATGCGAAAAAGTCTGATCCCTGTTTCCATATAAGGAATATGAGCCACCTGTACCTGTAGAGTTCGATAGAGTATTATGTGCACTGCTATTCCGTGAGCTCTGATTAGGGACTGAGAGTCCATCAGACATAAAGTCACTGTAGCTTGAGTAGATGTTACTGGTTGTTTGGGTGGTGGCACTGTCAGGCCTGAAAGATAATTACACATATGAAACCAACAAACAATTCATGTCCAGTTGTGGAAATAGGCATCAATTCCAGAAGAAGAGGGTAAATGATGATTTTGCAAGTGATCAGGAAATCAACATATTTCAAATATTGGTACATTGAAAAAAGGATGGATTAAATAAACATTATTTTTCCACAACTGCCAAAATTTGAACACCAACCCTAACAGTGGGCCATTTCTCAAATAAAATGCTCTTATGATTTGTCTTGTTATATAATATTACCGGAGATGAGTCTGAACTACAAAAACAACTGCTCTCATTTAATTCTCCCTCTCTGACAAAAACTTGCATATAATTTAATTTCTTAAAGCATTGTCTCATAATCTCAGCATTGTGAATATCTACATTGTATTGCAAAAGAGGTGTTAATGAGTACCTGTTGTAAATGAAAGGTGTATGTTGATCCTCAACAGTAGAATGAACCCCACTATCCCTAGTTGCACTGGAGAACTGCAGGGGATCATATCCACTAGAGCCTGACTTCATGGAATTACTTTGTCTGAAATGGAAAAGGTTGGGGTCATGCATCAAGTATCCCTCCAGCCAGCTTTTGCCAAGGGGGTTCACTTTTAAATCCAGGGGGTTCATGTTTGACAATGTTGGCCAAAAATCGCTCGATATGCTCAGAATGGTGAAAAATTACATAATTTTGAAAGAATTTTTGGCCTACTGGCTATCAGTCAATATGGTACAACGAAAATGGGACTTCTGCGCATGTTAAATTTTTTCGTCAAAACTCAACTTTTGTTCAAGTTGATACGATTGTCTTTCGAACTAGAGACTTACCTTATTCGAAAGATCATAAAATACTTTATCTATACTGAAAATCTTAGATCCAAACATAGTAGAATACGCCATCAGTCCGCATTTGATTTTTTGAAGTGAGTTTCGTAGATCGTCAGATTTCTCCGACTGATATCGGGTTATCTCAAACTGGTTCGTTTATAAATACGAATTTCTTTACCGTTGTAAGGCGCATGCGCAAAATTGATTTATAAACCTTATTGGTTGATGGTTTTTCTCCTGCGCATGCGTGAAGTCTGATGAACACTTATGACGAAGACCGGAGCAAACATTACTAGCTCTCGAACGAAATTCCAAGATTCAGGTCATTTCGCCGTGTTTGCTAAGCGTGTATACGTGAATGACAAGCTGTTTTGAGTAGATCGGGTACCTGTTTTAGACACAACATTGATTTAGCTTGACATTGATGTGCACATTGGCACTTTTGAGCATGTTAATACAAGTTTTTACACGCTTAGCACGAGGCGGGTTTTCGAAAAATCTGTTATCTGATTCACTCGATTATCATATGGATATTTATTTCTGCTGACATTTCAACACCACATCACATAGAACTACGATGCAGAATGATAATAAAACACAAAACAACTACTAAATTCCACTTGTTATTTCACAGGAGGTAAAAATGCAAACTGCCTAGATTCTTTGTAAGGGTCGTCAGACATCGGATTGGCCGCCATATTTGAAATGAAAATATCACTAATAGCGAGATAAATAGTGACATAAAAAAGGGCGAAAGCGCCGAAAACGGAACAAATCGTGGAACTTTCCATATATGACCAGACAACCTTCCTGGGTGTAAAAAGCAACTGTGCCGAAAATTTCCTCCATTTTTTACCTACTTTTCGCAATTTTTACCCATACCCCTAAAATTTATAGGGGTAGGCTTAATGACCATCCATAACATTTTAGGATTATCATTAAATAGTATCATAATTTCAATGTTGGAACCTTTTACCATGATACACATGATAATGAGTGAGATTACAGTCAATTTTTAGCAAAATGAATATTTACTTATCTTTAATTAATTCCTTTTATCTCTTTTCCATAGTGACATGTAGTTTGACATAATAAACAACGTAATTTTAATTGAAAATAAAGTTTGACAAACTATGTGACATCTGATGAGTGACTTGAATGCAAATACAGAATAATCTAGCAAAAAGTGTATCTTTCTTAAACAACTACCAAAATCACTTCTTGTTTTTGACAAGGTCATGCTTGAGTGACAATGAGCATCAACGTTTATGATAGGATCTAGATCAGTTTTTGTAAGTATGATTTTGACCTACATGATTAATAAAAATAATCAAGAAGTTATTCTGCTTCTGTTCTGTTCCTCTTTAAAGAGGCTCTATGCCATAGGATAGCAAAATCACGACCCCTCTGGACTTTTTGCATATTGAGTTTCACCACATATATACCCATCTACTTACCAAAGAAGAAGTCCCAAATCCCCCTCTTTCAGTGTTAATTTCGCGATTGTGCTGGCCGATCTAATTATTTTCGAAGAAATTAATTCAATCTGAAGTGTGAATATACCGGGAAAGTCGTCCTGTTATCTGATTGGTCGTTGAATTTTGTCATCATAAACCTGATTGGCTGCCTGGTTCAAGGCACTTGTGGGCGCTTGTGTGACTCAATGGGGATTCCTCTCGCTAGCTGAGGAATCGATTGTGTTTAATTCTGGAGTTTGGTTGTTCTGTTGATTATTTCCGATATTTCGGCAATGATATACCCAAAAGTTATTCTCAAGATATATCTATGGTATGTGAGATATTATATGACCAATAACAATAGGACATCATTGATTGTCTGGGGGAGAGAAACCTATGGCATAATGCATCTTTAACTGTTATTTTTTAAAATATGATATTGTTGGTCTAATAAGGGCAGTTTTGAATTAAGAATGAGTGTTATGTGTATTGGGAGGGGGTCTTGTTACTTGGGTAGATTTCAGGTAGATTACCAATCAATACAATTTGCCTCTTGATTTTGAATCTTTGATAGATACCCAGCAGAGTGAAGAAACAGGGTCGCCTATGTTCAAATTCTGGTACATGGTACTCCAATTACAAGTTCTGGGTCTAACAAATGTTAGAGCTGTGAGACTTGGGGACTTCAAACTCTACAAAGAAACTATCATGGAAATCATGCCATGGTTTGTCTCCCTGGATCATACCAATTATGCCCGCTAGGTACCTGTCCATGTAAGTGATATGGTTCAGCTCAAAGAAATCCACCCTGAAGTTCACAATGGTTTCATGAAGGGGCATTTCACTGTCAGCAAGTCAAGAAAAAGCTTCTCCTCCATGTCAATAGACCAAGCCCATGAGCAAAATAATAGTGTGATCAAAAGTGAGGGTGGAGCTGTGGGGTTGTTCGACAATCCAACCGCATTACAGAAGTGGATGGTCGATGGTCCAGAGATCGCAAGAATGTTAACTGAGTTTGAGGATGAGATGAAGAATAATGATGGTCCTTGCAAACCAGTGTTAGTTATCAAACCAGTTTCAACAAATATGTCAATTCCCTTACTTAGGTTATCAATGATTTAGGAAACCCCTTTATTGCAACATCAAAGGAACTTTGGACACTTGATACTAAAGATGTAATGTCAAGCAGTGCAGTTGACACATTGAACACAATTGAGAAAAGGGGGAAAAGTCAATGTGAAATATATAAAGGAGAGAATTATTGAAAGATCAAAAGCCATCACCAGACCCTATCAAGAGAAACAATTTTAAGATCTTCAAACAAATCTAAGTCAAGTTCAAAGCTAGCAAGCTTGAAAAATGACACTGCCCTATTTTCACAACTATACATAGCATGCCAGAATAGAGACGGCAACTTAGATGAACTTTTCCGACATGAGAACCAGACATTCCCTCCATCCCTTTCACAAGATAGCGCAATCAAGACTGGACTCAAAGCAAATATCTAAAAACCAGTCTTAAACCATATCTTAAAACCTTGTTCCAAATAGAGAGATCGATACACCAGATGTTGAAGCCCTGTTTCTTGATGGTGCCGTAATAGTCCACCTGCTGAAAACTCAAGAAGCAAGAACCTTCCTACAATACTCAAATGACATATTTAATAAGTATGCTGCAGATTAATAGAGTACAAAGACTTGATATTGTATGGGATCAATATATACCAAATAGTGTCAAATCTTCAACAAGAAAAAAGCATGGATCTTGAAAGCGTCAAATAGTTTATCCAGAAAACAAATTGCCAGGGAATTGGCCAGAATTTCTACGCTCGGATGACAAGAAAAGTGATCTCTTTACCTTCCTTGAATCAAATGTCTCAGCCATTCCAGTACCAGAGAATAAAATCCTGATTACAACAATTGGGAATTCTGCAGAGGCATATCCTAAGCAGCATGTTTCTGAGATTTCACCATCATCCCATGAAGAGGCAGATTCCCGAATCTTTCTGCACATATATGATGCAATGAAAAAAGGCTTCACCAAAAATGACGATTAGAACAGTTGATTCAGACATTGTTGTTCTGGCAGTTAGTACAACTTAACATTCAAATCTGGCTCACCTTTGGCAAGGGAAAGTCCTATAGATACCTTCCAGCCCACGAAATTGCCCATGAAATGACTCCTCAGAAAGCCATGTGTTTCCCAATATTCCATGCTATGACTGGGTGTGACACCACATCAGGCTTTAATGGAAAGTCTAAGACATCAGCCTGGAACCAACGGAGTGCCTACCCTGAATTGACTACAGTATTAACAGAAATCTCAATACGACCCAATACCCTGCTTAATGCCTATTTTAGAGCAGTTCATTATTCTGGTCTCCAACTTAAAACAAGCAATGAAACATCAATCAATGCTGCGAGGAAGGAAATGTTCACAAAGAGGACTTCAATAATATCACACATTCGTCCAACATCAGATGCCCTTTTACAGCATATGAAGAGAGTCATATACCAAGCTGTATTTATTTGGGGGCAACCACTTACAGCGATCCTCAAGTTCCTTCCCCAGCTGAGTGGGGCTGGATATTTGAAGACACCAAATGGATACCAAGGTGGACAACCTTACCCCAAGCATCAGACGCTTGCCAGGCTCTCATAAAGTGTAGCTGCAAAAACCAATGCATATCAACACGATGCAAGTGCCTGAAAGGAAATCTTGTTTGTACTGCATTATGTTTGTGTGATGGCAATTGTTCTTCATAAGGACACTGCAACATACCAGAAAGTAACTATGATACTGATAGACACAAGTATAAATCCTTCTATTGATAAGATTAATAAAACTATGATTTAAAAATGTGTGCAAAGGGAATCTAAAGGAACTATGAAACAGATATAGATAGTTGATATATGGAGTCTAACTGCACTCAGAAGCCAAAAGAAACCATAAGTCAAGCCGTATCGACCATTTTTTCTGTATATCTAAAAGATGGGTGTGACTCAAAACAAGCCTTTAACAGTGAAAAGGTGAAAAATAATAGTCATGTGAAGCATTAGATATAGATGTAATTCTAAAATCATACATCACTTATTTGATTTACTCCTGCTACTGTGATATGGTGCAAAATATTCAATACAAGAAAAGTGGGCGTCGCCCATCACCACCCTTTAACATAGCAATCGAAAATCAATGGTATTTCATATTTTTACTTCAACATCAACTTCTTAACATGATAAGGTAATATTAAAGAAGTATGAGCATAATTTAGTAAAAAAAATTGTGTCAAAATTTTTTTAGCCCCCCTCCCCCCTCCGTGACCATGGGGGGGGGTAAGAATTGTAAAATTAAGGTAGTTCCTATGGGGGGATTTTTTGGCACAGTTGCTTTATTTAATGAGTAGCAATCAGTGATCATTTGAGGAAAGTTTCACGATTTGTTCCGCAAACGGCGATTACTTTACACTATTTATCCCGCTAAATATAAATAAATAGAGGTCTGCGCATGCCTCAACATTTCGACTGGCTATGGGTCTGTGGAGCTGAGATATGAGTGGGAAAGGGGGGTTACAAGGGCTGAAGTAAGACAAGGTTCATGAGGCTCATCTTCCTACTTAGAATACAAAATACAAGAATATAGTAATGATCAGATTTGTTTTATTCACATTTAAATATCTTTTAGAAATGCTGCTGAGAGGAATGATTATGAATTTCAACTAGATATAATTTAATGAGCATGAATTTTGAAGTTTTGCAAATGTGCATTTTTAAACCATTGGAAAGATTTAAAATTAAAGTATACCTTTTTGTACCAGTGTAACTCTCGCCTTGTATGAGGTTTGTTGAATGCTCTATCCCATCATGCATCTGTGACAGGAAATGCCGAAGTTTCTGCACTGAAGACTGCAGGAAGTAATGGTCTGGTTGATCTCTGTCTGTAAACTTCAACAGTTGCTATAAGAAAAAAAGAGAAAACAATTTATTCATTACATCATTCTAAATTCAAAATATGTATTTTTACTTTAAAATACACTGGCAATAACTTGTATCAGTCATTTTGCTTTCAGTTTAGTGGTTCATCATGCATCGCACATTTATATGATTTCTTGGAATACAACCCATATCCTATCCCTAATATGAAGTATTCTCTGGAGACATATTACCTTATATTTTTGTGTATCTACCTTTTACAGATGAAGAATCAAGATATATTTCCTTCTTGATAAACTTCATATCCAGAACTTCTCGTGAAATAACCCCTATGTGCTTACCTGCATGATGAGTACATATTGTGGTATCCTCTTTATAGGAGATACCAGGAACATAACAACATCCATCCCCTCACATGCTGGGTGCTTCTCACATTTCTACAAATATAAGTAAAGTAAAATCATTAGTATTATATTTACAAACAAAATGCATTTACATAAAATACAGTATTTACAGAATGGATTATATAAGTTGTTCTAAAGATAGGAAGTCATGAATTCTTTGTTTGAGGACTGTCTTTCTGTTGGAAACGTAAGGTTTAAAATATATTTTGAGTTAGATTTTGCCCACCCAGCATTTCCTACAATTTGTTGTTTTCTTCATTCCAGCAATTAATTTTCACTTCTTTTGTCGATAAAACACACCCACAATTAATTTATTTCCCTTCATAAAATATATTTCAACTCAATTTTATATACTATATAACCTACCTTTAAGAATTTTCTGAACTTGACAGATTGTCTCTGATAGTTCTGTAGCATACTGATACACAGGGGGAACTCCTGTATGTAGTTCTTGTACAAGCCCAGCAGTTCAGACTGAAACATAGAGTGCATAATTGACTATTTGAAATATATCTTTCTAATGGGGGTCTATCAGGGCTTGGTTTATAAGTTCCTTACTCTCGAATGACTTAAATACAACCTCCTCCCCTCAAAAATACATTAACCAAATTGTAGAATTCTAGGATAAGATTTTATGTTAAGTTAATGGGTTGTTATTCTGTATTTACATGTGACATGTAGAAACTACTATTTAGCCCCCTGGCCTTACTTTTATTTAGAGTCAGCTCTTAAGTAGAGACTACTTACCTCATTAGAGTCTACCATTCTAGTGAAGATATCCCCCAGTAAACCCTGGGACTTCCAGGTCAGGAGCCTCTCTTCTAATTTATGAAGCAGGTTACAATGGCACTCATAGATCCTCGACAAACTGCCGGGGAATATTATACTGGAATAAAAAATGTCCATATCATAAATTAATATTTTGGGTCGATCTGTGGAATCACATGTTAACATTTTATGTGTAAAATTCTACAAGAAACAATAATATCTAGCATGATACTTGTTGGATAGGATAAAGTGTGTCCCTGTGTTTAGTTGAACTATATTCCACATTCTATCTACTTAATTGCAGAGCAGTGTACACAACTTTGTTATTGTTGATTATATAGTACGATAAACACAAGATAAATTCCAATGTCACAGTGAACTTGAAAATTTAAATGTATTCCCCACATTCATAAGTACAATACAGCATTGTGATAGGCCATACCCATTTTCACTCGTCCAATAACAAAATAGGTTCACTAGGGAAATCAAAAGACAATAAATGGATATACATGTATTTACCTTATGTCTTTATCTTCTATAACAGCAGCTTGGTGTAGGGGATCCACAAAGTTATCCTGTATCGCCCATAATGCTGAACAATATTTCCTCTCACTCTCAAGCAAATCTCTTGCTATCTTTGTTCTATGAGCTGCAAATGAGTAAAACAGACATTATCAACATGTCTTAGTGATAAATGATTATTTTCCCATTTTGAAATCATGAATTTTAAACCTGTGTCACACGTCAAACAAGGTATTAACATGTAAAATGTCACCATCCCCCAAACACAACCACCAAACACCATGTATAAAAAGTTGGAGACCATAACAATATGTCACCACTTTTGGTGGTGACATAAAAACTTCAATCTAGGGGCATCAATTTTTAGGTATTTTAAAAATTAATTTTTCCTTTGTTCATTCTATGAACAGTTGAAATTAACAACTGAAATCAATAGACATAGTATTACTACAGAAAAGAAGAAATTAAGTATTTTTAGTTCTGCCAGTCCTTGTATATTTAGACTTACTCTCTCTTATAGTTTCTTCATGCGGCGCAACCTTTCTTTGGCTATGGGAACTACTATTAGTTTGTGGGAGTTTTGGCATCGATAGGTCTTGCAATGTAAACGGAGAATTATTCCCAAGCATTTCTCTTTCCTAAAACAGAAATTGAACGGTCAATAGAATCATTAAAACTAGTTATCTACACAGGATAGATCAGCTATCCTCTTTCTGTATTTCTTCAACATTGTAATAAAAATCCATATGAACAACGGGGAAAGCAGTACAATGTCAGTTTATAAAAACAACATATGTCTACTATGGTAATCAATGTAGGAACAGCTGTTATGAAACATCATAAAGAACACAACTGAAATCAATAATTTTTTAAGTTACTGTATTTTTCATGATCACTTATATTGAGATAAGATTATCTGAAGCTGTTTAAAGCTATTCCATGCAGTTATTTGTACGTACTTTGTACATACTTTGTAGAATACAAATTGGAAACTGCAAGACACTTATTTATTTTAGGAATATATGAAATTCAATTTTCTTGATATTTATATGGAAGTTTTTTGCCAAATGCATTGTTACAAAATTTTTTCAAAATGATGCAGTTCACTATTTTGCACATTTTTTAAGTGAGTTTAGGGTAAAATTGTCAAACTTCAACCCCCACTCGCAATTTTTTAAAAGCCCTTGTAATAGCTGGCTACATGCCTGATATGTATATCAATGGACAAACCTTGAATGTTTTCTCTGACTTTATATTGCCATTTCGTTCAGCATCACTTGAATCTGATTGGTTAATTGAGAATTGTTTATTTTGCATAGACGGAAGATTCAGTCTTTTCTGGCCTGCAGTATGTAAGGACGAATCAGAGTCATAGTTTACATTCACTTCATTTGCTGTGTTCTCCTGACCGCCTGAAATAATAAAAGTCATGCACATTTCAGATACTTTTTCTTCAAACTGTAAATAATCTTATTTTCACTCCTTTGTGCTAATGGAAATAATTATTATACTAGTCTAAAGATATCAATGAGCTACAGAAGATGAAAAATGAATATAATGAATAAGATACTCTACACACAATTACGGAAATTATAAAATGGATTCTTAGATACAGTAAAACCTGTCTAAGTGGAACACACTTGGCATCTATAAAAAGTGTTTGGATTGGGAGGAGTTCCATATATTCATTTAACATTAAGTCAGTTGGACTTGGGACTCTGAAAAGTGTTCCACTTATGAGGTGTTCCACTTATAGAGGTTCATTTAACATTAAGTCAGTTGAACTTGGGACTCTAAAAAGTGTTCCACTTATGAGGTGTTCCACATAGAGAGGTTCATTTAACATTAAGTCAGTTGGACTTGGGACTCTAAAAAGTGTCCCACTTCTGGAGGTGTTCCACTTTACAATGTTTTACTGTATAGAAAATCAAGTAAACTCACCATGATTACTATGCAGTCCATCAATGAAAGACTGCACCATGGGAGATAACACAGGTGGCGTTGTCTCTCCAAATGATGACCCATTCTGCACCGCAGTCACACCACTATCGTGATCACTTGTGATATGTGTTGGCTGACTAAATGCCACATGGGCTCGCTCTAAAAGCACAGCCAGCTGTGACTCATCTGGGTTATAATGAGTGGTAGTTGGTCTGCTTTTCTGGCCACTGTCATACTTACTCCTATAAAGAGTAATGTTGATGTTGATTGCAATCACCATATATTCGATACATTGGCAAACATTTTGTTAAGATAGGAGTCAAAACTTTACCTTATATTAAATCTAATAGTATTATGTAAAGGGTGGGTAAGTATTTTACAGTCTCCCCTAACTTCTTAAGACTACATATTTTTTAGGCTCAGAGCTATATTTACATTAAAAAGGTTTAGGTAGATCATTAGGAGTAGTACTAACAAAATATGCATGGTACATATAATTCCTTAAGGTCATACCTAAGTTCCCCACTGATAGCCCCATGTTTCTCTAACTCCTCCAGTAAGACATCTCTCTCATACTTTAAGTGCTGCACCTGCTCTTTGAGGCTCTGCTGGGACTCACTGGTTACCTTCAGCTGGCTCACTACTCCTCCAAACTCAGTCTACAAATATAAAACCACACACTTTGAATATATAAGGATGTCTACCATGTCTACAGTGAGTGCTGTTCCTTGGTGAGTCCAGATTCTGCTGGGACTCACTGGTTACCTTCAGCTGGCTCACTACTCCTCCAAATTCAGTCTACAAATACAAAACCACACACTTTGAATATATAAGGATGTCTACCATGTCTACAGTGAGTGCTGTTCCTTGGTGAGTTCAGATTCTGCTAGGACTCACTTGTTACCTTCAGCTGGCTCACTACGCCTCCAAATTCAGTCTACAAACATAAAACCACACACTTTGAATATATAAGGATGTCTACCATGTCTACAGTGAGTGCTGTTCCTTGGTGAGTTCAGATTCTGCTGGGACTACCACTGCTCACTACGCCTCCAAATTCAGTCTACAAATATAAAACCTCACACTTTGAATATATAAGGATGTCTACCATGTCTACAGTGAGTGCTGTTCCTTGGTGAGTTGAGATTCTGCTGGGACTCACTGGTTACCTTCAACTGGCTCACTACGTCTCCAAATTCAGTCTACAAATACAAAACCACACACTTTGAATATATAAGGATGTCTGCAGCATTGAAGCGACTGGGTGCTTTTCCAAGAAGTTTCTGAAATCAACATAATGCAGTTGCTGAATAAATAAAAGATAAACAGTTAGATAGACATGTATTTCTATACATTTACCTGACACTTATGTCACTTTAACAGAATATTATTTTTAGATCATTTAGACCCAGATTATCAAAATCAGTTTAGTGCAATCACAGTATTACAACTTACAGTAATAGCTTAACAAGTTACTGTATTTAAACAAGTAACTGTATTATACATGTGATGGTATATTACCTATAGAAATCCTAACATTTCTCTGCTTACCCAGACATAACAGACTTGAAGTCCATCTATTAACATACCTTGCCTGAATAAACATACCAAGGGAAACTCTAGAAATATTCCACCAATCCTAAATTAATGCTATTAGACCAACTGCCACAAATGATATGTAGATCTTTCCTCTGGGCTATAAATCTCATACCCCATTACCAGTTAGATTTTATCATACCTTTGAAACCCAAGATGCATAAATATACAGATTTGAATTTCTCATTCCAAGCACAGCTACCTTTACATGTACAGTAACCCCCCTCCCCGAACAACTCTCTAATTCAACATCTCTCAATATAAGCACTCTCTCCATAAAATCTTGAAATGTGAACATCTGCTTATAGGAACATTTTGATCCACTCCCAGTACTGTTCAGATTAGACAGGTTTTATTGTACAAACTACCTTTACTCAGGATGCTGGAAGAGGATATGATACACATACACAAACCAGCATCAGCTATACCAATATATAAACCATGGCTTTCAATATGAGGGGAGCTCTGATATTTTGAAAACAAGTTTCTTCCTCCCAGCATATGATGTGAATCAACTGATTGGAATGAAGAAGAGGGTATTCTTATATATACCATCACTCGATCTACTATATAATTGATATCATGCAAATCAAAACTCTTAAAAAAATTTGAAATTGCACCAGAGTGAAATTGCAGTCCAGCATATGAAGAGAGCATTTGTTTCATTTTCTGAAGTCCTGTATGGCATGATGAGTATACAGAAGAAAGGGGATACAGTTTATTTTATCACTTACTATTTATCATTCACTCAAATTTCACATCAGATTTCCCTTTTATATCACCATGAGCTATGGGAGTGTTTAAGAAGTAATCAAGGTCAAAAATACTAAAACTGTGTTATCTTATCTATTCAGGAGAGTAAAAACTAGATGTAGTATCTGAACGAAATTATGTTGCCATAGAAACCATCATAATATGTGCTTGAAATGTCTATTTATCTTTGGATATGTTATCTCCTTATAAAAACCCAACCAAAATAATTACATTTTTCAAGATGTAACATTTTGGATCAGTATTTATTAGTCTCAGTTATATTATATTATTATATTAGTATCTCACTTATTGTATTGTGGTTATAAAATGAATAAATCTTGGAGAAACTTTGGACATCTTACACTGGTTATTATCAGAAAAGTTCAAGACAAAGTGTACAAGAAGTGCAATTGCACAAATCATGCACATATATCACTTAGAGTACCTCTAACATCATCTTCAAGATACATATTAGAACACTTTACATCACTTCAAGATGTGAGTATGACTTCTCTAGGGTTCTTTACCTTCCTTTTACAACAAATACTATGCAGATAGATCACAGAGTAAAAATGTGAAAAATCAGTAATTTTGGTAAATTTTGGCTCAAAGAGATAATTTTGGTAAATGAATATAACTTATCATAAATTGATAATTTTGCCATCAATGCACACAATTTCAAAAAACTGGTCTCATCACAAAACAGAAACTACTAAGGACTTCATGAAAATTCCATGTTGATTTCAACTAACTGAACATATTTTATGTTTGTATTTGATAGGCATGGTTCAACATTTGTGCAGGTTACAATGTAATTCTGGAGAACTTTGCTCAACTGGGCCATGACCTGACATAAACTTTGGAACAAAAACAGTTTCAGTTTCCAGATTACCTCATTAAAAAATGTTAAAGAGCCATAACAAAATGTTTTTATCATGTTTGGAGAGGATTGATGTTTTCTTCCCTATTAAACAGTAATATTGTGTGAGAAAATGTCAAAGTGTACATACATCAATTATCCCCCCCCCTCCCCCAGGATGAGGCAACTAGGTATGGCAGCCAATTGATAATTTGAAAAATCTGATATCTTTACTCATTTTTTAACTACAGAACCAGGATTTCAATAGAAAAAATGGAAATGTTGCAACCAAAATCCTTGTTAGGACATGGGCTTAGCCAGCAATTGCCAAGGGGTGTGCGATTTTTTGAGTTGGCATCACTGCAAACGAAGCAAATCCCAAAAAGTAAAGAGGATTTGATTATTTTTATGGTATTTCTTTCACATACGTATATTCAAAATCTTTTTAATTTAGACATTCAATCTTGCCATTGCATCATTGCAGTTGTGATAAAAATTAAAGTTTGGACCTGTTATTTGTTTATTTCATGTTTTTTAACATTTTTTCAACCACCCATCGCACCCTCCCCTGGATACGCACATGCTCCATATAAGGGATAGGATATGGTATCTTGATCTACATGTGCTTACAGTAACCCCATGTTACCTTGCCTCTCTCATGTAAACTGCAATTTGTAGGTTATTTTGACCTATTTGAAAACATACTCTATAGAACACAATCTTTCCTTTTGATAACATAACAAGAGAAAAGTAGTGAAAATAAACCATGTGTTATTATGACAGGTGTTTGGTGAATCATACTACGAGTGATGCATTTTTGAGAGCCTGAACTTTATTCTTTATGAAGGATACAACTGATACTAAGCCAGCTTTATTCATATTTTTGGCAAGATTCATCCAGTCTCATTCTTATGACTCATTTCCACTTAAAGATGAAGATACATCTGCTTATTTCAACTTTAAGCCTCACTATGGTGTATTTTATGCAAAAGTCTTAATTTGTTAATTTCCCAAATGGATAACTTCTGTCAAAAAGAAATGAAGCTTTATAGTCTTCCAGAATCAATCTACACAGTGAAGCATTACCAATCTTTAATAACCAGAATATTTTCATTTTCATTTGTTCCACATGGATAAAGGTTCATACTATATACATGTAAACTGAAAACTGTTTATATTCATAAATTCTTCAGTATTGGAGGAAATCAACACACAAAAACTAACACAATCCCAAAACCAATACAGAACTTGAATTCACTTGGTCAAAATGATAAAAAATCTAAAATGAACTCAAAAACTTTCAAAACTTAGAAGTTCTTAAAATTGCACCATGTTTCTGATTTTCACGCCCCCCTTTGGACCATCCAAATTCACCCAATAGTGCAATGCAATGCAATACAACATCTGCTAACACATGGCACTTAGAAAATGCTCCTACTAATTAGCTCTACTTTAACTCTTGCATTCTTACCTTGAGAGACAGGACCATTTGTACAACATCTGTTAGTTGTTTCTGGTGTTCTGCCTTGTTGGTCTCAAGCTTTTCTTGAAGGGCCTTGTCATCATATTGTATCTTGGCCAGCTCTTCTATAGCTGTACTAAAACCATCTTTCATCTCACGGACCATCTCTTGAAGCTGAAAGTATATAATGTAATTTCAATTAATGTGTAAAACAGTCACATTATCATTGGCATAGGCCATTCATTGAAATGCTTCAAATACTGTTAATTTTCAAAATTATGATTTGAAATAGTTGCCACCCTAGTCTTACTCCAAGATCTTGTGACCTCTCATGAGTTAATATGTTCTAGCATCAAGTACAGTGAAACCTGTACAGTGGAACAGCTATAGAAGTGGAACACATATGTTAGTGGAACCCTTTCCAGAGCCCCAAGACAAACTGATTTCATGTAAATGAACCTCAATAAGTAGAACACCTTAGTGGAACACTTTTTAGGGGAACCAAAGGTGTTCAACTTAGACAGGTTTTACTGTATCTGTCCCCTACTCATCTCTGTTTATCAACCTATCAATATTCATGCTTATCAAAAATGAATGTAAAACATCTTACAGCATCAAGCTCCTTTGGATCAATATCCTCATGTTCTATAAGAGAGGCAACATTGTTTAAACAACTCTCAAAATTCAATCTATCCGTGCCATTCATATTCAAGCCATCTTCTTCAGCCTTCAATAAATCCACGAGGTTCAATTGTAGCTTACATAGATTGATACTCATATTGTATATGAACTGTTCTAATATACTGATAAGTTTTTAGTTTACGAAATGCTATAAATTTATAATAATAAGTATACTTCTGATCCTTTTTATGTACAGACGGATACGGATTATCTAGATAATCATCTTTATTTTTTTATCCAGGCTCATAGTTTATGGACTTCACTTAGATGTGCTATAACCATCTTGTATAACTTTTCACTCATACATTGATATCTATAAATGTCTATCTTTCCAACATTCTTTTAGAATCAAATCAACATTCAGATATAGATTTTGTTTTATTAAATGAATTTTCGCCACATTTCTTCAATTTTTCTAGCTTTTAGTTCACAATTCCTCAATGCTTACAAAAATATCCATTTTCTTTAGAACTAGTCGGAACATTATGATGTACTCGAATGATTTCTTGTGAACTTCTATCTGGAGTCTGAATCAGGAAAAAATGTTCCATGTCTGGATTCATCCATTCTTGATTCACATCTGTTCTGTTCTGAACCTAAGTCTCTAGCCTCAACAGTACCTTACTATATCCTTCTTACAGCTACAAATCTGGCATATTCATGTACGATTTTTGAATAATTTCCTTGTTAACCTACAATTCCAGAATCTGCTCAATCATGAATGTTACTGCTGTCTGAATGTCTGGTTGATTTGCATCTGTTGCAACCTCTCTGGTCTCTCTACCTCTACATAACAGACTCCTACTATGTCCTACATACTTGAGAAATTTGGCATATACATGTACTGTAAAACAAACACTGTTACCATCTTTCACTTTTTCAAATTGACTTATGGGTGAATTCTTTAACCTCTGGACAGATCCATTGAATTTGTTTGCAAATAATTTATTTTTGATATGTTAAATCTACCAATTGGGCTATCACATAATTCAAGGTGCTGGGAAAAATCTCTGGTTTTACAGTTAACACTTCAAAAATCCTAAAAATACCAGCATATCACCAGATTCTGACAAGTTTGTGAAAACATGAGTAACTTCAATCCAGATAATTCTGCTTGGCTAAGCTGCTTATTTCACATATGTGGATAGATTCCCACCAGTTGCATCTTACTGATGAAAGTTAATGGGTTTAGGGAGTTTTTAAGATATGCCAAACTTGATTAACTGAATTTATTGATCTTACAAGGCCATCTATTGATTCGATTACAAACTCATTCTATCATAACTTAAGTGTGGATTCCTACAATACTCACCATCAAAAGTACAGTATACTTTACAGTACAGTACTTTATAAAGTGATCACTGTTCAGTGTTCAGACAGTTAAATGTGTTCATATTGAGATGTAGCCACATATAGACCAAGAGATTCTAATAAAACAAATGTGGCTGAATTTTTTTCAAAAGTCAACATTTACTATTCATGCACAAGTACAATCTACTGATTTCTGACAAATCTAAATATAAGTGATCTTATTATTTAATGAAACTGGAGTCAGTTAGTCAATTGTAAGTTGCAGATTTATAAAATACAACACCTATTAGATTGAGCACATCACACAAACACATCCTCCGAACACAGGCCTCCAGAACTCGTAATATTGTGAGCAACTAGGTGGTGACATAAATTCACTTTGAATGGTCTCAAATTGTTTTGTAAAATAGCTTTACTGACATTTATTTCAGCCTTGCCTCAGAATGACCCTTAGTGGATAATGTCTGGAACCCTGTGTTCGGAGGATGCACAAACAGAACTGCTGGTATTGATTTGGTCTTAGTGTCCAACTTATATTATAGCAACAAGAATTTTTGACCTTAAGACTACCTGCATTGTCAGTAAGTTGTAACAAGGCATTAACATGCAAAATGTCACCACCTGCCATTTGTTACAGATGCCAAACAACAATTGCCAAACACCTACTATCGAACCTGTTCATAAAAAGTTGTAGACAATAAACCACTTCTGGTGGTGGCATAAAAATGAACTATGTACAGTCAAACAAGTTTATGTTCAAAGCATAACAAGCACACAAGGTTTACAGGTAAAAATAAAATGTCAAATATCTGAGTATGATGTTTTAGTTTTTTAGTTGGGGGCAATTAATGACTTAAAAAAAGGTAGAAGTTCATTTAGCATTTGAGAACAAAGAACAATTTTTATTGACAAATGTACAAAAAGTTCTTTTCATGAACACTTTTCACAAAAATATTCACAATGGGGCGTTTTAATTATAAATGTGATTTTCTTATATATGTGTTTGATGTGCGGACTTTTTAAGGGAACAGGTTGAACTAAGGTTGAGTCTAATTCTAAAAATAATTGATTTTTGTGTCATTTATATCTAACAAATTGATATTATTCTAATAACTAGGCATAGGTTGATATAACCTTACATTTTCTTCAGTATTTGATTCGAGATTAGCGTTACTCCAAGTCATTACGATCATAGACAGAAAAACTGATGTTGTCTGGGACATTCATTGACCAAAAATATTCATCTATCAAAAAGGTATAATAAATAAAGTTTCACATTCACAAAAAATCTGATTTTCATACAGGTAGGATTATCATGCAGTTTCACCATCTACAGCACTTTTCAAGTGATTTTGGGCAAAAATTGTCAAATATAAACTTCCCAGAATTAAAAAAAAAAACTTAACCCCCCCTTGCAAAACCTGACTACAGGCCTGGAACACTACACATATTTCAGGTTTCTTTGCATCTTGTTTCAGAATATTTCTATTTATTTATTTTTTTGAAGAGAAGGATAAGAAGCAGTCCAAAAACAAAGGTTGCATGGTGATATAAAGACAAGTACATAGCAACTGAATTCTGGTTGCTCGTTTAAGTATAGGTAATTGTTAAAATGTCTCAAACAAAGTCAACCCTGATACCCAAACATGTTTTACATCAACTTGACTTCACTTTATAAACCAAACATATTTTTAGCTGCCAAATCTTTTAAACCAATATTAATCCTATGTTTACAACTAAGCTTCCCCTAGAATTCTCTAAAATCGTTAATCTGGTTTTGAGAGAAATGACTTATGAGATTTAGCGTTTTAAGTGCTTATTGCTACCACTGTTGTTGAGGTTCAACAATGCAATTATAATGCTCGCACTTCAAATCTGTGACAGAAAATTATTGAATAGATTTTTTCAGGAATCAAGAATTGACTGTTTGTGACAAACAAAGTCAATGTATTAGGCTTTGACTTGGACAGAGTTCAAGTCGTTTAAGTATTGAATAAAAAAAATGTAAAAGTGTGCTGTAATTTTAGTTCTATATATTCTTACCTCAAATATTTGAGCTGCCAAGTTGCCTTTATTTTCTCCCTCCTCCATTTCTAAAAGAACAGCAAAAAATAAAATATTATTTTCTAGTAATATAAATGTTGATAACAATTCCATTACAATAATTCTAATCTTGATCATGTTAACCTTTGCCAACAGTCAGTCATGTTCTCTATATCATTTGCCATCTTATAATTTCGACGGGATACAACTGCAACTTTTACGACATGGAGTCCATAAAATCTTGTACATGTTTATATTGTGAGCTGGAGTGTTCACTTAGGTGTTCTCATAAAATGTGAGTGAACAGGACATCTGAAAATGGATCTGGAAAGTGTTCACATATGAAAGTATTCACGTAATAGAGATGTTCATTATACAGGACTGAATATATTCATAATTTAATCATCGTCAAGTATGATCTGATAATACCTGAATATGATATGAATAGGAACAGTGAAACCTCTATAGAAATATACAGGTGAACCAGTTTACAGTGAACACTCCTAACTCATACGTGTTCACAATAGAGTTTGGCAGCTTAAATCAAATTTTGTGTTCAAGAAAACATATTAACTCTAGAAATGGTTGTGACAGAAACATCGCACCAAATGTTCACAAGGATTAGATTTGTTGTTATTGATAACCATTTCTGCTGCGTATCTATTATTTACCTTATTACATTGACCGTTAATTAACAATTTTCGATACAGCAATTAGACCAATGTTCTATATCTCACGGAATCTTATGCAAGATGTCTACAATCAAACTACAGATTCTCTTAGAAACCCCCGCCAGTAATCTGGAAACTGATACTATATCCTTAAGTGAAAGAGTCTACTATAGATTTTCTATAAATCCCATTTATAGTTGTGTTGGATTTACTTCTAAGTTGACATTGAACTAAGATAGTAAATAAATTGTACGTAAGATAGTAAATAAATTGTATGTAACTAACCATCTAGATACAATAATCATAGTACAATGCTTAAGGTTCATAATGATTCACCAGCCCATATTTCTTCGATAACATCATGATTCAGATTCTGAGTTCTCCTGACCATTGTTAATAAGGGTGATATTGAATCTTTAGTATAAAAATTGGATGTAAAAATATACATAAAATATTACATAGTTGTATAACCATATTTTTTTAATTTTATCGTAAATAGGTTAACTGATTGTTCTCAAAAGAACCTTCTCATCATAGTTAATAACCCAGATGCGAGAAGAAATAATCTTGATTTACATCATTAAAAATTCAAAATTCAGTCAAAGTAATATCATATTTGAAATCTACATGTAAAATTACATCTAGAAATGTGGTTTTAAAAAGTGTTTATCAACTTTGAAAAATTAATTTTCTTTGAAAATGTGACTTCTAGCTCGGGGAGATTCCCCATAGACCCCATGCTATAATATCACAAAAAATGAAATATCTTTTCTTTTAGTGGACAGATAATATTTTGCTTTACTGGACATATTTTCATTAGTATAAGTATCAGACGCATAAGGGTTATATGAAAATTGAGCCACTTAAATTGATAATATTCAAGTTTAAGGGAACTTTCTTATATACCTACCATGTTAATTGACCCGAATCAGCCACCTGGTGGTGAAACTGGTAACTACCTTCTCGCATTTGGGTAATTCTCAAGTCGATTGAACTAAATGCATTTATCAAAGTATGCAATTCATGAGACAATATAAAACTTGAAATTTTTGACCAACCTTTCCAAAATTTAAAAGATATCATAAATTTTCAACCTTCATTTTTCTTTTATATTTCGACCCTTGTAGGCCATACTTTGACACATCTTACTTACTAAGAGCGTTGATGTGACAACCATTTGAAATAGAAATTCAATATAATATTACTCTTCAATTTCAAATCTTAAATTGATAAAAGGTCAACTTAACTTCATGATCACGCAAGCAGATACAGAGTATAAATGACCTTTACTATTCAGACCGTTAATTTTGAACAACATGTTGAACATACAGGCTGCTAGTAAAATCGATTGATTAAAATATTGTGCAGGTAAAAAATTCAGGTAATAGCATGCTTGAATAATGAATAGTCTGGAATGAAACACGTTAATAATCAGTTGAAGTGAAGCTGTCAATATACACATTCATCTTACCTTTGATTATAGATACAACCAACAAAACAGGAATGTTGCTCTACGACTACATAAACAACATTATTTCCACCACGAAATGTGTAAAAATCTTGATGCATCAACTTCAGGTTTAATTTTAATAATCCGAAGCGATTCTGACAGGTTATAAGTTGCAACATATTTCAATGCATAATTTAGGTTAATATCACATGTGTAGTTTGAAATGTGACCAAGTAACTAGATAACAAGAACCAATATTCTTCTGGGGAGAAATAACAAAGTCAAGGCAGCAAATCTTTCTTGCATCAGCAAAACATCGTTTGAATTAATAAAACTAGAAACTGAAAATGGCTTCTAATTAAATTATGATCTCATCTGGAATTTCCAATCAAAAATCATACACAAGGGGGAGGGGGGTTGAGAAGACCAGTGGTGGATAAGCAAAGGTCAAGGTCATGTTGAAACCAAGGATGATTACTCAATAGGACATTGTATTAATCTGTAATACTATATGTAATTAACAACTACAGTTGCTAACTAATTTTCAATATTTACCCAAGGGTAGGATAAACACGCAACATGCCTTACTTTACCAGCAATATATAGGAACAATAAGAGAAACATAATTGTCAAACATGAGAAATGTACATAAGTTTCTAAACTGAAGCTTGGATGATAACCTGACATTTCCCAATAGAATATTTCTGTTACAGTAAAACCTGTCTTATCTGAACACCACTAAATGAAACGCCACTGGAAATGGTCAAGTGTTTGGAGTAGCATCTTAATATAAGAGTGTTCCCTCATTCGGATACTCATTGCATCTCTCTGTTTTACTATAAACATGACTAAGGAGAAATGACATGTCTTGGTTTCAGATATCTAAACTGACAATTATGTGAATTATATGATCTATTTCAAAAATCGATAAAGGATCATGTTGTCATCAATACCTGCTCCATTAAATAATCTTCCCCTTATTTCTTAGGCTATGTTTGTGTTGCTGATCGTAACCCTAAAAATTGTGTGTCTTAAGACTTGCAGAAACTGATGTCACCTTTTCATGGTTGGAAGAGGGGAACAATTTACAAAAAAATTAGACACTGAGGATCATGTAACGTTAGGTAACAAACAATAAGAGCAAGGACGTCTAGGACGGCAAGATAGACGTCCTTGATAAGAGTTATCAAGCTTTATGGGGTCCTGTCTAGCAAAGAGGACATGAGCCTTAGTTATTGGTCTTTGGTGCTCTTGCTTCAAGGCTATTGTCTCACATCAATACACCATTGATGTTTTGTGGATTGTAGTCTGAGTGGTTTGAGTCTCTGTGCCTGTAGAGGTGAAGTATTTGATGAAAATATCAAATTGCTAATGGCTAAAGAATTGTAAGTTTAGCAAAAGTAAATACTTTTGAATGTAAACTTCCATATTTCACTAGCTAAAAGCTAAATATTGTTTTTCTAATAGAAATTCTCAACTAAAAATATTTTGATTACCACATTTAGATCAACATTAACAATTGCAAGTGAATAAAACTCTCCCTGAGTAGAAGAATATCATTGTGCCTAAAGGGGACACTCTAAATGTGTGATGGAATCTTAGATAGAACAGGAAAACATATGTGAACAATTGATCTTTAATTTTGAACTGCATTCAATATGACCTCTATGCAAACAATAAATTTCTACATATTTTTAAATGTCATATTTTGACAATTGGGGAATGACAACAGCAGTCTGGTTTTACAAGTTGACCTTTGGAGAGGTTAACAATTTGGAGAGGTTAACAATTCTATGATGTATGTTTACCTGTCAATATTCTGGGAAATGTACCATCAGCTCACTCTTCAGGAGGGTCTGTTTTGTGGTTGCCACGGAGATCAATTGTTGTCTGTGGGGAGATCCCTTATCCAGATTGGAAATATTACTTCCTGATATAGAGGTCCTCTTTCAGAAATGAGATTTCAAGTTGATTGTCTGTATCTGGTGTAAACTCCGTAGAAGGTAAATCATCACCCAGCTAAATCTTGATGAAGCAAGATTTATACAGGGCATAGATTCGAGAGAAATAAATAAAATATCATTAATATAAAAAAGATCGCTAGCACTAAAAATTAAATCCAATTATCACTTAACTATGATATATTATCTATATCTCCAGTAATTTTACACTATTTTATGGTTTATAGAACCATTTTCTGCAATGGTTATCCATTTCAAGTGCTTTCATCAATGGTTAATTTTACACATATCTGAGATGCTAGTTCCGTTAAGATAACAGTCATTAATTCAATGTTCTGCGATTGTAGTAATCCAGCAATGTACATCTGTTCAACCTCGGTTAATTAATCTAATAATCTGTAGCTTGCTGTTAATCCAACATTCTACATGTATAATGCTTCTTTTAATCCAATTAACTTATGATCACAAATCTCCTGGGTATAGCTAATCTAATTTGTTGTCTGACTCAAAGACTTTTTATCAAATCAACCAGGAGTTATTATCGAATTATTCCAGTAAGTGTATTGTCTGTCTCCTCATAGCTTGAGCTGGAATCAATGCATTGTCTGGTAAGTCCATAACGTGAAGTGTTGGGTCTTTGTGCTCTGCGATAGTTTCTGAAAATAGATAGAGTATATATGATTAGTAGATTACCTACTTGAAAACATGAAAAAGTGGACAAGTAAGAACATCTTGGAACACCATGGCATTTCCTTTCTTGTCGGTATTTTGAGCTAACATGTAAATATGTCATTTGAATATCAGGATGCTTTAATAAGGTCATACATATAACTAAAAATTATGTTAAAGTAAAACTTTAAAAACGAACAGAATTAGGATATCCTTCAAAATCCTGAATATTTTTCTCTATCCACGTCATCATTTCCTAAAAATATTGAGCACAGCCACTGAGAAACTGATTCCAGTATTGTGCTATGTAATTATATAGAAACTGGCTAAATTTTAACTATTTCCTGTTGATGTGCCTCAGACTGTTAAGAACCATGACAAATTACACAACTTTTACACCAGCAACAAAGTAGTTTTTGAAGTGTAGGTTGAAAAAACATTCTTCCATTCACATTTCACAAGGCGCTGTTCTCTTAGATCAAATACCATTCTCTAGTATTGATGATGTTATGGCGACTAACTAAGTGTTTTCTCATGTTTCAAAGGGTTGGGAAAACTAGGAAACAACATTCTTAGCATTTGCTAATAAGCTTTTAATATAGAAAACAAAACAGACCCTGATACTTACAAGAACAAATGTACTGGTAAACATATCAAAATTGAGAGTTACACATTTGTTTTAATAATGTCTCAAAATCAATGCCTAGTGTAAAGTGGAATATTTGCAGCTCACCTTACAATAGTGCCTTAGAATAGTCAAGTCAGTAAATAAAATGTAAACCTATCTATAAACATGACCCAATTTTACTTTTCTCAGGGACATATAAACTTTGGAGATATATACAGTTTAACCTGTTGAATCATGGGCTTTCAATAGAATTCTATTGAATGCCCATGTAGAATAATGGTTGAATCAAACGCAACTGGAACAGACCAAAAGTGTTCATACTGGCAGGTGACAGACCAAAAGTGTTCATACTGGTAGGTGACAGAACAAAAGTGTTCAGATTGGCAGGTGACAGACCAAAAGTATCCATACTGGCAGGTGACAGACCAAAAGTGTTCATACTGGCAGGTGACAGAACAAAAGTGTTCAGATTGGCAGGTGACAGACCAAAAGTGTTCATACTGGCAGGTGACAGACCAAAAGTGTTCAGATTGGCAGGTGACAGACCAAAAGTATCCATACTGGCAGGTGACAAACCAAAAGTGTTCATACTGGCAGGTGACAGACCAAAAATGTTCATACTGGCAGGTGACAGACCAAAAGTGTTCAGATTGGCAGGTTTTTAATATGGAAGTACATTAATCCATGGTAAATTAAAACCAAAAATTGGACTGAAAAAAAGTTCACATTGAGAGGTGTTCAAATATATACATTTTACTATAGTAGTAATTTCAGTTTGTCTTACTTACTGAACCTCATAACACCGATATTAAAGTTTATTAAATTGTTTTGCCTAATCTAACATTTAACAAAATACATGCGATTGGCTCATATTTTCCTTTCAAATTCAACATCAACATTTGTATCGAAATTGTAATTCTTTTGAATTGTACATAAATACTTTCTTAACAAAAATGCCAAAAGCCAATCAGTGAACAGCAACTTTTGAAATTGAATTCCAAGTCACACTAACATCCAACGTTGCATAAGATTTATTTGAACTTAGGATTATCTGCTTTTACTCTCGCCAAATAAGATTCCACAAATGCACGTTTGGCACGGTTTAACAACAATGCTTCCATGGTTTCATATTTTCAAGTACAACTTGAAGAGATGTTTTAATATTTGCCAGTTTAAAAATTATATTGTTGGTTTGAAAGTCAACAAAACTTGTGAAATAAGGAAATTGTATTGAACCATTTTAAAAATTTAACAACATTTGTTTTGAACCATTTTTCAAATATAAGTAGTATATCAGACTTATATCAATAGAATTCTGGTAGTTAAGGTAGTCTAAGTAAACAATCTAGTAGCCCTGAGTGTAGACGTTAGCTACAAACTATTGTATATGAAGCTCTCTTTTCTAAAGAGAAGTCACACGAATGCCAAGGATTAAGTCTAGTACATAGTCTGAAGACATGTCATTTAAAATGGAAGTTCACATCCAGTTGATTTATTTTTAAACACATTGCATTAGACTAAAAATTAATAAAGACCAAGCTAAGAGTCCTACTGGTATCTTAAAAATCCCCTTCTTGGTCCAACGGTATTTCACTTCTTTCTATATGGACTGAAAGAACAATGAAGCCTGTTGATGAAAGATGTAAAAATCCTTCTATTCTTCGACTTGTCCAGTATTTGTGATAAGGTAACTGACCACCTGACCATCAATCAATCATTGAATACTATAAATAAGAGTATTTATGTACCTACCAACTCAAACAATCTTATCTTGTATAGTAGTAAATATGTAAATGAAAGCCGTTTAAAGATAGTGTATTAAAGATAGTGTAACCGATTCTAGTTTGAATTTTATGCAAGCACAATCAGATAGTCCAGGACTTTATTATTGTACGGTACAATATGTTTTCATTTTACTTTCAGTTAAGCAGTCAGCTGTTACATGTAAAAAAATTAATCAATAGATTGCGTCAAAAAATCAAAATTGCCAGATTATTGTTTTGACATGCCACGATAATTTAAATTGTTATGTTAGTACAATACATAGAATAGAGATAAATAATCTAATTAGAAGATTGGCCCAGGTTAATAAATTGCCTTATATTTGTAGCATTTTGGTGGATGTATGACTATGTGAAACTATGCGTAATTATTCAACAGGAGATAGGAACACTTTAAACTTTTGAATCCCCGGCTCTAAAATCAGTTGAAACCAGAGAATTTTTCATTTTTGCCCCTTTTTGACATTTAACTACATACCCACACAACTTAAGATGCTCAACTTAGTAAAATTAGACGGCAGAGATCATTTCAACAATTCTTGTATAAATTGGATGAAAATTGTTCAAATAAGACCAATTTTAGTGAAAACTATGGTGACAGACGTCACTCTGGGTTTCAAAGTCTTCAGGTAGTCAAGAGGTTAAAGCAATACCGTGCATTTATTACATCTTGCACTATACTATACTTCTTAAAACCCTTTCCAAATATAATCTTCTGCCCTCTTCAAGATTTTGATTGAGCATCTTTAAGAGAACTTCACACCTTTACCTATGTATAGGAATACTACTTCTAAGGTACATATATGGTAATTACTTAATGAATCGGCAATCAGGATTATCTTACTGCAATAATATTTCAGAAGTTGTATTGAAAGAACCAATCAGCTAAGAGTTAACTATTTGACAGACTGTTAACACAAAGCTTCAAAGAGAAAAATTGTTATTTCTCAATACTATCTCATTACTTATTGATCATAACATATTTTCATTCAGTTGAAGTCTACAGAAGGAAATGGTGCAATAATACCTGAGACATGTATTTCTACATATCTGATTCCGTGCATGAACACAAAAAAATTTCAATTTTGAAAATACATGTACTTATATACTCAGCAGGCAGAAATTTTAACAGAAATAAAATTTATTCAAATCATTATTAAATCTGAGTAAATGAATACAAAACACAGACCTGAGAAAAGTCACACGTATACAGGATATAAATACAGTACTGAATATAGCCATATCAGAAACAGAAACTATGTGGTTGCTAAGGTAACCAAGTATATATATCACCCTAACATAATACTTAAGATATCTAAACAAATGATGTTCGGTTGTTCTTATTTTATACAAGGTGTGTGTTTTGATAACACATCCACGTTCAATATATTCATGTATTATAAAGAACTATCAAATGACTGAATACATCAATAGAATAAACATACAATACATTTTTACCGTTCTTGAAATGTTGTACCAATCATAACAATTCTAAACCTTTTCTATCAAAGGTTTGAGCAAACTACTAATTTTCAGGCATATTTTGATAAATAATATGTTTAAATTCTACATCAATTTATATTTATTTTTTATTTTGCTCTGCATAGACTAGAAAATATTATAAAAGATGATTTTACTGAAATTGAGTTCCTTAACCGAGTCATTATTTATCTTTCATCGAACAATGTAAGATGTTGTCATACTAGCAAAAAAAAGTGTTGAAAAAATACATTGAATTTCAATGCATGGATTCTTTTGACACGAACTGGTACTAACTTTTACAAACAATTTCACTAAAACTGAATAAAAGTTCAATGTTTTTTCAAAATTTCAAATAAACTGACATTTTCAATGGTAAATATTTTCAACAGGAAATATCATTGTTCAATTCATAAACTTTAAAATAGTTTTTATCTTGGTAAATATTTTCAAGTAAAGTCAAGAATTAAAATATTAAATATTTGAAACACATTTATGTAGATTTGATGACTGAAATAAATCAGTGCTAAAATGAAATACGAAGGCAATTAAATTTCAAAATGTGAAAGACCACCATGTTGTTAAATGATTTTATGTCACTGTGTTTAATAATTATCCATTCTTGCTATGAACTCAATAACAAAATCTGTGTAAAAAGAATTGTCAATATAACGATAAATTTCATTATACCTAAACATTTTTCCAATAATTCTTTCAGAACAATGAAGCGAATAAAGCAATTGCAAAGTAAGCGTGTATTGTTGACTGGTGGTAGATGATAATAACAGTAATCAAAATAATAACAAATACATTAGGATTTTATTTGGTTTCCGTGATCTCCTCCCCTTGTGAGGAATGTGTGTTGTCTCTGGGAAGAGGGTTCAGATTTCATGATTGATATTTGAACCAAACATTTAATTCATGTTTTTTAGGAATGACCTATGCCATGTAGATATTAGACCTCCATTGAATCAATGGTCTCAGCCTATATTTGCCGCCAGGAGAGACATTGTAGTTTTCATCCATGTGCATTCTCTGACTTATGACCCACCACCATTTTATATTATGATTATTCTTTTAGTAGGCCGCCACTGGTATGATTTCACACGCATACCAATTTAGGCCATGAAAACAACAGCACTCTGGCAAAATAAAGCTGAGACAAGATTCCTCAAGTTTCCAATCTATTTTTTTCAGGTCCGTTGCTAGGGCTATACTAACTAGTTTCAATAGTCAATTTTCTACAAAGTATAGGATCTAGCATTTCTGAAGGATTTGTGTAGCATCTTGAGCCCCCCCCCTCTATTGAATTTTGTCATATACAACAAGAGGCTATGTAATGAGGCTAATGACAATAGAAAACTCAAGTCAATTAGTCATATATTCAATACTATTTTACTATCAGAGGTTAATTCATTATAAAAGTCCAAAACCTGATATTCATCCTTATTCAGGGAAAGTCGTACATGTACCTCTGGCCCGTAGCCAGAGGGGGAGCTGGGGGCCCCCTGGCTAGAAATTCTTTCAAAATCATGCAGTTTTTCACCATTCCGTCTGAGAATTTTTCGCATGAGTTTTAGCCAAAATTGTGAAGGAGCTCCCGCCAATGAAAAAAAGCTCCCCTGGTAAAAGCTGGCTTTGGGCAAGTACCTGATCAGTAACAACATGTTCATCAGTTAGGATGTGATGCTCCATCTGGTAAGAATGCAAAGTTTGGAGTCAAAAGAATGGGAGCAAGGACTCGTATAGATGGCAGTTAACTACTAGGTTGTTGTTCACATCTGGCCCATTGGTTTGTGTGTAAATATTGCTGTTTTAAACTGAATTTTATGCCATCTATTGACAGTCCTGAAGGCCATTGAGCAATATGAAACTTTGACTCCAGTCTGTGCAAGAATGCTTGATTGGGTAAGAAAGGCTGGTAAGGTGTCAAGCCTGATGGTTATCTTTGCACTACCTGAACTTAAAGTTAACTAATAATGCGTAAATCACTGGTTATGAGAAATATGTGGTCTTCAACTTACCAAAACTAGTCATTGGCCGAGCAAGACTCTACCAGTAAATTGAATTTCAAAATCAAATCAATCTGATCTGAATCAAATGAAGAGAACCAAGCCAAAGTTCCAACTGGATGATTTTCAGCACATCATCAACTTTTAAATACAAAATTTGAATCTTTGCATTCAGAAAATATTCATGGAAACAAATACTCACCATTGAGAAATATCATAATATCAGAAACGACGTTAATGTTGATATAAACTCCAGATAGAAACTTTTCATGTTTAGATTTTATAGTCTCGTGCACTTTAAGGAGAGCGAGATTTCTCGAGAAGAGAATGGCTTAGTCATAGAGGGCGCCACTTAAAAATGGAGGAAGTAGACGGATATTTGCGAGTAAAAAGGTAGAACTAAGACGTCTTCCCTTTATTGGATTACACCATTATTGCCTCTAATTCAGAGAAGACATACTCATTTATTTACTGATTAATTTTGAGTCAAATTGTTTCCCTTGTTCAGTAGATTTTTGTAAAAGCAAAATTCCAATGTTTTTAATTTTGTGTTTTTTTATCATTTTTTTCATTGTTTTCATCTGTAGCCTATAGTCTAGACTCTAGATCTGTTCATTAGATTGTGCTATTGTGAAGATTTAAGTCATTTCATTACAATGTTCAATTGAATTGTGTTTAGCTAGTTTGCATTTTAATATTTTTATACTGTGCTCGTGCCTAAAGCTTCGATGCATCGATTGACGTACAACGATTGGCATTACAATCAGATTGACAATTCCATTGATTATTTTGCCCCTGAAAAGTTAAGAAGTTTATATCAGATTCACACAACATTTCTACTTATTACCAGAAAATGAAAGGTCCTTGGATACTCTCGGTTATATTTTGCATTGTAAAACTCCGCCAAACACAACAGTGAAGGTAGCAATACAGTACCGATGTAGATTAAATTTAAAGATCTATTTTTGGAAAATAAGTTTCTCAATTTTGTCGGTGACTGTCACATTACTGATACATTCATGTCATCAAGGGAACTTTCATCTCCCTGAAAAAAATCTGTCGAAGTCTGTAGTAAATCTGTGATCTAGGCCACTAGTCTACTTGGTTTCATCCTAGTCTGTTCGTTGCATGGAAAAGATCCATTGGTGCAACAACCATAACTGCAAAAGGCTATAATAATAATAATTTCTTGGGTCTGTATTTTTAAAGTTAAAGTCGTGCCAGTGCGTAGTAACTGTTTATAATTCTGGCCTTATAATGAATAGCAGAAGTGTAGAACATTTGTTAACATTCTCTCTCTCTTTTTAAAAGCATGAATATAATTTTAAAAGTAGGTCCAGAAGATAATGTGTACCCGAAAGAGAAAATACATAGACATGGTGAATACACTGCCATCTTTTCACTGCCATTCTTTCAATCACCCAAAACCCATATGGTTCTGACCAAAGGTTATCTACCTAATTGAATGAAACCAGATTTACACTGCCAGAAACATGTTTTTTGAAATATTGCTTTACGGGACATCTATAGGTCTCAGGCATTAACATTATATTATGTTTTATGACTATAATGTAGAGAGTTGTCACTATGTTTACACACAGATGTGTAATAATAAATACATGTAGTTTTGTTTGTTTAGAGTGCTGCAGTTGTGTACTTCAGCATCTAAGTATCAATCCTACATTTTAGATTTGATGACCTGGTGAATGTGCAGACATACCTGAATGCGATTGAGAGGACAAACAGTTACAATGCACGATTACAACAGGAGCGCAAGATGAGGATGCCATTCTTAGATTCTCAAACTGGGGTTGCTCAAAATAGCACTAATTTAAGGATGCAGTATCACCAAAGGGCACCTGGTAAGAAAAGTATTACTTAAAGGATGGTATCATTTTATTGAAAAAAAATTTTTCATGAAATCATGTTCTTATATGCCAAGTAGTTTCTATAGTCTAAAGTTATCAATGTTATGAAAAATATAGTTTTACTTCTTTGACAGGATTAAGAAATAGTTTAGTAAGCACTTTTATGCTATGACTAATCCTTTTTAATCCTAATTACTTTTTACTGTACATATATTTCAAATATTCAATAACCATATTTATTCTTTAAACTGATAAATCTCTCAATGTCCTAAAATTTATGTAATGCGTCATGTTATTTATTCTTCCCCAGGAACTAGACCAGGTCAACTGTACAGTTATCCTGCAAAGAGATGGAAGAAGAAAAAGAGAGCTTTTGAACCTTCAGTGATGGAGAAAATAATGAAAGCTGGTGATATTGAAATGGCTGATGCAGGTATGAATATTCAGTTCTATGCACAGCTCTGGACATTTCATGTCACCACTCAGGAAAGCTTCTTTCTGTGTGAAAAGATGGATGTATTTCTTAGGACTGAGCATTTGACTGGGACAGGTTTTTTTTTGTCACAACTGATTTAATTTACAAATGTTACTAATTTAAAGTACAAATAGACTTATGCAATAACATAATAAATTGTAATCAGTTTACACTCCCATAAAAATTGGAAAAAACATTAAATGTTAGTAAGATGAAATTCAGAATTGGCCATGACCTTATTCTCGAAACAATTCACACAATTCACAATTCATAATTTTATAGGCCAGTTTTTGTGATTGTCCAGATGGAACAATGCAAATAGAAAAAATTACATGTAGGTTCAATGTGAAAGTTTACCTGATTTTGACATTAGAATGTTTCAGGTGAGAAATGGAACTATCATGCTTTTTTAGATGAAAAATCATGTGGTGACATTTTGCATGCCAATGCCTTGACAACACCATACTAGTACTTCAATTTGCAGATATGCATCAAATCAGTGCAATAGAGAATCCAGCAGCTCTAAGACACGAAGAATCTCAACCTGAAGAACTAGTAGAGAATGCTAAGATTCAATGGTACGATGAGTTTGAGAACATCAGTGAGCCACCAGATGCTGGCGAGATTGATGAGAAAGGTTCAGACAGCAGCGACTATGAAGAGCTATATGCAAAGAAAAAGAAGAAAAGGGTATGAACTTTAACTTATGTGGTTATTCCAATACAGTCTGAAACAACAGCATAGACAATCAGCTTCGTCAAAATATAACACCACACAACAGAAGGAATGTCCCCTATTTCAAGCATTTTTAAATCTTTTCACCCACATCCGAATTAAATGTTTGAAAAAATACACAAAAAATGAAATCCTATTCGTGCAGCATTATGCAACCAAAATTCTAAAAACAATATATGACCAAGATATATATTACAGGGTGGGAGACCTCGTGGCAGTAAGACTAAAGCAAAGGTGGATAAGGATCTGTACTATGAAGTTGACGAGAAAGAAAAGCCATATGGATGCGACAGTGAGTCTATTAACAACATTGTCTTAATAATCAAAATTCATTTTTATATTCACTGAAATATTTAACCTTAACAAAACTTGATTATTTATATTTTGTTTTTATGATGTATGAATATTATATGTATTAAGATTGACATTTTCTTATGATGAGATGAAATATATGTACATGTACATTATAAGTGTATTCTTTATAACAACAGGCACAGGCCCCAGTGTATTGAAGCCCTCCACTACCCCATTATAATAATTTTTAGGTTTTGTTTTTTGTTATTTTGCAGTGCAAGCTACTTGCATGATTTGAAGTCCTCACTACCCTTAGGGATTGGGTCAAATATCAATGTTTTTTTTGTATGACTAAGAACAACAGAATCGCTTTTCATAAAAAGAAATGAACATTGAGTGGGTGATGTTTTAACTCGAGTGTACAATAATGTTCAGGAAATTAGGGAAACAGGGCTCTGGGGATCTGTTATATTAGATCTGAAAAAATATTGATATGTTGACCTATCCCCTAATATTTTTTACCTGTTTTTATAACCATTTCACACAATTTTTCCTTAATACTTAGTAAAGCCCTTTGCGCTAATAGACAGTATGTTAATTTTATTTATTTTCACATTTTCTAAATGTTCTATTAGTTAAGGTCTGTATTGAATATTTAGAAAGTACAAATGCAATTTTTAATCTGCAATTTCAGATTTAAAAGTTGAATTTAATAATAATGTTTAATCGATGAATAAGTTATTTAGTGATAATTTTTGCATGTACATTATTGCGTGTTTCATATTTTCAGCATAGATCCATGGAATATTTTATAAACTCTTAATTTTGAAACTGACCGCACTTTCTGATTATCCCATCAAACGTAGTTTGGGGGGATATATAGAATGAATCCTTCCATATGTCCATCCGTATGTGCATCTGTCAAACCGTACATCTGGGCAATAACTCAAATACTGGTCCAATATTGTTTACATTTTATATGTATTTTAATAACAAAAAACAGTGGACTTTTTGGTTGTTATTTTATGTTTTCCTATAACTTGAAACATAGTGGTGCGATTTTGTTTAAGTTTTATAAATGAATACTAAGAATCAGATTCAGTGTAAAATGACACTTTGGCTAATGGGCGGCCATTTCCAAAAATGGCAGCCATGGCTGTTGGATGGGATTTGCTATGCCTTGGCGTTGCTGTTGATTCACATCTAATTTAAACAAAACCTTTTTTTGTCAAAAATCTTTTTTCTCATCATAGACCCCCAATATAGTATGAAGTGTAGAATTTTCTGTATATAATGATTGTGCCTCTAGTTCTGCTATTGAAATATGACAATGTCAAAGCAGAGAGAACTTACAAAGCTAGAGTGTGTTGTGGTTCACCCGTAACAAAACGTCATTGTGGTCATGTTTCGCCTTAGCTTTTGAATGAACTGCCTGAATCTCTGGCAATTCGATACAGTTTAGAGTATCAACTATGGGACTGCCATTGAATTTCAACCTATGGGGTTATTTTATCCGAGGGTATTTTGTCTATGGGGCTATTTCAACCTTGGCTTCAACCAGCTCGCAAGATCTTATCCCAAGATGGCGACACTTTGGAAATTTGAATTATCAACCATAAAAAATACTCCCGTGGACAAATTAGCCCCATGGTAAAGTGATCTCCTTAGTCGAAATACGATGAAAGACTCATCCATGCATGTTTACATATCTTCTTTAATGAATAGACGTTTCCGATAAATCGTGCCCTCTTTTGATCCATCAGAGAAACTATAACTTATTGGCTAGATTGATGATGGCATTGGTTGTAGGTAGCAAACTGCCCATTCAAAAATGGTATTAACTTTTTGCTAATTTTATAAAGTACAACCTATGACATCATCAATCTAGCCAATATATTGTGGTTTCTCTGATGGATCAAAAGATTGCACGATTTATCGGAAACTTCTATTGTTTTTTTGAAATGATAAGAATCTTCTTTACTTTATTTTGTATTTTAAAACGTGACCACTATGGCAGTTTTCTCTGTGTTAAGTGTTCTGTTCACTAACCAGTTAGGAATGGTAACCAGTCGTCAACAGTTGTGGAGAAATGAAGTTAATTTTCTTAGGGGATGAGGTTAATGAATAGTTGTGAAAACATTTTATGTCACCACACCAAGTTGTGACATATTGTTATACTGGTAATCTCCAACTTTTTTGTGGATGACGTTTTTTGTTTGTGTTCAGCAGTTAGTGTTCGACATTCAGCTCTTTATGATCTGCAGTTGACATTTGGCATCTGTAACAAATGGCAGGTGGTGACATTTTGCATGTTAATGCCTTGCGTAATTTTGTTAAATGAGTGAAGGGGTTAAACCATGATGAAGTCAACTCTGTTTCTCCACAACTGCTAACATTTGGAGACCATATCTGAGTGTGATTGTTTGCAGTTTGTGGGGCCCGCTACAAGACCAAACCTGGCCTGACATACCATCTGACACATGCCCACACAGACAACATGGAGGAGGATGAAGACCTCTATCTCCCCTCTCCTAAACCAACGCCATCTTCCTTTGATAATGGTAGTCAAGATTTTAGTTCTTTTAACCCTTGCAATGAATGTCCATGCTGACGATGTGTGATTATTCAAAATATGAAAAATCTAGCATCAATCTCCCGGTACAAATCGTGGTATTTATTTTTGATCCCATTTCTTCATGAGCTTACTGGTTTATGGATTGGAATGATTTGAAAATTAAATAATAAAAAAGCCAACCAACTGAACTTCAATGCAAGGGTAGTTTTCAAGTCTTCACATTGAGGTCTTAAATGTTTCATTGTCTATATAAGGTGACACAATTTGACAGTAAAATTGATATCCAAGTTTACTCCAATGCCCAACATTGAGAATCAATTCTTAACATGCATTTCTTGCCTTACACAAACCCAAGAATATAAAACTCCTTGGTCCTTGTTTTTCTTAATTTGACAGCATATTTTGACTATCCAATGTGCAGACTTGTTTTGGTAGCATCAACACATTTCAGTATGAGTTCAGAAAATAAAACATATTTGCTTTTATAAATGGTAAATGTACAAAATTAAAAAATATATTGAATATTGGTGTTGGTTCTGTGTGGAAAGTGTAATGAAGCAATGTTTTGTCTTGTGTTATCACGGTTGATGTACATTAAAACTTTCAACAAGCATTCCTTGAATGCTATTTTCTCGATTTTACAATTTGTGATGATTCGTTGTAAATTATAATATTTCCATAGTAACATCAACAAACACATTCAGAAGAGCATCAGTCAACATGAATACAAATAAATGACATGTCCATGAAATAGTTTAGTATTTATTGTTGCAAGCTATTTTCAATGACCAATGACTCATTGGTGACAAATCCTCCATGTTATCCAACCTGAAATTCAGAAATCGTGATTCATACGATTTTTGAGAACCAGCCGTCGTGTTGAAATGGAGTGACCGTTGAGTCATTTTCATTAGTGTTTTACTGTACAGTTGACCTAATGCCAAGAAAATCATTGTTACATTATACTTACAAAGAGGATAATATGATTCAGTTATAGAATAAATAGTATTAGATAACCCATTAACAATATGCATGCATAAAATATAGATAGATAATTACTTATTTCTTTTTTTCATTTCTGTTCTTTGCTTTTTTTATTACTAGATTTTTTTGTCTTTCTTTATTGCTTTCCATCCACTTTTGAATCTAATATAAATGCCTACCATGTACATGTACACTTCTACACCAATCATTCCATCATAATCATTAACCCCCTATATTCCAGGGTATTTTAGGATTAACCCCTTAAAGCCTGGGAATTCTTCACTGCGGTGTAGTTGCTTAATGTCTGCATGCATTTTCAGCTTAGAACTTAGCTTATGTAATAATCCAGCACACTCGTGGAGCAGCCCTGAAATGTACATGAAATTACAGTATTAAAACATGTAAATTATTCATCAACACAATCTTCATGGATCGAATTTTCTGTATAAATTAGATTGTTTGTATAAGATAATTGCATATTTCTCTCATAATTGAGAATTTGATTATAAAACCATAGCCTTGGGAATAGATATAACTGGTATTATGGGCTTATGGTAAAGCACCTAACACATTAAGGGATTTTCAGAGTAGTGATGCTTAGCTTGCTTTGATAGAGGGGTTAGTTTGGCCTAACTCTTGCATTTAATATATTCACCTTATCATGTGGACCAGGGACCAGAAAATACTGCAAATTGTATTTTTGAAATTTATTTGTCTTTCAAATGGAAATATTTTGAGAGGCAAGTGAATTCTATGAATCGCAAATCACGAAGTTTACTAGAAATGGTTTCTTGTAGGCTTTACTACTTGAGCAATCTTTGATACCATCATCTCTTGTAATTGTGTTCATCATATGCTCTTGACCTCATATTGCTAGATTTTATGATGATTTTTAATGTATTTGATTTTGTATCATTACTCCATAAAGGCTGGCACAGAATGGATTTTGAGTGGAATGGATTTGTGATTCCTGAGTAAAATAAATCATCAAATAATATGCATATTTGTATATAGTGATATCAACAATTCACAATTCTTAGGCTGCAAGCTATTTTTGAATAAAATTAAGGCTGAAAAGATGCTGAGATCTAAAATACTCAATGATTTCACTTTCAAACATGCATATGATAAACACGAGGGTTTACAAAGTGAATATATATTCAGAAGGTTATGTGCCAGTCTTGCATCCTATGAAATTATTGATCAAATCCAGGGACAATGTTGTCACTATGGGGGAGAAGCCTGCGAAAACAAAAATGCTTAATGTGAACTGGAAAATTCATGGAATTTTTGGATTGCCTCAAAAATAACAGGGAATTTTGAGGAAAGACATGGGCTTGTTTAACTGTAAATAGTAGGATATTAAACCACCTTAAAAAATACAGCGTAGAAAATGAATGAAAAATATTCAATTTATACCATGTTATAAACAAAACAAAATACATTTAACTGACTATTCATTCAGCATGAATTAAATAGGGAACATAACAATGAACACTTGATTTTCACTCATATTTTGATTCATATTTTCTGTTTGACAATAGAAAAAAGAAATTGTTCAGTCAGTTATTTTTTGAATCAGGGGAAAATCAAGGAATTAAGATTGGAAAATGTGGCAACCCTGAAATATGGGCAATGAACTACTCATGCTGAGTATACATGAACTATGATAAAGGATTTTCATTTCATTATTCATTCAGATACACTATCTTGCCCATTGCCTCGGGAAAATCTAGATGGTTCATGTCTACATGTAAATATGTAAATCGATTCATCCAATCAGATCTCTGTATTCCAAAACAAATATATTTTCTGAGACAAATTTACAATTTCAGACTGATACTAGATTTTCCCAGTGGTTTGCCTTTATTGACATTTTTGCTTATTTCCCCTTTGCTGCAGTACTGTACTATTAAAGTTTGTTTGGCTCAAATTATTTTTTGTTTTCATATTTTTCTTTCTTGGGGTTCAAAATCACCATCAATTTACATCTCAACAACACAACATATTGAATTTTATTTCATTTCAGCGCCAGAGAAGGAGAAACCCACAGAGAAATATTGTGATTTCTGTCTTGGGAATGAAATGAAGAATGAGAAGACTGGTGGTCCTGAGGAATTGGTCTCGTGTGGAGATTGCGGTAGATCAGGTAATCTTAAAATTAATAGTACTAGAGAACTGTATCAACTTCAGGCTTGGTCTCAAAAATACATGTAATGTGTATTAGATGTATGCAAAAAAAGGTTCTTTAATTTACAAAAAAAACATTTTTGGACTCTGCTCATGAATCAGTTTTTGTTTGATGCTATTTTCTGTTTGAATGTTTGCTATGTGGGGTATGCTGTCCCCCAGTTATGAATCTAGTATCCTATGCTTTGCATGTGTACAATTTATGAATGACCTTAGAGATGTGTCATTCATATGACATTGTCCAGTCCTGACAATGTACTTATGTCCTTGGTTTTGTTTGTCTGTTTGTAGTAAACATATGGCAGTATGGGCAGGCACATAGTTATAATTAAATTTTGTTTGTAGATTTTGATATTTAGGTACATGATCTAATCTATTATGATTAGTAACGGGTATGATTACAGGATACCGTATAGGTGTAATTACATGTACAGGTACATTCAAGGGTTCATTATCCCACCGAACGAAGTTCGAGGGGGATATAGGAAAACTGTACGTCCATTTGTCCGTCTGTTCATCCATCCGTTTGTCCGGGTGATAACTCAAATACCAGTTGAGAGATTTGATTCAAATTTTATAAGCTTATGTCTTATTGGTGTAGAACCTCTGCTCGAGAAGGAATTTTCAATATGCCCGCTTAATTAAAAATGGCCACCATTTTTCGTAAAAATATAATCTGTTAACTCAAATACTAGTTGACGGAGTTGGTTCAGGTTCTATATGCTGATGCCTAGGGACAAATGAGCTACACTGAAGAAGAGATTTTCAAAATGGCTGCTAAATATCAAAATGGTGGCCATTTTTCCTTAAAAAAATGTAATCATTGATAACTCAAATACCAGTAAACGGATTTGGTTCGAGTTTTATATGCTGATGCCTAGGGACAAAGGAGCTAGGCAGAAGAAGAGATTCTCAAAATGGCTGCTAAATATCAAAATAGTGGCCATTTTTGTAAGATTTGGCAGCTGAATTTTAAAATTGCCACCATTTTTCGTAAAAAATGTCATCTTTGATAAAAATAGTAGTGAATGGATTTTGTTCAAATTTTATATGCTGATGCCTAGAGACACAGTATCTCTGTTTGAAAAAGATTTTCAAAATGGTGGCTGAATTCAAAATGGCTGCCATTTTGTGTAAAAAGGGAATGTTATGTTACATTTTATATGTTGATGCCTAGGGACAAACAAGCTCTGCTCAAGAAGGAATTTTCAAGACGGCCACTAATAATCAAAATATGTTTTTTTCGGTGGAATTTTCTACTCTGTGGAGTGTTTTTTTCTAGTTTGCATGTGTACATATATGTAAATATTGTATGTGTACATCTGAAGTACAAATAAATACAATTACAGTAAGTAAAGGTACACTGGCAGGTGTCAATGCAGATTGATATAGAGGTCCATATACAGATATACATATTAATTTTGAAGCATCAAAGCAGTATTTTCTGCTAAGCCACTGTTTAGCCTATAATAAGGCGATCGGTGATATCAGATGAAACAATTAAATGTAAAATACCCATTACCCAATATGACTGTATTATATTCCCCAGTTTTGTAAATCACGACCTCTTAACAGTACATTTCAACCCCACAAAAGTCAAATATTGTTTGTGTTGTAAACATATTTTGTGTTCCATAGGTCACCCCACATGTCTCCAGTTCACCGCCAATATGATAGTATCTGTGAAGAAGTACCCCTGGCAATGCATCGAGTGCAAGTCATGTGGACTTTGTGGTACATCAGATAATGATGTAAGTATAAGCAGGGATGGTCAACATGCATCGACAATTGTGGAATAACAAGGTTGATTTATTTTGGATGACATATGTTTGTTTGCTGTTGCTTGGTGATGCCTTGTGATGTCACAGTATTGACTATTACTTTTATATACTTCCTGATCAATATGTTAAAATGTGGTACATTCCAGAGTCGTTATACTCGTATTTTTATATTTTTGCATTTGCATGATGGAAAAACTCCATGCCCCTTTAATTGCATATTTTCTATGTAAATATTGATTGAATTGCACATTTGAAACAGACACCTGTTAGTCTATGTCACTGGCTCAATATGTTATTCCAGGACCAACTGTTGTTCTGCGACGACTGCGACAGAGGCTACCATATGTATTGCCTGAAGCCCCCTCTTTCTGAGCCCCCAGAGGGTATGTATTTTATAAACATCGTCAACCTCATTTGGACGACTGATGCATATTCATTACAACTGTTTACTTACATGTAGTTTAATAAGGGCATTATGAGGAGTAATATCATTTATTGGGGTTTGCAAATGTTTGTATTCTTAAGATGTTGCCCCTTGTGATTTCAGATTTAGACAGGAACAAACATATATCATACATGCTATATTAATATTTACTTCTCATAAAATAATATAATGCACATATGGATGATATAATGGGAGGTTTTAATCCTGTTTTTCTCAATGGGAATAAATGCAGTATAACTCTTGTTACTCAAGTATACTGACTAGAACTGTCTTACCGTACATGTATCTGATGAAGGTTTGTTGAAATTATACATTTCTCGTATATAACCTATCATTCATACTGTTTTCAGGAAGTTGGAGCTGTCATCTCTGTATTGAAGAATTCCATGGTGGAAAGAAGCCCAATGGACAGTGAACACTTGTTACTAGTATATGAGGGAATAGTTCTAGACTCTAACTTGGATTCATTTAATGCTGCCACGTTACATGGATCACTCGCTGTATACCATGTACACAATAATTTGTACACACAAAAGTAGATTCCATGTACACAATAATTTGTACAGACAAAAGTAGATTGAAACTATGAGTCCCAAGGCTTGTTGCTACAACTAAGGAGGGGTGGCAATTGTCAGAATTAAGCCTACCCTCAAAAGAATATGGATGGCAAAACATGTTTTCACATTCATCAGACAAATACATGTACATATAATGCCTGGATGCAACTGTATTTTCAAGCATATCAAGTATAATTTATTAGATTATATGTTGTATAAATATAACTTTTGTTGATTAATATGAATTCTATAAGATATGGGTATATAAAGTAGATTGGAGCCATGATTAGCAATCAACATTTTCAGTTTCATTAAAAGTACCATAAATAGGGAGATAAGAAAGCTTTTGTGCCTAGCCCCAAGGGGTGTATTCGACGATATTACCCCTGCTCTGAGGTCTATATTACGATTCGAACATGAAAACTCACCAAATTGTTTCGAAAATTCATCATGGTCCGCCATTACTACGACCAACCGTTATGATGTCACACATTACACGTATAACTGGGTTATTGATCTCGAATATAACCCAGCTGAAGCATTGACTTTGTTTACAATTTATAGAAGGCGTGAATACAGTCATGTTCGTACAAAAGTAATGGGACTGTAATGGAAAGCATTTCACCTTTCTACTTTCAGAGTTATTCTACTTTACAGTTTTTACTGTTAAATATGTTATTTTAAGTACTAGATTAGTATACCTTATTCCTCCAAATCAATGGCCAATGTTGGTACTAATGTCTAACTGTATGTAATGAAAAAAATGTTAATTCCTCAAAAGATAATCAAACTTAGAAAAGATGTCTCATATTTAATGCTACTACAAAATGCTACTATTCAACACTACAATATTTCCATTCATTTGAAATCAGGGAAATTCCCCATTCTAATCTAGAACTGTCACAAAGTCACCTTCAAAGAAAAATTAAGAACTTAATTTGTACTTTAGATAGTGTTACTCTCACATTAATCACCCTTTGATTGTTTTATACACTGAGCAGAATTTATTATTCATCCTCATGGTCGAAAAGCTTTAATATTGCATAAATATTGATAACTAGACTAGACTGTCATGATTCTTTTAGTGTACTTGGTAATACTATATATAAAATATAATTTAATCATAATTTCTTTGGCTTCTATATCACATATACATTCTATATGTCTAATATTTTGGCACCTGCCGAGGTAAATATGCTCTAGAATGGTTTCCTATTGGAACATCCAAGATTAACAGGTCATATTTTGTTCTGTGCGATGGCCCCTTTGCTTGTGGTTGGGAAGGGGGAGAGATGTACACACCAGATGGACCATATCCATGGGCAAAGGGAGCAATAGGGATCAAGCATCACTCCTCCTTTAATGTAATTATTAAGGTAGAGTTATTTTAAGAGTCACCACATTTTTCGTGTGCTGTCAACAGATTTGAAATGACAAGTTATTAGATATCTATCATCTTAGATCCTAGAAATAGTTATTCATGTGTGGGGTTGTGGTGCATTACATCATTAGTATCGATTTAGGCTTATGCGACACTAATAAATAAGATAGGCTAATCTAAAATATAAAACTAAATAAACAATGTCATGACACGTCATAAACATCAATTTCTATTTTTGTTATCATCTCATTAATAAAATACTCATCATTTATTTATACATCAGCATGTCTGAAAGCAAAATTCTATTCCATGAATCATATTTAATCAAACAAAGGGTGTAAATGGCTCAACGTTTAACATCAGTATCATACAAATTATTCTCAATGTTTGTTTGTTGCTAAATGAACAGAACATTGGATTAAGTTATATATTAGGTAAAGTCATCCAAGCCACACATTCTTCAATATGATGTCCCCTTTATTTTTTACATACCATAACTGGCATGTAACTATGCGTTACATGAGGTCAAAAAATTACAATTCAGAATGAGGCAAGGTACATTTTCAGACTTTATTACTGTCCGAAAATAAGTTTTGCATCACAGACCATCCATGATATATCTAATTAAAAGTGGTGACATATTGTTATGGTCTCCATTTTTTGTGGTGGCGATCGGTGGTTGGCAATCAGCGAGTAATTTCAAATCTGACTTTATATATAAGATTTGACCTTCAGTGACCTTTTCAAGGTCAAAAAAGGTAAAAAAAAGTCAAAAAGGTATTTTTCAACTTGCTTTAAAATGAGCAAATTTTTTTCAAAATTACCTACAATTTATCAGAAGTTCAAATCTGACTTTAGATTTGAGATTTGACCTTAATTGACCTTCTCAAGTCAAAAAAAGTATTTTTTTAACTTGCTGCAGATTGACATTTTTTTTCAAAATCATCTAAAAGTTTTCAAAAGTTCAAATCTGACTATATATTTGACCTTCAATGACATTCTCAAGGTCAAAAAAGCTTTGACCTTCAAAGACCTTCTCAAGGTCAAAAAAGTAATTTTTCAACTTGCTTCAAATTGACCAATTTTTTCAAAATCATCTACAAGTTCTCAGAACTTCAAATCTGACTATGATAAAAACGTTTGTTCAGAACCATCGACCTCTTTAATAATATTTTGTTTCTTCTAGAATTGAAAATATGAATCCTTAACTAAAAGAGATTTTTTGAATAAAGAGAATCTTTCAGTTCAAAGATGGTAATGTTCTGTATATTATAGTTCATGGTTGAGTGCTCATGACGTCAAGACATTTTATCATCTTTTCAGCTCCTTTTTTATATTATACATTATCTTCACGCCAATTCGAAGACATTCATTGAGCTAAATTAACCGATGTCTAAGTATGCATAAATACTCACTTGCGACCACAAAATTACACAGATTACGTGATTTGCAAACTTATACCATTTAATAAAGGCATGCCTCATTGGACATGATCATAAATAAAAATCTCAGACACCTTCATAAAAATCTACATCAACACAGACTCTGGTTATTATAGCCACGGTGCTCTTAACTCGAAGTGTCTATCTCAAATCTAATCCTCTGCTAATAAAGAGCTGTTTATTTTCTAAATTTATCTCAAATGTACGACATTCTGTAATATGATGTCACGAGGAAGAATGGAGTTTAGATAAGATATAAATTTATTGTTCCCTTAGAGGTTTAGACTGATTTAATAAAGTGATGTAAGAGGCATAAAAATGATATATGAATGAATGGATTGTAGGTTATTGTAGAGCATTGTAACATTTTCAATCTCAAAATGTGATTCAATGAGACCTGATAGGGGCAATCAAGACTATTGGAACACCATTGAGATAAATAATGTTATTTTACTCTGTGTGCTGCATCATGTATTGCCAGTTACGATTCATTTCTAAATGTAATTTTACATGTAGATTTCAAATATGACATCAGTTTGACTAAATTGACTAAATTTTTAATGACGTAAATCAAGATTATTTCTACTCGCATCTGGGATATTGAAAACGGTATGTAGATGTGGTGAATATGTCTAAATCTGAGTAATCAAATAATTAATTTTCAGAGAAATCCAGGATGGCTGCCAAAATGGGTGCCAAAACGAATTTGGAAATATTGATTTAAGCTCAAAGAACAGTGAATTTGTAGCCCATGTCTACATTTTAAGGGTAAAGGATTTCATTTATGTCTAAGCTTTGAGTCCTCAAATAATAACTTTTCATAGAAATTCAAAATGAGTGCCAAAACGAATATGTAACTTCTGATTTAAGCTAAAAAAACACTTAAGAAACAGTGATTTTGGAGCCCATGTGTACATTTTAGGGGTCAAGGATTTCATTTATGTCTAAATCTTTGAGTCATTAAATAATAACTTTTCATAGAAATCCAAGATGGCCACCAAAATGGGTGCCAATGAGGGTCAATGATTTCATTCATGGTTAAACCGAAGACATCAAATAATATCTTTTTAAAGAAATCCAAGATGGCCACTAAAATGGGTGCCGAAATGAATATGTAAATATTGATTTAAGCTCAAATATAACAGTCGAGAAGAGTGATTTTGAAGACCATGTCTACGTCTTAGGGGTCAAGGATTTCATTTACGTCTAAATCCAAGTCATCAAGCAATTACTTCATTTAGAAATCAAAGATGGCCACAAAAATGGGTGCCAAAATAAATATGTAACTATTGAATGAAGCTCAAAGAACAACTAAGAACAGTGATTTTGTAGGCCATGTATATTTTGAATGTAAGGGCCAAAGATTCCATTTATGTCTAAATCTAAGTTATCAAACAATTACTTTGTATAGAAATCCAAGATGGCCACCAAAATGGGTGCCAAACATTATATATAAATATTGATTCAAGCTCAGAACAGTTCAGAACAGAAATTTTGGAGACCATGTCCAGGTTAAATGGGGTAAGAATTTCAATTATGTGTATAACTAGGTCATCAAATAATTCCTTCATTTAGACATCAAGAAGGCTGCCAAAATAGCAGCAAAAGTGAATATATAACTTTTGATCAAAACTAGAGCAGTAGGACATTATTTTTGGATATCATTTCTAATTTGTGAGGTCAATGATTTTAATTTGTCAACCATATCATTGAATAATTTATTTATATGGATGTCCAAGATGGCTGCCATAATGACTGCCAAATAAAAAATTAATGTAGCCTAACTATTGATCACCAAGAACCATAATTTTTGAAAGAATTGTATTCTCATCTCCTTTTGATTGCATAGTCTCTTAGTTTTTGGTCTGCTTTCATTTGAACTTCCTTTTTAAGTTTTTCACATGTGTGAGACTTCTTCCGATGCCTAGCCTTGCTGCATATATATATGCATATTAGTCATACACTGTTGATTCTGATGATTAATTTCTAGATGATCTTTTTGTGCATAGGCACTGGTACTAGCCCCCTCGGTTATGCTTTCATCTGGTTTTTTCCAAGTCTCCATGCAGATCCTTTTCATGGCTTCCACACTTTCTATGATAGATAATTCTTGGAAGTTAAATGTTTTTCAGCTCTTTAGCAATATCAAGAATAGGATCATGGCTTTACACTTTGGCTGTTTCAATTAAAGTACTGTTCTTTGAACTTAAATCAAAAGTTACGTATTCATTTTGGTACCCATTTTGGTGGCCATCTTGGATTTCTATATGAATAAATTGTTTGATGACTAAGATTTATAACATAAATGGAATCCTTGACCCCTAAAACCTAGACATGGTCTACAAAATGACTGTTGTTAAATGTTCTTTGAGCTTAAATCAAGAACACATATTCATTTGGCACCCATTTGTAGTGCCATCATGGATTTCTATAAAAAGTGATTATTTGATGACTCAGATTTCGACATAAATGAAATCCTTGGCCCATAAAACGTAGGCATGGGCTTCAAATTCACTGTTCTTTAGTTTTTTAGCTTAAATCAATACTAATATATTCATTTTGGTGGCCATCTTGGATTTCTATTAAAAAGTAATTGTTTGATGACTCCGATTTAGACATAAATGAAATACTTGGCCCATAAAACGTAGGCATGGGCTCCAAATTCATTGTTCCTAAGTTTTTTTAGCTTAAATTGATACTAACATACTCATTTTGGTGGCCATCTTGGATTTCTATTAAAAAGTAAGATTTACTCAGATTCTGACTCAGATTTAGACATACATGAAATCATTGACTCCTAATGTGTAGCCATGGGCTCTAAAATCACTGTTCTTAATTACATATTAGTTTTGGCACCCATTTTGGCGGCCATCTTGGATTTCTCTAAAAAGTAATTGTTTGATGACTTAGATGTAGACATAAATGAAATCCTTGACTCCTAAAACCCAAACATAGATCCTAAAATCACAGTTTTTGCATCTCAGTTTGATTAGATATACCCACTCTTATATTATAACATGTGCACCGGCGGCCATTTTGAAAAATGGGTGATAACACCCATTTAGCTACAACTGTTGCAATGCTATCACATATTTTCTTACTCTAGGGGTCTACACCTTCACAAAAATCACTATGGTGATTATTCTCCTGATTTGATACCGACCAACTCCCCTAGGCTAATGGCCTTATTCACTAAAAAGTCAGAAAGAACTGTGCATTAATGAGTAGGTACGGACATCTGATGATCGGCATAGTGTGTTAAAAGACGGATATTGAAACCGGTATAGTAGTTATTATTGCCATGGTGACATAATTCAGATGACATGATTTAGGTTATTAGCAAGATAGCTACGATAACGTAGTACAGTATTCCTTCGGGGACATTACAATACTCACTGAGAAATACTAAGTTTATCACAAAAGACCTGTGCAACCATATTAGGTTATCCTTAAACAGTCACTCATAACATTATAACAAGTCGTGAAGAAAACAAACCCCAATATCCCTAGTTGTACATTATATCGACATCTTAAACATTCTTTCAGAGAGACACATTATGGTTTGCACTATTGTAAATTCAGGTCCGTAGCCAGAGGGGGAGCTGGGGGAGCGGAAGCCCCCCCCCCCTCCCCGGCAAGAATTTATATTTCTGATAAAAATTGAAACATTGAGGGATATTGTGACCAATAGGAAAGACTAAATGGTCTGGTTCGAAATCGAGAATAATTTAACTGCTATCGAAAATGGTATAACGTAGCAAGAACCTCGGTTCTCTTCTTTATTTTGACATATTTGCAATAACAACATCAACAGGTCAAGAATAACAAATAAAAATTCCAAAGTCCGCCATCTTGAAAATAATTTTATGAATGATGTACGGAAACTACGACAAGTGTAACGGTTATTCCACTGCGAATCACCTTATTAGATTCATGGATTAAAAACGCTGGTGTCAGTTGACCAGCAGTTACATTCCCAGACTTGTTTAAAATATCACTTTGGAAATATTTATTCCACTGTTCTTCATTAAAATGTGAATGAAGTCTTTGATATCCTTACATTTCTTAACACAATTGCATTTGTTCTACACACCTATTAGTTTTTTTCTGACGGATTACATCATTTGCCACTTTATTCTGTGTTTAAAACAAGATCCTTATGGTTTTCGGTTGAGCAGGCACGAAAGACGCTGGGAACCTGCTCGGTGGATTTATTTACCTTCGGCACATTACGGAATCCGTTATGTCAGATTTGGATTAACGGGGATAACAGATAACAAAAACACCTTAATAGGATATTTTCAGTTTGTCATGCAGAAACATTGATTTAATCCTTTCATCCGATTGATACATTTAAATAGAAACAAGGTGACGCAGATACCGGTGCATCTTTGGATTAAACTTATTCGAGTAATGCACTGCTCAAAACAACACTAGATTATCTGGTTTATTTCTAAAGAACCGGTGAATAAATCCTTACGGCATGAGTAAGCACGAGCGTCTTATTTCTAGCTGATAGCTATTTATATTAAAATAGAACAATAAATAATTTCACTCTGCGCTTCTGGGATTTTGAAAGACGCATCGGCGGATTGGTATCAGCCTTAAACACGCAAACAAAATCATACCATGAGATTTTGAAGACTATTCAAACTTGTATTTAGACAAAAAGGTTCGTATGTAAACTTTTAATTTTACATATTAATTTTTTATATTTCTTGTGGTTTACTCTATTGACTAGATTTCTCAGGCTTTATAAGGAGCCATTTGATCTTACTTTATTATAAGCTTGGGCAATGTTCAAAATGTAAATTTGAAATCTGAAATTAGCCGAAAAAATCAGCTCAATATATTTGAAAGTAACATTGGAATAGATCTGTCAAATTCCTCTGAACATCTCAAAACTCAAAGATTCTTCTCCAGATTTTCTTGGGGGAATCATATATCAAAATATTGCGAATGATAAATTTACAGTTTCCAACAAGTGTTTATATCGATTTTAACAAATCTTGCCCAATCTATGTTTATGCTTTCTCATTATTGAGTTAAATCGCAGACTTTACACAGTTCTTGAACCTTACACATAAATATGTTATATCAGATTTATTAGACCTAATGATACATTAAATTAAGCAAAAATATGTCATGTGTCGTTTTTGTTTAGATTAAAACAAGATAGTGTCAAAATTTAATTAAAATGAACATGATTGAAAGAACTTTTGGATTACCTTTACCTTTCCACGGATACGTTTAGTTCAATGTTGTAATTGACATATCTTTTCTAATAGGTACTTCCGTTTTTATGACATTGAAATAAAGACTAGCTTCTTCGTCAGTAGACTGTTCAGTGTATGGTCTTTGTTGATGATTGATGACTTTTCAGTACAATTTGCTGTTTAAGAATCCAATCTCTTCTAATTCATCTAATTGTAGTTGCATTTTCCAATATAGGCTACTATACTATTAAAATAAGTCACTTTAGTTACCCTTTGCATTCGTTTAATTAAACTTCTAAAAAGAAAATTTTCTGCTACAGTTAACAGACCTTAACTCTGCACTGAGGGTTTCAATCTACTGAATAAGCCACGAGCCATTTGTAATCATATATACTAGAATGTACTAGAATATTTGTTTTAATAACTATGACTATTCCAAGACTACTAAACTACTAAACGACTATTAAACGCAAGAATCGTATATTGTACTCTTACAAGAGTACCGAGGACCCTGGTGATAAAATGAGAATTATTTTTCTGTTACATGCATACGTACATAAATAACCAGATGAGATTACATTTATTGGCCTTGTGTAAAAACGAAAATTATCAATTTTAAATGCATCGTCAGTATTGTTGAATTAGGTCTTGAAAATCGTTGATTTATTTATTTGTGTAATCCCAGATAATGGAACGCTTTTAAAAAACGATTTATAGAGCTTTTCTAATTTAGCAGATATCTCTACGTAGTTGGTATTACATATGAAAGAACGTTCCAAGGCTGGTAAAAATGATAAACTCTCACAAAATATTTCCGGATCTAAAAATTGAAGATTTGAGAATGTTACTTTATTCATAAATTGTACACGGCCGAAGACATACACTTTTTGAGAAAGAACAAAAAATGAACAAAAGCGCAAAATATTTGATTGGAACATAGGAACAGGGAGACACTGATGCTGGATCATTATTTGAATTCTTTCTTGAGTGGAATGACGCAATATTAAAAAAAATTCATTTCGCCTACTGACACAAACCAGAGACAGGGATATAAATACGGGTTAATATGCCTCTGCGTAAACACAAGATTATCTTAATAACCATTATGAAACTACAAACATATTTTATAATTTCATTGGCTGCACGGTAGAAAGTTAATTAAAAACAAATTGATATTGACATTTTCTTCGTTACATTTTTCCTTGTCAGACGTAAAATCAAAAAATAAGAGACAGACAATAAGACTTAACATGGGCTGGGCTATAAGGCAGGCGAGGCAGGCAAAATCCTCCCACAAATACATTTTTAGATATCTTGTCGACTGAAACAGTGCAAATTATGTCCCTGCTCCTTAGGAGCCCTTAGAAGTAGGGCTAATACTTATATTTTACCTCGCCTTTTTATCCCACTCCCCTACTTAATAGTTATAATAGATGAGGATTTATATTTTTAGAAATTAACGGTAGATACAATTCTTGGATTGATCAGATTTAGAAGAGGTGTGAGTGGAGGTGTAACTAGTGATCCTACTAGCGCATTACCTGATTACCTGTATACAGGCGCAACAGACAACACGACAAACACCAACTTCAATTTTACAAACACTATGCGTCCCACCCAAGTACCCGAGCTATGGCATTTGACAACACCGAATAACAACAACACAAGTGTGACGGGTGATCCTACTAGCTCATTACCTGATAACTCGACAGGCGCAACAGACAATGTTTCAAACATCAACTTCAACTTTACAAACACTATGGCATTAGCATCGGAGCATCCTACCCAAGTACCCGAGCTATGGAATCTGACAACACCACATATCAACAACACAAGCCTGAATATAACAACATTGATCACCACCGTCAATTCAACCACTGCCCAAACCACTCCTCCGTTTGTGGATATGCCAAAGGAATACGACGTTCCAGCTTATGACGCACAATATTATGCGGACTACGAACAAGCCGTCAACTTCACAGTTGCAATGCACGTGTATGTACTCTCAGTAATTGTGCTGTTCGGAATCGTTGGAAATGTATTATCTCTAATTGTTATGAGCAAAGAAAAAACAACAGGACTTTCTGGGTCAGCATCAACATTTCTGCTCATGACTTTAGCTGTGGCAGACACCGCGTTGTTGACGAGTGCGACGCTTTATTTTACGTTGTTCACAATAGCAAGAGAAACAAGTTGGGTAACAGTGCCTTTCTTCAACGGGGTAATGCTAGCGAGTAGGTACCTCTTTCTTGTTACCGCCATCGCACAGGTATACAGCAACTGGATCTTGGTCGTGCTGACATTCAACAGATTTGTCGCCGTTGTTCTTCCTCTGAAGGCTCACCTTGTTTGTACTAAGAGGAGGGTCATTATCGCCGTGATTGTCACCTTCATCCTCGCATGTGCTCTTAACATTGTCCGAGTATGGGAGTACAAATATGTAGGCGTACCTATAAATCACCCGGAATTAGGCAATATTACTCTAATTGATAGACGAAACGATCTATTGGGAACCACTGCATACAATATGGGCTACCGATCAACAACTAACGCAATATTGAGAGTTATCGCCCCAATCGTTATACTGTCCATTCTCAATATTATGCTGGTCTTAGTTGTGAGAAAGGGACAGAAAACGAGAAAAGCAATGTCAATCTCGATGCCAAAAGACCAGTCTGCGAACGCGCCAAAAGAGGATAACATCACATTGCGTATCGTTTGCGTGGTTGTCGTATTTATCCTATGTCAACTTCCGAGTGTTATATTCAGTATCGTCGACACAATCGACTACAATAATGAGTCCATATCCTTCGGCACATTTACAATATGGTACTTTGGGATTTCAACTAACATTCTCGCCATTTTGAATTCCGCAGTTAACTTCATCATATACTTTGTCACTGGGAGGCGGTTTAGGTCTATTTTGGTGGCAATGTTATGTGGACGATGCATGAAAAAACAACCACGGTGCAGGAATGGTACCATGATGTCATCATCGTACGACTCGGGACAAGGAAAAACCACATCGGTTACAACTTTGAGTACATTATAAACTTTATATCAGACTTATATTTTAGATTGTCCGTAAATTGTGAAGAAGTAGTGTTTATGATTTATGAAGTGCGTTGATATTTTTTCAAATCAATTCATTTCACTTACAACGGTGTAACAAATTTTATTAAAGAAAGCACTTATAGATCATAATTGTATATATGGCGTGGATGGTTAAACTCATGTTCGACTTGAACCTCTAATCTGAACTTAGGAATATCTAGAAAGGAACTGTGATAGAAGCCTGTGGTGAGACGACCTCACGACATTTTCGTATTTTAGGATAATTAAATTGAAATGGAAAAGACCACACACAAGATCGAAAAATATGACTAAAAATGTTGTCACCTCCCTATTCCCACCATATCTCTGATTCTAGCCTCAGTACACAAGATCATGGCATCTCGCCCAGGAACGGCAATAAAGGTACAGTAAAACATGTAAAGTGAAATACCTCTGTAAGTGGAACACCGAAGTGGAACACTTTTTAGAGGAACTAAAGCTGATCATTGTTAAAGGTTTTACTGTACATTAGACAATATACATTTTTGTTGTGTCAAGGATGTACTAAATAAAAATATATAAATGTATTGTAAACAAACATGTAGTCTAACATATACCAGTAGGCCATTAAAAGCTTTAAATAAACGTTTAACATCCATACTGTCACAAGATTCGGCCGCTAAACAAGACGTTAAACATATACTGAATCAACTTTGATTGGCCTTGGCATATTCATACTGGCTGTATTGACTAGGGAGCAAATAATAATATTCCGGGTGTTAATCCACATGGGAAAAACAGACAGAAATACTTCTTGTTCATGTCATATTAGCAGTCGGAACAATAGACCGATGTTATCAATATTTACAAAAGGTCTCTTAAGATTTCGTAGGTATCATTCATTTATTTTAGTAGCACTACTAATATCAGTGTTTAGCATCATGCTAGCATTGCAATGGCACTTATTCTCATCTTTAACGACCAGAAACCAATAATAGCATATTACTTTAAACCTTTTTAATCACTATACTTGAGCAAATAAACTGAGGGGCCGTAAACCGAACTTAGTTAATAAAATTTCCCTGGTTTAATTCATTCTTGGATTTATTCTTGAATTGAAGAAAAAACTGTGATTGGATTTGTAACAGGAGGGAGGTTAAGTTACACGTTTTTAAGAGAGCGTTTACATGAGCCCCGGGATCATTGTCCCGCTCTCAATTCACTTTCCAGGGCAAGGGCCCTAATTAGAATTATTTTCTGTATACACCTTTATACACCTTTATTTTTGGTATATACCTTTATACTCAATCGGCCAAATGAACCAATGGGAGAACTAATCCACAGAGGACAATTAGTCTACACGTTCACGTACAGGTTTTAAAAACGTGTATCTAAACCTCCCTCGTATCAGATATTTCACCACAACCTTCTAACGGTAATGTTGGTTTGTTTTGTTTAAAGGTAATAATTAACGAATGTTTTACTGTTTAATAATATCGATGGGGCCTTTGATCGTCTTGACTTATCTTCGGTAATCATGATTTCCTAATCCGTTTTTCCATTTTCTCCGCACATGATAGCTGTTACGCGGTAAACACGATACATATATATGTCATATTCCGCAACGAATATTGCATATTCACGTGCGGTGTATGACGGATTCACCTGCGGTATATGGCGTACACATTAACCAATGAGAACGCGATACGGAAGTACGCAATTGTCAATTGCATCGATTCAACGAACGGGTTAGTCTATAAATTATTATAATGATTGCTGAATCAACAGGTCAGTGGATTGAATATATGAACCAATCCAATTGAATAGCATACACCTGTGGTACCTGTATTGTTTGATGTTGTTCTATATATGTGTTACACGCAAAAACACACTTAAAGGGAAACATCATTACAAATGAATAAACGATCCTGCGTTCATGAAGCTTATGAGTGACTTTTACAACGGGTGTCGACTTTTGGCTTGCAACCGAAGATACCTCAAGAAAAGCCGGAGATTGCCGAAGATTTTCTTTGCAAACGAAGTTGGCCGAGGGTACCACGAATGTGAAGAGGACGTCTCTAATTGGTCAGAAAGAGAGGCTCGGCATTCTCCGTCAGATTGAGTCGGCAAAATTCGGTCGCATGGCTTACCTTCGGTTGTATGGCTTACCTTCGGGTGCATGGCCCAACCTCGATTGAATGGAAAAGATGCTGTCCTCTTTTACAACCAAATCAACAGATTACAAAGACTAGATAAAAACCTGAAAAACACGAGTATCTGATCTCGGTTTATATGTTACTGATACTTTCAGAAGTATCATTTACCGATCACTACAATGAACTTACCCACTCACTCCAAGACTAATAGTTTATTGCTCGAAGCGATAAACACAATGGCAATCCATTAAAGTTTTACATTAAGTGTTGATTCTCTAAACCAATCAAATCAAGGGAATTTTGTACGGCGTTCACCGCGTGGTAAATGCCATATTCCGCAACGTGTATGTCATATTCTACGAGTGAATAAGTCATATTACGCAGATGGATATGTGGTATTCGCTATATCATATTTCAATGCGGAATTTGCCATACTCACTTGCATGTCAGATACCGCAGGTGAGTATGTCACTTGTATCACAAATACACACAAATTTAGCATAAATAAAATCTTATACCAGGTAATCTGCCGAATCATTGAACACATTTGAAAGGAATCTCAAAGCAAGTAGGAATATCAATCTCTAAAGCGAAATGACTCGGAACCAAGTAAAGGATGAGAATAGATGGTACAGAGGAAGTCATCCTGATTTCACTATTGAAATAATCCTATGCCCTGAGTTTCACTAAGTATCAAGAGTACCCTTGTTTAAATGGCCACACCGCGTGTTACGCCAAAGATGCACGTCTTGTGTTCATTTGTTGATTATTCCGTCTTGTAGGCTGCTTTGCCCTTTTACAACAGCTACCACTGAAAGATGCTTAAATAATAGGATGCATCACGCCTAACCATCGATAACGTACAGTGACAAAATATACTGTAGTACACTTTAGATGTACGATGTCACTATTTAACCGATTTGAAGCAAAGACAATGATGCAGTTGTGATGTAGGTTTTAAAAAAATATCTTGGGAATACTTCAAAGATTTCATGTTTAATTTCGTTTGTATTCGTTTAAGAAGACATTTAACTTTCTAAAAGATTTTCGAACAGTGCTCGGTTTTTTTGTAGTCTACCCACGAAAATTGATCGGTTGGAAAATGTTGGGGTTTTCACATTTCCTTTTATCATTTTTTCCCCTGTTGCCTAAGAGTGTCGATTATTTTAATGAGAATACGTTTCTCTATACTATATGTTTGGAAAAAAACTATTGAAAATTGTAATGTACTCACATAGAAATAATGTGGTAATAAAGGACACAACACATACAATATACTACACAATTTAGGACGGGTGGAGATGAATAAATATTCAAGTATTTATTGTAATTTAAAAAAATCAGAAATGTGCGTTGTCAACTCGAATGTACGTTGTCCCTGCATTTGAAATTCATGAGATATACGTAATATTGTTTATTGAAAACATTACTTCGAGGCAACGCTCTTCTTTTTGTAACCACTTTAATTTATTAAATCTAATTCAAACCAGACATCTGTCAGCTTGTGGTTCCCTTGATTGCGTCAATCTTATCCAGCGTGTCTGTCTGAACAAATTATGAAAATTTGCATGATGGGAAGGTCATCCCTCCTGTTGTTATACCAAGCAACACCAAATTACTCCACTCAAGATATTCCTCTTGAATTAATAAGATCTTTGAATATCAAATAATATTCAACAAACAAATAATAATGATAAAAATAGAAATCAAAAGTCAAATCCGTTTATGAAATAACATTCTAAAGAGTAAGAGGAAAGGAAAGTAGAAATGCAGGAATTATTTTGGGATTCATTATTAACCGTTGATAGAAACACTCGTGTTGAGTCGAGAAGATTGTGCAATAGTTCTAAAGTTAACATTACGTCAAAGACTGGAGCGAGAGAAGCGGCGGATACATTTGCGTATGTCATAAATGTTTACATCGTAATTCCCATTTGCGTATTTGGAATTATTGGGAATTCATTATCCATAACTGTATTACTCAACGAACTGAAACGTTATGCAAGAAAGAACACATCATTGATTCTGCTAATGGCCCTCAGCGTCTCGGATTTATTACTCTTGTTTATAGCGCCGTTTTATTTTAGCTTTGGTAGTATGGCGTATTACGCTACATGGTCGACAATGGCGTTCCGTGACGCCTACATCCTGAGCAGTTCGTACACGTTTACGATAGTAGTTATTATTCAGACCATATCTATATGGGTGCTGGTATTAGTTGCCGTCAATCGTTACGTTGCCGTGTGTAGGCCCCTTCACGCCTCTAGATTGTCAACAATACGCATAGTCAGGGTGGCGTTAATACTGACTGTATTTTTGGCGGTGGGGTTTAACGTAGTGAGATTCTTTGAATACAAAACATTCACGTTTTACAGTACAACACTTTGTGTACGCAAGGTGGGAAGGTCTTTGAATATTCTTTCCTCCAGAGTTTACCTGTTGGCATACAGAGCGACCACACATAATATCTTTAAAGTCATTATCCCTATGGTTATGCTGGGGGTACTGAACACCAGACTTATCATAGAGACTAAACGTAGCACCACATTGAGACGGTCCATCCAGATACACAACTACGACAAGACGATCCCTAAACAAAAGGATGTCCTCTCTGCAAGGATTATCGCTCTTATTGTTGTATTCTATGTATGTCAAATCGGAAGTGTTGTCATGGCAATCTTGGACGCCATTGACAAATTCAACCCTGAGTTTAAACTGACTAAGAACTATACATACAGGTATTGCGTCACTGTTAGCAACATGTTGATTTTGCTCAACTCTGCCACAAATTTTATAACGTACTGTTTCACCTGTCAACATTTTAGAAAAACACTGATGGCGATTTTTAGAGGAAACTCAAACGTCGGAAAGACGAAGGTGTATGCAAATCAAAGTTGTTATAATAACGGAGTGCATCCCGGAACTCGTCGAAGAAAGTTAGCAATTATAGACAATAACATGCCCGACGTACAATTTAATATCAATAAATCAAATTATTCTAATGTTACATTCCAAGATGACAATGAAACTGACAATAATCAAAGATTAGATGATAAATCTACTACAACTGCATTGGCCTCCTCTGGTTGTGAAGTAGAGAAACAAACAACATTATCAAACACTACTTCAAACTCAACAAAAGAAACAGACGACGACAATAACTTTGATAAGACAGACACGATTGAAGAAGATTGGAGCCTGACTGCGGCTTTGAGAAAAGCTAATGCTAAATGTAGACGTACATCCTTGGCTGAATTAGATATTAATCATTTCATCATTGATCCAAGGTATGCAAATAATCAAATTCCCCATATCAACTCCAACCAAACAATGGGAGTTCAATTGAAAAGAATTTCAAAGGTTTCTCCAGATGGAAAAAACAGTGTACTGTACGAGGAACAAACACCTAGAACTTCCTTCATGATAAACTCAGTTGAACAAAGTTTTATGTTTTTAAATGATCATAAAACAAGCTTTGATTTGCAAGCTGAGCGTGTTATACCTGCTGATGGGGAGTCATATCACGATATCATCTCAGAAAAATCTCTCAATATTAATGTGCTGGTGTCCAGTATTGATAAAATGAAACACACGTGGCTTTAAAATCCAGCCCATTATATTATCAATGTGATCCATCTCGAGAAAAATATTTTCAAGAGTTACTATTTTCAGAAAATGTTTGTAGTTAATCAATAAGTAATGTACATTAGCTTCCAAACGGCTTGAACATGAAGTTTAAAAACGCAGGGCTTTGGCTTGCCATACTTTTAGATGGGAGTGTAAGGTTCAGTTAACTACTTGTTAATTTGGGGAATTATTCAGACATTGAGCCAATATAAAATATAACTAAACTGTAATATAAATATTCAATAAACATAGACTTGAAGAAAAAGCAAAAGGTTTTTAATCGTATACATCTTATGTATAGTTAAGCCATGAATAACTTTCTGTTGCATGTGATGCTTCATGCTATAGATTCAAACGCATTTTTCCACACACAATATACACCTAATTCAAATTGTTCCACATTAATTATCAATAGAGAGAACAAAAATAAGATTTTTCAATTTTTCTCATGTATGTGGAAACAAATAAAAAGAGCAAAATAAAAGAAAATTATTTTTCACATTTTGAATATGATAAGCTTTAAAGTGCAAAAGTTCTTACGGGCGTTAGTCTTGTTACAAGTCTTTCTAACCCCCCCCCCCAACCAAACACATCACCAGAGGAAAATAAAGCCTATTCTCTAGAATAAAAAATAAAGATCATGTCATCAAACATTCCTTGGACTATTTTCAAGTCCATAACCTTTTAAGCATAAAATGTGAATAAAAGAAATAATAAAATAGCTTGTCAGTAAATATGCCATCAATCACTTGGAATAGTCTTTACTCTTAACTCAGTGAGGCAAAACTAACTGATTAATCAGGGAAAGTTCTACTCAGTCTCACTCAATATCAAACAACTGTTTCAATATTATCTAATTTGACTATATTTGGGGAGGGGGTAAGATTTCAGTGCATTTTCTTAACATACACAGATTCATACTGAAATATTTAATTACTTTTAATCCTCTAAACCAATCTCATCCTTGAATGAATTCTATATTTTGATCCAGGGATATGTGAAACTTAGAATTGTGACTCCTATGGCAAAATAATAGTCAATAGCACAAAGAAACAAGGCATTAACATGCAAAATGTCACCACCTGCCATTTGTTACAGACCCCTTCCACCACCCGCAAAAAAACAATCACTGAACACTGACCACAAAAATGTTGGAGACAACAACCTTTTTATAAAAAGCATTGAACACAAAAACGCAATTGTATTGTAAACATGTATTATGTACTCTACACACTTTATACACATACTCAATTGGTATTTTACATGAAGTAGTATGACATACATGTACAGTGTATCATTTCTTAAAAGAAGACATGATCTGCAGTCAAAATAGGATAACATTAACCTGTTGAATACCAGTATCAAAAATGTTTTGAAAAGGGTTTTGAATTTAAATATTCCTTATTTACTTTATAAGGGAGTTTAAAGATAATCATTGGATTTAATAGGGAGGTTAAGAGAACATGTACAAAGATGTGTGATATTCTGACCCCCAGGGATTACTGCCCTCTCAACTGGTTTTACAGAGACCTCATTACAACTTTTTTCCTTTACCTTTATACTCAATTTGGCAAGTTAAAGGCAGAATCAGATCTATATGGGGGTGACAAAATTACAAGCAACATGTACAATTGACCTACCAATCTGTTCCTTACAATATCAAATACAATATCTCCCACAAGATCTTCGGTATATAATAAATTGGTGAAGTTAAAATGGATTCAAGGTGTAAAAATCTTTAGTTTTCCTGAAATAAACTGTGCACTTTGGGGATATTTAGAAAATAGACATGAAAAGGAATGACATAAGCCAGAAATATTTTAAAATTGAAACACTTTTTTGTTAGGCTGCTCGCTATCTCTGATTTTCTCTTTAATACTACAAAGGGGAGATCTCATCCCTAGGGGACCACAAGACTGCAAGGTGACATACACATTCTTAAAAACATGTAGCTAAAAACCAATTAACATCTCTATTTTCTACTTGGTAATAACAATACATTGGCACTCTAGGATTCCATCATATTCACACTATACGACCATCGCCTTCCCTAAACATGGTAGGCCCCCCACTATTCACATATCTGTTGGCATCCTGTTGCTTAAGCCAGCCTACTTGCTCATAGTCTGGCCTGTGTAGATGATATAATAGTCTTTCTTCAATTTTCTCTACAGCAGCTAAAGTTAGAATAAGTCCTTCATGTTTCAACATACTGTAAACGTTTAAACCTGAAAAATAAAAACATGTTTTAAATAATTCATCAAAAGGGTTTATAATAATTTGTTTCACAACACAATCGCTTCATGTTTACTCATAGCTCAATTTCCAAAGATGTGTGAAAAAAGTGAAATCTTGATTTCAAAAAACATCACAGAGTTCAATGTTAAAAATATTATTTTGAAAATTGATCACACTTACATGCAGATCTTATATTTTCTTGTATTGTAGTATATTATCAACTTAATGGCTAAACATGTCTATTTTCGTCCAGAAGTAATTTGATGGTTGAACAAACAACCTGATTTCCCAGTGATCTAAATGTATTATTCAATGGTTATCAAGTAAACTTGAAAAGTGCAAATTCAGGTTTACTCTCTCAAAATTTGCATCATGACATCCAGAATTTGACCAGAATCATAATTATTCACAACATTTTTAGGAAATTGCTGCCTGAACTTCAAATACTTACCATAAACTGGCATGATGTTGATGTGTTTGACATTACTGCATGCTAAAGCCATGTTTGTAGGTGCCATGTCAACACTGGAAGCAATTACATAGGAGACATTAATATTTGGCTCAATTGTCAAAGATTACCTTCTTTGGGAATCAATTATCATACAATCATCAAATTACATTGTCAGTTTTTTAGATTAATCAAAAAGAATCCCATCTTAAATTTATTTTTCACTTCACTGCATTTTTGTTTCACTGAGAGCAAATGGAGAAATTTTGCCCCTAGTCTACTCTTGCATCTGTAAAATTTCAGGTTAATTGGACTTAAAAGTTTTCTTGCTATCCAAGACATAACATAGTATGACCCAATCTGTGCATAAGTGCAAGATAACAAAAATATATGTGCTTTTCAAGAGAACATGATATGACATTTTCAAGCAGTTACTTTCCTATAATTATAGTCTGCTTTAACTTAAGTGAACAAAAATGTTGGAACAAGAGGGAATGTCCTACCCACCTTGTTTTGAAACCAGGGTCTCAAGGAATGAAAACCGTACCAAGATTAAACAAGGCATTAACATGCAAAATATTACTACCCGCCATTTGTTACAGATGCCATTTGTCACAGACAAGGACTGTCACACGCCAGGCACCAACGCCATCCCAAAAAAGTTGGAGACTATAACAACATGTCCCCATTTGTGGTGGTGACATAAAAAGACTAGATTGTGTACTTACTCATCAACTAACAATGCACTAAGTCCCCACTTTCTATGGTCCAGTATGTCTTGCAGATATTCTGGGTCCTCTGTTGGAATATCAAAGTTGTCAACAACATGCAGGTAATTCTGAAATAAAATTGGTTTAAAGTATAAGGGACAAGTTCAAATATGAATGTGTCGTTTGGGAAACTAATAGAGTTAAGATGGGATAAAAAGCAGATTGAGTTGATGTTTATTAATGTTTCAAAGTAGTATTAAGTTAATTAAAGGTAAGTTAATATCAGAGACCAACTATCCGAAATGTTCAGTCTTTCTCAGTATGTTTTTGCCTTTGTATATGGATTGTGATTGTGTAATGTAACTTCAATGATAAAGAAATCTCTAACCTGAGCATATTTCACAGTGAGAGCTATCATTAAACCCTGTACTCGCATGTTGAAATCTTCCATATAGTAGTAAGATTTAGGACCTCTTGGGCCATGAGCAACTCCACCTAAGATACACAAAAATCAGCTTTATAGTACTAACAGTGAGACTGTTCATCCCCTGACCAAGTATTAGTTGGGAGATGAACATTATAGTAATAGTATTACCAAATTGGTCCATGCAAGTTAAAACATTTTTGCGAGGGAATGATGGGAGAGGATCATTCCTATGGATCATTCAAAATCCAGTTTTTGTTTAGTGTAAATGTGCAACTGCAATGTCATAGTGATTTATAATCAGGAGGTCCTTCAAGGGGCATTTTCAAGAGAGTGGGGGACTATGTTTTATGCACTATATACTCACAAGGTTTCAAGTTTTGGTGCCACTTTTTATTACATCTTTTTCATATCCTTGGCACATCTTTATGGAAAAATTGTAAATTTATTTGTTGTCAGATAACGTGACTCACCTCCCCTCCATTGTGGAGCTCTGATTGATCCCTGTCTTGACCTGCCAGAACCTTTCTGTGGCCTGGGCTTCCTACCACCTCCTCTCACCTCTGCACGGCTCTTTGTCTTAGCATAACTCTATAAAGAGCAAATAACATAAATATCAAGGCACGAATATGCAAAATGTCATCACCTGCTATTTGTTACAGATGCCAACTGCCACAGACCAACCACCAAATACCATCCACAAAAAAGTTGGAGACCATAACAATATGTCACCACAAATGTATAAAACAATGAGATTTCTTGAGTATTGAAGCTATATCAAGAATTTCATCAAGGAAAATAAAATGAAAATTATCTTTGAAGGATCGTAGAGACATCAGTGATTAAAAATTTTGAGTTTGACTTAATTTCATGTTCGTTTGATGTTTCCTGTTCCAAATCTATCAAAGGTATGTTTCCAAGATGGTTTCAAACACATATTGTTTCAATGCTTTCAAAAAACAATTATAGGTAATAATCTAATTAACACAACTACATATTGTGGTTTACTGCACAGACAGTACTTACAATTCTTCTGTATGCTCTCTGCCACATAATATTCCTATGCAGTACATCTAATCTGTAAAATATGTACAGATCTGTAAAACATTTGTCAACAACAAACAAAGTTTAAACTTTGAAAGAGTAAGGGACTAGGTCAATAATTATGTTTTCCTCAAAAATTTTATTGAACTTGTTTTCAGATTTAAAGTCACTTTCTTAGAAAGAAAATTTCAACGAAGCATAATGGAAAAATCCTATCCTATGCAGTACACCAATAGAATGATCTTGTCCCTTGATGAATAAAATTATATATGGTGATTCAAAGCATGTAATAAAGGTATTCTGTTTAGCAGCTTTTTATAAATTATTTTCATTCAAGATGCCAATTGTTGAATAGGTGGTGATTTTGGAAGTTTAATATACTAGACATTTTAATTGCAAAATGTGCCACGGGTTCAGTGCCTTCAATGATGTATCACTCATCAATCATTTGAAAATGAATCATGACTCACATTTAAATAAATTCCTCACTTCAATATATACGTTTACCACATATTTTAAAGCTCCTTCTACAAACCTATTCATGACAACCATTTTCAAGCCATTTTACAATGTTTAATGAATATTCAAGTAATGTGTGTTATAAAGTAAACTATAATAACGATCCCATGTGCACAAATATGACAATTGCAATGCAAGTATTACATTACCTTGGATTTGCATTAAAGATGTCTGGATGAAGGTCTATCATGCCAAGCTTTTCTCCCTCTATTGTGTCCATGGTTTCAAGCCATGCTTTGGCAGGTTCACGATCGCGTGGCATAAAGTCAAGATTCCGTGATGTAATAATTGGAGTTGGTGGTCTCGATATTACTTTTGAGTCACTATACTCTGAAAATTCATCATATAAAAATGTTTATCAACTTTAAAGTGTGACTAATGGTCTCTTCGTTTAGGATAAAAGACATATATATTGGTTTATTTCAGTAAAATCTGTAACATGTAGAAATATCTCAATTCAATCCAACCATCAAAATTTTAGTCATAGAGAGCACATTTATTTTAGGAAGCAGATAATCAACCCTTTGTACAATGGTGTTGATGACCCATCTACAGTAAATGGCAATTCACTTACTGTCACAGGTGAATTGGAAAATGTTGCTGCAAACTATAAGGTAATATCAATTTTTTTCTCCGAACAATAATTCTTTACTTACATGGTCATGCTCAAGGAATCAATAGGTATCAATCATTTTTAGCTTGGAGAATTTTATATTTAAATTTTATACGTTGAATTTTAGCCATTTATTTATTTATTTATCTAACCAACATTGAAGAGTTGGTACCTGACAGTTAATCAGTACAGAAGTGAATGTTTGACATCTCCCAATGAATAGAAAGAGCTAAGGGTATCAAAATTGTCCTGCTTGCCCATGATAATACAGAGTCTAAAAAATGATTAAAAACCAGAACAATGGCAACGCCAAAGCGTAGCGAATCCCATCGAACATTTTTCAAAAGGTGTCTACCAAAAGTGTAATTAGACAGTGTGCCATGCTTATAATATTCACATACCAAATATGAACAAAATCGCTCAACTACTTTTCGAGTTATAGTAAAATATGTTAAAATGGTGGCCATTTTAAAAAATGGCCGCCTTCTACCAAAAGTGTCATTAGACAGTGTGCCATGCTTATACGTATTCACGTACCAAATATGAACAAAATCGCTCCACTACTTTTTGAGTTTTAGTAAAATAAGTTAAAATGGCAGCCATTTTTCAAAATATCCTCCATTTTTCAAAATGGTCGCCTTCTACCAAAAGTGTCATTAGACAGTGTGCCATGCTTATAGTATTCACATACCAAATATGAACAAAATCGCTCCAGTTGTTAAATTACATTTTTAAATGAGCGGCCATTTAGAAAATCAGCTTTCGAGCAGAACTTCTACCCCAATAAGGTATATGTGTACAAAATATGAATAAAATCGGGCCAACGGTATTTGAGTTATTGCCCGGACGGACGGACGGAGGTGTTCCCTATATCCCTCCGAACTTCGTTCGATGGGATAATAACATGAGTGTCTCAAAAGTGTACCTTCAAGTCCATCCTGAACCTTCCTTGTTGAGGTACTGCTTAGTAAACGTGTCTGAAATAAAAAGGACTTCATTACATGTACGAGGGGTGATCCAAAATTCTTGGACTTCCCAGTCTAACTTTGCTATTTTCTAATATAATTACATGAAACTTTCAGATAATAAAGATCAACATCTTAACAACTTTGTGTATAAGTCTCAACAGAAAATAATATATTTTAGCTACTTTTCTAAATATTTTTTGATACCGGGTCCCTGCCACCCGGAACAGTATTTAAATATAGCAAATCACGTCACAACTGTTATAATATGGCAAATACTTTAGGTGCAGGTGCACAACCTAACAACACCAGTCATGGTATGAGAGAATTTCCGATTTTCAGTCTGAGTGTCATCTGTCATCATCATCTTCACATATTAAGACCTTCTTTTTAACGAATTTGAACACATTTTTCATACCGCTTTACCAATGAATGAAAGACATTTATAAAATCGCCATTGCTTATGTGATAAAAATACTGCTGGAGTGCCACTCTAAACCTCATCCAATGAGTGAAAAACATTTTCTTTCAACCCTCCTTCAACTTGGAGAAAAGGAAGAAAAATCACACGGAGCCATATCTAGACTGTATCGTGCAAATGGTAGCTGCTCAAGGTTAATAATAGTGAAAATATATTGTACATGTAGTATTCTTTGTCCCACTTTGATTTCTTTCATGTTCTGCATTTCAGAAGCCATCTTGGAGCAAAAATGATACCAGAATGGGGTTTGATTGTCTGATGTCAATTTTTTAGAACTTGACATATACGGCCATTGTCATATGTGACATTATGATTAAAACATGTACAATTAATTGGATTGCCTGGTAACAAAGAGAGTAAACTAACATGGTTTAACATTCAAAATTCAAAGAAATATAGTGGTCAAGACTTGCAAACCAAGTCAAATAGCAGCAACATTTAAGGCTGAAAGTTGCCATGTGCGAATACCGTTCCGGGTAGCAGGGCCACTATATTAATAACTATCGAGAAAACTACATAAAATATATCATTTCACCTTGAAATTAATACACAAAAAAGTTAGGTTGTTGGTCTTTATTATTGGAAAGTTTAAAGTAATTTTATCAAAAACAAACAAAATTAGAGCAGAACGTCCAAGACTTTTGGATCACCCCTCATATATACAAATAATTTTCTGCTCGTAAGCTTTATAGTGAAATGTGAGAATTTATGAGAAATCTTGAGGGAAAGATAAATTACACTGTCATCTGTCATACAGTATTAACAAAGCATTAACATGCAAAATGTCACCACCTGCTATTTATTACAGATACTGAACACCAACTGCTGAGCACTGTCCACAAAAAGTTGGAGACTTGAAAATAAAAAATGAAAAATTATAGATCTATATAATAATTTTCTAAACTTTGATCCTGTCTTCAAATTTTACCTGAGAACATGCAAATTCACAGAGTGTCTTCAGAGGCCTCCCATTTGTCCGCAGAATACTTAAAATCACCATTCTAACTCATATGTAGAGGGGGAAATCAATAAATACTGATAAAACTGAAAATTACTTTTTCAACATGGAGGTTTATCTAGATGCCAAACTAAATGGGTTTTATAAATCCGAAAGTATGAAAACCTTTAATTCATTTTCGCTTTATATATTTTTTTTAAAAGCAAATATTGATGAAAAATGTATTCAGAATAAAATTGATATTAGAAAATTTAATCAATCGATCAAATGATGTAACTTATTTAAGTTTTTCGTTTAATAAATTCCTGTCATATATCCAGTGAAAACATGGCGGCCATTCTTGAACTTTTGCTTCTTCAAGAAATTTCACCTTCAACTTCATTTTCCTGGCTTTTGAACAGGTTGGATGAGGTAAGATCTTGTAAACTTGATTCATACAATGATTTATCATACATTTGATGCAGTCACATAGAACGATTTCTCGCGCAATGTGGACAGAAAATAATCAAAATATGTTGCCCTGAATTTTTATGAAAAATCCAATTGATTTGAAATAAGATATAGGTCTATGCTGCTGGCAAGATCCTTGTGTCAAAGGCTCAGTGAATATTCCTTATCAAGAGACATCGGAAGAAAATTCTAATTTTGAAATCACGATTGTGCATCCATTTCAGAAATATATGACACCATGGTCTCTCGAGACCCTATCTGTTGCAAGACTAACGTCTGGCGTAACCGTCGCTGTGTTTTTAAGTAGCGCAAGGATCCTGCCATGACCCTGGTATTGTTATCGTGAAAGCCTGGTATAACCGCGACAATGCTGTATTATATTGCAATGCCTGTCATGACCGTGACAATGAAATATAGTTCTGCAAGGCCTGGCATGACTGTGACAATGTAATATAGTATTGCAAGTTCAGGTATGAGAGTAGTAATGTAGAAATTTACGATTAGGACTGCTATAACTGTGACAATGTGTATTGCAAAGCCTGGCATGGCCGTGGCAATGTAATATAGTACTGCAAGGCCTGGCATGGCCGTGACAATGCAATATAGTATTGCAAGGCTTGGTATGACCGCCGTGGCAATGTGATATAGTATTCCAAGTTCGGGTATGAGAGTGGTAATGTAGAAATTTATGATTGCTAAATTGCTATAAGTGACTGTGAGAATGTGTATTTCAAAACCTGGCATGACCGTGACAATGTATTATGGGATCGCAAAGCCTGGTATGACCGTGACAATGTAATATAGTATTGCAAGGCCAGGTATGAGGGTGGTAATGTAGAAATTTAGGCTTAGTCCTACTATGACCGTTTTAATGTATTGCAATGACTAGTAAATATGTATGACATTAATGCTAGGAATATCCTTAACAATTTTAAGTGATCGTCATTACAATTAAACAGTTTAATACTATGATCATGGTGTTTAACTACCTTAATCATGTCAAAATCAAAATTACTACTATACATTAATATTCACATTCGCTTATAAACCACAATAAAGGCTACGGTCGCGCCAGGCTTCCACGATAACACTTCCAGTGTCATGACAGGTCTTGCAATATAATACAGCATTGTCACGGTTATACCAGCCTGTCACAGTTATACCAGGCTTACACGATAACACTACCACGGTCATGGCAGGATCCTTGCGCTACTTAAAAACACTGATTAACATGGCGACGGTTGTGGCAGGCGTAAGTCTTGCATGCAATAGATAGCATGTGGGTCTCTCTTGAAAACCCCTGACGAGACAAATCATACCTTATTCAAAGCGTTTTGTTAATTTCTACATTTTTGATAACTTTCTGCAATTGAATGGTATCCAAGCAATCCAGCATTGATAATAGACCAAAATAGTATTGTTTTATCAGTGGGAAGATGTCTGTCAAAATCGGAAGGTTTCTTTTGTTTGTTTGTATCCTTTAATGCACTAGGCCTATAATGCTGCTAAATGGTCTTGTGTTGCTTGTTTTTCACCTGTGCTTACACTTGTGCTTCTCACTTGTGCTTATATTTTCATAAAGTCTAAATCACTTATACTATTATATACAGTTTTATAATGTGCTCATTAGAATCTTCTGGTTTCATGTCGTGATTCCAGAAATGTGATGTCAGTTTAATATTTGGACACACAGCTTCCCGCGACAATTAAAATGATCTTTGTCGTAGTAGGTTAAATTACAGTGTCTATAACTTATTTACTCTAAACAAAGAACGAGAAATAGAAATATGAAGTCAAGAAGGCTTATTGTGAAGAGTTTAAGATGGATGCATAACCTATTAAGTGAGATATTGAAAAAAACTTAATGAAATATTTTTTCAAATATAAATATTCGTTTTTATCTGAATACATGGCCTATGACTTGCTCGACAAGTATAAATGACATGGCATGGTTAATGTTACTGAAATATTGACCATTGCCACTTACTCATCTGAAAGAAATGCATAATACATGTACTGTACATGTGAGCTAAGAGAATTGCCAAAAGGCATTTTCCATACAGGCCAGATTTTTTGATATTTTTTTTTATTTGATTCTTTCAGAATGACAAAATCCCACCATTACTGAAAGAACAGAAGCAATTAAAAGGAGAGTTTGTTCCATATTTCTTGAATTATTTACGAGACCAGAGTCTTCATCTCTTACAAAACAGCAAATCAACAACAGTCACCCCAGCAAAGACTCCAGTCGGGAAGAGATTAAAAGAAGTCCCAAGACAAAGTACACCAATACAAAACCAAGGACGTGGAAAGCAACTTTTCCCAAACACAAATCAACATGACATTTCATCATCTTCTATTGATTCGCCTAATTTATATGGAAGCTCATCTAAAGGCAATGGCCGACATAACAATAAACAAACTCACACAAATGATGGCCAGAATAAACCCGATGGGTCATTCAAATATGAACAGCGATCCAGACAGCGGTCGTCCCTTGGTGAGTTCTTTAGAACACCAGAAATTGAGCGTAGAAAGAAAAAATCTCCTAGTCCAAATAACCAGAATTTCAAGGATGATGATTCACCTGTGTTAAACAATCGTAGATCTACTGGTAAAGGCAGTGGTCCTACAAAATCTCCATGTGCAACAGTACCTCCACCTGTGTTCAACCTGACTATGGAAGAGTTCCCATCTCTGGGTGGAGGAAAGTCAAATGATGCCAGGTAAGAGACCAAATACGTTATTTGTAATTTGTTTAATTTTCATTGAAATCAAACACTACATAACTCTGATTGTTTCAGAATATGCATTACAATTGAATGTCAATGTATACTTATTGATCACCACTCATATGTTCAATCATTGCACATATTCTATGCATACTTCAAGATTTAATAATTCCTCATCTCTTAATGATATTTGCAGTTTAGTCGTTTTTATCTCTTATATATTATGGTCTCAATTTACATGTTTACCTTGACTCTATATTTATTGCTTTAAAATTGTAAAACCTTTTGACTTCTACAAAAACATGTGTCACCCATATATTCTTTTTCAGTATTCAAGCTCAGATGGGACCATTGAGCCCAGTAGATGAAGAGACGAGTGGGGCAAGCACTACATCTACCACACAGAGCTCTTGCAATAACATTAACCCAGCCAACACTCTCAATATAAAACCTAAACACAATGGAATTAAAGATAACACTGAAAACGAAGTACCTAGTTGTAAAACAAAGGATTGGGACTCAAACCAGCGTCTTATATCACCAGGGGGAACTTTCCTACAAGGAAAGAAATCAAATGACTATGTGTATACTTTAACTGGAGATATTCAAAAACTATCACCAAAATCGCCGAATAAGAACAAGAAGGGTAAAAATAAGAGAGCAAAGTCTCCGTTAGTTTCAGTACTGGACACAAAACCTCAACCAACGAGTGCTGTAATAAAACGACTGAGTCTTAATAAACCGTCATTACCTGACGAATCTAAATCTGACACGTATAGTACAGTTAACCAGAAACCAACAAAGAAGTCGGACAAACCAAAACGAATGGCTTTTACTACTTTAGAAAAATATGAACCAAATACAGAACCAACCAATACAAAATCAGACTCCAAAAGAATTGGCTTCACAACCATTGAAAAGTATGAAACCCAGAATACTGGCAAGTCAAGTGAATTTTCCAAAAGGCGAATTATTCCTACAATGATTGAGCCTCCGAGTGATAAAAATGCTTCTAAATCTCAATTAATTGGTGGATTATCATCATCATCAAATACAGGTTCGGCCAAGTTTGTTTGTGCTACAGAGAAGACTAGTGGAGTTGAGGGGGATATAGAGGCTGAGAGAGAGCTCCTCAGGTAGTTAAAATCATTCTTGCGTGCAGAAACATTTTTTACTTTCCCTTGTGTACTGTTAAATCTAAAAATATTGACATACCTGAACTCCAGCCGATAAATACAAATGTTTGTTGATATCCCATTGATATAAAGTTGGCTTTGATAATTCTGGGACCATTCATTTCCATCTCTTTACACATTGGGCATTTTATATGGAACTCATCATAAATGCTATGGCTGTGTAACTGAATTGAAAAACTGCTGAGAGCTACTCAGGTAAAAATCATTCTTAGCATTTATATCATCCTCCTAAGCAGGTGTCCAGAATCCGTACCTCCTTCTTCCCCCTGCTATAAGCAGTTAGCATTTCCCCGATTAAGAACTCGCAATTTGATTGGCTGTCGCAACACTGCGACAGCAATCATGTATACGTCATCGGCGCATAATTAGATCACGTGATTCAGTTTAATCGGGTGCGTCCAACTTGGTTATAGCAGGGGGTAAAAAGAAAGAAGATATTCTGGATTTTGAAGCCCTGTCATTGGAGGATGCATTTATATGGAATTCATTATGAATGCTCATTATGTTAGTTGTGTAACAGAATTGAAAAAACTGCATATATGTGTATATATATGATTTAAGAAAATCGTTTTCAATTTTCAGACAAGAAAGAACCAGACGAGAAAGTGAAAGTGGAGGTCCACTTCCAACTCCAACAAAAACCCCAACAAAAGGACAGCTTGATCGACTCTTTAGTGTGGATGTTGTAAAAGCAGACCATGAGGAAGTGACATCTAAAAAGGAACTTGATATTCTTGTGGAAGTCTACTGTGGTTGTATAAACAGTAAGTACTTATTCTTTCAATGTTGTCATAGTTTTTACAAAACACACAAATGAGAAAATGTAATATTTGACTGAATCATAAGTTGCAAGTTTAAACGTAGGAGTGGAAATGGAAAAATATTTTTAAAATCCTTTCTTTTTTGCCCTTTTTTCTGAAAATTTTAACCCACTTGATTTAATTGAACCCATGTTTCAAAATTCAAGGTCTACTTTTACGATAAATTGGCCTGTTTTTGAAAGTATAACCTATTTTGATGCCCAAAATTGCCCCCTCTAGATCAGCAAATAAATCTCCTATTGCTCCTTTATGTTTGGCCATTCCTCATGTGTAACTATACACACAGTTTAGTTTGAATTGTGCTGATGGGTTGCACTGTACATAAACTCACATCGGCTGACTAAACTAAATAAAAATGCCCCAAAAGCTTTAATTATTGAAATTGGTACCTGTCTAAAAGAAATGATTTACAGCTTAAAGTGATACTCTTTTTTTCAGATCATTTGGTGCCAAACCTGACTGTAGAGCTTTATTTTGTGATTCAACTGTTGACAGCAAGACATGGGGAGATGGAACTGAGTATAGATAGCATGGCAGGTAATGGTTAACATTCTTAATGTATTCAATGTTCTACCCAGAAGTAATCTCTAACGTTGCCCAAAATCACATTTTATAATGATTTCCATAATGTTCAAAAGAGTGGACATAATTATTATGTCACCACCAAAAAGTGGCGACATATTGTTATGGTCTTCGTTTACAGTGGTTGGTGATCAGCGGTTGGCGTCTGTAACACTTCCAATAACTTAACAAATACTGTTTAGATTGACTTCAGTTTATGTCAAAATCATCTATAAGTTTTCAGAAGTTCAAATCTGACTTTATATTTAAGATTTGACCTTCGGTGGCCTTTTCAAGGTCAAAAAAGGTCAAAAAGGTCTTTTTTCAATTTGCTTAAATTGACCAATTTTTTTTTCAAATCATCTACAAATTATCAGAAGTTCAAATCTGACTTTAGATTTGAGATTTGATCTTCATTGAAGTTCAAAAAAAAGTCAGAAGGTCTTTTTTAAACTTGCTTCAAATTGACCAATTTTTTTTCAAAATCATCTAGAAGTTCTCAAAAGATTTGACCTTCAATGACATTCTCAAGGCCAAAAAATTATTTGACCTTCTCGAGGTGCGGGCGGGCGGGCGGGCGGCACATAAACAATCTTGTCATCAAATTTCCAGGATAACTGCTTACCTATTCAACTTGAAATTTTTACAGATGCAGGAGCAGACTAGTACCATTTTGAATTTTTCAATTTGGCGGCCATTTTGAATTTTTCAACTTGCTCCAAATTGACCAAATTTTTTTTTAAAAACATCTACAAGTTCTCAGAAGTTCAAATCTGACCTTAGATTTGAGATTTGACCTTTCATTCACCTTCAGTGACCTTGAAAAGGTCAAAAAAGTTGATTTTCTAAATTGATATTTTGGATTTAAATTTAGGTCAGCTTAATTACAAAACACCTACTGAGGTCTGAAAAAGTGAAATTTTCAAGGTCGAAGGTCAAGGTAATTAAACTAGGTCACAGATTTCACCTTTCATTCACCTTCAGTAACCTTGAAAAGGTCAAAAAACTTGATTTTCTAAATTGATATTTGAAATTTTCAAGGTCAAGGTCATTAAACTAGGTCACAAATGATGTTATCCAAGTTTCTCAAAGTTTGAGACTACAAATCAATTCTTGTCATCAAAATTCCAAGAAAACCGCTAACCTGTTCAACTTGAAATTTTTACACATGCAATAGCAGACTAGTGCCATTAGGTTTAGGGCATGCTTGGTAAACTACATGGTGGCCATTTTGAATTTTTCAACAAATCTTGTCATCAAAATTCCAGGAAAACCACTTATCCGTTCAACTGGAAATTTTTACAGATGCAAGAGCAGACTATTGCCAAGATCTGATTAGGTTTTGGGTATGCTGGCTGAATTACATGGTGGCCATTTTGAATTTTTCAATTTGGCGGCCATTTTGAATTTTTCAACTTGCTCCAATTGACCAAATTTTTTTTAAAAACATGTACAAGTTCTCAGAAGTTCAAATCTGACCTTAGATTTCAGATTTGACCTTTCGTTCACCTTCAGTGACCTTGAAAAGGTCAAAAAAGTTGATTTTCTAAATTGATATTTTGGATTTAAATTTAGGTCAGCTTAATTACAAAACACCTACTGAGGTCTGAAAAAGTGAAATTTTCAAGGTCGAAGGTCATCAAATTAGGTCACAAACAATGTTATCTAAATTTTTCCAAAGTTCAAGACTACAAATAAATTCTTGTCATCAAAATTGCAGAAAAACTGCTAACCTTGTCAACTTGAAATGTTTACAGATGCAAGAGCAGACCAGTGCCAAGGTCTGATTTGGTTTTGGCCATGCTGGGTAAATTGCATGGTCGCCAGTTTGCTCTTCAAAGTGCGATATTTATCACTGTGTGTCTTGTTTTTTTCAAAATCATGCACAATTTCTCAGAAATTCAAATCTGACTTAAGATTGAACTAATAGTATTGTGAGCAACTACAAGTTAGGTGGTGACATTTTCTCATGTTAATGCCTTGTTGTAAAATGTGTCTTACAAACTAAAAAGTATAAGTTGTCTACATCTAAAGTGTTGTAAATGGAAATAAGATTTTCATTTGAATTGTTATGCATTTTCTAGTGTTTATATGTATCTTCTCATTATAGATATAGATGAGGTTAATTACCTGGGGTCTGTCCACAATGCTGTCTACTTTGCTGTTGCAGTCCTTGAGAGACAGGAGAGGTAAAGCCTCAGTCAATCTGCTCTATGACGGGCATGTGGCGGCTGTAGCTTCAAAAATTGATATAGAAAATTGACATTGTACTGCTTATCCCTATATTTTATGCTTCATATTTCTCTTGATTTTGGGAAGCTATGGCTGCCATACAGTTGCCGTAGATCAAATGTGACCGAGGTGATAATCCAATCAAACTTTTGATTGTAAAATATATGCATATTATCATCGGTGTTTCCACGTAGGGTTTTACAGTATTTGGGAGAAATATTGGAATCAGAATTTAACTCGATTTTAGCGTGATGTACATTTTTTTTTATTTCATGAATTTTTAATACATGGCAGATATATCAATTTGAGTTGTATTTAAGTGTTATGATGAAAAAAGAAGTTTGATGATTTTATATCAAATCTTCCAATAGAGTGACATAATAACCCCTTTAATGGTCATTATTTGTCTTTTTAGATTTCTGTCTCTCATGGATAGAGGTACTTTGCGTTTATTAGCAGATAATCCCAGAGTTACTGAGTTCTCCCAAGACCTGCAGAATAAACTCACTGTGTTTTATAGCAACACAAAAGCAGAAGTAAGTATTTTTGATTTTGTGAAAATATCAGTATTATGTATATCCGACTGTTAAATGATCCCCTGGGAGTTATATTAGGTCAAGTTCCTTTATCTTGGATTTAAGAAAAATATAGGAGAGACCTCATTTTTTTTTTACATAGCTGTGTTCTCATAACAATGTATCTCCTTATTGGCGATGTTTTCTCATCAGTACTATACTATTTTTACAGGTGAGCCAGAATGTGTTTGCATCACCAGTTGCTGCCGTGTCCTTCCAGGTAGAAACAGACAACAGGAAGAATTTCCCCTCAGATAAATCATTCCACACATTTAAGAAGCAAAGGTAGGGCCAATCATAGTTGTTTAAAAGGCAAGGCTGTAACCAGGCATAACATAGGCACAGACATTTATGTCAAAGAATTCTTCATATTTTATTTCTTATACTTCTACATGTTCTGTTTACATTTGTATGACAGTTTCTTTGCGTTAATACACGCCATCAGCTCGCACTACTTCCTCTATCCAATTAAGGTATGCATTGACTTTGATGAACACACTAGGCTCCTCTCCACATACGCCACCCCTAGACACAACCCCCATCTGAACATAAGTGTCATCCTCCTCGTCATAGCACACCAGGGGACTGCCTGAATCACCCTACATATAACAGGGATAAGTGAGAGATGTTTTGACAGAAAATGGGGCACATTTTAAAGGTCAAATTTTAGCAATATATAGGTTAGTGTTTTGTCCCGGAGTCCATCCCTATCTCAAAAAAAACAAAGTTACCTCATATAAAATTACGACAATGAATGTGTTTCACTTTTCTTACATGACATACTCCAATGACTGTATCCTCTGCATGCACACAGATTTCACTCTCAGCTATCGTAATGTTATGTAGTCCACCAAGTATGCTAGTGTTGCATTCCTCAGGGTCGACAATAGGGAGTCTCACATGTTTAACCACATCAGATAGACTGCCATCTTTAGATGAAGAATAACAAGTTTATGTTGTTTTGATGATTTGCGATCACCGGATGGATTCTATCTTGTAGTGATGTCACAATTAGGCCACACTTCTAAAGCTACACTGCTAAAGCTGTTTGATTGTGAGAAATTATCATCTGTATTTCGTACTTTATTAATTATTTCTCACGAAAGTATTCGATTTGACTAGATTAACATTCATTCTAAGCAAATGCCAAGTCTAAGATCTTACAGACATAATTTAGATAGCGGTTAAGCATCCCCCGATTTTGAAAAAATGGGGGGCTCTTATGGGCATCAATGTTTATTATGAATTTCCAAAAACAAAATACTTGAATTTTGATCGCAAAAGGTCAATTGTACAGAATATCCTCTATGAACTTTTGAAATCTGTGTGCACTAAACATCCATTATCTTTGAATATCATTGAATTTTTATGTCACTACCAGAAGTAATGACATATTATTACAGTCACTAAATTGTTTGTGGATGGCAGTTGGTGGCTGGTATATTTATTATCCCACCGAACGAAGTTCGAGGGGGATATAGAGAAGCTGTCCGTCCTTCCGTTTGTCTGTCCGTCCGTCCGGGCGATAACTCCAATACCGGTTGACGGATTTGGTTAAAATTTTATAGGCTTATGCCTTATGAGTGTAGGACCTCTGCTCGAGAAGGAATTTTCAATATGGCCACTCAATTCAAAATGGCTGCCGTTTTTCGTAAAAAATGTAATTGTTGATAACTCAAATACAAGTTGACGGATTTGGTTCAAATTTTATATGCTGATGCCTAGGGACAAAGGAATTTCGCACAAAAGGGATTTTCAAGATGGCCGCTTGATTTCAAAATGGCGGCCATTTTTCGTAAAAATATGTAATCTTTGATAACTCAAATACCAGTGAACGGATTTGGTCCAAATTTTATATGATGATGCTTAGGGACACAGTAGGTATGTTCGACAAAAAAATTTCAAGATGACCGCTTAATTTCAAAATGGTGGCAATTTTTTGTAAAAAAATGCAATCTTTGATAACTCAAATACCAGTTAACAGATTTGGTTGAAGTTTTATATGATTATGCCTAGGGACACAGTAGCTCTGTTCAAGAAATAATTTTCAAGATGGCGGCTGAATTTCAAGATGGCGGCCAATTTTTGTAAAAAACGTAATCTTTGATAACTCATATACCAGTGAACGGATTTGGTTCAAATTTTTTATGATAATGCCTAGTTCACAATGGTATAAACTAACTTTGTGCCAAATTTCATGCTTCTATCACAAAGTGCACAAACATTTCAACATTTACACTAGCTATAATAAGCATAATATGTTTTGTTCGGTGGGATTTGCTACTCCGTGGAGTTGCTGTTTTTCTAGTTGAAAATATCTCATACTATATCCTGCCACTTCGTTTTTGTAATAACAGCATCCCTAATTTGTTCAAGCTAGAGTTGTTGCACTTACTATACATGTAATCCTTTGTCCGGCCCCATCCTGCCACCATACAATGTCTCCCTGGTTGGATTTTGTTCAGGTCTTCCTCATCAGGCAAGCATACAACATTGACATTCTCATTAAGCACAGCTGGTTCACTTAGCTTCACCAATGCTATGTCAGATAAAACAGTGTCTGAAATTACAATAAATATAATAAGTAAAGTATTGGAAATGAATACCTGTTACACATACTGTACAGTTATGCTTCGACAACTGTTTATTGTTGAAAGACAAAACTGAAAAAAACATACTTAGCTAAAAATCAATCCACAGACCAAGGCCAAAATTATATGTGACTGAGGAGTTCAGCATAAGCACTCACACTGCTATTGGCATGGGTTAGATTTTCAGTGTGGGAACCGCTCTGTCAGGGCACAGCCTAGAAAGCAGAGTATTCCCTTCTCCTGCGAATTTTCATGAATCTCCCTTTACTTCTAAAATTCTATTTGATATTTTAAGTTTGTTTATTTCTATACCTCCTTATGTTTAATAGATTTTTTTCAGTTTACTCATACTTTGAACTAATTATTGTACCTAATACTGAAATCTCTGTTAAAACAGGATTTTTATCACAAAATCAGCAGTTCCATGCTCTTTCATTTCAGTGGGAGATTAACAAGATGATTTATAAAACATACCATTCTCCCAAAACCATTCTGGGTGTTTATATATCCTCTCGACTGGTACATCAATATGTGGAGCTGTGTCATCTAACATGTTGTGTTCCCCGAGTCTCATCATCCACTGTTTAGTGTCATTATTAACATCACTACCAACACAAGAATATGAGTTAAATATGTATATTTTAGTAAAAGTCAAAGTTTTTTTTAGTCAAGGTCAAGTTAGTTTTCTAAAAACACATTTTTCCTGTTTTTACAGGGTGTTCAAAAAAAACGCAACCCAAAGAAATCGCTATATCTTGAGAAATACTGGTTCAATTATGTTCATATTTTCAGGAAATAAAGAAGAGATTGTGTATGTATAGCTCCTGTAAATGGTTAGTTGTAAAACATGATGCCTTGGACACATGCTCAAAAGACAGTTGTACTAGGAAAATACGAAAAACGCAGTCAGGGGTGACTGCAACCGGAAAAAAACTAAATAACTTCCTAACTATAGTGTTTAGGCTCTTCAAATTTGGCACAAATCATCTTCAATTACTGAATGGTAAATCTGTAAAGTGAAATCAAAATCACTTCAGGGACTTTACAGTCATGGTCAAAATGCTTTCAAATCGCAGTCAAACGCCCTGGTTCAGGGAGACTTAAGAAGGCATTTTGACCATGACTATAAAGTCCCTGCAGTGATATTGATGAAACTCATCAGATTCACCACACATTGAATGAAGATAATTTGTGCCAAATCTGAAGTGCCAAAACACTGTGGTTAGAAAGTTATTTGGTTTTACTGCTGTGGCAGTCACCTCTGACTGCGTTTTCATATTTTCCTAGTACAACTGTCATTTGAGCAGGTGTCCAAGGCATCATGTTTTACAACTTACTGACAACAGGAGCTATACATACATAGCCTTTTCTTTCTTTTCCTGAAAAAATGAATATAATTGAATTAGTATTTTCCAAGATAAAGTGATTTTTCATTAACGTTTTTCGTATTTTGCTAGTATAACTGTCTTTTGAGCAAGTGTCCAAGACATCATGATTTACAACTAACTAACAGCAGGGGATATACATACACAGTCTCTTCTTTCTTTCCTGAAAATTTGAACATAATTGGATTAGTATTTTCCAAGATATTGCGATTTCTTTGGGTTGCGTTTTTTTTTGAACACCCTGTATTATTGGGAATGTTGTGTTGAGATATGTTCAGAATGAACCAGAGAGGGTCTAAATTTGAAAAATTCCTGGGGGCTTGCCCCCAATCCCCTAGATTGCACTTCGCGTGCGGTGCTCTTCACGCATGACCCATCCAGACCCAAAAGTCGCCCCCTCCCTTGGCAAATCCTTCCGACGCCCCTGGCTACTGTTCAATACTATTACTTACATGCAATGGGCTGCAGTGAGAACCCATTGTGGATGTATCAGTGAGCCTCCACACAAAAATTCATATGACATGTTTGAACAGTTACCGATACAACTGGCATTAAGAATATCATAAGGTAAAGGGGTAAATCTCATGTTCACCAGCCATGGCCATTCGCCAAGTTGCGAAACCTCTCCACCTACTATCCTCTTTTGACGGTCTCCAGAATTCCTCATGCCACAGTGAGAAGGAATAGCTAAATGAAAAATATTAAAGTGATTAGGAAAATACATTAGACGTATTTCTTTGTTCCTGTCCATATACACAAAACTATCATACCTTGATATTAAACCAACCGGGAAATCTCTAAAAATGTCTTGCATAAACAGAATCATTGAGAAATCCCTTAAACTTAAAGCATACAAATTAGTAATGATTAGTTAAACATACGCTGTAGTTTCACTTCGCTTGTTTCCTCACTACTTTCTGCTTCTATTTCAGTTCCATTGCCACCTTTAAATTGGTGTATTGCATTCTCAATGCTATTCTGTTTTGGCTGGAATATAAAGAGAATAAAAGCATTATCCAAACTTTAACATTTTGTACCAAAAGTTCACTTTATTATAGATAAACCAGATATGCAAAGATAAGGAAACTCACAAAATTTTCATAATATGGCACTCAATCCTAATTCTATTTGACCTATTATGGTCAAAATATTGCAATATTTCACTGAATAGATCAAATACCATTGGATTTTCTTCATACTAAAGGAAAATGAATCATAGCTAATTAAATTGTGATGTTATAGGGATATCTAATATTCCTACCTTTGCCTTGACTGCAATAACCAGGATATACAGTGAAACAACTGACTTGATATACATTATCTGGAAAATATATATACGAGGGGTGATCCAAAAGTCTTGGACGCCCTGCTCTAATTTTGTTGGTTTTTGATAAAATTACTTTAAACTTTCCAATAATAAAGACCAACAACCTAACTACTTTGTGTATTTATTTCATGGAGAAATGATATGTTTTATGTAGTTTTCTAGACAGTTTTTAATATGGGGACCCTGCCACCCGGAACGGTATTCACACATGACAACTTTCAGCCTTAAATGTTGCAGCCATTTGACTTGTTTCGCAAGTCTTGACCACTGTCTTTCTTTGAATTGTGAATGTTAAATCATGTTAGTTTACTTCCTTTCTTACTAGGCAACCAACTAATTGTGTTTTAATTAAAATGTCCCATATGACAATGATCATATCTGTCACATTCTAAGAAAATGACAAGACAAGCAACCCTCATTCTGGTATCATTTTTGCTCCAAAATGGCTGCTGAAATGCAGAACATGAAAGAAATCAAAGTGGAACAAAGAATACTACAATATATTTTCACTATTATTGACCTTTAGCAGCTACCATATGCACAATACAGTCTAGATATGGCTCCATGTGATTTTCTTCCTTTTCTCGAAGTTGAAAGGAGGGTTGAAAGAAAATGTTTTTTTACTCATTGGATGAGGCTTAGAGTGGCACTCCAGCAGCATTTGTATCACATAAGCAATGGCGGTTTCATAAATGTCTTCCATTCATTGGTAAAGCGGTATGAAAAATGGGTTCAAATTCGTGGAAAATATGTTGAAAAGTAGGTCTTAATATGTGAAGATGATGATAGCAGATGACAGTCAGATTGAAAATCGGAAATTCTCTCATATAATGACTGGTTGTGCACCCGCACCTAAAGTATTTGCCATATTATAACAGTTGTGACGTGATTTGCTATATTTAAATACCGTTCCGGGTGGCAGGGACCCAGTGTTAAAAAATCTTTACCTAAAAGCTAAAATATATTATTTTCTGTTAAAACTTATACACAAAGTTGTTAAGATGTTGATCTTTATTATCTGAAAGTTTCGTGCAATTATATTAGAAAATAGCAAAGTTAGAGCGGGGCGTCCAAGACTTTTGGATCACCCCTCGTACATGTATGTATTTCTTATTTTTTGTACATATTTAGAGAACTGCTATATTCTCTACATAATAGAAGTGTAATATGGAGAATTGTTGTTGTTTTTAGAATTGATTTGGCATGGTGTCTAACTTTGTCATAATTAAACACATATTTTAAGCTAAGTTATAAAAATCTGAATAAGCACAAAATACTGTAGAATAGTCAAATGAGAGAGAACATTAGTTGATTTATTTTTATGCTTTTATGACACATGTTACTACAGAGCGACAGTTAATTGATGTATATCTTATGACAAAGATTTACGACTTACTTTTTTCAACTGAAGCTCCAGTATGAAGTTTTTAAGGGTGAATGAATAAAGAACTCCCTGCTTAGTATTATACTCCAAAAATTATGAAATCGATCCATTTATTTCATAAGACTGATTGGTATAATTCAACAAATAATTGCTTTTTGAATTATTTATTTGAAGTAAATGATTAAATGGACACGATCATCAGATATAATTGTTTTAATCATTATTAAGTATTGGTATGACACAATAATTGTCTTGGTTTTAACATGGGGTAGTTGAAAGACCATGGTTTTAACATGTATAACATTTTGATAGAATATTAAATACTATTTATTTTTATAATAACTAAATAATGTCCACATCCAGGAGAAACTCCAGAAAGATTAACGGATTAACAAATGAGGCTTTTGTATTTTTCTCTATAATTGCAAAAAGCTACATGAAATTGAGATTTTTTAAATCCTTTAAAAGTATAAATGGTTTGACCAAGTAGATTGAAAGAATATTTGGCCGGAGGGGGGGGGTGAATCCTCTGAACCCTCCTGGCTACATGTCTGCTCGTCCTTTTAAATAATGACTTAAATAATGTTTGCAGGGATACATTCTATGAACTACTACGTGAGTGGGAGGAGAAGCACACGAGTCCTGGGTGGTCTATAGCAACTGCAATGGCCCCAAGAGTCCAGTCTCTAGTCAATGCAAGCATGGACCTTGTTAATCATATGCATTTTGCCAGATTGTTTCAATCACAGCTCATAGCAGTAAGTATAAAATCATTACACCAAAAACTGCAATCTGCAACCATTATTGTAGTGCCATCATAATGATGATTTGATGTCAAAACAGCATCAAGTTTTGACATTGTGTTTTTGAGCTATAACATTCAGTTTAGGTTCCAAAACAATGTGAAATATATAGCAAATATTTGTGCTTCATATCATCACTAGTGGATAAACACCACAAAAAAGTTGATGCTATCACAGCAATTTTCTAGTAACAAATGAGCAAAACACTTTCATCACTGAAATTCAATGTCGTCAATCGACTGCATCGAATCAGCTCTAAACTATATGAGCATTGTTCTGGGCTAAATGGGAAGGTCGAATTCATTACACCTAATATTATTATTCCCATTTATAAGATTGGAAAAACAACGAAGACTGAAGAACCTATTGATAGTTGAAATCTATAACCTCAGTTTATGGTCATAAAAACCCTAATTTATATGAACCTGCACCTTTATTTATATTTATTTGTAGACTTGTAAAGATGATTCAGGATTTAAACAACAAGGCGACGATGGAAATATTTCTCTATTGGCTCAGCTGAAGCAGACTAACCCTGAAAAGTTCAAAAGGTAAATACAGTGTACATGCTGTTTTTAGCTCACATGTGAGCTATTATCACTCACTTTACCATCTGTCTGTCAGTCAGTCTATCAGTCAACAAGAGTGACATGTTTTAAAACCTCTGTTGATAACGTCCCTGTTTTAAGTAATTTATGTTTTATTATCAAGACAGAAAAAAACCATATGACCCCAGGTTCAAAAGCTCGCCTATTTTCAGAATGGTTGCCATTTTTGTCATGTCCCAGAAGATTTACTTTTTACTTGCTCACAGTATTTATTACTATACTAGCTCTCAATCATACAATAACTGATAAATCTTAATATTTCAGATTACAAGAGAGGTTCATCACCCCATCATCCAGTGGTGGCCCATGTCCCCAACCAAGTTTTTCAGGATCGCAGGAATTTTTCCGTGATTTTATCCTTACTGCTTGCTGTGCAACATTTAATCAACACCTACTTGATAGCTTGAATGCTAAGATTATTGAGGTGGGTGAAAAAGAATTAAGATTTTAAATATTGAAATGTAAATGTGAAAAATGTTTATGCTTCATCTAATTTAATATTTGTGCATATTTATGATTTCCTATTATGTAATTCAGTGATGAATTCGTATTTAGTTTTACAGTTTTCATTTTAGAATAATGTCATGAACAAAAAGCTTTCTGTCACTCTTTGATAAGGTGCTATATTGTGGCTTTATTAATTTGGCTGTAGTATTGGTTTTGCTATTGACTCGAATTTGATGAGATCAGGGTGTTATCTAATGTAGCATATTTAATGTGATATGGTTTGTTTACTGAAGATTCGTACCAGAGCATTTCTGACTTTTTTCCGTGTCTTAATTGAGAACTAGTGAAAAATAATTACAATGTTGGTACACAGCCATGTTATGTATTTGGAATAAATCTGTTTGGTATTTTAGTTGAATTCTGTGCAGTATGAATGTTTGGATCAAGAATCTGAGGATGGGACAGGGCTGAACCAGGTAAGTGCTTAGATTGCACAGTATAGATTTGTAATCATTTACTGGACAAAATGTGTTTTAAGGTTATCAATTAGATTGTCACTTCAGGTATATGCCAAGAGCAAGCCAAAAGGTTATGTCAACATGTCTCAAATATCTGGTTTGTCTACAAGGCACTAACTGAAAGTATGTATTCGTAACATGTGTTAAGCCAATTAAATCCTTCAAATTGGTGGGTGTGTTCATGAAAATGCCAACTATTTTCATTTTATCACCAATCTAACAAAATCCAACAAACTTTCGAAGTAATGAATGACCCAGGGCACAGAAAAGGGGGTCTTAACAAAGATTTTTTCAATATTTTGATATTGATTTTTTTGTTTATCTTAAAAAGCAGAAACCTTTCAAATGAGCCATGGCTCATGTCAAAACAATTTTTCTCTGCAGATATAGACCAAAAAGACGGATTTGAATTTAACACATTTTGCTCTTAATCTTGGGCACATTTTTGTCTCTGTAGCGCAATTTTTTTTGAGACACAGGGGCGGATCCAGGAACCAACAAGGGGGGGGGCCCAAATTTCAGGTCAGAGAAAAAACGGCCGCGCTTGCGCGGAAAAAAATTTTGGGCCCCTAAAATCCAAAAGTGGGCCCAAATTTTGAAATTTTGAGGCCCATTTTCTTCAAAATTTGGCCTGAAATTAACAAATAAGGCCTTAAAAGGCCCAGTAATGACCAAAAAGGCCCACTTTTTGGGGCCTGAAGGCCTTGTTTGGCCCAAAAATTTTTTTGGGCCCAATTTTTTTTTTCTGGGCCCACCCAAGGGGGGGGGGGGGGGGCCCGGGCCCCTGGGCCCCCCCCCCTAATCCGCCAGTGAGACAAGACCAGTTTCCCGTGTTGAGGCTCAAATGTAGAGAAGGTTTTCAGAATTGAATTCTCTACAACATGTAATATTTAACTCACTTATTTGCAGGAGGAGTTAGAGTCGTTTGGTACAAGCCTGTTGATGCTACGTTTACTCGGCAAATTCTCTGGCTTTGTCACATTCATGCCATACCAGACACCTGATAGACCCCCTGATAGTGTTGAGAAGTCATACATACTCCTGAGGAATAAGGTAAGTTGGCCTCTTCTTGTGCTAGTTATGGTTCAGATATATTATCAAGAGCAACAGAGACAACATTGCAATCTGATCTTGGACAATCTTGAAAGGATTGAAATTCTTTGAAAGAATTATCTGGATTTACAAATACTTTGGATAAATTATTACCAGATAAAAATTACAGTTTCCAACTTTTTGTGGACAGTGTTCGGCAGTCAGTGTCTCTAAAAATGGCAGTTGGTGACATAATGCCTTGTTTGCACTTAAAATTAAATGATCCCTGATGTATTCCAAAGGTGATTGACTCATTATTGGGTTTTAATAATCCTATGGTTTATCTTTAGACAACCCCTAGCCTGGACATAGAAGAGATGATACAATGTGCAATAAGAGATGAAAGATTGATGGTGACCATACCATGGGTAGTGGAGTATCTAAGTATGTTGGATCCTGTAGCTCCTCAGCTACAATACTACACATGGGTTCTTTTACTGTTGGTGCAAATACATAGGTGAGGCCTAAATTGCTTATTTCTCTGTTTACTAGAACTGCATACATAGGTTAGGCCATAGCAGCTTAATTCTCTGTTTAGCAGAACCACACACTTAGATAAGGTCTAAACAGTGAAATATATGTTTAACAAAATCCAATAAAAGGCAGGCAGGTTTGACTACATGAATGACAAACCTTAAACAGTTATATTAATATTTTCAGAATGAGCAGTGGGAAATCAGGAACAAATTGGCTAATGGTCTCTCTTGTGTTAGGATGGCTGTTTGAGGTAAAGTTCGTTTAATTTATTAATGAATTTAAGCATAATCTTTTTCATTAATTTATATAAATATTTTATTTTATTTAAATTTTCATATTATCAACACACAAAAGTTATGCGTATTGTTATAGTCTCCGACTTTTTTGTGACAGTGTTTGGCAATTGGCATCTGGGGTTTAGCATCTGTAACAAATGGTAGGTGGTGATATTTTGCATGTTAATTAATGCCTTGTATATTTATATTATAGTAACCTGTTCTATAGGTTGTATATATTCATATACTTTTTACAGACACATATCTTCCCAGATGGTTTATTCTTCACTGCCAGTGGAGAGTGTGCTAATACTGACCTAGCTGCTCCTACAAGCTCTCATACTGGTCTGGATAACCTTCCCTTGGTCACTCAGGATCTTCTACATTCGTGTTGTCCATACCTAGGTGAGCTGTTTTAACAGTATGGTCATGCATGGATAATATAGTAACCCACACACATTTTGTGTCACCTACTTTGACATGTTGTAGAAAAATATGCAACAAGAATTTACTCATGAAATTTGCATACTTTAACTTGAAACAGTTTGTGACACTATGTCTTCAGCAAATTTTGTGTACTGTATATGAAAATAATTGAATGTAACTTTTAAAGCATTTTTGTAACATTAATAGCCTCCTCATTTTGTAACCATATTTGGATAGAGCATCAAATTCAATTATCTTGAACAAAAAGCAGTAAAAAGGCGCTCTTCGAATTTATACAAACTTTTCCCATCTTGATAGCATTGGGTAAGGTGCCATAATATTATTATTAGTTGGCAGACTCGTGCAATAGAGGTGTACATTCTATTTAAGGTGAGATCAGGTCACTACTTGTTGAGTTTGCAGTAGGGATGAGTGGTAACAGTAATACAGTGAGGAAAATCACTCCTATAACTGCTGAGACACCACTGCCAACTGTAGTCACACAGAAACAATTACAGGTACACAAGAGAGTGGCAAACATCTGTCACCATTTTCTTGACCTTTTTTTTTACTTGAGTGCCATACACTTTACCAAGGTGGTGCCTTGGAGGTATTTCTCAACTTTATGATATCTATCCTTTTTCATAAAATAATTCTGTCAAAAAGCTGAATTAAATGAATTACAAAAAAAACTGAATTACAAAAACCATTACTCTATTATAATAATATTCATATGAAAGGTATAAACCTTGACATTGCACCCCTGTCTTTCTGATTATTTCATATCTGAATGTTAAACCATAGGTTGCAATAATCATTCTTAAATCCAGAAATATTGTTGCTTGTAGCTTCAATTAGAAGAGAATTTCTTCCACAATCATCCAGCTTCCATGAAAAGAACAGTTGAATTTGTGGCAGATCGAATATCTTCCAACTATATCAAGAGGTTCAGATCAGGGAAACTGCCACAGTTAATAAAGGAAGCTACTGGCAAAGTGAGACCACTTATGCAAGAAATGTCACAAATTTCACCAGACCGTAGAGCTAAGGTAAACTCTTTGAGATATTTATGTCTTTTATTTTGTTGTTTTTTTGTCAGGAAAATGACAAAAAATCTGATTTTCATTGAAAAAACTATTACATGAAATGACTTATGAAAATATTCTTCTTTTTTCAATGAACTTTAGAAATAGAATAACTCAATAAGTATTACTTTAAGAAATGTGTATTTATATTCTAGATGTACACTTTGTAGAGTACCATTCTTGTAAAAAAGACTATTAAACCTTTTTTTAGCATTGTTTATTATCTTTCATAGTCATAAAATACATATCAGCTACTACCAATCGCCTAGGCATTATTTCATAATGATGGCTATTGGTTGTAAACTATGAAAACTAATGAACCATTAAAATAGATAAAAGATACAGAATGGAAAATACTTTCAGGACAAATTGATCAGCCATGTGAAGGAGTGTGGCAGGTTGATAGCAGAAAAGGGACGTTCAACTGCTATTGAGTTGTCAAACAGGTGTGTATGAATTTCATGTTAAACCTTGAAAAACTAATCTCTCTTAAGTCTAACTTAGTATACAGATATCTACTACTATGTAAATGCAAACATTGAATGGAAAATATGAATTAAATATAGATCTGAATAATATTTCAAAATTTACAAAAAATGATTAGATTTCAGGAATGTTGTGCTGCATTAAATATGTAATTTAATCATATTTCATGATCCTATTTATAGTTACTGTGATAAGAAGGTGTCGGATACTCTGTCAATGTTACTTCCTGAGGAAACGACATCATTTGTCGTTGCTATGACATCTAAGATCTCTAGTCGATTAGCTGTAGAGCGAGTGTCACAATGGATGAACACTTACATCACTACTGGTAAGTAATACGCTGAAGGGGATCACCTGTCAGAATACCTACCTGTTGTTGTTTATTACACCTTATATTTTTCATTGTGTATAAGAATTCAAAACCTCTCTTTACAACATGTTATAAGATAATGTGTATTATAATGTATACTCCCCTAATAAGAAGCCCAACAGATTTATTAATAAGGTAAAAGAAATACAGGTACATCAATAGACTCCCTGAAACTAGTAATTCTTCAAATTCATTTCCCCTTTCATATAACTGTGTGCCTTAATGTTTTTAATGTTGACTGCTGTCACCTTAGTATTTACCTTCATTGTTACAGCTATGTTCACTAAAGAAATGAACTCTGAATATGAAAAGGTACTGAAATCTCAAAAGTTCTGGCCACTTTCTGGCTGTGGTGAGGATGAAAACCCCAAAGTACAGAAAAACTTCATAGATGGCAGCAGTGCTTCTGAACATGATGAACGTGTCACAAGCCCCTCAGAATTGCTGACTCATGTAAAGGTATTGAATATTGAAATTCATGATTCTCCATATAAAAACGTCATGTTTCCAATATACTGTTTTCTATATATAAACAGTTATAATATATATTTGCTTTTTCTCCCTCCCCTTCTCTCTTTGTCCCCATTCTTTATATGTCTGAGAAAGAAAATAGAGCAGATATAAGAGGAATTGCAGTGTGAAAACTGCAACCAGGCTCCCCGTGACCCTAGCTGTTATTGATTACAAGCCAATTAATCGTAGTAAGAATAGGAGTTGGCTGCGTTGAGTCGGGAGTCTGGTTGCAGTTTACTCAGACCCGGGAGGAATTTAATATTATTATTATCGGACCCTATAGGTCGAAAATGTTCATGAAATAAATTGACATCTCTGGAGAAATGAATAAAGTGTTTAAAAAGTAAATATTATTGTGTTTGTTACAGAATGTGCTGCTTGATTTGACTCAAGGCCAGGGGGATGAAATGGAAGTACACAAAGCTGTTGATCTGATACGTGAGGTGCTGGAGAAACGTCAGGATATCATGCATATGGTATTGAAATGTATTGGAAATCTATCTCTGCAGCTGGCCGTTGAATTAGGTATCACATATGTCTATGTTATAGATTTTATGATCATACACAAAATTGAACATCTCTTTAATATGTAGCAGTGTATGTGAATTGTTGGTAATGTCAAAATATAAAAAAATTGATTTTTTCATTTTGAGATTAACCATATCTCTTCCCTATAATAAAATATGAAAAATTATTTTTGCAATATTTGTTTATTTACTGTTTTAGTGAGATCATACCCTGACATCTACAATGAGTCCCTACAGAGACAGTTTATGAAGCTATGGAGAGGTCCTTTGAATAACGTCCTGTCGTTTGATAGTATTCTCTCAAAGTCATCCATCTCGACCATCACACATTCTGAGACACGGGAGGTACAGTTAATATGCATGTTTTTCAAACTCTCACAAGCTGGAGTCATGCTTAAATATAATTTACTAATATTCCATATGTATCTATTCTGGCAAAGAAAAATTGTTATATCCTCTAATTTTTTGTAGATGGTGCATGGCAGTTGGTGTTCAATGTCTGGTGGTTGGTGTTTGGCATCTGTAACAGATGACTTCTTGTGACATTTTGCCTTGTTTAAAATTGGATTGAACTGAATTTTAAAACAACTGTTTCATTTCAGAAATGCAGAGTTAATCTTGAATTGCTGTTAGCAGAACTTGTAGAATCTCAGTTGATTACAAGTGCCCAGCTTGAGACTATGGCTAGTACCTTATTGGAGAAAACATTGAGCAATGTAAGGAAATTAAGGGCCAGGGATTTGTCATTTTGTGTGCATCTATTTCTGTCAAATGACATGATTAAGTTTGTTTATTTTTTGTCAAATGAACAATGGCAAGATTGATTTTGTTTTTATTTTTGTCAAATGACATGATTAATTTCATTTGGAGAGAGTTTCTAGGACAATTTGTATAAGAGCTAAATTCAATATTTCTAGTTTACATGTAGGCCTAGTTTTTTTTTACATATTATTAGACTTGGCTTAGTTGTCAATGACTCAATTTCTTGACAGTATGCTACTTTTCATGATTTTCTCTGTTTTATGTATTACAGGAAAAACAGGAATGTGTCACAAGAATTGTATGCAGCATAGCGAATATGTGTCATAAAACAAATACAGACCAAGAAAAACATCAAAAGTCTTGTAATTCTATACAAGAAAATGGAGAAATTATTTCTTGAAACTGAATCAAGGAGAACTTGGTATTGCTTTGTGTATGTGTATTCTATGATTATGAAAATAACTTTTTAAAAGTTCAATTCAGTGCTGCTGATTGACAATTAGGAGCAAACCATACAATCTATAGACTTGCAGTCACTTGTAAAACTTAAGTTGGCAATTAACAAAATCCATACAGCTTAAAATGGAGTGTGGACTTCTATAACAGACTGACTGGGAAACTGGGAAATGAGGATATTATTTTGTTAAATGCATCTTCGAAAGAGAGTAGATACTGATAAATATTCATTTGTTGTGTCACCACCACAATTGGTGACATATTGTTAGTCTCCAAATTTTTTTGTGGATGATGTTCGGCGTTTGGCAGGGAGCATTCGTCGGTTGTATTAGGCATCTGTAACAGATGGCGACATTTTGCATGTTAATCCCTCGTTTATTTATGAAAAAATACTCTAATTAAGTATCCTCAGGAGAGGATCGTGACTTTTTAATGGTGCAAATGATGCTTATAATATTTAGGGATTTATTTAACATGCAATAATATGTCACTTTGAGTAATGTGTCAAGTGATATATTTTATTTTGTAAAATCCCCGAATAAAATTATACCACAAACAGTAGTAAGATAATTGCAGTATTTTGATCAGTAAGCTACTTTGAAATATAAGAAAATTGCAGAGAATTGTGTTTTTTGTTTTGTTAAAAAAGCAAATTATGTAAATTCAATGACTAATGCATGCTTATTTTTAATACTGAATATTGAGAATCTAAATAAATTTTATTTTATAGAAAATCTCATAGATTATGTTATAAGTATATTATATATAGGTATGCCAGGATGTTTGGTGACTTATAAGGGAGTTTAAGCTTGTATATAAATCGAAACGCCAACCTATACATATGACCTGAGACCAATCGCCCATACAAATGCTTCGCTTAAATATTTTATGTTCACATTGAGGTTATGAAAAACATTGCAAGCTTAAAGGAGAAAAGTGATAAATTATTCATCATTATATTCACAATATCTGATTTCCTCCTCTTTGTACAAGTGCAATCTCAGGTACCTGCGATAGTTTTCTAATTTTAATAGGTGAACCATGACTTCAAGTGGCCTTAATCTAGTAATTTTAATTAAGGCAAATCTAATATGTTAATGAATTGACCTTTATGTGTGCATGTGCCTTGCCTGCTAGTTGGGCCTAAAAATTTTGTAGGGCCTCAATTAGTGGGCCTTTTTGGGCATTACTTGGCCTTTTTGGGCCAAATTATCAAAAATGGGCCAAGGAATTGAAATGATTTGTCTGATTTGAAATGTGCCCCCCCCTGTTAGATATATTACTTCATTTGTGTGTTTGAAGGGGTGCAGCGCTTATTCCAAAATTATATCAACTTAGTATCAGCTTGATAGTCCAAATTGCAGGCTGATTGCCTGGCTATATGTGAATAATGATCATGGTACATGGAAGCATGAACCTCTGATGGAAGTAAACAACTGTAACCTGCGACAATGGGATGGAGAGGATCAAAAATACTGTACAGACCTCGGGTACAGACTGGAAAGGTATGTAAGCTTATGTCATATCATATCAATATTCATTTAATGTCATATTTGTTTTAAACAATAAAACATTAGTGCAAATCCTCGATTGGTATTAGTAGAGAGTGAATATTCTATGTAGATATAGTCAGAGCGATATAGTATAATCCTCATCGTGTTGATCATTAGATTAGAATTTCTTTTACAAATTCAGACATTGTTTTGGTCAAATCGGCAAATACCAATGTGATTTATTTTTAGATTTCTATGTTTGTAAATAAACCTTAAGCCAATTACATTCCACAACAGTAATTTTTGACCAATCAGAGCGCTAGTTATTTTTAGCCTCTAATACCTAGGTATATAAGCCGCCATGATGGTTATTGAATTTACATGGCTTATAATTTGTATCTGGAAACTCGATGTATCTCAAAGATCCAGGTAAGAACATTTTCTGAAATCAAGGTAGCTAATTTATGAAATCTTTGCACTATTTCAACGTATATACAACATTCGCTTAATTATGCGCTAGTGACTGTTTTTAGTGTTTTACAATCATGGATTTTCATTCTCATTTCATTTTTATTCAATTTGAAAAATACACCGAACGAACCAAGTATTAAGCAAACAGAAAATGAAAGTGAAAACATTTATAACAGCGTTTCGTATCTCTTCATTCTTTGTATTCTGATCATGTAACAAACATTGATATAAACATTTTATATACATTTCACATAACCATGGGGTTAATCGACTTCAAATGGAAGTGAAGGTTCCACGTTTTCTGGTAATGATACCCAAAGGCCAAGGGAAAAGTACTAAAATCTTCATTTTCAATCATTGAAGAAATGAAATAAACAATCAATTCCATGCAATGGGTATAATCCATAGGCCATGGGGAAAAGTACTATTACCAATGAAGAAGTCACATGCCTTATTTCTTGTCTGACATCTCTCGTGGCCACAAGAAAATTCCAATTATTGGGCTTAACAGGATACCCCTCTGAGTTGTGACAACTTATATGAGTCAGGATGATCAAGATGATTGAACCTACAGTGCATTTTTCTCCAGCTATTACCCAGCAATTTCTGTCATTGCAGGTTCCTATTTCATCTAGATACAGGGTAGCATTATGGAATTTGGCAGTGACTTCATCTATCTTCCAAAAGATGGCATCACAGATGAGTATGATATGGTACCAGAGGAGGAACTTATGTCCCATAAACTTACAAGAAATCCTACCCATGCTTCATCAAATGATGATGGAAAGGTACATATAATTCTTTGAGTTTTTTGTATGGTATTAAGATATTGCCTTCTTTTAATTCTTTTCTCTGATTTTACGTATTGGTCTAGAAAGTTGTAGTTATCTATTACAGTATACAATAAATGAACAAAACATAATTAAACTAACTACTATCTTACATATTCAATATTCATACTCATACATAGTAGATACCGACACATTACGCTTTCTTTCCAGACATGTCTTCTTGATATCTTAGATACTGCAGGCCAGGAAGAGTATTCTAACATGCGTGATGCCTACATGAGATGTGGTGATGCGTTTGTTATTGTATACGATGTTACCTCCAGAGCAACATTTGAGGAGGCTCTCTGTATCTGTCAGTGGATAAAGCGAATAAAAGATTCAGAGAATATAAGCGCAGTGAGTATAAAATAGTCAAAGTGTGTATTAAGTCCTGCTTATAAACAAAAAAAACATTACGTCAAGCTTGTAACTGAGCTTCCTAAACAATCAGCATTTGAAAAATACTTCAGTGATCTTTACAATTCAAACACTTGAGCAATTAGTGTCACATGCATCTCAAACACCTCAACAATCAGCACTACACTATGTTAGAACTTTAACAATCAGAGTCATAACCTTTAACAATCAGCACCAATATCAAACACTTGAGTGATTAGCATCATATGCATATCAAACAGACAATCAGCATTTCATCAAACACTCAGGATCATAAAACTTTCAGCAACATTTGTATTGCAGTTCATAATTTTAACTGCAGTGTGTGTTATTTTAGGTGTTATGTGCCAACAAGATAGATCTTAATGAGCAACGTGATGTTCCAACCATTGATGGTATCCAGAAAGCTAAGGAACACAATCTTGGTTACCAGGAGGTATCTGCTAAGACAGGGCAGTCCATATCACAACTATACCATGAAGTTATCAAACAAACTGACAGAAATGGTGCTGAATATAAGGTATATTTACATTGTACATCATATTTGATTATTTCCACATTATACTGATATAACTCCAGAGACATTATTGCTACTGAGATTGTCCCTTCCGTACCAATATTTTCTGTATTGCGACGGATATGATCAACAGGGACAATCTCATACAGATTGGTACAGCACAAGAACTGACCAATCAGAGGGCTTCATTTTACAGATCATACGATAATCAGTTTTACGTATGTCCTATCGACCCTATTTTATACCACATTGACACCCATATTTAATATTCTGAATATACAAGGGGCGATCCATATATTCTGATAAAAATGCTCTCATTTTGTGATTTTTTTTCACATATCCCTCTAATTTTTCAGAACTTGAAGATTATGTAATTACACATACATTACTAAAATATTATAGCTATATCTTAAACTATTTTTGAGATAAGGTTGCCATGGTAACCTGTATTTAGGGTAGGCAGGTCAGTTAAGTTATAACGTATAAAATAGATTTTGTTAATTTAATCATTCCTCGGTTCCTATTTCAAGCAGATCAAACGCATTATCCAGGTCATTACCAACTATTCTTTGAACTGCTCCATACCCCTATTGCCCTTGTTTGCTATTTCCACATTGGAATAGTTCTTTTTTCATAATTTGCATCTCAAATTATCATAGTGTTATTCTCTGTCCGCAAGCTCTTCTTGCAACCAGATTGAGAATGATATTCAACAGTGACTAGCCTTCCTCAAATTTACAATACTACCTAGAGATCCTTAGAGCAGATATAACACCTTGTCCATACACTATACGAGTCCATGTATGTCTCTGGCAGTGTCCTCTTACTTATTCTTGATAGTACATAAAATCTAATGGTACTCCTAATGTATCTGTTAATGTCACACTCTACAACAGCCGCACTAACCTCATCTGATCTGTCATTTTGATATTTGGTGTGTCTCATGACATGTAATTTCAATTTGCCAATCCTGTCATACATTGCTATTGTGAGTTGTTGTGATGTTATAATGATCACAAATAAACATTGGTTTAGCAACAAACAATGAGAAACAATACCAAACTTTTTTCAGAAAAAATGAATGATATCTGCATGCTTTAAAATAATTAAAATAACAAGTTATTATGATATTTTATATGTTATAATTTAAGTGACCTGCCTACCCTTAATACAGGTTACCATGGTAACCTTTTCTCTTAATTAATTTAAGATGTAGCTATAATATTTGAGCATTGTATGTGTAATTACATAATCTACATTTTCTGAAAATATGAGATGGATATGTGAAAAAATAGCAAAATGAGAGCATTTTTATCAGAATATATGTATCATCTATGAGTTGGTTAAATTATGTTTATGTATTTCTTTCTGTTCACATTGAACTCTCTTAGAGTATTGTAATTTGAGATAAACGTGAGTGCTGTAGTGATCGTCACAGTTATGATATTTAACATTTACACTATAACATAGGTTGTTATGCTGGGTGCAGGGGGTGTTGGGAAATCAGCCATCACAGTGAGGTTTGTTGCTGATGTCTTTGTGGATGAGTATGACCCAACCATAGAAGACTCATATAGGAAACAAATCGTCATACCTGATATTCCCAAACATAAAATGAAAAGTAAGCTTTCAGATGATATATAAGAGTATTTTAGTAAACATGTTAAGTTTAAGTTGAAATAATGGGATTTTAGAAACATATGCTTAAAAATATGCTTTTAGTTTATACATATCAAAATAGACCCATATCCCCAATGACATTTTCTTTTAACATAGAGGTCAAGAAAAGAAAGGATGGTCTTGCCAGAAAGCTTAGTTATTTACTGGACAAGAAGCATTCTAAGGTATCAACAGCTTCAACCACATCCTGCCCTATGATACGATGTCCCAAGGCATCATCAAACTGCATCCTGTTGAGATTAGGTTCAATAGCAGAGCAGGTGAACATTATGACTGGAGATCCAATGAATTGTGGGAAGTGTGGTATTGTGATGTCACACTTGTCAAGTTTACAAGAACGAAATGGCAAAGTGTTATGGCAGTGGTAAGTCTTTGGTCAAATGTTAAACCGTTGCTATCTGAATTAAAAAGCTCAATGTCTGTTGTATATAGAGAATTGATTCAATAATTGTAAATTTAGTCATTTACATTCTAACAAATGAATTTAAATATTGCATTATGAAGACTCGTGGAAAGGCACCTGTCATATAATAATGGTGAAATATTTTTAGTGAATTCTGTGATTACAACAACATAGATATAGATATTGATGCAAATGAGATGCCAACTCATCCAGATGTTGATTACATCATATCATCACCAGATGTCACTGCACAGGAAGTAACAGGACAAGGAATTCTGGTCTACTGTGTTGACGTTAGTGGCTCGATGTGTATGAGTACAAATATTCCCTCATTACAAGGTGAATAATTGAGTTAGATAATTGGTTTAGTTTTATGTCACCACCACAATAAAAATCAATAAAAATGACTTTTTATTGTGGATGTGTTCCGTGGGTGGTGTTTGACAGTTGGTGTTCAGCAGTCCGCATTTGGCATCTGCAACAAATGGTGACATCTTGCATGTTAATGCCCTGTATTTGTTTATTCAACATTCAACATAAGTAGCGTTTAATTACTTTGATCATTCATAATAAGTTGGTAGCCCTGCGGTAGAATGCTAGCTTAGCACGCAGGCGGGCCGGGTTCGAATCCCACAATCACTTTTTTATTTTTTTTTAACTAAATGATTGTTCTTTGATATTACGCAGTAAAATAACAATTTTTATTTACAGAAACTTTATATTAGAGCTTGAAAATTTAAAAACAATATATGTCAACATATTGCGTTTTGGAGCTATGTGCAGGTTTAAGTTTTCAGTTTCATTTGAATGTCCACCTCATGCCTGACTGCACCCCTGATCACATGAAGCATTGTATTCATAAAATACTAATTCCAGGTCTACAATACAATTACATATTATTCTACACACTGTTTTCTAGCTGAATGGAGTAGCATTAGAAGCGGCTCTATTAAGAAGCAGTACATCTCTAGGCTTCAATGTGTACAGACAGCAATAAAGAGGTATAGTTTGTCCAACTGATCATGTGGTATGTGTCACCATAATTTCCAAGAACAGCTTTCCTTTTTGACATCCATATCTTGTTTGTGCATAGGCCTTTAATACAGATATTTGTTTTACCTAAGAACTATTGTTATTACATCTTTGTAACACACACTTATCAACTCAATAGAGTAAGAGATTACAATTACGATATACTGTGTCTACTGTACTTAATAATCATATATTAAGCAGCGATAAAAACGTGATACATTGTACCAATAATCTTGTCACCATAGCTGCAGATGTGCCTGATAATAGTGACAGTGTTTCTAAAAAGTTGGCAACTAACCTTCCAGGCAACTAGAAAGATTGAAGATTGAAAACCCAGAGAAGCGTGTTGCTATGGTAACATTTAGTAATGATGTCACAGTACTAGGGGATGCTGACGGTGTACCAATAACTATTGCTGGAGACAAACTTGAGGACTTTGACAAACTTATTGCTGAAGGGTGTGCTCTTGGGAAGACTTTGAATATAGATTGTTTGGCAAGATCGGACAGGTGCGTCGAAATGACTTTGAGTTTTACAAAAAACAGATATTTAAAAGATGGATATTGGTAATAAAAATATATTAATGTAAATATTAATATTAGTATATTAATATAAATATGAAAAAGATGGATATTCATTATCCACATAAAATGTTTGATTTCAAACAAAGTGTAAATGGTATCAATCTTTGAATGTTTAGTTTTGTGAAATATTTTTTAATTTAACATCTTCATTCAGACTTCATTTTGAAGAGATTTATGAAAAGTATTTCTATTTATTTAATCTACAGCAATCTCTCAAAGAAGATTGATGAGCTAGAGGAGGGAGGACAAACAGCTCTTGGACCTGCTCTTGCTATCTGTGCCGGTTTAGTGTCTCACTCCCCATGCTCAGAAATAGTGTTGTGTACAGATGGACTGCCAAATATTGCACTTGGAGCTTTAGATGATCCTCAAAGTGCAGATGAGGCATTTTATTCCAAGGTAAGTGTGTCTCATATGTTTAAAGCAAAGATGTGGCCAAACCTGTCTGATAAAGAGATCATGGTACATTAAATACCCATACCCTGACGGCAAAGATTAGTTACAGAATAATGTTAGGAAATGAAGTAAATGGGTAACGGGGACTTACAGAGGTACATACTGGTTCACTGGTTTTAGTATACAGTATACAATTATTGACCTCTCCATTCGGTTTACTGTCAAAATTATATCCCGAGACTGTAAACCGAGACCGTAGTCTCGGTTTACATTCTCGGGATATAATTTTGACAATAAACCGAATGGAGAGGTCTATAATTGTTTTGTTAGTCCGAAGAATATCTTAGATTTTTCTGACCCTTGAAGTTGACTTGAAGTTGGATGCAGACCCTCGAGACGTTCATGTTGTATCTACATCTGCCACGGCAGTAAGTTCACTCAATGGAGTCAAATTACTCTCCTGGGCGAAGTCCACTAAAAGCTTTGTACAAAGTTTTAGATTTTTCTTCGTATTTTGACTGTCTTTACTCTCTAAGAGACTAATAATATCCTCATCTTCAACATTTTTGAAACGGCTAGTGCTAGCGGCGGCCATTTTATCGTCTGATAATGACGTCATTTTAGTGGAATGCTGGGAATATTATTCACCGGCAATGCATTGCGCGGTGTACAGTTAAAATTATTCACCGCTCGTTGACCAATCAAAATCGAGTATTTCAACTGAGGTACTAACAATAAAACCTGTCTCAGTGGAACATTTTTGGTACCTCTAAAAAGTGTTCCACTTGGAAGGTGTTCCACTTATAGAGGTTCATTAAACATTAAGTCAGTTGGTCTGACTGAAAAGTGTTCCACAAATAGGGGTGTTCCACTTGTAGGAGTGTTCCACTTTACAGGTTTCACTGTACTTGTACACTGTATCTGGTTTTAGATAGGGAAATATGCTAGAGGAAACCAGACAAAGATTTCCATCATAGGAATAGAGGGTGAGGAGTGCCAGATAGAAACAATAGGACAATGTGTCACAGAAACATCAGGGACCATCAACATTTTGAATCCGTTAGAGCTGATTCGACAATTGAGACTCATCTCCCAGAATCCCACAGTGGCAACAGATGTTATTTTGAAATGTTTCCTCCATCCTGATATGCAGTTTGAAAGGGAGGTGCGTATAATTTGTGAATAAGTTTGTTGTGCTATTCATTGGAACCCTCATTAACAAGAATCAACCTGTAAATGATTATGTCAGGAACCTCACTTAGGACCTTAAATAAATACAAGGCATTAACATGCAAAATGTCACCACCTGCCATTTGTTTCAGACAGAACACCAACTGCAAACACCAAGCACCAAACATTGTCCACAAAAGTTAGATACTAAAATAGTTGGAGACTATAAGAATATGTCGCAACCATGTCATCACTTCTGGTAGTGACATAATAGACTGCATACCATGTTAAAAGATTTGAGATTTACTTGTGTACATGAGAAATATTTTATATTTCAGGACACCAACATTGTTGAGAGAGCCATCGGAAATGTTACCAAAGACATGGATGTAACGTTTAGTTTCAAGTCCAGTGAGCATACTGACAGAAAGAGAAAAAACATACCTTTCCAAGTAAGATATTCAACGCCTTTCCTCAAGGAATTTTTAAACATATATTAAGTTATATATAATGATTTCATTCCAAGGGTCAATGTTACATATTATACAGATAAAATTGCAGTGAATCATTTTATCAGAAATGCAAACTGTATGATCTACCAGCTGAGGGTTTATGTTACATTACATTACAGGCACAACAGAAGTTACAGAAACCATACCTTTACCAGCTGTCACTTAGTTGCCTAGGTAATTTCTTACTGTTCTATTGTGTTTTAGGCACAGATAGTTTACACAAGACCAGATGGTATGAAATGTATGAGGGTAATTACAAAGAAGAAAAATACAACAGAAGAAAGATTTAAAATGGAACAGGTACATTGTAATTTTTTCATGAATTCATTGAAGACATCATATTTTGAATTTTCATTGTTACTTTACTCCTTAGGGGGTGGCAGGGGTATGTATGTATCATGTCTAAAAACCGCAAGTGAAAGAAATCTTACTTTTAATTTTGTCCAGTTGGTCAGTTGTTTGTCCTAATTTGGTAACCCTTCAGCCTCACATTCAATGTACCACAGCTAACTTAAAATCCTGAATCTGGTACAGCGTGTGACCTAAACTTCGTCGTGTATAAATAAATAGTTGTAACATATTGTTAGAGTCTCCAACTCTTTTTGTCGACAGTGTTGGAACTTCAGTTTCTGTAACAAGTGGTAGGTGGTTACATTTTCATGTTATATAATGCCTTGATGTTTGATTTTTTAGACTGTCAATGTTGCTGTAACGGGGCTTGCTTGTGTACAAAGATCAGCTGATATAGCACAAAAGGGAGAATATAGTGAGGCCATGAACCATATGTAAGTACATATACCATATGTAAGTACATATACCATATGTAAGTACATATACATACAATCTAGCTTATAGTGGTTCCTTAGATGAGAATTATACAATTATATGTTGAGATTTTAACCTCATATGTCCAATAATGGTACAGGGTTATGTGAGGTTATGAACTCGACAGATCATTCTGGGATTGTAGACCCTGAGACCATTCTTTTAGTTGTGAATGTACAGGAGAATGCCCTTGGTTCTACAAGAAGTGGGCAATTTTACTGTGAAAAACCTACCATTTGTAACAGACACCAACCACAGAACACCATCCACAAAAAGTTGGAGACTATAACAATATGTCACCACTTGTGGTGGTGGTGACATAATAAAACAAAATGTCAACACTTGAGGTGGTCATGACGTAATAGTAAAATGGGAGATCACACATATATCTAGTATAAGTCTCCAATATATTTCCAGTTTGTCAGTAGAAAGGCTGGTTTCAAGAGGGGCCCATCTCAATAGCCAGATGGAGGAACAATATAATTTTAAAACAGAGAGTGAGGACTTGAGACAAACCCTCTTTGAATGTGAACAAAAGGTAATGTCATGTATAATATTTATATCAATACGAAACCCATTTCTTTTCGTATAGAGGATGGAGGCAATGACGTCCATGTAGGTAATTACCGGACAAAGGAAGGCCTGCATTGAGTGTCCGACAATTACCTACATGGACGCGTTGCATCCGTATACTCTATATTATAATCACTGCGATATAGTGTTTTAATGAAGATATGCAAGACCGACAGAGATTTTGTACCATGTATTCTATTGCATTGTAATTCATAATTGCATGTATTCCTATTTTCAGAAGAGCAATAAAACATCAGACAATGTGTCCAAACTTTTCCACACTAAGAAGTCCTGTTACCTTGGACAGTTTCTAAGTGGAGCTGCTAAGAAAGACCTTGCGATTAAACGCAAAACTGATGATTCTCTGAGGAGACAATATTATGACTACAGATATTAACCCAACATGGGAGCAGAGAATATATTTTATAGAAGAGGTCAGTTAATCTCAAGACTGAATTGAATTTGAATTATTGCTAGAGAAAGCTGTGTAAATTACATGGTAGCCATTTTGCTCTTTAAGAGTGCAACATTTATTACTCTGTATCTTGTTGGGGAATTGTATGTACTGTTATAAACCACATTATTGTGATATCAATTTATGCAATAAGCAATATATTTTCATAATACTTGTACATTGACTTGTGACTTCTGAATAAATCAATACACTTGTAACTCAAGCTGACATTAAATAAGAAACACAACGTAACATTGTCCAGTTGGATCTTCATTTTATTAATATTGGCACATAAAAATGTACAAAATACAAATTGGAATGTTTATATATCAGCTGTGTCAAAAACAGTAAAAAATAAACTTTAAACCATCAGGGGCATATTACCAGAAGACTTTGTAAACATGAAGAATGTATTCTTCTCGTTAATTATACGGTTACAACAGTGCATTTGGGGTTCAAAATGTTTTGGTAATATACTCCTATGTAACAGTCTATGAACTGTACAAATTAATAATCATTGTATATATGGCACAAATCATCTGTAAATTTTTTATTCTAGTATTCATCATTTAAAAGATGATTGATATTGATTAATGATTACATAATTAAATTGCACTTGAATTGTTACATCATAATACTACAATTTTACATAATAGCACCACAGTGTACACTATTTACTTATCTGATAATACAGTTTAAGTCACATTGTTAAAAATTTCAATCTTACTTTCAGCTTTACAATTTGGAAATACATATATAATGTATAATGCCTCAGTCACATTTGATCTACGGCAATGCACGGCGCATGTAGCTTCCCAAAATCGAGAGAAATATGCAGCATAAAACATATAGAATAAGCAGTATGATGTAGATTTTCTATGACGATTTTGTGAAGCTACAGCCGCCAAAGAGCAAATGTGATTGAGGCTTTATTACAGCAAAACCTTATATCTGATCAACTCTAATCTGAACACCTCTCAATATGAACACTCTCTCAGTTGAATTTTTGTAATCGACCATTGACTACCTCTTTAATTAAAGAAACACAGGGAACAACTACTATTCTGAACACGTTAAAAAGCCTAAATCCTCAAACACAATGCATTGCTGTAATACATAACTTACATGTCCAAGTGGTGTTCCAATTAGACAGCTTTAACTGTACCTTTAAAAGCACTGTATAAATGATGTATATATTTACTCTTGCAAAATACTGTATATCATTATAATTGAGCGATAATGTACTTTGTATGGAAAATGTATTCAGTGATCTCCCCAGTGCAAGATCAACTGGGTCCGACATGTCATTGATCAATCTGTTTGCATCCTGTCCAAAATATGAAATATTGAGGAATTTGGTAAAAATGAAGTTTTTGCACCCTGTTGGTAAAAACCTGGGGAGATTACTGATGTTTCACACATTAATGCCATGCTCACATTTACTCTTATATTCAGTACTGGTGCTCAGCTGATGAGCATTTTGTTCAAAATTGAACAAAATACTCATCAACTAGGTGGCAGTGTTGAAGATCAGAGCAAATGTGATGATGGCATAAAGCTAAATCTCAGAAATCTAAATAAATGCCAAATAATACCTATATCTCATGTCTTTATCTTCATCAACAAGAGGGTACCAGAGTACATAGTTAGTACTCCAAACATTGTTATGTATATTATATCCTATACCTGCAACACATTCCCCTCTCGTTATCTGCCCAAGAGGCACTGGGAAGGGGGTAGGTCCATAAGTGGGAGTTGGCATTGAAGTGTAAACTATCGGAGAAATCAATGGAACATCAGGAGATTTCAAAGAAAACTGACGATTTACCCCATCTTTGTATAACAGACCTTCAACCACTGAAATTAGTAGACAAAATAATCTTTTTATAATTTACTAATATTCAGTTTTTAGTCTTCTTGTTTAAATGTCATAGATGTGCAGCTAAATTGGTAACTACATTGTACTTGAGAACTTGTTTGACAATTTCTGATATTCATTATATTCATTATGTCTCGCCTCAAATTAAGAAATTGTAACATTCATATTTCATAAGAAAATCTAAAAATAGTAACAATTAACATATACAGCAAGTTGGTTAGAAATTCAAAATTTGTCAAAACTGCATGAATCGCATACATGAAACATGTATTGCATGGCAACCACCCATTGTGTGAATTGTCATAAAAGATACACTACATGTAACATGTCCTTTATGTAGTAGTAAAATAGAGAAGAGGGGGTATTCTCAAGAGAAGAGGTAAAGGGCTAGAGCTTGATATTGACTGGTAGACTAGGGTACAAATTAAGTGCATTAATTATTGTAGAATTTGATTGTATAATCATGGGAGATCAATCATTGATTTTTCAAAGTAAACTCAGACCTAGCACTTCTCCAAAATTGTCTCAATGTCCATACCTTTTTGTGTCAAACCTAAACTATGTTATTTCAAGTAATGTTAATGAAAGTACCTCTTTTCTTCATTTTAAATTAATTACACATTTTTAACACACATTGTTTAAAACACAGGCATGGATCTTTTTGAGATAGATGAATATTTGTTGGTTTGCTGTAAATGTTAATAACAATTTTGTCAATCTATCTTTGATTCCATCTTTAAGTGATTCTGCGTAAAAAGAACCTAGATTTCAGATTTTTATCGTCATTTATAAATGGATACCAAAATATCCAATTGGTGCTCCAAATATTGTTTTGAACATTAAAACCAGCGCCATGTATGCATCCATCAATTCGCTGAAGTGGAACAGGGAATGGTGTAGGCCCATAACTAAAAGGTGGCTTATCAGTGTGTACTATGGGAGATACTAAGGGAACATCATAAGAGATCACGGCTAAATGTTGTTTATTTCCCATGTTTGTGACTCTTTCAACCACTGCAATGAAACAAGCGCTATAACAGTAAAGACCACTTAAAGTCAATAGTGATAAGGTGATTACAAAACTGTGCACTCTTAACTCAAATTTGTACAACTTCTTTTATTAGTCATTGAGGAATGGAGGTATGCATCCTCCGATCACAGGGCTTCAAAATCAAGAATATATTATTTCTTTTTACCCCTTGCGATAAGCTGTTAGCATTTCCCCGATTAAGAACTCGCAATCTGATTGGCTGTGACAGAAATCATGTATAAGTCATTGAGCATAATTAGATCATGTGATTCAGTTTAATTGGGCGCTTCCAAATTGGTTATAGCAGGGGGAAGGAGGTATGGATTCTGGATACCTGCTTTAAGGAGGATGGAGGGATGAAGCCTGTGAAATGTGAGCTGTAGATATGAACCAATTCACGAGTTGGGAAGACAAGAAAAAGAGAAAATCAAGCGCTAGCCTTATCTGAAAACCTTAATATTAAACTAGGTATAGAAATTTGGGGTCATGAATGTTGCCATTTGTGCTCTCCATATTTTATACTGATACTTACCATGTTGGTATTGGCTGCCATTTTTCATGACATTGTAGAAACTGACAGGTCGGCCTATTTTCACCATGTCCCAATGACAGCTGCTTTCGTCCCCATCATTCACAAACTCCACAAAAGACGCTTCTGGCATCCTGGTTGATGTTTTACCAAACAGCTCCAATGTAATATCAACCCCTATAATAAAAATTCAATCATTTTCTATCTATATTGTGACCTATGGTGTTTACATCTTCAAAATACAAAATGTAGCTTATGAATGCCATTATGCCAAGCAGAGTGAAAAATCACTGAGACACTTTAGTACTGAATATACTGGTTTGTCTCAAAAAGACTTGATCATCTTATTTATTTCATTATGTTTTAACTCACTCAAATAATAATTTTTGAAAATGTTGTTTTGCATTCACTTAAAAAAAATTAGTACCGTGGGTACTGGGCTCACATGGTGACAGAAAAAAACTGATATAATTTTTTGCTGATTTTTTGTAACAAAATTATTTCAAGCCATCTGTCTCTCAGTCAATTAAAATGGCTGAAAAAAAACGGATATAATTTTTTGCCAATAATTTGTAACAAAATTATTTCATACAACTACTCTTTACAGTGACATGGCTTTTTGCAATGCAAGACACCTGAAATTATTTGTAAAGCTAGGAAATGGGCCAAAATTGAATTCCGCGAGACAAAAATGGGGACCATTTTGAAATCAGGCAAGCTTTTGAACCAGGAGTCATAGGGGAGTTTTTTGTATTGATGTTGAACAAAAATAACTTGAAACTGGAATCCTTTCGACAGAGGTTTTAAGCAAATGGTCCAAAAGAGGATTTCGCGAGACAGATGGACAAATCAATGTTAACTAAAATGGCTGAAAAAAAAAAATAAATAAAATGGATATAATATTTTGCCGATTTTTTGTAACAAAATTATTTCATACAACTACCTTTTACAGTGACATGGCTTTTTACAATGCAGGACAGCTGAAATTATTTGTAAAGCTAGGAAATGGGCAAAAAGTGAATTTCGCGAAACAAGAATGGCAACCATTTTGAAAATAGGCGAGCTTTTGAACCAAGAGTCATAGGAGAGTTTTTTGTATTGATGTTGAACAAAATTAACTTAAAATGGGAATCCTATCGACAGAGGGTTTAAGGTAAATGGTCCAAAAGTGGATTTTGTGAGACAGATGGACAAATCAATGTTAACTAAAATGGCTGAAAATAAAGAAATGGATACAATTTTTCGCTGATTTTTTGTAACAAAATTATTTCATACATCTACTCTTTACATTGACATGGATTTTTACAATGTAGGACACTTGAAATTATTTGTAAAGCTAGGAAATGGGTCAAAAGTGAATTTCGCGAGACAAAAGTGACGGCCATTTTGAAAATAGCTGAGCTTTTGAACCAAGAGTCATAGGAGAGTTTTTTGTATTGATGTTGAACAAAAATAACTTAAAATGGGAATCCTATCGACAGAGGGTTTAAGGTAAATGGTCCAAAAGTGAATTTTGCGAGACAGATGGACAAATCAATGTTAACTAAAATGGCTGAAAATAAATAAATGGATATAATTTTTCGCTGATTTTTCGTAACAAAATTATTTCATACATCTACTCTTTACTTTGCAATGAATTTCTACATTGTAGGACACTTGAAATTATTTGTAAAGCTAAGAAATGGGTCAAAAGTGAATTTTGCGAGACTAAAATGGGGGCCATTTTGAAAATAGGCGAGCTTTTGAACCAGGAGTTATAGGGGAGTTTTCTGAATTCATGTTGAACAGAAATAACTTAAAACAGGAATCCTATCGACAGAGGTTTTAAAACGTGCCACTGTTATTGACAGAAAGTGGATTTCGCTAGTCAGATAGACAAATCAATGTTAACTAAAATGGCTGAAAATAAAAAAATGGATACAATTTTTCGCTGATTTTTTGTAACAAAATTATTTCATATATCTAATCTTTACATTGACATGGATTTTTACAATGTAGGACACCTGAAATTATTTGTAAAGCTAGGAAATGGGCCAAAAGTGAATTTCGCGAGACAAAAGTGACGGCCATTTTGAAAATAGGCGAGCTTTTGAACCAGGAGTCATAGGGGGGTTTTCTGTATTGATGTTGAACAGAAATAACTTAAAACAGGAATCCTATCGACAGAGGTTTTAAAACGTGCCACTATTGTTGACGGACGGACAGACGGACGGACAGACGGACGGACGGACAGACAGACGGACAAGTGAGTGATTGCAAAAGCTCACCATGTGAGCTAATAATAATAATAATAACCCCCACCCCCTAACTCAATCAACTTCTGACTGTTGACAATTGGATTTCATCCCTTACCCTCTGGAGATATAGTGTATGTCTGCCAGATTTCTTTAGGAGCACCATAGTATGTGTACATCTCTGTCTCCTTGGCAATAAGGTGAAGAAGGAATGTACAGTCAGCATCTGGAAATATATGGAACTTTTTTAGGAAATTGACCTTCAGTCACATGCAGTTTGTACCACCATAAGCTGGTGGAAGCATTCTCCAACAAAAAGCATGCCAATGTTTCCTTGCCTTCTTTTTTATCTGAAAAAGGAATATCTATGTGACCAAATATGGTCATATTGAAGTAAGTAAAGATTAAGATGCTAAAATTATTTGAAAATGAAAAAGGGTACCTTGATTTTTTCAATTTCTTGTGTCAAATAACTTTCAATATCAAAGAATAACTCAAAACTATTTGAATCATAAAAATGTTGTGAGCAAAAATTATTGTAACAATCTTTTTTAAAATTTACCCAATTAGTCATTGTTGCAACTTTAATATTTTGTCAACACAGTCAATATAATACAAATACAAACAAATATCATACTTTACCTTTAGATCTATATAGTTCCGTCAAAGCCATAGACCACTTTCTGCTCTCAGCATGTGTGTTGTTGGTGAGATTAGTTTTGTAGAAGACATTGCCATAGAGATATGTGTATTGTTTAGCAAAGTTGTCAAAGTCAGAGAGATTGTATGTGTGATATGTATACTCTCCCAAAGTGCCCTTCCATTTTATTGGTTCTTTCTGCAATAAAGGTGGTCATAGTTATCGATAATAGTTCAGGCCCGTAGCCAGGGAGTGAGGTTTTGAGCAGTTTTCACTTTTCACCATTCCGAGCACTTTTCAAGGGATTTGGGCCAAAAGTGAACCCCCTTGGCAAAAACTGGCTACTGGCGCCTGTAGTTGGTTAAATACCATGTTGTACTGATCAAATTGAAGATATGTGTATGTACATGCTACAGAACCAGTTACTATGTTTAATAGATTAAGTTAATTAATTTTGAAATATAAAAAGGTCAGAACATCAAAAGTTTGTATCAGAGTCTATTGATTAAAAAAACTCTTTCGAACATTTATCATACTACAAATAAACCTCATAACTATATCACAAGAACTCACTTTCTCATCAGTTAATGACAGGTGGTTTATAGCCCCTGTATTACTAAAGGTGACCTCCATATTCTTTAAAGTTGGACAAGTGTATCTTTCAGAGGGGAATGTCATCTTCTCATAATCTGAAATGTTGATTAACAACAGAATCATTAGAGGCTTGTGGGGGTATTGTGAGGTATCATGAAGTGTACTGTGCACGAGTACAATGCAAATGGTGGAACCATGAACATTCAACTCTAAGTTGAATGCCCATGGTGGAACGCAAAGAGAAAAAGTTGGATTTGCAATAAATAAAATAGATATATGAATATGAGTGGTTGTCATTGGAATGTTAGTTATTAGAACAGTAAAACCTGTGTAAGTTGAACATCTTTGGTACCTCTAGTGTTCCACTTGGGAAGTGTTCCACTTACAGGGATTTATTATTAACAATAAGTCAATAGGCTGCATACAGGACTTTGAAAAGCGTTCCACTTACAGAGGTGTTCCACTTTACAGGTTTTACTGTATATCATGTTGTCATATTTTGATGTATGTATAATGTTGCTACAGTAAATTAGTATGCACATGTTTTAAAGTTAAGAAATTTGAAACTAATGCTTAAAATGCTTACTAGCCAAATCAGGTAGAGTGGCGTCTAACTCTTTAATAGCCTTTTCCATGTCATAGGCAACTTGACGCGGTTTTAAAGTCTCCACTGTGATTCTAGAGAACTCCCTCTGCTCCAGCCAAGATAAGGTACAATTCTTATAGTTTGCTCCTGTTGGTAAATACATCGGCCATAGTTTATAAATATTCAAAGGATTCTCTGATTCAGACAGAATATTCTGTAGTTGTAACATAACAGCTTCAAGATTAAGATCTAGTTCATTAATACAATCATGAATTCTTGGAGCTAATGTTTTATTTCATTTCTCTTTAGTTGCACTAATAATATCATTGATAAACAGATCTCAAAAGGAGTAAACTACATAATGTTTATTGTATTGCACTGAATTTGTATTGTTTTATGTATGATGTATATTAAGCTTTCCTCGCTTATAATTACTGTCTAAACACAAGTTATTTTTCTCCATTGACTTAATTCCACAGAACACAAACTTATCATTATTCTTGACATCCTTTGTATAAATTCTTTAACACAATTACCTCACCTGATTTAGCCTTATTGAAAGCAGTGTTTGTCCAGTTGACATTGTCATTCACAGAAGGTAAACCCCAGGTGTGTTCGGGTGTCTTCAATAGAAATCTTGTAGCATTGTACACATCTTTATCCTCAAAACTGCATGCACCTATGACAATAAAATATAAATAATTCAACTCATAATAGTCTTTGATTATAACAGGTATACTTTGTCACACAACAGTTTTTGACCAGCATGGCAAACCTATGGAATCACCCAACCATCCATGTGTTTCTGTCTGTCTGTCAGAAAAATGTCTATATTAATATTTTCTTTTGCATTGCAATTTTATTTTGTAAAAATTTCATTTTGATATGATTCAACACTTGCCACTAGCCTTTGGTTTTACATACAAAATGACATGAAGGAAATTCTTTATAAGCAAAACAGTGTATTATAACATGTCCCAAGGTCATAGATACCTACCACTACTCAAGCATTTCTCCAATAAGCCAGAAACCACTCGATATTCTGCATTCTTCCTTGGATCTGATGCGATACCCTGTAGTAACACATAAGTTAAAAAATAGCAATTAAAATAAAGTCATATGCACAGTAGAGTGAAACCTGTCTTTATGAAAACCACTCTACTAAGTACTTGCCCTTTATTCATTGAATAAAGTTGCATAGATTTTTATGAAAAGTTCTGGGAGTGTGGGGAAAACCACCAGCTATCAAGTTTAATGAGTTTGACCAGTGAATATCACATGATCTGTCATGTCTTGTACTTTGAAGAGTTATAAGAATGGAATAATGACAGTGACACAGTTATACTCCGATTCTTTACTTAATTTTACCAAAGCTACATTAAGTTAGAGATAAGATGGAAATTTTACTGTAAATTATATGAAAAAACAAGATATTAACATGTAACCACCTGCCATTTGTTACAGACACTGATCACCAAACACCAATTGCCAAACACTATCAACAAAAAAGTTGCAGACTATAACAAGATGTCACCACTTGTGATGGTGACATAAAATTAAAAGAAGGACAAATAGTTTTTTTTATAAATCACCTGTATCCAAGTGTCTCCTATTTCATTGTATGTTAAAGGGAGAGTGCTCCTCACTTCAGCATCAATGGTTTGGATGTAGTCCTCAAACGATGAAGCTCTAATGTTGGCTCCGGGAAATTCAGCACGGAGAATCTCATAGTTCAATAAAATTTCCTGGAATGGAAATCATATTGTTTAAAATTGCAAACAAAATGGCACCAATTTAAGAAGAGATGAATCTATGTATTCCTTGTTGGGCTAGATTTCCATGCACCTGAATATGACAGCACCAAGGAAGTCAGTGGCTTTGATAATGCTCAACATGCTCAAACAATTCCAACCTTCAAAAATATGTTTTCTACTCATTATATCTAAAATTGCTTCACATACTTTTTTATCACAAGGATATTAAAGGAAACTCACGAATCATAAATCAATGATTACAACCAATCAAAAAACAATCAATTAATGAACAATCAATCAATCCCTCAATCAATTAATATCTCAGCCTCACCTGCACACTTTCTGGGGGTCCAGAATTATCCGTTCGAAAAGCAAAGCACAATACATGCTTGAAGTTTGGAATAATGTGACAGTCCTTCTTGGAGAGACCCCCAGGGTTAGCTGGGTTAGGTCCAGGATTCATTGGGTAACCTCCTGGAGAAATAAGAATATGATGTGTTTTGTGTAACATGCACACTGTACATTGAACATATGATGTAATCACTTATAAGTAATTTCATTTAATTGGAGAAAACAAAATTTCATCCAATAATATAATTCTATGTTTTATGTTCAGTTTTAATCATGGGGAGTAAGTCACACTTCCCTCTTATATTCTGTAGCCTATATTATAGAGAATATTTAAGAGGGGGGGCTGACTCCCTGTGGTTTTAATTAAGAAAAATTCCATCGAATTGTCTATGCATTTTGCAAATTACAAAACAAATTTAGATTAATCAACAATCACAATAATCTTTGTAAAAGAGAATTATCAATGGATCAACATGAAAATGTCGACTCCGGCAATGGTTTCAACAGTGTAGTTGAAACGACCCTTGGGCACGTCCGTCGGGAAGCTGTAGTGTAACAAACCAGATACCAGAATTGAAAGAGAGTGTGTTAAATTCAATACCCTGTATGGGAATTGACACCAGGACCTTCCCCTCTCGAGTTAGATGCTCTACCCTTGAGCCATAAGGGCTAGCCACTACAGCTGAGACTGAAGTAACGACATGCAATCGAAGGTCATTACATAATAATTGTAATTGTTACAGGTACCAGTGAAGCACCAGTTCTAATCGCTGATCCAAAGTGCCACTCCTAATGTTACCATTATGAGGACATAAAAATGATAGTATAAATCTCACATTAGGCCATTCAGCCTTTGAACTTTTATAATTATAGACTATTACCTGGATGCCAAAGCCCCAGCACTTCCCATGACTGTTGAGACCCATGTGGATCTGTGTACTCATAGCCCCATCTAAATACAGGGGCAGGTACTGCAGGGGGACTTGTAAATGGATTAACACCAACACTTACAGCTTCTACACCCCACTTTTTCAATGTTGGGATAACTGCATTTGTTAAACCTAAAAATATATCTACACATCACAGGTAGTTCTGAAAATTTACAATGAACAGGGGCAAAAAGTTTACAAACTTGTGTTTGTAAAATCTCCGATCCAATTTTCAAAACAAGACTTGTCTTTTTTAAAAAGGCGCATTTTCAAGCAATAATATATCTTGAGCTTTTGCTTTTGCTTTTGTCACAAACTTATTTATTCCAGACCTATTATTATTAATTTATTATTATTATTATTTATTTATATTATTTTATTTATTTATTATTTATTTATATTATTTAACATTTCATCTGATGGAACACCAAAATACTTGTACTAGTATAGTAATATGTGACTGCCAGTTGCCAACAAGATATTACAAAGATATCAACACATGCCTCATACACGCTTTCTCCTAGTCCAAGTTACTAACTACACTACACTACAGAATTCCTGTAAGTCTACAACTACACACATACCTGGCACATCTCTTTGACTTAAGACTCTGAGATCACGTTTGATTCCAAACTTTTTATCCAAGTCCATTCCAATAAACAAACTGAACTCTAAGAGGAATTCTGCCATCATTTCAGACTGCATGTTCATAGCCCCAGCATGCCATGTGATGTCCCCTGCATGAATTGCTTCTGTCATATTCTTAATCTGTGTTGCATTGGGACACTGAAACAAATGACATGTTATACAATAAAACTCAAAGTGGAACACCTCTGAAAGTGGAATGGTGAACACTTTTGTAAATGCAAAACCTTTCTGAGTCCCATGATCAAACAACATTTAAATGAACCTCTATACGAGTAAGAAACAACTCCTAAGTGAAACACTTTTTTGCCCCAGCACTAGAAAATTACAATCAACTCGTCTCATTTGCACATTTAACATACTGTATGTCTGAATTCTTACTTGTAACTCTAATATACATATCCATCAATATGTCTATATGTACACACAATGTCTCACAACTATAATGTTTTTACCTTTAACTTAACACCACTAAGTACTAGATTTGGTGGGCAATCAAAATACATGCTCAGCAGCCATGGGTGTGTTGTGTACTTGAACGTTTCTACAAAGCCACCTTCGCGCAATTCTTTGGCAACTTTCACAGCCCTTGGAAAGTGTTCATGAAAATATGTGTTCAAAACATTGTTGATGAAACCAATTTTGGGGGCTATTCCATTGTAGCCAACATCTAAAAAGTGAAAATTATGTTTCATAAATAAAAATAATTATGAATCAATAAAAACCAAATGTATTTAATAAGTACTCTATTGAATACTATACTAGTAATGAAATACATGTACATGGAATCTGATCGTATAGTATTTAACTAGAAGTATTTTGCACCTGATGTTATCATCAATTTTACAATGGTGTACAGTAAGTATATAAACATTCTTAATATTCAGCAAATATGAGTTTACTTGAAACAAGAAGTATCATTCAAACCATTTCACAATCAGATAGCACTTGTGAAACTATTCTAATTTTACTATACAGAATTTGATTTGAAATAAAGTGATACAAGTTTTAGTTTCTACCTAAATGATTCATGAATATAACATGGATAGTTGTGTCTTCATTGGGTCTATCTTTGTCTGGAAGTTCATCAGCGAATAACCTCTGGTCCATGTTGAACACCCCATCACCTTCAGCATTTCCAGAAATCACCTTAAAATTAAAAATATTTAATACAAGTTATGGTTTCTATGGAGATGATGGCATTCTCTTTAGATCATCTGTGGGTTCTGGTAGAGAAAAGCAACTTCTTTTTCATTTGGGGCTATCTCAAGAGCAAATTGTTGACCACCCCTCCATCACATATTTTTACAACATTTTGAGGAAGAATCACCATTGAGGTTGCTTGAAAGAATTAGAAAGAATCACAGAAGAGCTGAGCATGACATGGAGAGATGGGTCCATCTGAGTGAACAAAGAAATTATGACCATGAGGAGGAGCATATGATGTAATCTAGCATGATTGAAAAATAATATGAGCCAATATCAGACACTGTGATGACAGCTCTTAAATGATGACAGGTGACAATTGAGCTGACTGGATCAAGCCTTGTAGACTTAGAATCATGCGGTTGTCAGTTCCAACCACACTGACCTCGTTCTTTCCACCCGACTATGTTAACGGGTGTTCAAAAAAAACGCAATCCAAAGAAATCGCTATATCTTGGAAAATTCTTATCCAATTTTGTTCATATTTTCAGGAAAGAAAGAAGAGACTGTGTATGTATAGCTCCTGTTGTTAGTTAGTTGTAAAACATGATGAATTGTACACCTGCTCAAAAGGCAGTAGTGCATGGAAAATACGAAAAACGTGAATGGAAAATCACTATATCTAATTTAATTATGTTCATTTTTTCAGGAAAAGAAAGGAGATATTGTGTATGTATAGCTCCTGTTGTTCGTAAGTTGTAAAACATGATGCATTGGACACCTGCCCAAAAGACAGTATGTTCTCGGAAAATACGAAAAAGGCAGTCAGAGGTGACTGCCACAGCAATAAAACCTCACAACTTTCTAACCATAGTGTTTTGGCACTTCAGATTTGGCACAAATTATCCTTATTCAATGTGTGCTGAAGTTTCATCAAAATCACTTCAGGGACTTTACAGTTATGGTCAAAATGCCTTCTGAAGTCTGCCTGAACCAGGGCGTTTGACTGAGATTTGAAAGCATTTTGACCATAACTGTAAAGTCGCCTGAAGTGATTTTAATTTCACTATAGAGATTTACCATACAGTGAATGAAGATGATTTCAAATTTGAATAAAATTCAAAAGTTTCTATTGAAAGTTCACTCACTGTAAATGATTTATTTTTGGGCTTTAAGAAACATACCAATGTAAAATTATCATACATAAATGAGCAAGCTTATGTCATTATCAATTTGCATATAAATACAGTACCTTACATACCTTGATCAATGTGATAAGTGCAAAAATATGAAGCAAATTTGGTGTCATTTTTACACCCCAATGTTTTGGTCACGTGCACCTGCAAACTAATCGATCAACTTTTTTGAATGGAGCGCATGCGTCGAATAGAATTTGACCAATCAGGTTTTATCTGGTTAAACGCATGCGCACATTATTTTTGCTGAAGATGGCGGAGTTGAGATTCGAAGCTCCTTTGGCCAATTTTGAAGGAGAAGAATGGAATGAATTTCACGATTTTCAGACATCAAACGAGGTGGATAATATGAATAAGGATATCAACAACATGGCTGAAAAATCTGACGCCGTAAAGACTGACAATTTTGACAATTTCAACGAAACAATCTCAATGTCTTTGGAAGATTTGGTGAACACTTTTGATGAAAAATTGTCAAAATGTTTCTGTAATTTTGATGAGAAAGTAGAAAAGTTCGCACCAGTTCAAGTACGAACGCAAGAGGAAATTATGTCTGATTGTCAGTAAGTATAATATGTGGTGATTTGATTATGGTTTGATTTCCAATGTTTTCTAGACATTCTACACTCTGTTAAGCATGATAAAAGGCAAGAAGTTTAGTTAGAAATAAAAGAGTTATCTCATGAATGGGACCCTTACATGGCTCCTAGAAGGTAGAAGACACTAAATGGTGTGACACTATAAGCTGAATTTTGTCCACATAGAGCATGTGCACAATACTAAAGACATGTAAAATTGAACTGTCAAAATAATAGAAATTACTCACCAGCTCGCCTCTACCGGAAGTTATGATACGTTATGGTGTAACTACGGTAATTAATTTTAAAATATTGAAAAAATCAACAACATTCAATTTCTAGGGTGTACAACCATTTTCGAGCGAATTTGCCGATATAATAACAATATTTTTGAGTTCCCCTAGGCTATATATAAACTTCATCAATACACAGTATATTCAACATAGGTTTTGCTTCTCGATTTTTAAATATCACTATGCAAAGTCAGGGACTCATTTTAGGTAAAATCATTGCTTCACCAATGAAAATTAAAGGGAACGTTAGCTCACAAAATAAATAAATCCATTACAATGTTAAGTATATGATTTGAAAGATTGTCTGGATTATATGTGTGATCGATTGATGCATAAACAAGCATATTCATTTCAACTTGCAGACCTCCATTCTGGCTCATGTATAGGCCTAAGACGCCATATTGCCTTATGTATTGTACTGCCCATGCGTGCATACTTAATGCGTGACGTCACATCGACAGAGATCAGCGATCAAGTTTGACTAAAAAATTAAAAGATCCACACTTAACAGCACAAAAATGATATCAATGATCGCCTATTTCATATCAAATAAGTGTAGGATGTAAGGTTTAACATGTTTCATGTTATTTAGTATTTACAGAAGCAGAGCTTGTAAAGAAACCAAGTTTTAAATTCCGATTTTGACTGTTGACAAAAATAAAGAAAAGAGAGAAAGAGGCGACTTGTTAGAAACAATGACATGAAATTGTGAATAAAAAATATATTATTGTGGGTTTTATTTTTTGAGAGTTCATCAAATACACTAACGTGTATTAATTTAAATATGTATCATAATACCTCTCAGTTCTACCAAGGATTATAAAAACTGATCGAAATGGCTTCCTTTTTAAAGTATAAAAAACACTACCCTACCCGGAAGTAGTATAACATGTATATTGAAACCATGTGTAAACTGTAAATCACGTGAATTGGCTGATGCAATCAGGATGTGACTAGTACAAAGTAACTATGATGCAATCAGGATATGACTTGTGCAAAATAATTGGCTTCACCTAGAATTCGCGATCTTTGCTCTTTAGCATAACATGAAAACATTTTTTGTGTTTAAGTAGCTAGATTCAAATACAAACTAAATGAATATAACATAAACCAACCATCATTTGTTCCAATCATGGCGAATTTTCAAGGAAATACGTGTAACTGAATGTAAATCAACAGCGGAGCTCTTCAATTATGAGGTGAGAAAAATGTAAAAATAAAAACAAAAATAAATCTCACAGAATAGAGCTATTTATACGATTCTAAGTACATTTTAAGTGCTCCATACATTAATGTAAGTATAAAAGCCATTAACCTCAACTGGGAAACACTTTCCAACTATTTTTACGGCTTGAATTGTAAGAAAATGGCACTTATCTCAAAAAATGGAAATTTGAAAGAAGCTCAATTTATTGTGAAGATGAAGTTTATATATATCTGACTTATCTGTATATGGGGGTGCGAATATATAATCATAGTATGGGCTAATTCGCTTAAAAATGGCGATATATACCTCAGAACTTGTATTTTGTGATTTTTTCAATATTTTAAAATTAATTACCGTAGTTACACCATAACGTATCATAACTTCCGGTAGAGGCGAGCTGGTAAGTATATTTCAGTTCTTTTGACAGTTCAATTTTACATGTCTTTAGTATTGTGCACATGCTCTATGTGGACAAAATTCAGCTTATAGTGTCACACCATTTAGTGTCTTCTACCTTCTAGGAGCCATGTAAGGGTCCCATTCATGAGATAACTCTTTTATTTCTAACTAAACTTCTTGCCTTTTATCATGCTTAACAGAGTGTACAAGAGCCACTGACATGCCCCAGACTTCCACCAACACAAACATCATTTCTGACCTCGCGAACTACGTTCCTTACACTCAATCACAATTCTTACATCACGAATGTGAAATCTTTAGTTGCGCACCACCATTTCCTTGCTTCTAAACATATTTCTCCATTCGCTCACAGATCTGTGTTTGCGAACCACACACCTGATCGAAAAAAGTCTGTTATGTTATTCTCATTATTTACGAATAACTAAAAAAATCCCAGGTTAGAACTGATGTTTGCTTTGGTAGAAGTATAGGAGGCCTGACTGAGTGTGATCGTGAAAGGCAGCTAGATTATTCAGTGTCACTGACACAGGCAAGACTCATCTTTGACAGCTGTTACATGCTCATAGAGGGGATTTTGGGCTTGTGCAAATCGGCCTATGCCTCAAACCCTCCTTTCATTACAAAACAAACCCCTGGCCATGAACAACTCCCTTTTCTGAAAGATCAACGGATCCCAAGCCAGGAACGAACCCCACTCTCAGAAAGATGACTATTTTTGTGAGAACACTGCCCTTAAGAAAAAAGCCATGGTAACCATGGTATTCCATGGTACATCCATGGTAATCCATGGTTTTCCATGGAAATTCATGGTTTTTCATGGTATTTTCAATGGAAATTCATGGACATCCATAGTAATCTTCCATGGATATTTATCATGATTTTCCATGATAATTAGCGGTTTGGTTTTTTTTCATGGACGTGTCATGGTTTTTACCAGGACACATGGAGATCCAAGATGGACTGAGACTTATCAGTGAGAAAAAAGGGTGGACATTTCATGTTATTTTAGGTTTAGCAGGAACATATTAAACTCAGCTTCCTTACAAATGAGAAAATATGTAAAAAGTATGTAACTTTTCTAAAAAGAAATATGATAGTGCAGCACAGAGTAGGCCACAAGATTTCTAAGAGAAATATGTACAGTAAATATGTATCAAGACTAGATACAGATACAGAGACTCCTTATTTTTTAGGCCAAACACTTCTAGTCTTTTGGAAAGATTAAGTCAAACTAGCCCTACCTCTGTTTTGTTTTCTTATTGTTTCTTTAATATTTAGTAATGAAAATTAAAATTAAATAATTTCAAAAATAAATAACTCTTTTCCTTAACAATTACATGTCTTACATTTTAGAATGCAATAAAAACCATGGTTTCTTTCTTTGAAGTTGAGGAAACTGCAATCAAAAGCCATGGAAGTCGGTTGATTGCAATCGAAAGCCATGCTTTTCCATGAATATTTCTTTGATGTTTTGGAAAGTGCAATCAAAAGCCATGGTTTTCCATGGTTATTCTTTTGATCTTTTGAAAAATCCATGGTTTTCCATGACTATTTGTTTGGTCTTTTGGATGCAGAAAAAAGAATAATGCATAATGAACATTGAACTTTTCCAAATAAAGTCTCATTTATTTAACCTTTATGAGCACATTGTCTGAAAAATCCATATACTTTTTAGGATTTTGACTTGAAATTAAGGTGGGGGATTAAACACATATAATTATATAATTATGTAATCTATTTAAAAAGAAGTCATTATCATTTGCATAATTTTTAAATATTTGGTTGTCTTTGTTCTATGTTAGTTAGGTTTCTTAATACTCTCAAATTAGTGTTAAAATTTCTCTTTGCAACAGATTATATAGTTCATTTGCACAATTCTAAAATACATGTATTATGATCTTAATTGTTATTATTTATGATGAGTGCTTCCTCTTCAGTAATTATAATTGTCTGTGAGTGTAGACAGTGCAAGTCAAAAACTCATTGTTGATCAAATAAAACCAAATAGGATTAAAAACTCCAAGTAAACATGTCTAGATTATGAAAAGAAGGTGCATGGTTGTATTTCAGGCCCGTAGCCAGCTTTTGTCAAGGGGGTTGACTTTCTCAAAAAATTGAGGGGGCATCATATTCTTCTCTCTATGATTAGTCTCAATCCAGCTTGGATTCATTCATTAAAACATTTATTCAATTTGGACGATTTTGGTTAATACAAAAACTGCCAAAATTGTTGATTTTACAACTCCAAGTCACTTAGTATCATGGTAAAAACATGGCATTCCATGAAAAACCAATTACCAAACCACTCATTACCATGGAAGATCATGGTAAATATCCATGGAAGATTACCATGGACGTCCATGAAATTACATGGAAAATACCATGAAAAACCATGAATTTCCATGGAAAACCATGGATAACCATGAACGGACCATGGAATATCATGGCTACCATGGCTTTTTTCTTAAGGGAGTGAATAGATTAGATGCGAGTAGAAATAATCTTGATTTTCAGCATTAAATATTAAAGTAATATCATACTTGAAATCTAGATGTGAAAGTACATCCAGAAATGTGGTGTCAAAAATTGTTTATCAACTTTGAAAATTAAAGATGTATAAACTAGCTGGAGCTTACATGAGTGAATTGAACATGTTTCAATCATAGAACACAACTGGTAAAATTTTGAAAACGCATGCAAATCATAATATTTAGGCAGTGCTTGATTCAGCTTTTGAAAAATTCCAAGGTTTGGGACAGTTTGGCCAAATATCACTCGAAAAGTGCTCATAATGGTAAGAAACTGCAGGACTTAGGACTCACTTTTTTGATCAGGACTCACACTTTTTAATTTTTTTCCCTCATTGGGACTCACATTTTTCTTAGCCTAATACAAGCCCTGTAATTATGTAATTTTTCCTTGTAACTTCAATCTTTTCCACCTTCATTCAATTTCATATCATTATAATTTTTATATAGTCAGAAATCAGAGAAACAAAGCATATATGAAGGAAACTGAAAATGTAAAATTAAAGTCTGAAGAAGGGGTCCTCGAAAATTATGAAATTGTTTTGAACCTGGGGGTAGAACATGAATTGAGTGGGGGAGAAAATGTCATGTTGAGGAGTAGGAAGTATGGAGGAGGGGTTGGAAAACTGAGGTAGCAGAGCATAACTAGAGATGGTGGAATATGAATTAAAACTGGAACCTAAAAATGGGATGCTTTATCAATGTTGAGATGATATTCATGAAGAGTGGGAGAGGGGGGGGGGGTATACTCACATTCAAAGGACAATGAAAACTGAGAAATGTAAATGGTGAGAAGAAATAAGTATTGGGGGTAGATTGAGAAATAAAGAGAATTACTGGAAAAAGACACAGGAAGGTGAGAGTGAGAGGTGAAAAATATCTTTGTACTATAAAATTAAAGACAATAGCATATCTTATGTATTTATTAAAATTTAAGACAATAGCATATCTTATGTATTTCTAAATTGAAGAAAGCCACTCAGCTTTTAAGCAACTGGCTCTGGAAAGAATCAATGATCATTATAATAGGAAATGGATCTTCAGCTCTTGTGTTGTTAGTCAGCTCAGCTCAGACACAATCTTGTATACAGCTGCACTAGTGGCAGACTGACAATATTTTGCAGTATTCAGGGAAACAAGAATATCTCTTAACAAGAATGATGAATCAATCCTTTAATCATTGATTATATAAATTTAATGATTCATGCCTATCACATATAAGGTACTTATCATGTCCAAAGGTGTATACCTCTATGTTATATCATTGATTTTTGATTTGTGAACTATTTTGTGAGACGATTCCGATGATGCAAAGGGAATTCATATATATTTGTATTTATTCTATTGATTTTCTGCCACTATAGGCCTCATAGGATCTAGTCTACTCACATAATCGCTCTTCTATGTGCATCATGCTAGAACAGAAATTAAAGAGAACCCATACATCACTTTTATGTTTCTTAATTCTATTTTCTTGCTTCTAATTATCCTGGTCTTAACAATTGTTATAGCACCTTGAATTGTTCACTTAGTATTGTTATCATCTAGAAATGGGCAAGAATTTTTATTGATCTGTAAGAATGTAACTCCAAAGTGTGAAAATATGTTATTAACCATGCTTATAGAGTCTTAGTCATAAGAACATAAATTACAATATAGTTCGGACATAATTCGGATTTGAAAATGATGTATATGTAAGACTTTCAAGACATTGTTCTAGGCATTCTTATGACATATTACTGATGAAGCCTATATAACAAAGGGCAAGGTTTGAAAAATAGCAACTTGAAAACCTTAAAGAGACAGTACAATGTCCAAACGTTTTGTCCGGTATGGACATGCCACCTTTCTTGCCTCTGCAGACACTTGATTCACATAGGATTTCTAATTGTTCATGAGTTGCTTCTTTACATATCAAATGAAAAATGACATGCATTTTAGGTATGTGGAACAGATACTCCAAGAAAGTTTGCAGAGAAGGAATGCACTCATTAAAACAGCTCTGATGATGAGGTTATTTGGAAACACACAATTAAATGGTTCTCTGTATGTCCTTCATAATGGTTTCCTTCAGTTTAAGCCAAAATAAGTCTTCTTCTTCTGGAAACCTAGGTGCCTTTAAATATGTCTTTGTAGCCAGAAGACTGCGTAATGTTGGGGTGACTAACTCTCTGGCAAGTCTGGCTGGTTCATCTAATAATATTAACACTACAATATCTGTCGTGCTATCCAAAAGTTTGTTTCTAGCCATTTGAAGCTCAAAGTAACACCATTTACTCTGCAAGAAATTATTTGAGATAACGAGAACCGCCTTATGACTTTCTTCAATGCTCACGACAATGTTATCTTGAATGTCATTTCCCGGAGTGAAGTCTCGTTGATGAAGACATAGTTTCAAACCATGCTCTCCTTCCATCACAGAATGAAGATTTCTAAGCACCCATTCATCATCATTAGCACTGTATGACACAAATGCATCATATTTATATGTTTGATTATGATTTTGTTTGCTTCTTAAAGCTTTCCTTACTGATTGCTTGGCAAGGAGCGCATAATATTGGAGGCGCCATCTTTTCTTATATATTACCAGTGTTACTATAAGAATGAGAATTGTAGTTAGTGACGTCACAGTTATGGCGATTATGAGTGGCATATGGCATTTAATTCTGAGATCATGTACATCTATATCCAGAAGGAGCATCCTTTTTCCATGATAAATGCAGGTATATTTTTCCAAATCGTTAAGAGTCACATTGGTTGTTTGGCACCATTCTATGAAGTCGACAGTTTCGCAACTGCAGATTAATGGATTATTCAACATATCAACAATTAAACGTTTATTGCTTCTTGCAGTTGAATTTTTCTTTAATCCTGAGTTTATTCTGTCTAATATTTCAGTGAAATCTTCACTCAATCTGCTGATCATGTTGTTAGAGACATTAAGAAGCTCCAATCTGTAGTTATTAGAGAGGTTCACGTCAAATATGACAAGATTATTCTGGCTGACATTCACTTCTCTGAGATAGGCTGCATCTATGAAAGAATCCTTAGAGAGTTTATCTATGTGGCTATCTGCAAGGTCTATCACATTGAGGTGGTGGCATGACTTGAAATGATTATAGGTATTGTCTGTTTGGTTAAATACTTGATACAGGTTGTTTCCTCCCATAAGTAATGTCCTTATGTTTGGCCAGTGTTTGCAGTCAAATACATCATGTGTCACCATCGTTGTATCTCCATTTTGAAAATTGAAGTACTCAAGATGGGTCAGATTAACAAAGTGACCTCTCACTGACCCCACATTCGTGTCACTCAGGTGTAATTCACGGATGTTGTTGCGACAAAACAAAAAATTGTTGATATCAATGAAGTGGCGGTACCAGGTTGAGTGGCTGAAAAATACTAATTCTAGTCCAATAGGAACAGGCATACATTGGTTTCCATCTAAATGGACATCAATTCTCCCAGGCCCTATGTGACCATGGACGTTGAAAGACGCATCAAACAACCGCATCTTCTGCAGAGATAGAAAATTCAAAAGTAATGTCAGGCGTTGGTTTGGGTCGATGTAAACGAAGAAATTAAATCCAATGTTCAAGTGTTCAACATTTGGTATGAAATCTGAGAATCCTGGTTCTAGGCTTATTATATGGTTCCAATATAATGAAAGAGTTTTAATATTGTGCCTCTTTAAGACTTGAAGTTTTTCATTCCTTATTTGGTAAATTCCTGAATTAACCAAAAAGTTCATATTATCCAAGAAAGCATGCTCTAAAGTCCCATTGGGTAAACTGTCTATGGCTTCAAATCCTTTGTCCAACAGCAGCCGGAATGAATCTGAGAATGCTAATGTTTTCAAGTTTGTTAGTGATGTGAATATATCTGATGTTATATGTTGTAGCATTGAACATTGTCTTATATGTAGCACCTGTAGATTAATGAGTCCAGTAAAGACTTCCTTGTCCAGGCTAGTAATGCTTGTATTCGAAATATCCAAATATGTTAATTTTGAGTATTTCTTCAATGGAGGAATATAAGTAATAGGGTTATTTCTTACTGATATGCCATTAACTGATGTTGGTAAATCAGGAAATGTTTTTAAAGCCAGATTGTCACAATTGATTGTATTTAGCAGCTCATCAAAAATACAGACATTTTTGTGTACATGTTCAATCCTAGTGTTATTCAGATCAGCTGTCACATTTTTGCGGTTATGTGTTTCAATCACATTTGTTGCAGCATTTTGACGATGTTCAACGCTATAAATTGCACATGTGATATATTTTTGAAGCAATAAAAACACTAACAAGTCATATATGAATCCTAGTGTCTTGTTGTTTTCCATCACGTCATAATGTCTTAAATACGCAGATTCTTAAAATTCTCAAATTTAACTCATTCCTTTCATACACCTGAATTAAAACTGTTTCAAGTAAGAACATAATGATACCCTTTGTACATTTGTGTGTATGAAGTTGTTTAGAACATCTCTGTTGTTTCAGTTCGTTAACTATAGATTGTTATTACTTCTAGGTGGGGCAGCTTGACTTTGGTGAACTTCAAGTTTATGTCATCTTTCTGAAAGAAATGAATGTCACATTCAGCATCAGTTCATGTCAACACAAACGTTATTTTATTTTTATATAGTTTATGAACTCTGGTCATTGTCATTATTGTCATTATTGTTATATTGTCATTATTGTCATTGTTGTTATATTGTCATTATTGTCATTATTGTTATATTGTTAAAGTACCAACTAGAATCAGATAAGAAACAAGAACATGCATCATCTAATTATAACTAAAAGTTCAAACCTTCTGTTGGCCTCTATTAATCAATGTTAATAGATGTTATCAATCACAATATCCTTTCAAATTTTATTCTATGAATTTTAACAGTTTTAGACGTGATCAGTAGTTTGGCATATTACTGTATGATCAGTACTTGAGGCTACAACAATACTTTATGATATAAACTTACCAATATCTTCTATATTGTTTAGTTTTAAGCCATCTTGTATCATTGAACACTATGTTGTCTCATGGTCCAAGTGGTGATTATATGTTCTTGTGGTGTTGATAACTTATCTATATCAACAGTTACAGGACTTTCTTAGAATTCAGCCATAACCAGGAAGTTAGGTGTACCATTATGGCTGGAGCTATGTATTCTTATTTAATTTAGTACTTAGAAATTGTTTAAACATTAACTTGTTTTAGGGTTTAATGCCCTTTGAATGAGGTAAGTTATAAAAAGGGTATTTTTGGTCTTAAAAACAAATGTTTGAGTTCATGATGATCTTTAACTTAAACCATCAATGGTTTTGTGAAAATATCTATGCTTGAAAAAATTTAAGAAAAATAAATGTTTTCAGAAATTTTTTTCACTGAATTTTCTAGGTTTTTATACATTTTACTAAACAAATCTTCTCACCAGTCTTCTAGGCACATAAGTGCACTCTTAATGCAAAACTGGAATCATAACAGAAACTGCAGGTTTATTTCAAAGTATATCAATGGTGCAAATTACATGTAGTTGGGACTTTCAATATTTTCAGGTATAAAGGGTACCCAGGGTTAGACACTGAACCTTTAAATGTATTCATACAGTATAGTATCCCACTATCCAGAAACATAGACACTTACCCATTACACATTTTATGTCACCACCACAAGTGGTATTTTTATTGTAATGGTCTCCAAGTTTTTATGGATGGTGTTCGAAGGTTGATGTTTGGCATTCATCAGTCAGTGTTCGGTGTCCGTAACAAATGTCAGGTAGTGACATTTTGCATGTTAATGCCTTTCTAGTAAAATTCAGTTTTGCATTCATCCTGAAAATCTTGCTTTACATGAATCAGCAGTTTTGCAAAAAACCGATTCTTACATATGATACAAGGAATGCAGGGTGATGTTTACATAGAATAGTGAAAGAGATTCTCCTGTCATCGACAAAAGTAGGGATGTTCACAAAATGCAAATTGGTAATCAATAAAGCCAGTTAGTTAAAGGTCATGTCTATCTTATTAATGCTTTGCTGTTGTATTGTACCTTTAGCTTTATGATATCAAGTTAATTGTCCGTTTATTTATGTCTCACGGCTTCCTCAGAAAATTGAATTTTGGGGAAAGTACTTAGTGAATGAATTTTTCTAAAGGTTGATATTCATCTAACTTGATATACATGTAGTGCTCTCTTTAATCATTATAAGCCACGTTACCTCTTTTCCCTCACGTTGCTAATAATACAGAAAGATGTGTTGAGTATCCAAATGTATTTTTGATAATTTTGAACTTCGTTTGTTCCTCATAGTATTCACTCCTCCTCTAGGAGGGCAGACAAAATAATCCTAAACCTAACAGAGACAGAATTTTGATTTTCACTAATTCTGTAGGATTTGTCACAGAATCAACACATTTTCAGAAAAAGTTAAAAATTTGATGAATTATCAGTGACTTACCATGATAATTTTCCAGTTTCATTTCTGGTACAGTTCTACCCAAAAGGAAAAAATAATTTCAAACAATAGTTACACTATTGAAATTGCACCCATGTGGCAGATTTTCTTCTGTTAATACCCTTTCTTTGTTTTCAGAATGTGGTGGACTATAACAGGTAACTTTGGCAACATACTTCCAATAGACTGGTCAAAGTCATACGCCAGACAACTCCATACACAGGCACTAAACCTCAATGAAAAACGACTGGTAAGTCAAACATTATCTTTTACAGACATGTCATGTATCACCTCAGGGTTGTTACCCTTTATCACAACACACCACTCTGACTACTAAAATGATTTTGAGCTTGATCTTAACTGTCTCACATGGAGCTTTTCAAGGTGTTACAATTTGAAGTGAATGTTAGCTTATTTATTCACAGAAATGTCACTCCTATTCACTACAATTGTATTATAACATTATGAAATGAAACAGATGATAAATTAAAATTTTAGTGATTTTTCCCATTCACAAATCTAATTGGATAAAGGCTAAATCATTGAATAAATTCTAATTGTCAGATGAAGTTTAGTTCTTATCAAGGGTAAGTGAAAGATTACCTCACACAGACAAATGATATATGGTCTTAGGATTTTTGTTTCATGTAAGAAAATTACAATATTCCTTGTTTGCAAATCCAGAGATATGATTGATCTTATGAGTTAAATGACTGGAACTAATACATCTTTACATATAATACATCAAATAAGGGAAGCTGTCAAAAGATCAATATTTGAACAGAAACATATCTTATAGAGTTTTTTTACCAGACAAAATTCAATACGTGAAATAATCCTAATTTTCCCTTTATGTGCTTTGTAGATTGATATTTTTAGTAAACTGAGAGTTGTCTGGTTTATCATGTATCCGAATATCAGAAGTATAAAGGGGAGGGCATAATTCATTAAGTAGTTCTTGGGCAAGACTACTAATCATTTAGTTAAATTACTAGAGAAAATCCTTTGTTTTATTTTCTAGTTCCCTTTTGGCTGTATTTTCAGATAAATATGATCAAGAGAGAATGCTAGATACATCAGATCTATATGACATTTTGCAGCTTTCGCCACTTTGATGAATCTATCACTTTGAAATTCTTTTCGTCATGGGTATATTCAGACCACAGAGCTTGATATTAAAATCTTTATAAGGATTTCAACTGACTTTTCGATGACTAAATATAGTCGGATTTAGAAGCTCAAGAACAAATGACGCAAATACTGATTCATTGTCTGGTTCATTCCAGTTGATAACATTTCCTGATTCAGTAAGCTTAATTTGAACATTTGATTCTTGCATATTATTTGTGGGTCAAGTACAAACTTACTGATTCATGGAATAACAAAGTTTTCATTACCCTGTCTCCCCATTGGCAAATCACACTATACTCTAACTATAGCAGATACATACAGTTTTGATGCTGATTCGATCTTTCTTGTAGTTTGAATAGGAATTAAATGATAGGCAGAAAATGTTTTACATATTCTGGTTATGTTCCGTGGCTGATATTCAGCGGTCGGCATTTGGCATCTGTAACAAATGGCAAGTGGTGACATTTTTCATGTTAATGTCTTGTTTGACAGTGTATTTTGATTAGATAATGGTTATAGATTTATATCTTATTTTAAGAGGCTAGATGAATGTAAGCTCTTGTGTAGTGTAACTTCTCATTATATTGGTAGACATTGAACAACCATCCCTGAATACACTCTGTTTATTAGAACAGAACTGGACGATTTCCCTTGAGGCAAAAACTAAGATCCGTCTACTGATTTGCTAAGCAATATGTAAAGATCACTGTGATGTAAAAATCTTCTTGACAATGTTGGCAGATTTTAGTTTGCCGGATATTACTTCAGTATTCTGGAGATACCTCAGTTTAAAATATCTGTATGGTCATGCTTATTTCACTCAATTTCTCTCTAAAATTTGAATGAATTGACAGATTTTCTTGCATTTCTGTACAATTAAGAGTATTTACTGCATATCTGATTTGTTCATTTCTTGCTAATTCCACTGAATTTCACTCTGTTTTGTGTTTTAAATATGACCCCAGTGACTTTTATTTAAAGGGAAACCTGCCATAATGCTAGACCTTCAATATATTGTACAATATTCTCTACAGAGTAGAATATTGATTTTTCCGAGCAATATCGTGGATATAGTAGTACTTTTTCAAATATCATCCTGAATTGTCCCTCAGAATTGAGGATCAACTCAATCAACTCTCTCCCTTCGCACGTTTTCATGAGGTTTTTAAGCATGTAACTTCCTCATTCGGAATGTCATTCATTTATTATGCAATCGTAAATAATGAGGTATTTTTACAGGCCATTCACCCATGCTATTTGTTCAAAATTCTCAGCCATTCCATTATATTTTTGACTGTAGGCTTATGGCTTTCATCAATACAGATTGTAATATTTTTAGAAGGGGTTCTAAATCTTAGGATTAAAGGAATTATCTGCATCAAAAGTAATCAATTGCTCTTGATGCTTTCAGCAATTCTCCAGTTTTTTATGATAATGCGGCTCAAAGCTAAAATTTCTCTTTACAAAGTAGAGAGAAGTATTAATCAAAAATAAAGGAAGAGAGGCTGTATGTAAGGGAATTATCTAGTTTAAAATCTTCACCATCTACAGATAAGGGATATTTTTGTGACTTTTCTACTTTTGTGACTTTTCTGTTTCTTACACTGCATAGCCTGATCATATTAGCAAGTACCCTTTGCATTGGTTCGACTTCGCTTCTCAAAAGATAGCTTCGTCTTCTCTCTTTCAGTTTTTGATAAATCTCTGAACTCACCGAACTAACCAGAGTTTATGGTCAGAATAAGGACAACTTTCTATTTATGGTCATTTTCTCTGACGTTATCGAATAATTAATGTGAACGCTTTTATCACATGTTCTTTTCAGCTCTGCACTAATTGAGATTGAGAAAAAGGTCAGCGTGGTAGGTTTTCAAATAATTTATGGCCCGAATTTTCATGGGCATCGGTCGTTGGGGTGGGGTTGCTTAACTGTAATATAGTCTATGCTAGGCAGAGGGTAGTTAAGAACCAGACTCAAATAATTTATGGCCCGAGTTGTCATGGGCATCGGTCGTTGGGGTGGGGTTGCTTAACTGTAATATAGTCTATGCTAGGCAGAGGGTAGTTAAGAACCAGACTCAAATAATTTATGGCCCGAGTTGTCATGGGCATCGGTCGTTGGGGTGGGGTTGCTTAACTGTAATATAGTCTATGCTAGGCAGAGGGTAGTTAAGAACCAGACTCAAATAATTTATGGCCCGAGTTGTCATGGGCATCGGTCGTTGGGGTGGGGTTGCTTAACTGTAATATAGTCTATGCTAGGCAGAGGGTAGTTAAGAACCAGACTCAAATAATTTATGGCCCGAGCTGTCATGGGCATCGGTCTTGGGGGCGGGGTTGCTAAACTGTAATATAGTCTATGCTAGGCAGAGGGTAGTTAGAACCAGACTCAAATAATTTATGGCCCGAGTTGTCATGGGCATCGGTCGTTGGGGCGGGGTTGCTAAACTGTAATATAGTCTATGCTAGGCAGAGGGTAGTTTAGAACCAGACTCAAATAATTTATGGCCCGAGCTGTCATGGACATCGGTCGTGGGGGCGGGGTTGCTAAACTGTAATATAGTCTATGCTAGGCAGAGGGTAGTTTATAACTAGACTCTGCGTGCAGGGTAATTAGCAAGCACTTTTATGGAAACAAAACCTGACAAACAAACAATATGCCATCAGAACAAGTCAAGGTTGTCAAAGTCTGATGGTCATAGTCTGTTTCTAAGATCAATACAGCCAGATTGTAGACTCAGTATAATGTCTTTGTTTTAATGGTTATATTGGAATATTTATGGTTTGTAGTCTAAGAGGTTCAGTATCCTGAAAGCTAGGTTCATTACCAACAGAGTAATACAATTACAGTATTCTCTGCATGTAGATGATAAAGTTAGTCTAGGGTCTCACTATATTATACCCTAGGCTGATCAGTTAGCTAGAGAACTACCCTCTAGCTAGGTATTTAACATTTTTATGATTGATCATTTTTGATTAAGTTTTGTGTTTAACCTAAGAGAGACCGCTGCAAAACTACTGTTATATGTTTACTATCGGAAATTGCTGCAATAGCCGAGTGATTATTCTGATTTATCAGAGTCTCTCTTTATCTAAAGCTTGTGTGTCTGTCTATTCCAAGGGATAGAACAGACTGTGGATCCTACAATAGCTCACAATGGCGAGCAATGTCAGGCTCTGTGCTGCTCGTCAAGGTGTTGAAAAAAAGAGAAGTCAATTATTCTTTTAAAGAGTAACTCTCTTCATAAGATCTATGCCCAACAGGGTTTATTTCCTATCAGGTGATATCATTTATTTGGCTTTCTTTAGTAGCATATATCATGTTAAGCCATGTCATCTTGTTCCTTTTAGTCTTTCAAAACAGAAAACTGTGATGAGATCAGAATAAGGAATTTTGCTTATGTAGTCTTGTATAAAGCCTCTACTTCTTGCCTGTTATCTTAGTCCATAGATGATGTATAATATGTACTATAATGTTAGTATGGGAGATACACAAGGGCTTGATGCAAGACTATTATTAAAATTGCTCTTTGTCAATTCATATACCCTTTGCATTTTTAGACTTCTTCTTAAAAGAGAGCTTCATCTACATTGTCTAATCTTTTAGAACAAGAGTGCTCTTTAGTTTTATTATGAAGTTGAAGTTCTCTTTTAAGGAAGCCAAATCAAACTATTAGAAAGGGTTAAGTTTACTGATGATTACTATTTGATCTCTATTATTTTCATAAACCCTTCAGTTACAGATCAGTTATAGTAGAACCATTGCTTGGGAAAAGCAATTTAGATGATGTTTATGGATTATAATGATACTATTATTTCATGATCTATATATTTGTATCATTTGTTATATTGCTGGCGCCAGTTTATATCTTTATGCATTATTAGATGCTGTAAGCAGATCAATTGGAAGATTAATGTAGTTTGAAAACAAGATTGTGATATGAATGCCTTAGTTGATGGCCTTTTAATAATGTTCTCTTATTTATCAAACTGTGCCCTTACTTACACCCCCAATCTGCACTCTGAAATCATGGTAATTACTGTATAGTGCATTAAGAGTAAGGTACCATTCGAGTATGGTACTGTACAGTGTTTACGGTATGGTTCGGTACTGTTTTAGTTAACGGTATCGTACTGTACCATATATACGGTAACATACAATACCATTGTCAAAATGGTACTGTTGGAGATTGGCTATGTATATATGTCCAGTGGTATGTGAAGGTTAACATATTCTGATGGAATGTTAGATACACGCCCCATGTGATCCCATGAGATTTGGGGAATCAAGTCTGATTATTTGCCCGTTAGGTCCAATGCAAAACTCACTAGATCCCACTCTAAAAGTGAATGTTTTTTTCTCCCTGTCTATCATATGGGACAAATGGAGCAATAGTCAAAAGGAATACCATGGTCCTTCATCATGAGAAATCATGGCTTTCTATTAGCTTCTTCAAGAATATTTCTAGTTGAAGGCAATAAGACATGATGAGTATCAGGATGATGCTCCTTAGGATTTCATGTTTCCATTTACATACTTTTGAAAGGTACTCATGGGCACTTGTTTCACTGTATGAAGAGCACCAATATATATTCCACAGTGCTTGCTAGAAAAGTAGGATTAAGAGTCACATCTGGTCTGAAATGTTGAAGTTTGGTTATCAATACTCAATCAGTACTTTGCAATCAACCATTCATTTATTCATGATTTGAACAATGAAGGCAGCGAAAGCTTCATCTTACATTTTAAAATAAAAATTTCTATGATTTTGAGAAATGAAATTTGAGAAATATTATTCCTATTTTGGCTATATAGTAAAATCTGTCTTGGTGAACACCTGTCTCTCGTGAGCACCTGTGTCTAATGAACACCTGTCTCTAGTGAACACATGTCTCTAGTGAACACCTGTATCTAGTGAACACCCCTCTCTAGTGAATACATGTCTCTAGTAGACACCCTTCTTCTACTGACTTCTGTATAAATTACCCTCTCTGTAGTGAACACCTACCAATACTGAACATTTTTTTCTTGGCAATTATTTTTTCAATATACAAAGGTTTTACTGTATTTCACAAAGGAGTACTAGTGTTGTTATAATCCGCTTCAACTTCCTTTACCTTTTCTAAGAATGTTATGATGTTGACATAGGTAGTCTTATAAATTGCCAAGGGAATCTTATAAATTGATCAAGCAATAGGCTTTTTTAAATGGTCATTTAATACTTAGGATATGACAAGATATAAACTTTTATTAAATTGGAACTTAAAAATAGAAATCTAATTTGAACGAAATTTCATTGAGGTTTGTTCGGGAGATAGGGGGTCATCTTGAAATATTACATTAGCCAGTGATCGCCCCAGCATTAAAGCAAGTGGGGGTAATACCCACCTGAGACTTTGAAAACAAGCTTGCACCCACCTGAAAATCCATTTGCACCCATTTGAAAATGAGAAAAATCATGAAAAATAGCCATATTTTGACCAAATTTGAACTGAATTGAAAAATAAGAATTTTGCACCCACTTGAGAAAAAATCCTGTGGAGAACCCTGTTAGAGACAATATCAAAATATTAAAACTGATTCCTAAGGTAATATTTGTAGCTAAGGAACATTATCATGATACTGGTCCTGTAAAGTGATGGCTTGAAATAATATAAATTGTTATATGTTTTGATCAGTGAGACTGCAACATGGAAACAGAAGCACACAAAGCTATACATGAATTTCCTGAATTACCCCTTGTCTTACAATGCTTTGATGCAGTCTGGGATTGACGTATGAATGTATTATTGGGAATTTATTGGTTCTTAATTATTCTGTCTGATTGTTTGAACTTCTGGTTACATAATTCTCCCTCACAAATATTTCATTCATTATTTGTCCTATTTTCATTAAATGCACAAAATCTTTTGTCCAGATTTAATATGACACATTTTTTGGGGTAGGGGAGGGGGTCTGAGTTGTATTTATTTCTAAAACACAAAAAGGAAACTTATTTCTTTGAACTTTATACTTTTAACTCACAATGCTGATATCTCCACAGTGTTCTCCACAGAATTTTTCTTAGTTGTGGACAAAATTCTCATTTTCACAATTCAGACCAAAATTGGAATGCTGGATCAATTTTCCAGGAAATGTCTAGGTTACTGCTGAAACATTTTCAATATACATGTAATAGCTCCGTCACAGTAAATCATGTTTGTTTTTTAATTCATCCGTTTTACACATATTCAAACAAGTTCAGACTGTTACAACACTCATGGCTTACTGGTCAATATATTATGGCTGAAGCTGTAGATATCAAGGGCAAGTATGTTTCCAAAATAAAACATTGATAGACAGACTACCCATAGACTATTCCAAAATACCTTAAAGACCTACTTTTGATGGAGTGTTATTGTTTAAATAAGTAAATAGATTGTTAAAATAAGCAATTCTTAATTTTGATTTATGACGTCAAATTGGTTTAAACGCATTAATAACACCCTGGGTTCAGTTGGTTGTTTTTATTGTTAAAGAAGAAAAATAAAAAATTCCAATGTTGGAAATTGCCTCTAGTTTATGTGTGCTCAATTTAATAACAAATAATTTAAATTAGAGTGTTCAAATCACTGGTTCAAGTTATTATCAAAGATTTGTGTGGGGTACTATGTATTAATACTGTTCTCATTGTTTACTTCAGAGATTTTCTTCATCAAGTTCCAACCCACGCACGTATAAGATACTTACTGGTAAATGTTAATTACTCATGAGAGAGATCTTTCTCAATAAAGTCCCATCTGTTTTTACATAATCTACAATTCTCACAAAAATATTGATTAAATGCCATACTAGAAAAATGAATCGTATTTTATTATTTTTCCGGATCATTCAAGACAAAGAATGAAGATCTATTGTGGGCAATAGATCATGGATATTAGTCAAGTTTATGAAAATGTGATTAATATATTTTTAATTGATTTTATATTAATATCTGACAGGTTAACATAACCTAGTAATGTGTCAATGCAGTCTGATACTCCTCACATACAGTTAAACCTGTCTTTGTGAACTCTAGTGAACACCTGTATCTAATGAACACCCCCTTTCAGCACATACTCCATTGACTTCTGTATAAAATTGCCTCTCTCTGTAGTGAATACCTACTTACAGTGAACACATTTTTATGGCTCCATAGGCAGCTGTCCATAGGTGTTCACTATATACAGGTTTTACTGTATCTTTCTGTTTTCATTAGCTAGTAATATATTACGGGGGAATTAATAGGACACTTTGATCTCTCACGGTTATGTCAATGTGTCAATGGGATAATATCTATTTATTTCAAAACAATGAAAGCTTCGATTAATATGACAGAATTTATTGTCATTATTTATCTGATCTTATTATAGTAATGTAAATGCAAAATGTGGTTATTTAAACCAGGAAATATACATGAATGTCCTTCATAAGTTGTCTAACTTTTGGTACACCCTGTGTTTTTTTATAACATATATTCAGTAGATCAAGGCTCGATCTTCAGAACCTCGTCCTCGTCAAAGTCCAAACGTGATGTGATTTGATCCTTGATGTATCTTATACATGCTGCGGCATTCTTTCTGAATTCTTTCTTCTCCCCTGGTGCGTATGTGTCCATATCATTCTGTATGCTGTAGAATGTCAAACCAAATGCCTGGCCTATAAGCTGAAAAATATAGATACTACTCATTCCTGTTACACATCGATCCCATTTTACACAATCTGTGATTATAAATGAAGAGGTTACCATGGTAATTTTTGATGACCCTTGCTGCTAATATCTATTTTAGTATCAAGTCTGAGACCAGGGCACTGTGACAATTTTTTAAAGAGCTTATATATTTTACTGTGTAAGTGCACATTTCAGAAGCTTGACTCTTAAGTAATATACGATACAAATGAGGATGTTTTCAAATAAAACTTGATCCTTTATTAAGAATGTTCATACATATGAAAAAAGACTATAAAATAAAAAGACTATAAAATATAAATTTGAAATAACCATTAGTTCAAAGAATCTCTCATCTTTTATAGTTGTTTATAAAGAATGAAGTTAAGCCCATGGCTTACAATGATCAATAGTTACAATTCCTGATAACACTTGGAATAGTATTTGTACTTTTACTTCCCTCTAATGATCTGCTTAGTCTCATAAAATTAGCTCATCCATATATTGTCAAAATATATCAGATATGTGATTAAGACTCTGAGCTAAAGCTTCCATGAATAGACGTAACTTATTTCTGTATGATGATCTCACAAATAACAGAAGGGACATTGCACTGATGTATGATCCAGATGTAGTTAGAATTTGATTTGAAGCTTGTCTGTGTATTTTCCAAGTAGTGAAAAGTGAACCCCCTTTGAAAGTGACCCCCAGGCCCGTAGCCATGGGTTGGGGCGAAACCCCCCTGGCCAAAATTTTTTTCAAAATCATGCAGTTTTTCACCATTCTAACTATTTTTTGAGTGATTTTTGGCCAAATTTGCCAAAGTGAACCCCCCCCTTCCTAGAATTTTTTGGAAAGTGAACCCCCTTGGAAAATTCTGGCTACAGGCTTGATCCCTCTTGGCAAAAGATGGCTACAGGCCTGTAGATGGAGCCATAAACTTGATGCTAGATTATATTATACCTTAAAGTATCCTTTCTTGAGCCCAGGTATCTTAGAGTGTTTGTAACTAAGCATGTCTAGTTGGTTATGTAAAACATCTTCTTTTCCCAAATGTGAAATAAGCATATCCATTCCACCTAAAAAAGAGTATACAGGGTGTCTATAAAGTCTACACTTTTGTATTGCAATTGTAAAAATACTTTATGAACACCCTACAATATGTGCAATATACATTACATGTGACATACTAATGTATATAGAGAGGTGCCGTTCTTGTATTTTCTTTATTTTCAAATGATCTTAGAATGCGCAAATTTTAGTAAATCATTTGGGAAAATACTGTGACATTTCTTCTCTATGAAGTATGCCCATTTACACACATTAACCTAACAAGAAAGATTAGGTTCAGCTTACAAAGCTCCTTTAGATATTGAAAATGCCAATCTTCTCAAATTGCAAAATACAAAGATAGAATGAAGAGAATCGCGCTAAATATTAGTATGGGGCTATAGTCTATATAGGAGTACCCCTTCTGCTTTTGGGAGTCCCTAACATGTATGTCTTACCTAAGAACCTCAGACAATGGGCCTTAAATTGTGGAGATCTTGTGTCATTACCATGGACTCTCCAGAACAACTTCTCTGTCTCTGGGTCCATCTTGAATAATCTTTAAACAATAAAAGAGTTGTATTAATATTTTGGATCTATATGAGCTTTAATATAATAAGCGTCTAGTTTAATTACTATATAAAAGTTTTTAATGATTTTTTTATGATTTTGTTCAATTAATAAACTAGCATATATTCAGTACTTACGTTCTGTATACCGCAATACACACATCTGCCCTTGTACGACCAAGCATCTTGAAGGCTTCATTGTACATTTGGTTCCACAACTGAATCTGTCGTATCCTGGTCAGCTTAGAACAGCCGATTGTTTCCAAATAATCTGATTTTGTCAACATGAGAGTACATAGAATAAGTGCTATCCCAAAAAGATAGTTAACCCTCATTTTGAGTTTTGGGTTTTGAATGATTGAAAACTTGAAATAACATACCAGTACATGATAGTTAGCACATTTAGTCTGTTTTGAGAAAGTGCACTGAAATATCTGAGACTTTAATCAGTATAATTAAGACATATTATCATTTTCTTAGCATCGGCCTTGTCTAAGTACTTGACCAAAATCACATTTGTTTAACATTTATAAAGAAAAAATAAATGATTGTTTACAAAATGAATATCTAACTATTCGCATTCTGATACTCATCACATATTTTTGTGTCATTATCAATATGAAAAGAAATGAGATGTCATGGTTAATCATATTCAACTATTTGTTTTATCCCACTCGTTCAGCTGGTTGGGAGATTTAATTTAGCAAATCCTTCCATGAAGTGTGTAAAACTGAATAAGGTATCATTTAGTCATCAAAAGAGCAATAATTAGCACCATGTTGAAAATGAGAAAATTACATGCCACCCTGTTAAGAATTTAAATTAAAAAGTTTTGTTCAATTTTATTCACTGTTTATCTTTGTATTTTCCAGTAGCCAGACTCTCTAAAACAGAAACCATAAACAGCACCTTGTTCAGAATGAGAAAATTACATGCTGGAAATTATTGTGCCAGTTTTTCTTTCAATTTTATGAACTGTTTGCCTTGTATTTTTCAGGAGCCAGAATCTCTAAAGAATGAACTAGATGGTGGCGACTCTAGTGATGAAGAGGAGCTCCAGCAAGCATTTGATATGCACAGTCTCATCATATCTAGTCTACAACAAGAGCCAATGTTCACAGCAGAAGATGTCATCAATGAAATAGAAGGGATGATGGAGGTAGGCATTGTTAAAGCGCTGGGGAGGGGGGGAGAGGGGGGGCACTCCCATATATTGGTTATAAAGGGACATGGTGCTAAAGTGGGGGGGGGGGGGGCACTCCCATATATTGGTTATATGGAGACATGGTGCTAAAGTGTGGGGGGGGGGGCACTCCCATATATTGGTTATATGGAGACATGGTGCTAAAGTGGGGGGGGGCACTCCCATATATTGGTTATATGGAGACATGGTGCTAAAGTGGGGGGGGGGGGCACTCCCATATATTGGTTATATGGGGACATGGTGCTAAAGTGGGGGGGGCACTCCCATATATTGGTTATATGGGGACATGGTGCTAAAGTGGGGGGGGGGCACTCCCATATATTGGTTATATGGGGACATGGTGCTAAAGTGGGTCACTTTTTCAGTGAAAAATCCCTAGATGTGGGTCCCATTTTGAATAAAAAACCCTAGATATCGGTCCCATTTTGATGAAAAAATTCCTAGAACTGGGTCTTCTTTTTGAAAATCCTAAAACTTGGATATATTAGACATATTGCAAAAAAAATTCAAATCAATGCAATACAATGTAGCAAGAGCCATTCTCCAGCTTAGATGCCGCCCTGCAAGAGAGGCATTGTTAGGAGATTTAGGATTAAGACCTATTCTAGATGTCATTGAAAAACGCCAAATCGATTATTTTTTATATTTAAAGCACTCTATTAAAGAAGGGTCAGTTCACAAAGCTATCTTCAACACAATGTACAATAAATACATAAATGGTCAGGAAGGTAAGGCTTTCCCCTATTTTGCCAATATTCAGGAGATCCTGATAAAACATGGTCTGGATGGCATCCTTCAAAGGCAGGATGATAACTGGTATAAAACATACATCCAGATCTCAAATGATTTAAGCCATGTAGCCTTCTTCTCTTCAATAGGGGAGAAGTCATCCCTAAATCTTTACAAATGTTTGAAAAGTAATATCTCTAAGGAAAACTATATGAACTCAGACTTTGATTTCTATGGTCAGAAACTTAAATTCATGGCCAGAACGGGATGTTTTGGCCTTCGCTCCGACCTTCAAAGATGGGGTCAAGGCAACGGTATATGTCTCTTTTGTAACCTCAATGTTAAAGATACTATACAGCATAGACTTTTTGTCTGTCCGTACTTTGGTAGTGATAGGAATGTATTTTTCAATAATGTTGTGTCAAACTGCAACCACCAACTCTCCTCTGACTTTCTAGCAGGAAGTGTACAACTAAAAACATGTTGGGCTCTGGGAGATGACACTTTGATCTTGTGGGGACATGATAATTACGTGAAGTTTGACAAATATGTCAAATTGTTTTTAAAGAAAATACATGTACAGTGCACACAATAGTCGTATGCATGTTTTTAGTGTTTTTTTACATGATATGTTTTATCCCATTTATATTTTATATATGATGTATTGGATGCACCGATTGAGTGCCGCTGCTCTAAAAGCGTTTTCCAAATAAATAAATTAAAAAAAAAAAAATAAAAAAAAAAAAATAGTGAGCTTAATTATGAGTCAGTAAAAGGGGATATTTGGCTTTGAAGGGGTAGAGGCACCATGAGAGAGAGCAAGAGAGACTATTTGATATTGGTATTTTATATTAAAAGCTTTTTCATGATTTCTGTTTGAAGATTTTTTTTACATTTTACATCCATTATCAATTGCTATAAATTCATTGAAGATATCAGCTTTGTTCAATGGTCCAACAAAGAATTCTTGAAGAATTGTAACAGATGAGGTTTTCATTAAGACAAATCGTTTTATACAAAATAAGCGGCATTCATGCTAGATTTAATGGATAAATACTGTGGAGTCTGGCGTTGACGTATTTGCTCGATATTAGCGTGATTCAGTTCTATCCATACACAATATGGTAGCATCTTGTTTGTGTTTAGCCTTGCTGAGATCTTAGTTGTATTTCTGGGATTTGCATTAACAAACAACCAATTTAAAATTTCTTACATAAATTTCTTACATTGATACATATTTGGGATGACTATTGGATGTTAATGCTTTAATGCTTCTCTGATTGATTTTTTGTATGTTTCATACTATGTTAAAGAATTTTTTGTTTTGTAAGGGATGTGTTCCATTCTGGTTTATTGGAGACATGGTATTGATTAGTGTAATGTCAGACCACCCTCTAATAGCTTGTTTAAGGGAGACTATTCTATTGCTATCACACAATATTGGGCTACAGACAATAGTGTCTCCTTTAGGAGAATGTCTTAGAGTTTTTAGGGAGAATGTTTTGCAGTATAGTACACTATACAGCCTCAAGAATCTGACCCTGCCAATAATGAAAGTAACCCATACAAATAGAGGATTACATCAATTTGAGATAAGTCCCGAGACTATGTGTTTGAATGAATGATGGTTTGCTCCTCCGGAGTAAGAGGATAAAAGTATGTCAACAAAACAACCAAACAAACAAATGAGCAATCTATTTATTGATAATTGGATATTGGCTTAATTAACAATAAAGATGTTGTGCTTAGCATTCTCCAACACAAAATCTGAAAACACATGCAAAATTCTTTATGAATACCTCTTTAAAACAGACACTAAATCTGCAAACCAATGCAGTAAAACCTTTGTGTATGAACACCACTTTAAAGCAGACACTTCTAATGCAAACAGTGTGTAGATCAGCTATAATCTTTTTTGATACCACATTGATTTCCATGTTATGAAAACTGTCAATTATGAACATATTTAGTCAGTCCCAGAAGATTAAACTCTCATTATGTTTTACGTATTAATATGTCATGACTTTTCGGAGGTATATTAACCTAGAACATGAAGCTTGAAAAACTTGTCTGCGGCTGAGTCTCATTTTGAGCAATATAACGCTGTAATTTGACTTTAGGAAGTCACTCTGAGATTACATTCTTTTATTCCACTGTGTTAAAGTTTCAATCACTTCAATACTGCAAGTGTATATTTATGACACAAGAGACATGAACCTCTTATTTTATGAATTTCAGATATAATGTTCCAATTACAATAAAACCTGTCTAGTAGCTTGCTAAAAGTTGATATATTGAGAAACGTTCAAATGATGAGGTTCAGATGACATAAGAGTTAATGAAATCAATATCCAAAATCATAGGGCTGAGAAAGGGTCTCAATTTGAAGTTTTTGATGTTGGAGATGTGCTAAACACATGTAGTAAAACCTGTTTTTAGTGGAACACCTTTGGTACCTCTAAAATATGTTCTACTTGGGAGGTGTTCCACTTATAGAGGTTCATTTAACATTAAGTCAGTTGGTCTTGGGACTCTCTATTTATCCCAACATGCGAATCTCATAGTCATTTGAGAATAAAATATTCCATGATACAGTACCTATGAGGAAACTATGAGGCACATTGGCAAAACAAGTGTCTTGGTGAATCATGTATTAATCAATTATTGAGTCTCCTGTTTTGACTCATAGAGTCAACTCAATTCATTATATTAAATATTAATTCGAATATAGAGACTAGACTATACATGGATAGGCTTTTCTATTCTTTTCTTGACATGTTATTTATGTTATTTTAGAAGTGTCAGACTTGTTGGATAATTTATGGATGGAGTCAAACTGTTCCTATATCGATTATTAATAGGTTCTACTAGTAGTTCACACATAGCTATATTGATAAAACTTATCATCTTTGACTTTCCAAAGGATATATCACCCCTCCAGAAAAAGACTCATCTGATTTGCTACAAATTCAGAAATATAAGTTACTTTTAGGTGGCCATTTTGGATTCTGGTGGTCATATCGAAATATCAATTTCATAATTATCAATAAAATATCAAAATATTGGATAACATGGTAAACTAGCTATTGACAAAAAATATTGTCAAATTAAAGCAATATATATCAATATCACTCAGTACCATCAGTTTCATTAATCTATCAAAATAATGCCGTTATTGCAATTTTTCATGACACAAAATTTTGTGCCTATTTGGTGGCGTGATTTCATCCATGCCTCGTTTGTTCTCAAGACAATCACCCCTAAAGCCTTTTTATGTGATTTTTACTTTAAATCCCTGTTATTCATGTAGTAGCTATAGTTTTAAGATGGTTCATCTAATAAGCACTGTGCCATTGACAGATTAGAACATGGTGACTTCTGAATTGAATGATACAAAACATCCAAATAACCACTACAATGTTCAACTTATTATTACTGTATAATTATTCAACTCGAACTTATTTTCCTTTAAATGCTCATCTGGATATAATATTACAGTATAAATTGAAAATATGATTACTACATAGTAATGCCCTGAAATGAGGTCTATTATTGTTCACAGTTTTTAATGGGAGTCTACTTATTGACAGAAAATGTAAATAACTGTAAAACCTGTATTAGTGAACACCTCTCCCTAGTGAACACCCGTTTCTCGTAAACACCCTTCCTCCGCTCATACTCTACTGACTTCAGTAGTTTTTCTTGGCAAAAATGTTCAATATACACAGGTTTTACTGCATTATGATTGGATATTGGATATAGAGTAGATTAAAGCATTTTCTCTAATCTTAATAGTGCAGATGATGTCAGTCTCATTTAAAGGGTAATTCTTATGCAAGTCTTTCAATATACACATGTTTTACTGTAATCTTAAGAGTGTGGATGATGTCAGTCTCATTTAAAGGGTAATTCAAATGAGAGTCTCCCAATATACACATGTTTTACTGTAATCTTAAGAGTGTGGATGATGTCAGTCTCTTTTAAAGGGTAATTCATATGCAGGTCTTTCCTCTCAGGAAGTTCAATTTTCTAGACCTGCCTGTGTAGCTTTTGCAGAATTAATGTTAACCTCCAAAGAATTAATATTTATGTAGTGTTAGGGCATTTGTCAACCTAGTTAATGGAAAACATGCAATATTCAGTTGCCTTTATAGAGATAAAGAAACTATGCACAAATATGGTCATGTTTTTTTCCTTTTGCATGGTGAGAAATATCTGTGCTCTGAAACCAGAATTTTATATAAAACTCCAGAAATATAGTTTGACTTTTGAGATAAAGAAAATAATGACATTCATAGTTCTTTCATAATGCTATATAATGTATGCCATTAGGCACAATGTTAATTTTTAGGTTAAATACAGGGTGATCATTAAGTTCTGGGAATTGGTCTGCCATTTCAGTATTTCTCAACCAATACAGATGTTACTATAGAAATGATAGTTAGAAAGTTTCAAGTAAATTGGTTAGAAATTAATGAAATGACAGACAAATCGTCAGAACTTAGTGATCACCCTGTATACAGGTTTGTCAGAAGGTTCCAAGATTTACTTAATGTATTTGGACAAAATTATTCAAAGACCAACTTGTTTCTGTTTTAGGATGACGAGACTCCGACATCCGAGTGTTCTATGCCATCGTGCTCTGATGATATCACACCGACACAATCGGCTGAACTCATTCAATTTAAACAAAAACGAGCCCTAAATCCAGAAAATTATCAAGAAAGTAAGTATTCAATAATTTTCTAAAAAACTATATTTTTATATTATTATATTATGTTTATGTTTTACTCAAGCCCGTAATTTCACGAGAAAGTGTGATTTTCAATGGAATTTATTCTTCAAAACTACATGGCTACAGATCTCACCCCTTGAGAGAATTCCTTGTGAGCAATTAGTTTTAGTGCAGGATCTAGTGAAAAATATCATGCGAAGTATTCAAAAATCAAGGTCAACATCAAGTACCTAAAGTACCTGTTCTTCATTGTCATAGTATTTCTTCAATATAGTGGTAATATGTCCATCCTGTGTGTGGGATTGGTGTATTTCCTAATGTCAGACAATAAAGGTTCAGAATTCTAAACAGAATGAGATATGTAGCCTTGTGTGGAGAAACTGTTACTATATTTCCACATGATAATATGTATCACAAGCATGAATGAATTGAATTGAATTGAATTTACCTGGTCAATGTATAGTATAAGTCAGCAGCTTTTGAATATTATAATCATCTTGCCTACACAAATAGTCATCAGCTTATTGTATTTTTGCTGGAAAAAGTTTGAACCTATTGTTCTTTTTTCTGTTTTATCGATCAGTACGCTTTGATACTTTCAAACCCCAAAGTGATAAATGAATATATTATATGGAGTGTAGTACCCTATTCTAAATGTGATGACTGCCGAGATGAAAGAGGTTGAGAGTCCACAAGGATGTGAATTTGAATAATTGGTTGTTACTACACATTTTATATTTCCATTAAGCAAATTGCCTTACACATAGCATCATTCTGTATTATCATTTTGGGATCAACAATTTAGCCTGAATATTTTCTTCTTATTTAATTTCCTTCTTAGAACTGTATGTATCAGCAATATACATGTATATAGCTATTAAATTGTGATGCACTATGTGTGTGGCTATTTAATGGAAATATATGTATGTGGCTATAAAAGTTAATGTGGCTATTTATGTTTCCCGGTTGCTGCATAGAGGATACAGGTAGGCCTTGTGTCTCTCTGCATCTAGGGGCATGTATCATGATGCGGGTTAAGTTCAGTTATTTAGGGACATGTATCATAATTCTGGGTTAAGTTCAGTTATTTAGGGACATGTATCACAATGCTGGGTTAAGTTCAGTTATTTAGGGACATGTATCACAATGCTGGGTTAAGTTCAGTTATTTAGGGACATGTATCATAATTCTGGGTTAAGTTCAGTTATTTAGGGACATGTATCACAATGCTGGGTTAAGTTCAGTTATTTAGGGACATGTATCACAATGCTGGGTTAAGTTCAGTTATTTAGGGACATGTATCATAATTCTGGGTTAAGTTCAGTTATTTAGGGACATGTATCACAATGCTGGGTTAAGTTCAGTTATTTAGGGACATGTATCACAATGCTGGGTTAAGTTCAGTTATTTAGGGACATGTATCATAATTCTGGGTTAAGTTCAGTTATTCAGGGGCATGTATCACAATGCTTGGTTAAGTTCAGTTATTTAGGGACATGTATCATAATTCTGGGTTAAGTTCAGTTATTTAGGGACATGTATCACAATGCTGGGTTAAGTTCAGTTATTTAGGGACATGTATCATAATTCTGGGTTAAGTTCAGTTATTCAGGGGCATGTATCACAATGCTGGGTTAAGTTCAGTTATTCAGGGGAAGTATCATAATGCTGGGCTAAGTTCAGCTATTCAGGGGCATGTTTCACAATATTGAGTTGTTCAGGGGCGTGTATCATAATACGGGGTTAAGTTCAGTTATTCAGGGGAATGTGTCACAATGCTGGGTTAAGTTCGGTTATTCGGGGGGCATGTATCACAATTTTGGGTGAAGTTCATTTATCCAGGGGCATGTATCACAATGCTGGGCTAAGTTCAGTTATTCAGGGCCATGTATCATAATGCTGGGTTAAGTTCAGTTATTTAGGGACATGTATCATAATTCTGGGTTAAGTTCAGTTATTCAGGGGCATGTATCACAATGCTGGGTTAAGTTCATTTATTCATGGGCATGTATCACAATGCTGGGCTAAGTTCATTTATTCAGGGGCATGTATCATAATGCTGGGTTAAGTTCAGTTATTCAGGGGCATGTATCATAATGCTGGGTTAAGTTCAGTTATTCAGGGGCATGTATCATAATGCTGGGCTAAGTTCAGTTATTCAGTGCCATGTATCATAATGCTGGGTTAAGTTCAGTTATTCAGGGCCATGTATCACAATGCTGGGTTAAGTTGACTTATTCAGGGGCATGTATCATAATGCTGGGTTAAGTTCAGTTATTCAGGGCCATGTATCATAATGCTGGGTTAAGTTCAGTTATTCAGGGCCATGTATCACAATGCTGGGTCAAGTTGACTTATTCAGGGGCATGTATCATAATGCTGGGTTAAGTTCAGTTATTCAGGGGCATGTGTCATAATGCTGGGTTAAGTTCATTTAACCAGGGGGAAGTATCATAATGCTGGGTTAAGTTCATTTATTCAGGGGCATGTATCATAATGCTGGGCTAAGTTCACTTATTCTGTATCACAATGCTGGGTTAAGTTCAGTTATTCAGGGCCATGTATCATAATGCTGGGTTAAGTTCAGTTATTCAGGGCCATGTATCACAATGCTGGGTTAAGTTGACTTATTCAGGGGCATGTATCATAATGCTGGGTTAAGTTCAGTTATTCAGGGGCATGTGTCATAATGCTGGGTTAAGTTCATTTAACCAGGGGGAAGTATCATAATGCTGGGTTAAGTTCATTTATTCAGGGGCATGTATCATAATGCTGGGCTAAGTTCATTTATTCAGGGGCATGAATAACAATGCTGGGTTGATGCTGTGTATTTTTTTAGTTGTTGGTTTCCTTGGTTCTTGTTGAAAATTTTATCTTTGTAAATGAATACTTGTATTATAACATAGTGCAATCCCTGAAATTGAATATAATCGATAGGTGCTTATTGTTATATTTATTTGCCATTTTGTTTGATCATTGAAACCATCTGCCCGGAATGGCTTCATCATATTTATTTAATCAAGCTTTAGTCTTTTGAAATTGTTTACTAAGATATACCTCATTAAATATATATTTTGGAATTATTTGGTAATTTGTGAACATTTGTGTTTATAATATACCCCCTCCACTTCAGGGTCCCTTCAACCAATAAAGGATTTTGTTCATGATATCAGATGTCCTTTCGGGTGGAGGTGGTGTACATGATGCATGGCTTTGTTGGTTATTTTCACTTTATCTATGTTATTGCAGATCGATATTTAAGATTAATTATTGACTTATTTTGAATGTGGTACAACTTGTTTAAAAGATTTAAATGTACTGATATTTTTATGCAAAAATCATTTAATATTTATTTTAAAAATTCTTTTTTTGTTGTTGTAATATTACTTGTCTTCTTGTATATCAGTATGGAGAAGGAGTTTCTGTATATTTTTTTTGTTCTTAACTTTTCAATTAATGTGACGTACACATCTCGCATTCTAAGCTTTTACTATTGCTATTTCTTGAGGATTATTCCATGCTTTTAGTTGTCTATGTATATAGAATCTATTTGTATAGAATCTAAATATATATTTTATAATTTGCAGGCCTGCGTGAGTTATCACTGAGTGGTCTGAATGAGCTATTAGAAGAACTGGAGGCATATATAAAAGATTACTCAGAGACTCTAATACAGGTATGTGTTAAGTCTTCATTAAGGGACTTATGTCTTCATTATGGGACTTATGTCTTCATTAAGGGACATCTACAATGTCACGGGTGATTGGGTCACTCGTGTATGATTTGTAATTTTACAAGTATAAAATAAAATCTTGATAAAGGTACAATTTATGTATATTTTTGAAATGAAATTTTTTCCAACCAAGCGAAGCTTTATCCAGTACTAAAAACTTTAACAGGAATTATCCTACTTATAACTTTCAGAGGTATACCACTCATAGACCATAGTTTAGAATAGCCATTAATAATGTCGACTCTATTTTGAGTTTGTATGTTCATGCACCTTTTATTGGAATCTACCCTGGCTTTTGATGATTTTCCTATTTCATCATTTTTTATTACATGCACAAATTGAGATGAAAATTAAACCTCAATTCACAAAGACTGTAAGATTGGCAACAATAATGCATGCAATAGAAATGAAATAAAGAAGCAATTATTTGTAGATTCTATCATTACTCTCGGCTTGAATACCATCTAACATGCCATCAAGGAAGAATTCAAATGTAATTGCTCGCTATAGAAACCAAAAGTAGTTCCATAATTTAGCCCACACATGGAATGATTAAAAGTTCATCAATAGTCGTATTCTTCACTTGAGTAATGTATGATTTATTTTGATATCTTTGGTTGTCTAATTCTCTTAGAAAACTTGCAGTCTGTCAGTAATTAGCAATTATAATTATTATGAATGATGAGTAATCAGGTTTTTTATGGCACCACCACAAGTGCTATGGTTTCAGGTGTTTGGTGGTTGGTGTTTGGTTTCTGTAACAAATGGCAGGTAGTGACATTTTGTATATTAATGTGTTGTTTACTCTATGTTATTATGCTCCCCTCTATTATTTCCTAAAACTTGAAATATAATGCCTCAAAAAATAAAGAAAAAGAGGTTCAGGGATCTCTATTGGACCCCCCCCCCCCTATTAGATGCCCCTTAAGTGAGGGACTCCTATTATATCCCCCATCTTGTATGGCTAACTATGGCTAATCTATCTGTTGCATATTAACTGTGTTATGTTTGCCTAGTTTTATATTGGAACATAAATTCTTATGAGATTGCTTTATAAACACTGGAACGGCAGACTGTGTTACAGTAACAGAGGCAGACATCTCTCCGCATTAATCTTTGTATAATGGTTCTATCCCAAATCAATGTCAGTGTCTTCTTAATTGAAAAATTCCAACTTGACGTTGATTTTCACGCCTTGGCTGGGAGGCATATATATTGAAGGGCCTACTAATAATGTAATAGTTTGTCCAAAAAATCAATGATATAAATACATCATGTTTCATTGAATTGATAGAATCAACATTCTTTGTTAGGATTAATGATCGCAACATCATTATGCGGCTAATCAATTGTAACTTCACACTTCCATTCTTTTGTACATGAGTAAATTTATTTTTGGAAATATCGATGGAGCTTCCTGTTTTTAATTCTCGAGGGGTGATATATTTCATGTGAAGGCTTTCCTGGATGCATGGAATCAAGTAAAACTTACCATTTTAAGCAAAGCAATGGTATTGTAGCACTGAAAATGAAATTTCGAGACAGAATTCAATTCTATTGATATTTTATGATTGAATCCATATGTGTTCAGCTTATGCTGTAATTTTTGCCAAAATTTATTAGAGGATAATTTATTCTGAACGTAAAAATTAGATTTGTGTTTGTTTATCTGGGTTCGTTTTTGACAAACTGACTTAGGATTAAACTAATAATATTGTAAGGAACTAGGTGGTGACATTTTGTCATGTTAATGCTTTGTTTTATGATACTCCCCTCCATAATTCCACATACATTAGGCTTCCTAAAACTTGAGATATAAGGCCTCTAAAATAAATTAAAAGAAGTTCCCTTTGCACCCCCTCCCCCATTGGTCCCCCTTATGTGAGGGACCCCTTTTATTGTTTAGAATTTCAGATATATCGTACAGTGACTCATTAGCGTCTTCAAATAGTTTTGGAAAATTGTCTTTGAGAATTGAGGGAGTTTATTGAGGAAATAATTGGCTTCTTTTATTTAATTTTCCTAGATTTATTGAATCAATATACAGTTTCAGGACAATAAGAGTTGACAACCAGATGCCTTTACATAAAATGAACTCATTTGGTTCACACAAAGACATATCAAACCCACTTACAGAAAACAGAATTAAGTTTTTGCTATTTGGAAAAATTAGCCTTGAAATTGTTTTCAGTCCCCATGGCTATGATAATGATAATAATATAGTATTGTATAGTAAAGGGAATTCTAAAACATTTTGTTGTTAAAAACAGTAAAATTGACCTTTTGGTCCTTAAGAAATAGTTTTGTGAATGGATGAAGTAAATAAACTACTTAAGATTTGAATATTCATTATTTTGGAGCTAGCACCTGGTTGCCATGGTAAATGTTGAGACACCACAAATAAATAAATTCATGACACACCCCATGTTTTTCAGGAGCTTGCTCTACGGGACGAGTTGGAATATGAGAAAGAATTGAAGAACACGTTTATATCACTGTTGTTGAGTATACAGAAGAAAAGACGTGAAAGTCAGATGGATAAGAAAAAAATCAACAACAACAAACGTAAAGGTGCCAATGACTCGAACACTGTGAGTATAGTATTGAATCAAAACAAATGGTCATTATTTTATACAATAAATAAGTATCAGTGATCTCCCCAGCATTAAAGCAAGTAGGCACTGCACCCACCTGATATTTTAGAAACAGACTTACACCCACCTGAAAATCTATTTGCACCAACTTGAAAATGAGAAAATTCATGAAAATAAGCCACATTTTGACCTAATTTGGTTTAAAGTGTGAGATTCAGAATTTTGCACCCACTTGAGATAAAATCCTGAGGAGATCATTGAGTATTCTACTACATGTATATTTATATTTTATTGTACAATGAATCATTCCTACCTATCTCTAATGTTTATAATTTTCTTAGAATACATGTATACTCGATAGTCTTTATTGTGTATGTCTAATGAGCCAAATTTTGTCAAATTTGCACTGAAAATAAACAATGTGCAGATTTATTCTATGTACTTTTTGTCTGTAACAAACATAGCAAAACTAGCATAACATTATATCGTTTTACATATTATTTGATTAACATTGTTTCAGTACTTGACTACTGTCATCCCTTACCATGCCAACCAAGGCACTCCATCGAGCCACCAATTACAAGTCTACATCAAAAGTAAGTACATATATTGTCGATATAATGCACAAATATATACATATATGATCTGTAAAATGTTTTAATTTTATCTGCACATCATTGATACAAATTATGATTTTTGTGAAAGGCAAAAATTGACAACAGTGGATCTTTAAGTGTTTTCATTTAACTCATTCACTTCTTGTATTTAGCTTATTATGCCACCATCAGAAGCGCCGACATATTGTTGTAGTCTCAAATTTTTTGTGGCCAGTGTTTGGTGTCTGTAACATTGTTCAGAGTCTGAAACAACATTAAGCATTCGGTGTCTAACAAATGGCAGGTGGTGACATTTTGAATATTAATGCCTTGTTCACTTCTTGTATTAAGCTCATTCACATGAGAGACCTTAATGTCTGTATGGCTTACAGGTGTCAAATGCTAACCTTGAGAGAAAACATAATATTGGAAATTCAACTTACATGATAATGTTAATCAATCAATAATAAAAAGTGATAATTGTCTTGTTGCTCCAGTTCTGAAAGCCATCAATGAAGACAGTGCTGCAGTCCCTGGACTCCTGACAGACTACATTCTGAAAGGTGAGTATATTTGACGAAAACATATACAGGGTGTCAAATAAATACATTTCCCTCCTTATTTTCAAAAGTACATGTATGAACTTTTGTACATTTTTTCTTTGAGAGTATTTAGTTGTTATAGAGAATAGCAAGTTTCATGCCCATTTCTTACTGAGAACTTAATTTTTATCAGTTTTTTAATAGTCAGTGGGACCATCATCATTTGTACAAATAATAATGATGCCATTATAATAACAACTAGCCTGCTTCAACTAATACAGATGATTTGCTACCACTTTGAACATGCATGTATGTCTAATATTTTCCCATTTGAGCAACATGTAAAAACCTTCCCTGTGCAAGGGTAATGCTCGATGTTTGTTGACCAAAAAGATGGCATATCATCAATGGTACATCAAATCCATTGCTCTCTTCTGATAGGTTTATAAATATGTATGTAACCGGGTGTTGAAAATGTGAAATAAAGTGAGAATTCTTCATATTGTATTATATAGAAAATCAGAAAATCCAGAATTTTGTTTTAAGTTTCTTAAGAAATTAGATGTAATGAAGACCAATTAACCAGTTTTTTATTGAATCAAATATATGAATTAATTTTCTTTTCTCATGTTTCAGTTCTCTGCCCCACATAATAGCCATACTTACTACCCAACCTCCGGAGAAGTGCAATCTAATTTATTTCTAAACAACTTGTATACTGACTGTACAGGACGTCCCAGTTGCCATGGATATTAGGAATGTGCAAATATGATGGAAGAACTTCTGCATAATTTGGATATTTATTACGAATCACGCTTGTTTGACACTTGTAGTGTTGTAGGATGGAATCGGAATCATATATCTTGGAAAGAAACTCAGAAAAGGAACACAGTGCACAGAACAGAACAAAGATGTCTCTGACTAACAGATGGATATATTTATTATTAGATTGATAATATGGGAGTTATTTGTATTACCCACAATGCACCACTGGTGCTTTTGGATGGAGAAGGCTACATAAAGTATGTTATATTGAACTGCGGAATATGGATATGACAATTCCTATTTCATATATTGAAATATACAGTTAACAGAAGAGGTATGGATATCCCATGATTCTCTATCAGGACTTGAGGAAAAGAACAGAGAAAGAACAGGATAAGTTTTTTGGATAATGTAGAATATCTATAACGCAATATAATCTGCTTTTGCTTTTTGATAGTGGCAATATACTGCAACTTACATATATAGATCAAAATCTGGCGATTGAGGCAAGTTATTGGCAATCATGGTCTTAAAAGATTTACAGCATATAGCACATAGTAATTGTCTCAGTGTATTTATATACTAACAAGCTGTATTGTATAGCTATATCCTCACATAGCTGGCTTTGTAATAGTGATACATTGCTCTGGCAACACCTTATTTGATGTCAGGTCATAGTGCATCAATGCTGTATTGCTAGCAAGCTGTTCCTCTAGAAATAGCTATTTGATGTCCGGTCATAATGTGTCAGTGCTGTACCTCTAGAAAAAGCTATGATGTTAGCTCATATTGCGTCAATGCTTATTTCTAGAAACTGCTTGATGTCAGATCATAAACAGGGTAGACATTAGTGTGAGATTTGTATGTCTTAAAAAATAAGATGAGTCTTACCAATCGTACAAAAAACATTCTGTATGTTAATATGTGGTCTAATGATTAATCATTACTAAAGTGTTTTTCCATGCCATAGGTCCTCAAATAGAATGATTCCACTCACTTAGAAAAAGTTTTGTTAACCTTCACAAAACAAAATAATCACTTAAGCTAAATGAAATGTCTTTTATCATTATAACTATTTTGGAACAATTTATAATGGAAAACAGAAAACGCATGCATGTTGTGTGACTTTTCTGTTACTAATGTCACTTGTGGGTTCAAAACTACACATTGTTTTTTATAGAGTCTCAACCAGACTAGGACGATTTTGTACATAGTGCTAATTGTACTGATATATGCATATGTTTAGCATGACAATTTGTTGATAGATATGACATAGTCACTTTAAGAGAAAATTATTCGTATCAGAATCAGTGTTTACATAGTTTTATTCTGTTTTAGCCAATCTTTATGGGTTTTCACTGTAGTTTGAGTGCTTGTTGCAGCTATTATTCAAAATTGACGACCGCTTATAGTCATATAATGGTTGTATGAGTCAAAATATGGCAGGGAGAAGCAGTCAAAATATGGAAAAAACACTGGCCAGGGCCGTAGCCAGCTTTTGCCAAGTTCACTCTCTAAAAATTTCTAGGGGGTTCACATTTTACAATTTTGCCCCAAAAATGGCCAAAATCATTTGAAAAGTGCGTGGAATAGTTAAAAACTGCATGATTTTGACATGATGTTTGGCCAGGGGGGTTTGAAATTAAAATAAAAGTTTGTACATAAATACGAACCAAGCGAAAACCTAAATAACGTTAAGATGAAATGGTGCTTTTGTTGTTTTCAGTAATGCAAAAAAATAAATGTTGTCAATTCATGAGAAATACTAGTATCCCAAATTAAGAATATATGTGTGTCAAATTTAACAAGTAAAACATTTTACTAAAATTAATGTAGTCTTCAAGGAACACCAAGTCCAAGAAATGAGATGGAAATACATGTAAAGCACTGTGGAATGTGTGCTTTTTAATTGTGAATGAGTCTGGGATATGAAGTACAGTATAGTGAAGGAATCATTGATTGGTTTAATATGAAGGCTATTATTGCATTGTGGAAAAACAAATGTGTAAGAAGATATTGAATCATAGAAATATACATGAGAAAAATTTTGATAATTCCATTTTGCTTCAGTTGTCTGTTATGTCAAAGATTTGTATTGAAGAATTGCCAACTTTGTAAATCAATCATGAATGTGTAAGTTTAATTCTTATTATTATATGTACTGCAATACTGGTATTTATGAGCATGTAAACAGCGAATAGATATACCATACGATAGCACGCACACATTGAAAAGGCATGTGTAAATGCAGATTTACTCGCTTTTTCAAGATTTACGAATAGATGATTCAACATTTGAATCAGAAGTTCAATAGAATAGCAGCACATTTATTTAGTTGATGTACTTTAGAGCTTTTGATGTATAACGGGGAGAAACATAGAATATATATGGCATGATGCTTCTCTGTCAGAATGAACAGAATATTTAGATTTTGTTACCAACTTTTGTTGAAACTCAATTTTTTAAACGATGAATATTTAATTTTGTATATTTGTTTTGTAAATATATTTGTATATGAATGCTCTACATATGTACATGTACTTATGTTTATATTACGCCATATTTATCATTTGGTCAAGTCAGCTTTGCTAGTGAATGTCTCTAATGACTTTCATAATGTCACTAATGACTTTCATGATGTCACTAATGACTTTCATAATGTCACTAATGACTTTCATCAGGTTACCCATGACTCTCATGATGTCACTAATGATGTAACTATAACTCATGGTGTTACTTATTACTCGTACTCATTGCCACCATGATGGTATATGGGTATATTCATTGTATTGTATTGTATTACTCATGACTCTTGGTTCATGATGTTACTTATGACTATCATGGTGTTACTAGTGACTGTCATGATGTTACTTACGACTACCATGGTGTTACTAGTGACTGTCATGATGTTACTTGTGACTTTCATGATGTTACTTTTAACTATCATGATGTTACTTACGACTACCATGGTGTTACTAGTGACTGTCATGATGTTACTTGTGACTTTCATGATGTTACTTTTAACTATCATGATGTTACTTACGACTACCATGGTGTTCCTAGTGACTGTCATGATGTTACTTGTGACTTTCATAATGTTACTTTTAACTATCATGATGTTACTCATAAATATCATGGTGTTACAATTGAAATAGACATGGATGTATATTGCAGTCTTACTTGTGCTTGTATCATACCATTATCAAGCAATATATTCTGTATATACATATTTAATCAAGCAAGCTGCAGAATTTTTCAGAAGTCCAAACATCCATGTCAACCAGGAGGTCATTTCTCAAGTGCAGCATGATTTTGTGATTCATAAAATCAATCATTTTCTCTTGATAAAACACTGCCTTTTGTATACACAGTTACGTTTGTGTGTTTAAACACAATTGCGTTCATGTGTTTATCTATCCTCCGTTTGCAGGGCTCCAAAATCCAAAATATCTTCTTTCTCCAGATTCTGGACATCTGCTAAGGAGGATAGTGTTTATCTAGGATCCATATAGAAAATGGCCTTCTGGTGAATCAATATTATTTCACCAGAATATCATGGGTGAATAACCTGCAATGAAACAGCAAGGTGACCATACCACTTCATTCATTTCATCCTACCATTCATATTTAATTTCAATTTAGTTAGTATACTTATGTTGGATAATATATGCTTCATCACTGCACCATATACCATTATTTCAACGTATACTACCATTGTAAATACATGTACTATAATCACATTAATATATTCTATCATATCTTTAGTGATGTTCATTTGAAGACTCTTTGATACAAAAAAAGGACATTTTGAATGTGTATGAGAAAACCTATAGTTTTCAAAATTAAATCATGATCTAATTAGTTGAAATAAGTTAACAAGAAGACGGCAAGACGTCTTTTTGAAAGCGAGATAAAAATGAATGAGAGATTTGAAAGGAAATTGTTTGACTTATATTTGTCCTGAAAACTTGCTTGGACGTTTCTTTTGTAAATAAATCATGCCAAGGAATCTATCTCTAGTCCCTGATTTATATCTGAAGATCAAATGTGTTCATATTAATCAATAAACTATATGCATGTAGAAGTATATATCATATGTATGAAACATCATGTATATATGAATTTTTCAGTTCAGATTATGTTCATAATGGGAAAATATGTTCATAATGGGAAAATATGTCCATAGCAGTGTTGATCTTGTGCAGTATGGGTCTTGTGCCTCAATACAAGCCTTGCATCTTAGGTAGAATTTAAATACGAGGGCCATTTGTTTGCTTCAATATTTTCTACATTATGAAACTTTTGAACTGGAGAATTTATGTGATTATTTATGTCAAACATTTTGTGAAAATTTTGTTGTGAAACATTCAGAAACCTCACCACATAGAGGGTATAGTGTAAGGTCATCTTTATACATGATTGTACAATGTACACAAAAATAAGGCCAATACTGTTTTCAAATTGGATATAATTGTTGTACAATTCGCATAATAAAAGCTACTGAAAGTAAAAAAATGACTTGTGTTCCCTTAGCTCTCAGGATATTATTTTTTATATACAGTATACAAGTGGCGACATATTGATATAGTTTAGTCTCCAACTTTTTTGTGGACAGTGTTTGGTGTTCAGTGGTCGGTGTCTGTAATAAATGGCAGGTGGTGCCACTTTGCATGCTAATCCCTTGTTAAATATGCACCAGGTGTTCTTCAGTGAAAATGTATATAAAAGATTGGATAGGATGGCAATCCAATTTCATTTTACTTGGTTTATCCTTAAAGAAAATATTAAAGTTTCTGTTTCTTTACTTAGAATGTTGGGTTATAAAAGAACATGTATGTTAACTGCTATTGTTTCAAACCCATTTTATACCCTGGAGAGATTATTTGAAGGCTTTACCATACATAGAATTGTGTAAAGTAAATCTAAATATCCGAACACCTATCTTATCTGAAAACCTTTCAATTTGAACACTTTTACTGTATCATTTTCGAACCTATAAAAACCTCGAAATGTGAGAAACCTGCCAATCTGACAAGTTGGACAGTTCCAGTGGCATTCAGATAAGACTTTTACTAATAGATGTCATACAGGTAACACACAAACAAAATTAAACTAGACTGTTATTTATATAAGAAATAAATTATTATTTGTATCATTTCAACAACTTAGTACATACACTATGATGAGTACATAAAGACCACACTGATAGATAAATGACAAGCTGATTGTACATGTAAGTAGCATATTAACAGCAATTAACATAGAAAATGCAATGCAGTACAATTACAGTAATACCTGTATATCTGAAACCTCTGTAATCCAAACACCTCCCAGTATGAACACTGTCTTGGTGGTCCCACTTTTATAATCTTTCATCAAGTCCCATTGAAACCTTGACATGTGAATACCTGCTGAGCTCAACTCTTGGATTGTCCCAGTGGCATTTGAATTAGACAGCTTTTAATGTATATCAGTTTTACACACTGAATTTGCTCTTAACTTGGAGACTCTCAAGAGGATTTTAAATTTTTTTCCAAATTATATCTTTGTTTAATAGCCAGAAATAAAAGTATTTGACGGTAACATGATATAGAACAATGCCGAGATGTGTTTTCATGATAGTTATTTAAACTATGTTATCGCACTGATTGTCTAAAACTTAAAGCTTTGCTTTGTGTTGATTTTTTAGTAATTTTAAAATCTGCCAATTTTGCAAAAATGACCAAAAACAAATTAAATAGCCAAATTAATCACAAATACAGCATTTAAAGCAAGCAAAGATGAATGCACAATCATGTATTTTCAGCAACTGTTGACAGTACACTTTCTTTATTCAAATTAATTAAATACACTCAATACAATGATGTAATATTAATACATTTTTGAAGAACTTTAAATTCTTATCTAAATTCTGAAAACAATTGACTAAAATTAGCTAATTGACATTAATTCAAACAAACAATCATATACTGCAAGACATATGCTTCTCCTTGGTTAACAATATCACACTTCATGGTATTCAAATAGTGAATCACATATATTTATCGAGGGGGCTATCACAACACAGGAATAGCCTCCTGTAAGTTTCCATTCTTGTACAAATAGTTAAATTTTATTGACAAAAATCGATAAATTCCTTAAAAAAGACATCACCTTATCAACAATTATTTTCAGATGTTCTTTGTACACATTTAATGCAAAAAACTTCAATGAATGAATCTAAATTGAAATAAAAATAATGAATATTGATTATCTAAGTATTCACTGCCATGCACTGAAGTCTAATTATGCTGGCACACAATTTTCACATATTTTTTCATAAAAACTTTGCAACAAATTTGTGATGGCATTTGTTTTTTCTACATCAATCACAAATAAACTAATATCACAACCAACACACAGGTTTTTCTATCTGGCATATCTAGTTCAAATTCAATGAGTCTGTCTGAACTGACGCCGAGGGCATCAATTTTGTAATAGTCTTGCATCAAGCCCTTGTATAATGTAATCCACCCTACACCACAATCTGTTATGTTTTGTAGAGATAGTGAGGGAGAACAAAATACTTGACACAAAACAATGCAATTTTGACCATTCATTGTATCTACTAAAAGTGCCAAAAGTAAATTGTTCTAGAACAACTAAAACTATAACTCAACTCTTTATACATCAACTGACTATTGCATGATGGGATACATATCCTCTTGTAACACACATCACACTTGATTTTCTCATATTTTCATGTTTCATTCTAGTTACATTGTTAATATATAATACGCTTGCCAACAATACTGGTCAACATAAAATCCTAACAGTTTCCTTAACAAATTTTCTTAACAAAATTAGACAGCATTCCTTTTCGGATACATGCTCTGGAGGAACATTAAATTGTTACATACACAACAAGTACAGATATATTTTATGACAAAAATTTGGAGTTTTATAACTCCATCACAGACATTCTATTCTTTCAGTTTTCGGTAACGAATAACAAGTATTATGAAATATTCAATTACATAACTGGATTTTGGGATTATATAACATAAACCATACAGAACGCCATCTATTCTAGGTTACATTTTTGCAAGACACTTCACTACAAGAGGGAGTTAGCAATATATCTTAAAAAGACCATTTAGATCAAAAATCATGAACAGCTGTCCAAAGAATTCTTGGATATAAATCTAGCTAGGAGATCTAACAAAACTTTAGTATTATCAAATTAAGTTAGTTAAATCGCAACATATACAAGATGTAACAAAATATGTGTATACTGAAAATAATAACAAATTAACAAAACCCTGAGGTACTTCTGAAAACATTTAAATTCCACATCATCTTTTGTGCATGTAGATAAATTATGATAGAATTATAGTTTAGATGTCAGGGAGGGACAATTTGACCATTGTGAACCATTATATATAGAACATCTTAGTGACACATTTATATTATCATATGGGGAGATTGGTAATATCACATTAACCTCTTGACTACCCAGTGTGACGAGATTTCTCGTCACCTCAGAAATGACCTTGGAACCCAGAGTGACAAGATAATCCGTCACAAAATATTTCACTAAAATTGCTCTTATTTGAACAACTTTTATCCAATTTTCACAAAAATTGTTTTAAAATGTCTAGAAATGATCTCTACCGTTTAATTCTACTAAATTGAACATCGTCTATTGTATATGTATGTAGTAAAATGTCAAAAGCTGGCAAAAATGAAAAATTATCTGGTTTCAACATATTTTAGAACCTGTGATTCAAGAGGTTAAAGAGGCAAAAAGGATAAAGAAAAATTGAGGAAAAATTATCACGGCTGTACAATATCTTGCAAACAGCATTCCTTGTAATATGATTTTTGATTTCTAAAGGGTCCAAGATTTCTGAATTTATCTTATGAGAAAGGCTTGGTAATTTTGCGATATTATTCTGATTGAAAAATTTGCTACCAACGCTCCATATCCTCTGCAACCACTTTAATTGATCAACCCCCTTTTTAACTGAAGACAGTAGATTCTAATTGACTAAAATAACACAAATTGTACAAAATGCAAACACATTAGACAGAGAGAGGAAAACAATACCACAATGCAACATATTGCATCATGGGAAATATCATCTCTTGTAACTGCAATTTTTCGCATACATATTGCATGTCAGGGGTAACAGTGAGAATATTTTAGATTCAAATTGAACAGTTATTTTTCAAAGTGGAGATTTTCAACTTATTCTCATTGGTATCCTTGAGCAAGTCCCTGTGTTAACTTCCATTCTTCTTTTTATTCTTTTCAGTTAAAAGTCGCCGGAAATTGTCTATTTCTTTGATACCACTTGAGAGTCTGGAAAAAGAAATAATTTCATTACAACTGGACACATGATTCCCTTTTGGATGAGATCTCAAAATAAAAATTCAAACAAAAGGAAGACATGACAGAATATTAAGGTGTATTTGGCCAACCGAAAGAGCATTGAAAATTTTAAATAGATGGCTCTCACTTCAAATTGTTAACGTTAATTTTGGAGTCAAATGGTCTTAATGACGGCGACGAAAATTGGCAAAAATCTTTTAATGTGGAAGCTATCTATCTGCAAAGCAGGATTTTAAAAGCATGAAGTCTCAGGCCACAAATAGCTAACCATGATGATTTTAAATCATCTAGAATACCATTTTTCTTTATTCAAAATATTAAACAAGCAGTACGTCATATCAAATACGCAGGAAATCACAATTCTAACCTTCCTATAGAATGTAAAAGAGCAGTTATCTCAGGACGTGTAAGTTGGAAATGATTTTTAGATTCTGCCGTCACGATGGATTCTGGACCAACTGTGTCTCCTGAGAACAATATCTTCAATGCTGTACCCATGCCAGTAATCTGAAATTACACAAAAATCACTGTGATATAAACAAAAAGATTTATAAATGGGCAAAAACACCAATCTTTCAAAACGTCAATACAAAATTCTATATGAGGTAAAGGTAAATATATCAATTCAAAGGTACAGTAAAACCAGTATATGCAAACGCGTCTCAATGTGAACACTTTTCATTCCCACTTTTGGCCGATCCTGGTGATGTTCAGATTAGACAGGTTTGACTGTGTTATATAAATACGAAAGCAACCATAATTACTTTTTTAATACATAGAATATATTTACCTTAATTTCAAAAAGTGATACCTTTGAATTTTTGCAAAGTTTCATGTAATGTAGTAATGTGTGGATTTAATGATATACTAACAACTCTACAAACTGTATCTTCATAAGAGTAGATTTTGTTGAAAGGTTCCTCTTAAAATCATGAATGAGTACACAGATTATGTATTATACTGCACTTTGGATGGTATAGAATGAACTGGTTGTGTCAATTTTGCCACATTCTTTATTCATTTATTTGACCTTTAAAATTGCATGTGATATTTTTGCAAAAATAGTAGTAATCTGATAAATTCTGTGAGTAGTGGAAGGTAGTGGTATATATTTCAATAGTGTCTGATGTGCATATTCATATGCTTTAGAGGGAGATCATTAAGAGGAAAATTTGATTTTTGAAGGTAAAATGTTATGAAATGGTCAAAGAAAGAGGTGCGTTTATTGGAAAATACCCCTATGGTCAAAATGAATAATTCTTAGGTGTAACATGAAGAATTAATGTCATATAACTCTTTGGAAAATATTAAAGTGCTCGGGCACACATAGGCTGAGATAGGGGCCATTTAGTTCATTAAGGTTGTATTGACTTACATGGGGTTGTGCATCATGGACTTAATATGAGGATATCAGCAGATCCCAATAGAGGCCATTGGTTTCCATTGATTATCACAAAAATAGCAAAAATACACAATGACCTGAATCGATTGCAAACTTAATTTCACAATATGACACAAATGGTTTATCTCATCAAATGTGCAAATATGAAGTTTGCAATCGATTCAGGTCATACTTTAAATTAAAAGATTGTACATTTTTTCATCATTTTTTCCCTAAAAAATGGCTCTAGAAAAATGCTCCAAAAACAACTTTTACACTTATCAAATATCATACAAGTTTGTAAAACCAAAGATTATACTATTATATTTCATTACTTAGTAACATATTTGGATAAGATGTGTAGGGACACGTAGGATGCAAATAGATTTTGATAAGCATAAAAATACTTCTTGGTTTGGAATCTATGCCTCTACACTTCATGATTGAATTTTGACCCTAATAAGAGGCCTATACATCAATACAGTGCTGAATATAGGTCAACAAGATACTAGTGTGCATATATATGTAATAATAAAGGCAGTATACTCACGCCCGGTGATCATGAATATGGGACAGAGGGGGGGAGCAGGCAATTTCTGCTAGGAAATTCAACAAATCTGGAAGATTTATTTTTTCAAGAAAAAGTTTACTATTGAATTGCTAAATGGATAGGCGCACGGTATGATAAAATATGTTAGGTATTCTAGGATTACTTTTCAACCGATACTCTTTTAAGATATAAGATCTATTAAAAAAGGCGCAACGCAACCAACGTGCAAAAGTCAAAGTTTTTGCTATAAATCAAGCAACAATGGACTACACGACCTGTAATAAATACTTGTAAGTGATGTTATCATAACTAAATTAATGTCATTGCTGAATTTATAAAATAAGTTTCCATACGTAAAATAAAAAATAATCGAAAATAATTAAAATGGGACGGAGGGGGGGGGGGGAGGGGACGGAGGGGGGGGGAGTAATAATTCTATAAAGTGAAACAACTTCACACGAATTCTTGTATTTGAAAAATGAACTCATTAACTTAGTAAGAAACTGGATGATATACCCCTGGAGACTGAAAAATGGGGACATTTGGAGTAAAAGGACTTAAAGTCGCGAAACATCTCTAATCATGTCTTAAATACATATTGCTCCCCCCCTCCGTCGCCTCCCCCCCTCCGTCCCAAATTCATTATTTTCGATTATTTTTTATTTCACATATGGAAACTTATTTTATAAATTCAGCAATGACATTAATTTAGTTATGATAACATCACTTACAAGTATTTATTACAGGTCGTCCAGACCATTGTTGCTTGATTTATAGCAAAAACGTTGATTTGTGCCTGTTGATGGCCTTGCACCTTTTTTAATAGATCTCATACCTTAGGTGCGTATCGTTTCAGAAAAAATCCCAGAAAACCTAACATATTCTACCATACCGTGCGCCTATCCATTTAGCAATTCAATAGTCAACTTTTTCTTGAAAAAATAAATCTTCCAGATTTGTTGAATTTCCTAGCAGAAATTGCCTGCTCCCCCCCTCCGTCCCATATTCACGATCACTGGGCGTGATACTCATTTTAAAAAATCAGATAAATTAATTTTTTTTCATGGGGAGATCATAATGGAGAGCGCACTACTTCCTTTGATCAGTTCAAATGGTTAAAGATATCATATCAAGAGAGAAATAGGTTTGCAAGGAATATCCCTTTAAGTTGTCTCAGAAAACTTGGTTTGGGGTAAGGAGAATTAGGTTCTATGTTCCAATGGTCCTCTCTTGTATATTCACGCGGACCTAACTTCGACCGTTAATTTGAATTTTTGACCTACCGGATGTTTGAAAATCAAGGATTGCGACTCTCATACTGCACCGTTTTTCTTCAAACTTATACCATTAAAAGCAGAACAAAATTGCCTTTCTGTCGGTGCATTTACTTTATTGTAAAAAGTCCCTCGTTCTAGCCGCGTTTCGGTCCCCAGCTGTTAGAAGGCCTTCATACAGCTGGGGACCAAAATGCTGCTGAAAGTAGGGACTCTGTTTAAGAGAATAATGTACCATCAGAAAGGGATTTTTGTTATGCTTTGAATGGAACAAGTTTGAAGAAAAACGGTGCAGTATGAGACTCGTAATCCTTGATTTTCAAACATCCGGTAGGTAAAAATTCAAAATAACGGTCGAAGTTAGGACCGCGTGATATTATCCGATAGGGAAATATATGTTATTTCCCACAGTGCTACAAAATAAGAACAGAATGATTTATGCTATTTATTACTTCTGATTTGTTAACAATGCAATACCATAGACGCAGCTCTCGATCCTCATTAAAATGTTTTAGTCGTAATAGTTATAATAAAAATAAGTATTATGAACAAGTGACACGGAAAGCAATTTTGATAAGATGACAATTTGTTGCTAATGGAAACTGATTTTAAAAGTAACAGCACCTATTATCTAAAAAATGGTTATACCAGATTAGCCTAACAATTGCAAAAAGAATTAGCTAGATATGACTGTTTCATAAAACAATAAAATTCAAATGAAACCCATAACTTGTGAAGATTGTGGATTGTTTTTCATAGAAATTCCTCTACAAAATAGTCCAAGAAAGTCATGCAAAAACCTCATTTCGAATGATTCGGATTGTGATAAAACCTCTCAAGTTAACTGATATTAGATTGCTAAGAATAGTTTGAAAGGTAATTTTTTCAAGAAATGTGTTCTGGCTAAGAAAAATGAATATAAAATTTGTCAAATCCAGTCAAAATTATGTTTTTAAATTGTCTTAGAGAGTGACCAGATCAGCTTGACCTTGGAGTTTTCACACAGTACATCAATTTCACTGCCAAATATGGAAGGTACAAATCAAATCTTGAAGTGTGTAGGAAGAGAAGGTTATATTTAGCTTTTCATTAATCAGGTGCTGATCTAGGATCTTTCTCAAATCCAGAATTGAAGTTCTACAACAATCTTCAAATTTAATTTGTATGTATTTTAAAACCAGTTGATAAAAATGTAGGTCACTGTGACCTATTTGTTATTGAAATACAGTATTGAAATTGATGTATTTTAGAACAATGATTGAAATTACTTTAGCTGAAACAATATCTGAATAAAATTCATAGCTTAATGATCATCTAAGCTATAATGTTTTACTAGGCTTATAATAATAAAAATCAATCTCCAAACAATACTTATATTAAGTTATTGAATGATTTCAAGTGCAATACAGGATATATTCTGCTCAAGAAATACTGTATTGGATGAAGTCGAGTGCCAATACAGAATATCGAGACAGAATATATCCTTTATTGCACTTCAAATCATTCAATAACGTTTTTATTGTGTGTTCCTCTATATTGCTACTGAGATTGTCCCCTCCATACAAATATTTTCTGTATTGCGACAGAGATGATCAACGGAGACAATCTCAGTAGCAATACAGATTGGTACAGCACAAAAACTGACCAATCAGAGGGCTTCATTTTACAGATCATAAGATAAAGAATTATCCTGACTTTAATCCCCCATGTTTTTTACAATTTGCTATTTGGAGTCTAACATGAAATTTCTTGACTTTCACAGGTAATTAAAGGAAAAACAGACTGCGGCAACATAGTTCATGATAGGGAACAACTTCCATCTTTGAGAAGAAACAAAAATTCTGTGAACAAGTTCTGTATTCGTCTTCTACCATACTTATTTATTTTCTGATGAGGCTCCATTAACAGAAAGAATAACAAGTTCTTGCTGATGATTGATATTGTCATGGTGATTTGTATTGCCATGAGATCCACAACAGTGAGATGGAACATTGTCCAGGTGATTGTCTAGATCCGTATGATGAAATATAGGGTGTCTGTGAGGCATCACCATAGCAACGCCATGGTCCTCCAATACAGGAGAGCGTCTATGGCATGTCAGCAACTTAATGGCTGCCTGACGGAGCCGACGATTCATGAAAAAGTAAATCAATGGATTACATGCTGAATTCATAATGATCAAAAAGCTACAAATAGCGTACGTCAACGAATCTACATTGTAATTAGGTTCCACAAACAGAGACAAGATGAGATAAGGGGCCCAGCATATGTTGAACAAGAGAAACACGAAAAGTAACTGAAAGGCTAAACGTTTATCTTCTGTAAGCACAGATTGGTTATACTTCCCACCATCATAATGTGTGATCGTTCTGTGGCTTTTTCTTACAACTTGTACGATCCTTACATAGCAGGCACAAATGGTGACCTCTGCCCACACAATGGCCATTACGGAGACAAAAATACTATAGCTATAGTCGTACACCCAGTCAAGCGTGCAACTAAAGTTACGAGGCTCATAATGGTAGTCACCCCAGCCTGCTAAAGGTGGCGTTAGTAGCAGACCCGCAGTCACCCAGGTAACCACGACGATAACCTTACACACTTTAGTGTCATACAATCTGGGGTACAGCGCTGGATGAACAATCCTGACATAACGATTGATTGCTACCATAGTGATACTAAATAGCGACACACAACATGACGTATCAATCACAAAGGCCTGTATATCACAAAGAATATCTCCCAAGACTGGTCCATTGTAACACATGGCGGCAATGTTAATAGGCACACATATAGCTGTCACTGCTAGATCCGACACACTGAGACTGATTATGAAGTAGTTCTGAGCCTTATTACGCTGTGCCTTTGTGGTCATACTTGCGATAACGATAAGATTCCCGATGGTCCCTAAAACTGTAACAATCACATGTATGACACACAGTATGATCCTCTCAGTGAGGGAGAATTCAGAGACATCTGCATCATTCTGTCTAGTCCATAATTCTGTCGAAATAGTTGAATTTGCCAAAAGCATTTTATTCGTATGTTGTATCGAGACTATACCCATTTGTAAGCATAATAAGAAACTTAATTCATTTTCTTTCTTTCGAATATGTGTACCTAATTAATATTTCATGAGTTTGATGCTATGATCCTTCATAACTTGTCCATGATTAAAGTGACTTTATTCAAATTTTCTTACACTTAATGGGCTTGTTTACCCACTTGTGCATATTTACAAATTCTCCATATAAAACTAATCTCATTGAAGTCTGAATCTGCTTCCTTTTACCGAAGTTATTCTTTAGAAAACCCGATTAGAAACAGCGATTGTATTAAACAGTTCCTGCTTGTCGCCGCTTATTCTACAAATGGTTGATATAACTTGCCTCGTGTTAGTTCTAAAAACCAATCAAAGCCGAGCACAATAATGCGTTACTTATACAGGTAGATATAGCATTGTTTTTACACATCAATTCCTCTATCCTAAATTGATGTCGATGTTTTCTATACAAAGATCTTGACTTACTGAGCATAAATCTTCTATTTTCATAAACTCTAAAATTATTAATATTTTACGTCATGATGAATTCATGACTTTAAAATTTTGTCCATTGAATGGTATCCTGGAAACATGATCAAACTGTGACGAGTAAATTTCACGAACCAAAAAAGCAGTAAATTGTAAGTCAGCAAACAGTCCTATTACTTTGAGAGATCCATTATGTTACGATCCAACCTTGATTAACTTCAAATGCAATTTCCTTGTAAGTGTCGTCTCTCCTTTTTGAGAATTCCAGTCAATTACCAAGATATCATAAACATGCCAACCATGGGCACCTCTCCGGACTCCAGTTTCACTTCATAACTTATGATGACAAAACACTCCATGACAATTACCATAAAAAAATAAAATATTACTTTTAGACAACTAAGGCAATAAATATGCCACCTTGGCTAGCTATAGAATCCAGAGTTTCAATTAGTTAATTTCTGAATGTTATTTTTTATTATTATATTGTGGCACCAATGGGATCTTGCTCAAATGGAACTAACAGAAATTAAAAATGTCCATGACAAATGTGTTATTAATAATACATAGAATTAATTTTCAGGAACGATTATATTGCTATTAGTTTTTCCCCAAAGGTTCCAGGCCAATAAATAGGCAACACATTTCAGTACTGTATCAGTATGCAGTTTTTGTATACACTTTTTCAATGACAGCAAAATTACAAGAATTGTGATTTCCCTGTGCAAAATTAATATTATATCCTGTATCTTTATGCTCTGTGATTCAGAGCGTAAAATACTACTAAAATATAACATTTCATGATTTCTCAACAGTTGAAATGTTTAACAAATATATATATTGTCTAATTCTGAGTTAATAAACAAAGTTTCATGAACATATCAGTTCTACAATTTATTTGTACGTAGACATAAGACAAGGCACTTGTGGTGGTGACATAAAAAGTAAAAGTGACCCACGGGTCAGCGAATTTTGACTGATGTTTTCAGCTGAAACATGTCCCTCTTCTTTGCCAGGATGCTGTATACTACATGCACTAGAGGCAGCACAGTCCATTTGGGGTTGTTTAATTAGGGGTATTCTTATATTTTGAATGGATCATTTTATTTAAAAGTTCTATTATCCTGGATTTTGCATTGTCGAAAAACTCAGTCCAGGAAGATGTTTCTGTTTGACTTTCTCAGTGTGGTTCTTAAAGAATGGTCTTCAACTTCACATATCACTTTGAACACCTTCTTGTCATTTGGCAAATAATGCTGCACACAGTGTTAAAGCTTTGTTCCCATAATGTTTTCAACAACAGTGTATTCCTGGTTGTTTTTCCAAGCAGGCTGCCTGAGGCAAAGAAATCGTATTGCACTCTATTGTTAAGATTTGATATACATTTTTTCATCTTTTTTAAAGATTTGTTTTACTTTTTTGAATCCTGATTATGACTCACAGAGTCTGAAGAAGAAACACCCCTTTTATATAACAATCCAGATGTTACCTTGGAAACTGCACTTAAAAAAGCACTGAAATAGGTATTAATTAACGTTGGTTCAAATAAAATAAAAGTGTGTCTAAATTTTGATTGACCTGTGACGTCATTTGTCATGTTGCTATAGTAACAAAAATTATTGATTCTGACATAATATCACAATTACACTTTTTATGCCGCTCATAATTACATTTCCCATTCAACCTGAAAATTTCATGTAAAATGGTTTAAAATAATGAAAAAAATGACAGACATTCTCAGAACTTTGCGATCTGGAACATAAACATTATTCAATGATTTCCTTTAAAAAAGAAATTAGTGGGCTCCTCTAAATGATGTATTTCACTTGGATTTCTCTAACACAATACTTTCTGCATTTTACTTGGATCTTTGCATAACTTATCATACTGTAGCAACCTAATTCTAAAGGTTGTTGCACATGAATGGAATAATGAAAATGGAAAGTACATTCATAGCTAGATGAAAAAGTATGAAATAGCATTTCAGGGCGCAATAAATAAGCCATTAATTAGGTAAATGGAATTCACCTCTATATTTACCCAACAAGTATTTTCTTTTCCTTCTCATTTTCAATTGAAATGGTTGATGTCACAATCTACATTGTGGATTAAAAAACATGTTCATGCTTGGTGGTCCGAGATTTTAAGTTTATACGACATTTAGGTCTTAAATGAAAGTTTAGTGACATTACATATTTCCTGATTCCTGGTTTTGTAGCTTACCAGTAGAGAATCTCATCATGATTTGAAGTATATGAAACCTCTATTAGCTAAACAGCTAAACAAAAGTACTAATTAATCACCTATGATATGATATGAAGGACTGCCAGAAGAGGCAATAGCACTTACTGTGTCACAGTAATTAGACAGGTAACCAGGTTAGTATCAAGTGAGGGGGTTGTTATTGGAGTTTTTTATTCCAAGGGTATGTGATCCATTTTTAATACAGATAAGTATCCAATTAAAACAACACAGGAGGCCATTTTGTTATTGAAAAACTAAATCAAGAACACACACGTCGATTAATCTGGTTCATACAATGTAATATTGCAGATGGACTGTAAAATAAATACAAATATGGCCGCCATTTTGAAACCAGTAGTCATTTTGAAAATCGGCTTTTGAACTAAGCTACACACACGAAGCATTATACAGTATATGCCAGTATTTCCATTATCAGTGGATATAGGAAGGAGTTCTTTGTATTATATCCCTCTGAAGTGAACTTCATTTGTAAGAATAATTACCAGCCATTAAATGACCTTCAATGTTCTTATTCTGTTCACATTCTTCATAAATTCATATCATAGGTAGGATTAATACTAGAATGAATTATGTGGCTCTGTTTCTATAATCAGTATTACAAAAATAAACACAGATTAAGAATGAGGCCTGATTTGCTTGATGCTGCCATTCATTATTATAATGACTGTTTGATTAGATTCATTTGATAAATTCTTTTAAAAAAACAAAAGATGCTTCAGAACAGAAATTTTAGAATTCAACATTTTATAATCTCATTCATACCATTAGACTTAAATAATCTACTGGTATTTATCAAATCTCATATGAAATTTACATAGAACAAAAAATTGCAATTTCTTCTTTCTTCTCCCCATAGTAACAAGAAAACTATTGATTGTGTACAAGTTCTTGGACATGAACTTTTGATTACCTTATTCTCTGTAACTAGTGCCAGAGGCGCTAAGAAAATTCAAAATACCTCCTTTAGACCATTCCTATAAGTGCCCTTATATGAAAAAAGTCAAAATCCCAAGGGAATTTCCTGGCAATTTCTTTGCCAAAAATGAGAGTTCAAACATCTAAACAAATGATATCGAATAAATCCTCAGAAGAACCCCTCAAATTTAAGGTATTGTTTTCCCCGATTGTCTTAATTATTTCTACTATAGACTGTTGGATATTGATTTATATCAATTTAATGTTATACCTTATGTTTCTAATTTATGATAGATTATCATTTTTCATGTAAAAGTTTTGAAAATAGGGAGAAATATTAGAAAGAACTAGAAAGATCACAACCTAATGACTTGCGCAGAAAAGCTGTGAAGAAACCTTATCCGTTGAATGTCAAAACAAAAATCTCAAATTTGAACATTTCTTTAATTAATTTTGGATTATTTTGAGAGAACATTAGTTAAAAATGGTGTGTCATTTATACCATATTTAAATGTAAGTACTCTATTATCACCCAATTGATTTCTTTAGAATTTCACTGTTTTTCGTTTTTTGTTGATACTTGGTCATGCCTCTATATTTCTTGAACCTTGTGAAGCAGGGTAGGTGCTTTTTGATTTGATAACTACATTTATTCTGGGTAGCTCTTTCAATACAAAACTGATCTTCCTAAAGGTGATTACGTTAAGTTCAGGTAATATCAACTAACGGGGGTTATAAACACCTTGCTATTGCAGCATAAAAAACATGACAATCACCATTATTAGAACTTTATGACCAATTTATGTCCAGTAGCCAAACAATGAAATGTGATATTGATTCCTGGACCTTACCTCGTCCTATGCTTTAACATCAACAGAATGATCCAATAAACTAATGGCTTTCTATCAAAGCAAGCAATAGTTTGCCCAGTTAATTGTTAGCTCTGATTTTGATATTAACTTTACATTCCATTTCCATTTCTAATTTGTACAGTCTACATGTAATTTGTATTGGACATTGTAGGAGATATAATTCCGAAAGTATTGTATTTGAGTTACAGGGTTCTTGTATGAAGTAAATGATTCTAATGTCCATTATGCCGCCATACCCAAAAATGTGTAACCTGCCAATTGCAATTGAATGCAAATCATATTTCATGATATGCATCATCATTCCAACATTGGCCAGTAATAGAATTAGGCATATGGAAAATCACTTTTGTGAGATTATAATGAGAAGAATTTGGCAAAATCTAATATTTCCTCCATGAAAATAATGCTGCATGTTAATGAAAATTGCCCAACTGTTTTATTTGTTTGTGTGATACAGTTGGTTTTGTCGGCCTGGTTTTTCACCATTCTGAGCACTTTTAAAGTGAATTGGGCCATTTGTGCGGGCCAAAGTTGTCAAAAGTGAACCCCCATGCAATTTCTAAAAAAGTGATCCACCCTTGGCAAATCCTTGCTACGGGCCTGTATACATGTTGGTACTGCAGTGTTAAGTTATCAAGTAGATACCTTTTACTTGAACTCTAGTACCTTGATCTAATTCATCATATCTCAAAACATTGGAAAGACAATCAGGTTCTTTCGTTACTTTCATATATGCTGTGTGATTCTAAGCCAGCTTTGACTGGTCTATTGGTTTTCTATAGGGTTTGTCCTTTCAGATATTATACATGTAAATGGCATTATTTTTCACACAATTTAGGGAAATAGTAACCAAACCCGTCTGGCCCAGTTATCTACTCCCGACCTCGTAGATCTGGGCCAGACTCGATCCAATGCAAAAAATGGGGTATTTACTCCGGAAAAAACACACTGGTTTTTCAATGTATAATACGTGCTGATAAATGAATAAACATCATAAAAATCACTTACGTGTTTGTTCCTTGTATCAAACTTTGTATTTATATTAGGTTTCCATCGCTGGATGACGGCTAATAAATAAGAACGAAACGTCTAAACGCAGCAAAAAGAAAAATTCTTCTGCAATCTGTTCGTGATCTCGTAGAATATCGAGAAGTCTCGGCTGCTTATTTCGTTCAGTACTACATTCCGTCAGTTCAACAAATTGAAAAATCGTATTTAATGTCCACCATATTTCTTTCCAGTTTAAATACAACACAGACACGTCAGTTTTATAAAGTAATCTACGTTTTGATAACAAATCTGCTGAACAAATCGTAATATTTGGAATGTATTGATTCCCGGGAAATGTATTTTCGTTCCATGAAAGTTTAAAAATTATCGCGTCACACTCGTGTTACGTCACATCACGTGACTTTATTCGGTGCGGAGAACTGACGAAATATTGACGAAATGTTGTGCCCATTTCAACATCAATATAACAAACAAAACACCACATTTACGCGTAAGTTATGTTCTCTTTATTTCAAATAAATACTTGGGTTTATATGGTACCCGATGTTTTGGTTGGATGGCTAATAGGGAATGAATAATAAGTGATGATTCAGCAGTGTGTTTTTTCCGTAGTAAATACCCCCTTTTTTGCATTGGACCTTGTCTGGCCCTAGATCTACGACAATTCAGAATCGGGAGTAGATTACTGGGCCAGACGGGTTTGGTTAGGGAAATAGATGCCTTACTTTAACTATGGCAACTGTACGTTGGCAGATACAGCTTCCAAAGATCGAGAGAAATATGCAAGATAAAAAATAGGGATAAGTAGTACAATGTAGATTTTCTATATCGATTTTATGAAGCTACATCTACAGTACACTAGCCATTGAGCAAATGTGACTGGGGCTATAGAAATGAAATCTGATTTATGCATGTACAATAGATGTCCTACCTGTAGTTTTCCCCACAGCTTGCATTTATCACAGCCGACACAGTCCATAATCTTGGTGATGTTACGGAACTTGGTTTTGTAGGCAGTCTATCAAAAAAAAATTATATTTTTTTTTCAAAGTAGAGGTATTCTGAATATCTATTTAAGTGGTTATATAAAAAAAAAACTCGATCAATTTTAAAATACTTGAATTGGTGATATGATTGATATGTGTATTCTAATTTATCCCAACGTACAGACCCTATTTATCGTACCCAGAGGTTTTGTACAGTACACTATACTCTGATTAGGACTGGCTATTAATGTACAGCTTGACATTCTACCAATCAGCACACAACAAAGCCATGCTTATGTGTCAACTTATTTAAACAAACATGGTAATGAAAGTGGGTGGGAAATGGCAGGCTCTGATTGGCTCGATATATGCAGCCATTTATTGCTCATCCAAAGAGTGTTAGACAGTTTCACGACTCTTGCAAAGGATTCTACCTACCTTTAGTTCAGCTGCCTCTTTTGGGTCACCTCTAAACATCTTACTCTCATCAAAGTGTTCAGGGAATGATCTATAACCAAACACACAATAATCACGCCCGGTGATCGTGAATATGGGACGGAGGGGGGAGCAGGCAATTTCTGCTAGGAAATTCAACAAATCTGGAAGATTTATTTTTTCAAGAAAAAGTTTACTATTGAATTGCTAAATGGATAGGCGCACGGTATGGTAGAATATGTTAGGTTTTCTGGGATTTTTTCTGAAACGATACGCATCTAAGGTATGAGATCTATTAAAAAAGGCGCAAGGCCATCAACAGGCACAAATCAACGTTTTTGCTATAAATCAAGCAACAATGGACTACACGACCTGTAATAAATACTTGTAAGTGATGTTATCATAACTAAATTAATGTCATTGCTGAATTTATAAAATAAGTTTGCATACGTAAAATAAAAAATAATCGAAAATATTTAAAATGGGAAGGAGGGGGGGAGGGGACGGAGGGGGGGAGTAATAATTCTATAAAGTGAAACAACTTCACACGAATTCTTGTATTTGAAAAATGAACTCATTAACTTAGTAAGAAACTGGATGATATACCCCTGGAGAGTGAAAAATGGGGACATTTGGAGTAAAAGGACTTAAAGTCGCGAAACATCTCTAATCATGTCTTATATACATATTGCTCCCCCCCTCCGTCCCCTCCCCCCCTCCGTCCCAAATTCATTATTTTCGATTATTTTTTATTTCACATATGGAAACTTATTTTATAAATTCAGCAATGACATTAATTTAGTTATGATAACATCACTTACAAGTATTTATTACAGGTCGTCCAGACCATTGTTGCTTGATTTATAGCAAAAACGTAGAATTGTGCCTGTTGATGGCCTTGCGCCTTTTTTAATAGATCTCATACCTTAGATGTGTATCGTTTCAGAAAAAATCCCAGAAAACCTAACATATTCTACCATACCGTGCGCCTATCCATTTAGCAATTCAATAGTAAACTTTTTCTTGAAAAAATAAATCTTCCAGATTTGTTGAATTTCCTAGCAGAAATTGCCTGCTCCCCCCCTCCGTCCCATATTCACGATCACCGGGTGTGATAATTATGACTTAAATATTTGCTCCTATACAAATTTTGAAACTGAACAGTATGTATTTTACCAACATTCACTTAAGTTGAATTCATAAACCCAAAGTTCCATTGACCAAATTTCATTCAAACATGACCGCGCTCTTATTGAATTTCACAACCAATCAGACTGCAGTTAAGCCAATAATGAACATTCTCTATTTCTCCATACATGCATGACCTTGCTCTATTCAATCATCCAGGTATCTATATATTGTGACGTCACATCTATTCATGGCAAAAATAACAGCAAGTTTGGTTATTTCATGGACCCCATTCCCGAATTCTCTGAACAATGTTTTCAACTTTGTGTTTGAATCAGAATAAATAATGATAGGCCATTCAATATGGTGAAATTCTACACTCATTGGACAGAATGTCAGTACAAATGCACTCTCCTTCGGTTCGTGATTTGTTCGACATTCTGTCCAACTCATGTTAATTTCACCATATTGAATGGCCTGCCATTATTTATTCCTTAATTAACAAATGGGATTCATGACTCATTCAAGATGCTGGCAAAATATATCTTAAAGTATCCAGAGTTAGTTTAAAACACACCCATGAGTAAAACTTACTTTACTACTTTTAAGAGATCTTTTACTGCATTTTTTGTTTCTAAATCTCCTTCCTCGTTTCCTGTATAGAAATTTTCCTGGAAGAAATAAACATCTTTTTATGTTAAAGTTTCTTTAAGTGAGATAGAGTTCATTTTCTTTCATTTTGTACATTTTTGAGTACTCAAATAGTATATAAAAACTGATCATATTCTACAAAAACATTACACCGGACATCTTTTTACTGAAATTACCATTAAGACAAAGAGCTTCCAAAAAGACAACAAAAAGCAAAAATGTTTTAGCACACTGAAATTAGCTTAAACATATTTGTAACTGCATCTCATTTTAATTGAACTATCAAGCATAAATCTGGTGAATGCGTCATGGATTTTAGATACATTGGGCTAAAACGTTATGAAAAACCTCTTTATTATTCATGATCAAACAACATATCCTGTATTTAAATCATATTATATATAACACTATACCTGTTCTAAATATGGGGCAGCCTTAGCCAATGCCCTGAGCTCTATCAGGTATGTGAAATAGAGATTCCTCAAGTGTTGAGGCCCCTGCCCCCAAGTATTCTCAGGGGCAAAAAGCTTGTCAAACAGCTCAACATTGGGCCCCCATGTTACCTGACCAAACTGGCCTGCAATAGAAATGAGACAAAATAGTTTATACATTTTCAAGTTTTTAAACTTGATAAAATGTCAAAACTTTATTTCAGACACAAAAGTGTAACTTTTGTTACAAAAAACACCAAACCATGACTGTTGATCACAAAGAAATGGTGGCTATAGTAATGTTACCACTTTCTGGTGGTACCATGAAAAAGCTAGGTGAAGTTAATATAGACATTACCAGATGTTAATACTGAAAAATTGGCCATGAATCCACCAAGCATTTTTAAAAATTCATTACTTGAAACAACTGCATACTCTAAATTTGCCTTATTCCTGGCCTTTGAATGTACTTTCATTTCATCTTGTGCCAAATATGAATCAGTTAGGATTATTATCAAAGAATTCATCAGTTATGCAACTGTTTTACAAACATGCCGATTCATTGTACAGGGTGACAAAAAAACTGGAACCCACTTAAGTCTTAATAACTTCGTCAATTATGCATATTTAGTACATGTATAGTCAATTGGATGTATGACAAGATGTCAAAGTTTTAGCATTCTAGCTCAATTAGTCTCCAAACGAGGCACGATTAGATAATGTGCTCCAAATGTGCACCACGACGTTGGATGCAGAGCTGGATTCTTCTTGCAAAATTGTCAATGACCCGACTGCATTCATCTCTGTCTATCTCTCTAATTAATCTTCCAATGTTGAGTTTGAGGTCATCAATGGTCAGTGGACTATCTGTATACACATTATCCTTGAGATACCCCCACAGATAAAAATCTGGGGGGTTCAAATCAGGGGAGTGGGGGGGGGCAGATGTGGCAGGTATGGTGACTGATTAATCGATTACCAAAGTGAGCCTGAAGCCATCGAATGGACTCATTTGAGGTGTGGGGTGTGGCACCATCTTGTTGGAACCATTGCTGGTCCCTTCTCAAGTCACGTCGTCTACCCAGCGCTCTCCAAAACTTTTGAACGTTAGGGATGTACCGTTCTGAGTTGACTGTTGAGTTGTCTTGAGTTCTGACAGACCTCTCTCTCCCCGAATAGGTTGGTTTTCCATCACTTTTCTTCTTTGTTGGTTTTACAGTTCCTTCTGAATCAAACTTCTGTACAAGCCTAAAGATCTGTGACTTGCAAGGAGCTCTTCTTGCCCTGTGATCTCTCATATAGGCAGTTTGTGTCCCTTTATAGGATTTTGTCTCAATATACTTTCTCACAATATAAGTCTTTTCTTCTGTCGTCCATGGCATGATTAATATCTAAGCTACAGAACTCATTATTGTGTCATTTTGTCATGCATTCAGTCTAGTTTCTACCCTGAAGAAATGAAGAATGTAGGTATAATACTTTCCGAGAAATTTGATGATTTATGGGTTCCAGTTTTTTTTGTCACCCTGTATTTGTCCTACCTTCGAATGCATATCTGGAGCAGACAGCTACCATCACAGAAGTGTGGAGGCCAGACAGCATGCGGAAAAACACCCTCTTCTCTAGACATTGCTCTAAAATGATATATAACAATGCATGTGCTATGTGAATCACAATCAGGTTTAAGTTAAGTAGTTATCCATTGTTTGTATGCCATGTGTATGTGAAATAATCTGATACCAAATGCCAAGAAATTTTTTCTGATCCTCGTATCATTTTCTACATTTGCAAAAGCAAGACAGCTCAAACCCCATTGCAACCCCTTAAAAGCGGGCAATTCAACTCATCCCCCAGTTAACTAAAAGAATGGTGTAGTCCAAATAAAGATGTTATTTTGCATTTTATGGTAAAGTATAGCAAAGTATTAATGAATGAAGAAAATTGAAGAAAACACATTTCTATGCAACCCTCTTATAAAAATTTCAGTTGGAAATGAACATCTAGTATAGATCTAATACGAGACATTTACTAAACAAAATAATTAACATGAAAAAATCCATGGAAAACCCATGACAAAGTCGAATAAAATGTGCTAAATACCATAATAAAAATACTACATACTATATAAGAAACACCACGATGAAAAACAAAAACCCTACACCATAGATGTAAAATCTGGATAAAAGAGGGAAAGGGGAAGGATGTAACCTGATTTATAAAATAATTTTATGATATGATTACACTGATACAAATTACATATGGTCTGAGACTGATATAATATTAACAGATCCATCTAGAGCAAATACTAATCTGGCAAAGGCCACATCAACAATTCATTCTGAGGAAATGAGCTAAAAATGACCCCAAAACAATATTCAATGAACAATATATAAATATATAAAATTACAGTAATGGGGGTACATTGTGTTATTTTACAACATATGAAATTTACAATAGATTTACATTGATTGTATATAGCGACTATACTTAAGAATTATTACGTTTCTCTTGTGTGGCTAGAATAGTACAAGAAAACAAAACAAATTGAAATATATAGAACATTTGGGAACTTCATGGAACAGATAATGTGGAAAATTCAAGGAATTAAATGTAGAGACCTTATTCACAATGCTATACAATAAAAATAAGTTTTTTCAAATACAACAAATCATTTTTTACAAATATTTTTGGTATCAATTTTGTAAGTTCTGCACCCTGACATCATCCATTCTTTCTTTCTTTCTTTCTTTCTTTCTAAAGGATGTTGTCTGGTGCCCTGAATTCGGAAGATGCATACACGACCAACTTTAATAAGCCACGGTGAAAAGTGGCGGTTACATTTACCTAAGCATTGTGAATGAGCTCACTGAACACAGGAGTAGAGTAATTTATGGCACTGTCTCTATAAATATAACTACAAGTATGAATGCCACTAAATTCAAACGGTCAGAATAAAAATTAAAATGAACCCAGGGATGTTTAGAAATAAAGTAATTTATATATAGGCAGTATAAAAAAAATTTTCATTTAATATTTATAACTAATTAGGCTTAAAATAATTAAATAATTAAAAAATGAAATCAACAAACATCGAATGTTACCTCCGGCAGGGTAATCTAAGGGGCATCACAATTATTTAAATAAAAAAATATGATACAGTAATCGTACACAAGGCATACATGCAAAGTGTCACCACCTGCCATTTGTTACAGACAGTAACTGCCAAACGCTGAACATTAACCACTAATCACAAAAAAGTTGGAGACTAAAACAATATGTCACCACTATGTGTCACCAATATGTGGTGGTGACATAAAAATTGATTGAAAAACTGAATAAAAATTCCATTATATTCAGCATGTTAGTCTTGCATTTATCCCTGGTCTTAAGCCAACCTAACTTTCCCTTGGACCAATGAATCACCAGGGTAAAGGGGGAAAACCCAGTGACAAAATGCAAGACTATCATAATGATATACACTTTCAGTAAAGGTCCTATGATACAATATCTAACAATTTTATATGTGCATCGCAATATTAAATTGATATGATACATTTTAAAAATGTTCACATTAACCAAGCCAAAAATATGGATACTGTGAAGTACCCTGCGTGCAGAGTCTAGTTATAAACTAGGAAGCTCTCTTTTAAGAAGCTAAGTTGAACGAATGCAAAGGGTAACTGTGAAGTGTCATGGGACCCCTAATAACAGGATCAGAAATTAAAGCAACTACAATGTATGCTAAATTACTTGCTTATTATATAATATAAGTTTGAATTCCATGCCTAACGCACATGTTTAACTACTGAAAATTGCTACATGCCCAAAACAAAGGTATTGCCACTATAACAAACTCAGTATTGGAACATATTCATTTAAAAAATATTAAGAGGATACAGATCATTCTTTATGCATCAATCTCAGTGGAAATGCAGTCTTTTGCATGACATTCATAATTTCAAATACATGTACATATTGATCAAAAAAGATATTTTGATACAATACAATTCAAAAGAAGTCTTACACAAAGCCTCAAAACATTCAACTTGATCCAGCTGATTTTTAAATGTCCAGTCACACAAATCACCCATGTTTCAGAACTGTGCGCTAGACTAATAAATAAAAATCCTAATGAAAATTCTGTGACATATATTCTAATCACATCAATTAACTTAATGTAACTTAAAAACACAAAGTACCACCATCGCCAAAAAAATCAACCTCAAATAACAAGATTAATTGTTTTGATATCAATCATATTTATGTGCTACATTTTATGTGCTTCATGAAATAAGTGCTTCGGTGGTTATCGATAAACTGGTTCCTACCTTGCTTGCCAAATTGCGAGTAGTCCTTGCTTTCCTGTCTGAAACAACAAGAATTCTCAATGTCATTGGTAATGGGGAGATATGGCCTGAATCAGGGGTTTCATTAGCAGAAGGCAACAGGCGATTTGCACGGGTTGTTTTCGCATAATCGCCTGTTGTTTTGAGTGACTTTTCAACTTTTCCATATCAAATTCATGATTTCTATTAATTTTGCCTGTTGTTTTCATTTATTTATTATCTTTAGTAGATATACCACATTGACTGATAAAAAGCATCATTTCATTTATCACGATAGATATAGCATCCTCTGAGGTTTCATATAAATGCTCCTGAACATATCATGACTTTGACATTTAGGTGTCGGCAATTGCTATCATTGGATTGTTTAAATGTGTAGTACTTTGCTGAACAAAGCTATGCATTAATTAAAGTGGAACAGTCCTGCATTACTGTATAAGTGGTAATTTTGCCTTATCATTTTATTAACCTATTGCCTGATTTTTTGCCAGGTTCGGAAAATTAAATGTCGGAAATATTATCTTCATTATGTTATCCAATGGGAAGTTTCTTGTCATTAGGAAAATTAAAATTAGGAAAGTGATAAAATTTGACCATTCGGCAATTAACCACTCGGATTAAATACCACTTATACAGTAGTTAAAAATCAATCCTGAATCCATTGGCTCACATGTAAATAAAATAATCTTAAGACTTACTTGAAACAGTTTTCACTATAGATGGTTTTCCATATTCTTGATGCTGACTTGCCCTTGTATCCAGTATAGCCCTCTGGGTTAAGAGAAAGATCTACATATTCTGCATCAGCCGAGTCTTCATCTAAACACACAAAAGAAATATGAGTGAAGTGTCACAGCACAGCCATACATGACAGCCTCAGGATTAAGTGCATTAATCTAAATATTTTACCTCTTGTTAGTTATTACATTAATAATATTATATAGAACCTAATAGCTCTTTCTTAGTAAACTTCTTGCACTCGCATTCATGGCATAATACAATCCCCCATGTATACTCGATTGTTTAATTCCATGGGATGATTCAGTGCCTTTGGACACTCTGTTGTAACACCTAGGTATAATAATAACCCCAACTTATTTGTTTAAATAATGACTGCCTCGCACAACCCTTTGGTACTAAAGTACACTTGGTACAACCCTTTGGTATAATACAACTCCCCTGCACTGTATACACTTGGCACAACCTTTTGGTATAATACAAAACCTATCTCACCATCTATCTCACAGAAGAGCTCTTCTTGGTCATCATATCTCTTCCACTCAGCAAATGCCTCCTTACTCTCATCACTGCAAATAGAGAATAACATATTAAAGAGGCTCTATGCCATAGGATAGCACAATTGTCTGGGGGAGAAACCTATGGCATAATGCATCTTTAAAGGATCTTTAGAAGGGCTATAGTAGGAAGATGTTGGACACAATCTTTTCAAAAATCAAGCAATGGTTTCACTTACAATTGTAACTTTCTTTTCTAAAAAGAAATTGGGATATCTGGTCAAATATAGAAGTCATTGAACTGTAGATCTAAGATGCTGATTCTGAAATCCCCAAATTTATTGGATTCGAAAAAGACAGACCTAAAAAACTAGGGATTAAATATCGCTTGTCACTCTTCTAATTTGGAACTTTTCATTTGAGTCTGTAATTTTTGGTCAAAATCTTAAATTATAATTTTCTGGGTATTTTTACCTGATTGTTGTATCCAGGTTCCCCAGTTCATGTTCCTCTTCACATTCATTTTGCTCATTGGCCTCCTTACTGTACTGTAACACAAAAATATATATACAGGGTGGGCCAAAACATGTTACTCTTTTTATAGTAGAATACAATCTGAATTTGTAACATTTTTTGCACACCCTGTATTATACATAATAGAAATGCATAAAGTCATATTAGATTTTCATCTGTGTTTTTTATTTAGAGCATTTCCTGATTTCTTAACTCAAAACACACCTTCCCAAAAAAGAATAAAAAAGGAGTAGAAAGAATATTCAATTATTATGCTGAGATTTTTAATGTTTGAAATGCTGTAGGTACAAATGAATTTGTGCCTAGTGAAATCAATTTGATGAAAATATACATATACAGGTACCCGCATGAGTTGCATTGATACCCTGAAAATGTTGATTTTTAGTCTGTATAGTTTACAGTAAATCAGTTCTCCTCTCATTTTGAGTAATGAAATATAAAATATTCATAATGGACCAATAATAGTCTTGCATCAGGTCTCTGGATCCCCACCCACATTAACCCCCCCCCCTCTTGTGCAGGTGAGAGGGAACAGGGCTTGAAGCAAGACTACTTGGCTTGTATTCACCAAATGAATCCAACAATAATATTTAACCTCAACAATGTTATCTCAATAAATTTAATTATTATCAAAATAAATTCTATCACCCATGGTTTGATTGAGAAAACTGGCATTTTATCACACAGTAATTCTTGAATTCTGAAACTTATGCAGCAACTATCTTATTATACATGTATACTCTACACATATTATTTAATACCTGTATTTTTGCAACTACACTTCTGTTTAATCACCAATGAAAGCCATTCTACATTTCTACAGTTTAATATTTTGTTGTCATAGTGATATTTATACTTACACAACCCATACTATAACCATACTACCAAAGTAATCTACAGGAGACTATTTCTTGAACAATCGTATTTTATGATTAATTTTCATTATGTAATGCATGTAATATATTTACACGAATCTCTAAACAATGATATGTTCAAGAAATCGCCTTTATATAGTCTAGTGAGCATACATCAAAACCTGTGTGTAAACCAGATGTGAACAGAACTTTTTTGACACATTTTATTTCTTTTGAAACAAATTGAAATCATGAATTTTGTTGAAATCTTATGTTAAAACATAATTACCCAATCAGTGTTCACAAATACAGGTTTGTCTGTATCAAATAGAATACATTGATCACAACTGCAAAATGGAACTGTGTGTGTTGATGATATTACTGCCAAATAAAGAATTGGTATATTTCTCCAATTTTATTCCTTTATTGGCGTTATTTAGTCTCACAGAGAATTGCATCGTGTTTATGATCAGAGTATTCAGTAGGGGAACCAGGATTCTCAAGTGTCAAAAAGTAGTTTCTATGACCCATCCAAAAAGAACTCACATATTATATACCACATTAAAGCTGATTAAGATCTTCCCTTCATAAGTCTCATACAAGGATTGCTGTAGCCATGGCAACCAAAGCAACAACATTAAGGATACTTAAGCAAACAGATTCTGGACAGCAGGATTATTGATATGACTATTGGATGGAAATTTGTTAAACATCTAACAGTATACCGATCACGGAAGGTGAACCCCAACTATCCCAAACCATAATATAACAAGAAAAGAAACATTTTCATACACATATTTTGACCTTCATTCCAAATGGGCTTAGAAATTGTAAATGAAAATATTACAAAATTGCCATAAATACTTGGTACATATCATATGAATTGTTTTACAGCTTTTAAAAATTTGTATTGAAAAATGCTATTGATTTATATACAGTTTATAAAAATGTAAATATATGCATGTGAAATGTGAATACAAATTACCATTATTCTGCTTGAAACTATTAACAGATTGAATTAAATCAAAGGATGTATTTGTTCTACTTAGAAATACTTCCATACCATAGGATAACTGTATATAATCAATGTGAATATGACAATATGATATAAGGATGTGAGTGATGTATGTATCCGTTCTGACAACATGACATTGATATATATGAATGATACATGTATCAATTATGACAAAAAGTATGACATGAAGATTTATTATGCAGATATCCATTCCTATGACACATAAAAACTGTCTAATGGAATAACTTTCTGTAAAGAACACCTGTTTACAGGGAATAGTGTTTGAAAGAACCAACTATTATCCATTTATCGACATGATAATGGACTCTCTCTACAAGGAACACCTGATGACTGGGAACACGGAACAGTGTTTTTGGGCAAATTTGAAAATTCACATTTGCTACATTGTATATCCTATTGTTTTCAAGACTAATGAAGTGTAGAATGAAATCTGACAAACTAAGCTTTAATTTGGTATATGATTTGTGACTTCTTATTACGTGAGTCAAAGAATCCACTTCTTAAGCCCCATGGCTCCCCTACTATTCTATTGTTTCATACCTTGGAGTGGTTTTCAGATCCGTGGAATCCATTAGGGATTTCAGCCTATATACAGATAGAGTAGAGCATGGTTACAACACATCTAAGTAAAATTTTATGGCCCATTTATTTGTTGGACCTTCATCAATTATGATTCATATTTGGTCAATAATGGCTTGCTATGTATGAATAAGATAATTTTCCCATTTGCTAAAAACAGACCCGGCTTCACCAAAGTTGTTGTTTAGTTGATAATTTTGTGCAGATTTGGATGTACATGTATACATCTTTTTTATTCCCTTTATCAATGCATCACACAAAATTCCCTAATAAACCCCTGATTACATACAAGAATGTTTGACCAAATATTCCTCATTTATTGATGGTATACATGCATGATTGTATCCCCCATTACCTTATGGTTCTGTTTATGGTTTTTATCATGGTTCTCTGAATGGTTAGGTCGACCTTTTAAACCTTCTGGAATCTCATCCTAAAAACAGTCTTCATCATGTCACATAGTGCACATTAAGGTAGGACAAGTATGTTAAATTTGAGTCATGTTATACAATAACACGCTGATAAATAGCTCTACACAGCCTACCTTAAAGTGCTTATAATGGTTTCATGAAAAATTGATACACTGATATTAAGAAATAATAAATATGAATATAAAGGACTTAGTTTCTTTTAAGTTTGTCATTAAAGGATGAATTTGGTATATCACAAAGTTTGCCTTATAAACATATTTTAACCTAAACACGGGAAAACAATTATTCATATAATAATCATACTCAGTTTCTAATTTATCTAGAATACTCATAAAATTGACATTAATCTTATATGGAAATAAAATTAAAAAAAGCGTGGATTCCTACAATTGAGAACTGTTGTAAAGATGTATAGACATCAGTAAAAGAGTCAAATACCAAATGAGTATTAAATTATAGTTGAACATGACTGTATTGTCATGTTTATGTGAACAGCACAGCTGTGCATTAAGTGTAAGGGACATTTATTACCAAGCAATTCTACCTTGTGTGTAATTATATTTACCTCAGGATCTGAATTGAATTTGTTATTAATACCATATCTATGGCATATAGCTCAGGCATTACAGGCTGAGCTTGAGTTATTAAATTCAGAAGTTTTACATTGTACATTTCAATTTGGAATATTCATTTCATTTACTGGTTCATTTTTTTCAAATAAAATAGTTGATCATTCATAAAACATTTGTTATATTATGAATCCAATGCAAATAAATAAAAGAGATAATAAAGGATCCAATATGAAACAGTTATATACGACTCAGAAAGACACAAATCTTATCGTTCAATAATACAATGCAATCTTGGAATAACTAATACCCCAGGGTGAACAGCAGCTTAAGAATCAAGTTTTAGCCCTGGATAACCTTTCTCAATTTAAAAAAAAAAGAACCAAAGGTTGATATACTACATGTATATAGAATTATCAAAGATATAACAAGATTCTGTCTGGGCTACTATAGAGAATCGTCAAAAATATAACACAATTCTGTCTGGGCTACTATATAGAATACCCAGAGATATAACATGATTCTATCTGGGCTACTGTATAGAATAGCCAGAGATATAACAAGATTCTGTCTGGGCTACTATATAGAATATCCAGAGATATAACATAATTCTATCTGGGCTACTATATAGAATACCCAGAGATGTAACATAATTATGTCTGGGCTACTATAGAGAATAGCCAGAGATATAACATAATTATGTCTGGGCTACTGTATAGAATACCCAGAGATGTAACATAATTATGTCTGGGCTACTATAGAGAATAGCCAGAGATATAACATAATTCTGACTGGGCTACTGTATAGAATAGCCAGAGATATAACAAGATTCTGTCTGGGCTACTATATAGAATATCCAGAGATATAACATAATTCTATCTGGGCTACTATAGAATACCCAGAGATGTAACATAATTATGTCTGGGCTACTATAGAGAATAGCCAGAGATATAACATAATTATGTCTGGGCTACTGTATAGAATACCCAGAGATGTAACATAATTATGTCTGGGCTACTATAGAGAATAGCCAGAGATATAACATAATTCTGACTGGGCTACTATATAGAATACCAGAGATATAACAAGATTCTGTCTGGGCTACTATATAGAATATCCAGAGATATAACATAATTCTATCTGGGCTACTATATAGAATACCCAGAGATGTAACATAATTATGTCTGGGCTACTATAGAGAATAGCCAGAGATATAACATAATTATGTCTGGGCTACTGTATAGAATACCCAGAGATGTAACATAATTATGTCTGGGCTACTATAGAGAATAGCCAGAGATATAACATAATTATGTCTGGGCTACTGTATAGAATACCGAGAAATGTATTAACTTACATCACTGCAAGGTTTGAGGACACAATCTCTTGAGGCACACCTACTGTCATCTACCCAGAATGGACATTGCCGCTTCACATTCGCCTGAAATAATTCACATAATTCATCATCCAGAATTCCCATTGGCTGGATGTACTGCCCTTTGAATTTATATAATACTCTTCAGTTTTGACGCTGATAAGATCTTCACAATCTCAAATGTACCTTTTTATGGCGTTTGGTAGAATCTGAATAAAAAATAATGATGGCTACTTATAGGCAGAATATGTAGTGTTACTTTTCAACATGGTAACAATTTAAAAATGGTAACAAGTTTAAGGCAGAGCCAAGCTGAAAGTACAGACTTTATATTTGCCAGGATCTCTATTATTAATGAATCCATAATAACATATATAGCATTTGCTTTACATGTTTGACATGTCAGCTGTACATACAATATATTCACAAGATTACTTTTACAGAAATTGAATTAAGACTTAAACCATAAGTCTGGTTTATAAATGCCCTTAGGATCATGTACAATATGTATATGTACATTGTATTGTGTTGTACATATATTTGTATATATATAGGCAGTAAATGTGCATCAACCAATTATATACATAGAGGATATCCTATGATTTATGAGTGATATGATTTTTATCCACGAATGGATATGATATCTGCACGAGCGAGCGTAGCGAGAGAGTGCAGATATCAATATCCATGAGTGGATTAAAATCATATCACGAGTAAATCATAGGATGTTCTTTTTATTCCATAGTTCATGTAGTTAGATTCATCATCAGAATCGTCGGAAATTAAGTTATTTAATTCGAATTTCCAAACGATCCGGCGATGTTGACACTTAGCCTCGTTTTGAGTCTGAAGTAGCAAAAATCCATAAACCATCGCATACGACGTCGTATGTCATGGCTAAAAATTTATTTATTTATTTATTTTGCCAATGTATCTTCTTACATGATATTGATTGCTTCCATAACCTCAATATGTCAATTGGACAACTGTTGCAATTAATACTATAACTAAATGTGACCTCAGATAATGTTAATTGGGTCAATTAAGGTCTGTTACATGTGTCTAGTAATATTAATGATAAATACTATTACAAATTATCTTGTTAAATAGTGTAAATTCAGTTAAACAATAATAGTTCTTGTTCAAATGTACATGTATAGTGTACCTTAAACAAAAAGAAATTGATGTATTTACATGATTTATCATGAACTAATGAAAGTTGATATTAGATATAATTTTCAGGCAAAACAGTTCAATTATTATTGCCACTCCAGAAATGTCAATAATATATCCACAAATGAACAGAAATATAAAATCTTGAAAACTTACCTTATGGTATTTGAAGTAGTCTGTCCTAAGGAGGCTTTGAAGACGTGGGTATATTTTGTTATTATTGAACGAGTCTACAGATTCGACACTACACGAACAATCATCTACTTCCCCTTGCAACTGCAAATAATTTGAATATGTTGGGTATATCATGACACACACTATATATATCCAACCTTGCATTTTCATAATCAGTTCTTCAAACACAAATAATCCAATAGGTATATGAAAAGAGAATATCCATATTCAGGTCTACAGGCAATTCTGTGTATTAGCAGTCACCGAGGATGTTATCAAGTCATGACATTTAAGTATGTTTATAAATAATATGCCTGTTACGTGTGTGTTTTATATAAACTAAGTTTCAGTGACACAAATCATTGGTAATAGATATATAAATTGTAGCATATGTTCTTCTCTTTCTAACATTATGAGAACAGACAGATTTTTTAAAGCTTGCTTCCTATTGTCATTCAGTTTACTGTTAATAGACAGTCTTTATTTCAGTTTAATGTTAATAGACAGCCTTCATCTCTTTTCTATTTATAATTGTTAATGCATTAAATAAAATCCCACTCCGGATTAAGACAAGTAATTGATGTATATTGCATATAAAAATGTAATGTTATTTGGCCATATCCCAATGTTCAAAAATAAAATAATTAACTCGTATATAAGTGATTCTATTTCCCTTTAAAGATGAATTTAACACTTATTGATTATGATTCGAATAACACAAATATTATTAGAATCCGTGCAAAGATGATACATGTAAATACAATTAAAATGTTGTATTGATTAGTCGAAGAGTGCAATGTTTTTAAAACCAAGAGAACACAAGTCTAATTGCTTTAGGAGCCAATTATTTATTTTCTCTGTTATTTTTGTTATCTGACTAATGGATTGTTCATTGTGAAGGTTTGAAATTCCCATCAGTATGATAGTAAGTTATACTTTTAACTGGGCCCTCTGTTGCATTGTGCATTGGTACAATCGGATGCTATCAAAACTTTACAAAATCTTTCAAAGTTTGTTTTGGGATTTTACCTTAATTTTATCAAAAACCAAATAGCACAATAATGTTGAAAAAACATGCCAGTAAATTGGAAAAGCAAATAGTTCGCAGTGATCTACAGAAGTTAGTGATATGAAAAAGCATGACTGAATCAATTGTGATTATTATATTGGAAGCGTTCGTATTAATTCATTAATGTGCAAAACATTGATTAGAACATGGGCTTTCAACAGAAAGATGGAGACTGTATATGAAATTAGTTACTTCTTTTGAAGAAATTGTAACTGGAGCATATGCTCGGGAACAAAAAAATCTGAGTTCCCTTAGAAAAAAGATAAGGTGGACATCGAGAAACAGATAATATGAAGAAGTCCAAAGTTTGATCATGAACTTTGCTAAGATTTTCGCTTATCAGTGTGTTTTATCTGATTTTAAAGGAAGATAAGGAGTAAAGAGAAACTTAAAGGATGAATGGTCACTGAAATGTGAATATGCTCACTATTTCATTGCATTATTTAGGACCATCAGATAATGTTTCTTATTTGTGTCATGGAAAATCTTGAACTTCCAGTTTGTGACCAAATTGAATGGCTTGTGAATGTGAATATTTTCGAAACAAATGTGTGATTTATACACATATTTTGTACCAAATGCGTGACATAAACGGCAACCACGTGCAAAGACAGAATGGAATGCGTTCGCTTTTTTCGCCGTTCCGTATTTTACCATATCGGCATTTCACAAAAAACTATTTTTAAAAATTTCAACAAAATGCGTGATTTGCATGATAGTTGATCATACACGCTTAATTGATGCGTGATTTCTATTTTTCCAGCAAATGTGTGACAATCACGCCTAATGCGTGAGGGTTGACAGGGCAGTGATTGGTAACAAAAAAAACTGAAAATGAGTGAAATGAACTGAAATGCAACAAGAAATTTTTGGCCGATGTCTACTAATTTTTTTCTTTGGGGAAGAACACTCCATTTTTATACATGTTCCTGGGCTTATGGGCTAAATTACAATACCCCCATAAGTATGGGGCTCAGGCCCGTAGCCAGGATTTGCCAAGGGGGGGTTCAGTTTTCAAAAAATCCCAGGGGGGGTTCACATTTGACAATTTTGGCCCAAATATGGCTAAAATCACTTGAAAAGTGCACAAAATGGTGAAAAACTGCATGATTTTGAAAGAATTTTTAGCCAGGGGGGGGGTTCGCCCGAACCCTGCGAACCCCCCCTGGCTACGGGCCTGGGGCTACTGAAAAATCAACCCCACATTTATGGGGGTAAATTACAAGGGATTAACAAGCTAACCTTGCCCAAGTCGGTATTTTTTTTACTTAACTGATCTTGAATTATTACCACCTTGTACAATCTAATGAATCCCCGCTGATATTATAATAAGTTATTCAGCGGTTTCTAGATTTCTATAATTCCTTCACTGTCAGGGGTATCTCGAAACTGTATTGGTAGGCAAGATCGTGTGAACACGACATGTGACTTCAGGCTGATTGACCAATCACAACGTTGTCAGGTTTACCCGCTTTAACAAAGTAAACTATCTGTCTACGACTTGAAATTTTTCAATGATCTGATCCCGGGATCTCATGGAGTATTTCTTCACAGTTACAATATATAATGTATAATAATTTCAAATTTCTTCGGAAATGGTTAGGAGTCCCTAAGTCATTTAGTGCAGTCAACCTTTATAGCACTTCATCTCCAGCCGCAATCCCCACCTCCTCCATAGTCGAAGAGTTTAAGGTGACAAAAGTACGAACAGCAATGCTTCTTAGAGATTCAAAAGATCCAACAGCTAGATCAACGGAAGCGACAACATCAAGAACGAGGAAATGGTCTGCCCAGACAGCAATCATCAATGCAGAAGGCAGACTCAGGCAGAGCGATATTGTAGGAACAGTTGCAGAAAGACGAAGAGGACTTGGGAGTTATGGGAGAGTCCCATGGTCAAAAGCAGACGCAAGAGAGAAAAGGAAGATGGTCACTTGTGAAATAAGGAAATCTGAGGAAGAGGCAAGATTAGCCAAGGCCACTGGAATGGCCAAGCAGGGGGCATGGCTCAACTGGGAGGCAGTAGAGGGCAGAAGGCTAACTGGGAAAGATCTGTTACAGACATCTGAGACATCTCTAGCCTTTCTCCTTAATCACTCAGTGACACACTTCCCACACCATGTAATCTTTCATTGTGGGGTATGATCGACGACCCGATGTGTACTCTTTGCAAAGATCAGCCTGCTTCTCTAAAGCATATCCTGAGCTCATGTAATGTTGCACTGGGAGAACACCGCTACACTTGGAGGCATGACCAGGTTCTGAGAGAAATAGTCAGACAAATAGACAACATTATTACTTGCAAAGCCAGCCCACAAGTAAAGGAGACAGCACAATGGACGTCTTTCCTAAGAGAAGGTCAGAGTAAAGGACCTAAACAACAGAAGCGAATCAAGTTACCAGGAATCCTTCAGACTGCAACTGACTGGAAAATCGGAGTTGATTTGAGCAAGAAGTTAGTATTCCCCCAAGAGATAGCTACCACCACAATAAGACCAGATATTGTCATTACATCAGACAACAGGAGGTGTGTTATCTTAGTAGATCTAACTGTCCCATGGGAGGAAAGGATGGAGATTTCCCACGAGATAAAACAATCAAAATATGAGGATATCATCACAGAGGCAACGCAGAATGGTTGGAAAGCCCACAGCTTTTTCTCATGTAGTCTTGATTGTTCTGAATCTCAACCTAGATCTAGCTATCATGTTGGATCAGCGCTTTTCATCTTGATCTTTTCAACGTTTATTGTTGAAATCTTCTCACCTCTGGGTATCCGATCAGTGCTCCATCATCCACTAAACTCTGATTGATATGTATTTTCATGATGAATTGTGCAAGATTTGTTCGGGAAAAGTGTACTTGTTTTGACCGTGCATAATAATGAGCTAATACTGCATGGTCATCGTTGATTGGTCAAACCATGGTCTTTCAATTAGCTAGTTGAAGGCCCATGGTCAAATTTACCTACATAAACATTGGGTCGGTAAAGCATGTGGCTTTCTCATTGGTACAAGGTGGTCATAATAGAAATCAAAATAAGTAAAAGAGACCAAATTGGGCAAGGCTACTAGCAAGCAAGATACTAGAGTAAAGGCCATGATTTAGTTATATCATCAATATATTCCAGATTCGGAAGATATTTTATTTTGAGTGGAATAAATAATTTCAGCATAACAAACCTTGCAAAAACACTGGTCTCCTTCGCCATCATTGAACTGGAGATGAACTTGTGGTATAAAAATCGACATCAGTAGCACACAAATGGGTTTTGCGTGGATCTTCATGGTAATGATCTCAGCAAACAGTCGGTATTCTAACTTTTATCACTAAATTTATAAATATTTTTTGCTCTGATGCCGAAGAACACCTTTAGCGGAAATCGTTCCGCATAAAATAAGTGTTCCCTAATTTCGTATTTTAGGATAAGATAGATTATACAAGTAAGATACTACAAGTTCTTTTGATTAACCATTGTTTACTTATTTCAAATATGCATGTTTTTCTTTGAACTACCTGATAAAGGTGACGAAGCGGAATGATATTTAAATGATACGTGGCAAATTTCCACAGTTCCAAAACGAGGTCAAGAGGAATTCCCAGGGAAATCCCAATGCATAATTTTATAATTTTACTGAAATTTCAATGAATTCGCAAGAATACCTCGAATCCAGGTAAAGAGTATAGCCTTAAAGTAATGCTAGTTCATATAGATGTATCAAGTCTTTGATTGGGACGAATGCACTCCGACATTAGATGTATTTTTTGTCCTAACTGTTAAAAAATGATTTTGAAAATTTAAAAAAGCCAAAAATATTCAAAATCAGCTGATTCAGTGATTGCAACAGACATTTGCTTCAGTGGTAGAGGAAGGCAGAGGGATCATGTTTACTTTCTTTTCAATACATCAATGTTCATTGTGAAAAGCAAAAAAACTAAACTAAAAACTAAAAAGATATTTGCATGATAAAGACATAGGATCAACTGCAAGAATCAGAGTCAGGGCAATCTGCGCGAGATTCGGTTTTTACTTGGTTCAGTTTTTCATTAAAGGAAGTACTTCATTCCAATGATTCAAAGGGCTTTTCTGCCATCGCTTCGGTTTAAGTTTGTACAACACACGTCTACAAATCTAGGGCAGGTTGATATTATGTCATTACATTTGTTTTGGGTGTATCCTTTTTGTTTTGACACTAAACAAAAATATTCCTGCACTATATACCCTATATTAATTGTGCATGCGTTTCAATAATTTGAACCAATAAAATGGCTGGATTTAATGCGCATGCGCTAAAAACCGAACCATAAAATGGAATCTCGCGCAGATTGCCTCTAGTGAAGAATCATTTTGGTGACATATTACCTATAGACCTACCCTACATGTATATGTATTTCCCAATTTGACTGATTTGCTATAATTGAAAAGGTAAGACTTAGCTAAAGAATGTGACTCGCTTACATGTACATGTGCTTCCATGAGTCAGCACATAGACTTTGTTTCGTCAACCATTAGCACATTATCCACTCGCTTCTTCATGAGTTCCGGAAGTTATGGATTATATGTAGTATTACCAAACACATGATGTGAAATTCAAAATTCAAATTTTTGGGTCGCTTTATTTTGAGCATGCATGCACACATGTTAGTCACTTTAAACTATATTTTCACATTTAGGTGATATGATCTTTGAATGAAGTCTTTTATTTGCACATACTCGAAAAAAGAAAAATTGAAAATCACTTCACATTTATTTTGCATGAGCTATGCCAATTGTCATCAGTCGCAAAATGGTTTACATGTGTTTTACAGGTAAGGGTATGGCAAGTTTAATAAACAAAGACTCTATGGAGTTTGAGTGCCCCAAACACCAACTGTCCCTATTGGCCAGCCTTAAAGATATGTACGACACCAACACACTGACAGATGTCTGCATTGCCGTGGAGCAACACAAGTTTGAATGTCATAGGTAGTTATACATTTTTTTAAATATACAAGTACTGTGTAGCGCTTTAAAAGAATTTTCATGATTTATCAATAAACATGTCTATCAGAACCCAAATTGTAAAAGATTAAGTTATTCATTTTCATACATGTATTTGCTATTTCAGGAATGTCCTAGCTGGGAGCAGTCCCTATTTCAAGGCCATGTTTACCAATGATCTTCAGGAACGGTACAAGCAAACAATCGAGATATTTGACATAGATTCTACATCAATGGAGCTAATCATCAATTTTGCTTATACAGGGAATGTAGAAATCACTATGACAAATGCACAGAGTCTAATGGCTGCCTCTTCATTGTTCCAAATGACATCTATTGTCAATGCATGTGCTAAATACATGGAAACACAGTTAGATGTATCTAACTGCATACCAATGCATTACTTGGCAGCGATTCACAACTGTAATGAACTGGCCTCTAAAGCCAAGGAGCATATTGAAAAAAATTTCAATGAAGTTACAGAATGCGAAGAATTCCTACAACTCTCTGTTGAGAAGTTATCTGAAATAATATCATCAAGTGATCTGAACGTAGACTCAGAAGAGATTATATTTGAGTCTATCGTTGACTGGATAAACCATGATAAAAATCAGAGAGAAGAATATATGAAGAAGCTCCTACCTCATGTAAGATTTAGCCTACTCAGTATTAAATACATTCACAATAACATAGACACCAATGAAACAGTCAGGAACTGTGATACTTGTCAAAAATTACTAAAAGCTGTACATGTGTTTGAAAACTCCCCAGACACGTATAAAGGGGACCATGTATTTAATATGGAATTACGATCAGGGATGATTAAGCCTGAGCCCTGTATACTGTTAATAGGTGGCATCGATCATGGTCGATCATCTATTAACTGTTACAATCCATTGACAAGAGAGACTTACAGTGTATCAACACAATGTGATAATGGAAAATTTAACTTTTGTGATATTGAGGATCCAGCCTGTGTGGTTACCCCCGACAACCAGATATTCATCGCTGGGGGCAATTATGTTTACCATGACTCCTGGTACTGGGATGATGCTTCAGATGTCGATTCCCTAGATGAATACGATGGTGAAGACACAGTTCGTAGGGACCTCTGTTGCTATGACAATGATCATGACACATGGATCGCAAAATCTCCAATGTTGTTTCCAAAATCAAACTTTGCTCTGGTGCATTTAGATGGATTCCTCTATTGTTTTGGGGGGCTAACAGTTAACCAGCATCCGACTGAGATAATTGAGAAATATGACATTGAGTCCAATAGATGGACTTATGTGGGGATGATGCCAACGACACTTGTGGACTTGTCAGCAGTAGTACATGATGGAATGATATATGTTCTAGGGGGAAGAACAGGGGTCGGGGCACATAATGTTCTTATGAAGTATGACAGCATTAAATCTGAATGGACAACACTGGCAGGGATCCCCACGCCTCGTTTCAGTTTCGGGGCATGTGTGGTAGGTAGTGAAATCTATGTTGCTGGGGGTCAGATCTACTCTCACACAAGCAACACTATCCACAGGGACTCGCTAAGCTCAGTAGAAATCTATAATATAACTGAGAACATCTGGCGCCAAGGCCCAGAACTTCCCTCGAGTGTATACAATGTGGGACTGATACATGTCAATGGAAGCTTATTTGCCTGCGGGACAGTTGAAGTACAACGTAATGCATTCAGGGTCTATGGAAATGTGGTCTACAAGTTAGATCTGGGTAAATCTACATGGAGGATGATAGAGGATGATTTATGTGACATCAGGGATTTTGCTTGTGTATCTGCCCGCTTTCACACCAGAAAATTAGCTCAAGTGTTCAGGCCAGAAGTGGATACTTAGAACTTATGACTAGGACCAAATTCAAATGAATGTATGCAAGTTTATAGTACATGTTCTTCCAAATCTAAAATGCATAAATGTTGTTTTGAGCTTGGAGAAAAATTGTTTAAACAATCATGTTAATTCATTTTTTCAATACGATCATGATATGATATCATGAAGCAATTATTTCATGAATAATTTTGTAAATTAAAAAGCATAAAGTCTAGTCATAAAGAGTGTGTCATAAGGTTTATTGGATGAAATTGTGAACCAATTGTCTTATTTTCTTGTCCATGTACATGCTAAAAAACAAGCTGGTCCATGCTAAAATTGACTGAACATTGTTCCCTTGGTTGGTGCTTATGCCACCCCCTTTAGTTTAAATGTTAGGTTGTATCCATGATTATATGATCTTTATAACCTGGATAATTAATATAAATCTGGATTGCATTTAAATAAGCCTAATCAATGGTTTTATTACATGAAGTTATTAATTGGAGTGTAAACTTTTTGTTTCGGTAACAGATCACAATATCAATGTTGTGCTAAATTCCAAATCACAGATCACTTTTAATCAATTTTCCACTGCTACTGGATGAACGTGAAGTTCTATTTGCAGGACTATCAGACTTGAACTGTTTATGTGAGTTTGAAATTTACTCAATTCAAAGGAATTCAGATTTTCTCTTGAATGGAGATGAAAAGGGTATTGAAACAAATGAAAAATTGATTGAAATCTCTGCTCACCATACTTTTCAAGCTACCCAAAGTCTAGAACAGGGTAATTTCTAACTTTTGATTTTGATACCAAACTTGTGGAATTAGGAGACATAGCAAAGCAAACAACAAACATTTTTTTCTGAACATTCTGTGTATTTCTAAATATCAAATTTAATTTATTAATATTGTTTCGATTATTGATAATGTTGATTTATCAACAATGGCAATTTGTCAGTTTGTTCATAAGTATTCTGTTGTATTTTGTTCTGTTTAGAAATAAATTTTGTATGAAAAAAATACATGAAGTTTGAAATTTTTTAAAATAGGTGACGTGTCAAACAAAAAATGCGACAAACATCATAAAAATGTTTTCTGCTTGGAACTCACTTTAAAATTTAGATGCATTTAGATGACAAACAGTGACATTTGCTGAAGTAAATCTACAAGAATGACTGCAAAATTGATGGACTGTAGTATCAGTATCATATATTTGAACCATATAGGTTTTAGACAGTACAATATGCAATTAGCTTGTTATTTTTGAGCTCTGATCAAACGCTTTTTGTGTATCACACGTACCAGGTCGTTCAATAAGTTCATGCAAAAACATTCTCATTTTTTTATTTTTCAATGTTTTTCCTTGAAACTTTCACAAATCATCCCCAAAAAAGTTGGACTATAACACTGTCACCACTTCTAGTGGTGATATAAAGATGTGATAAGATTTAATGCATAGTTTGTAATGAGAAATCACAAAGAACAATACTTTAAAAACAACTTTGTGTGAATACATAGTTCTCACAATCTGCACAATGTTACAACTATTGTACCCCAAGAAGACACATTTGTATTGGGCTGAAATCATGTTTAAATAACAAATTATTGGAATGAAATACAGTGTACAGTGTAAACACCTTCAAAACAAAAATATGAAAAAATTACTCATTTATTGCATTTGTGATTCACGGAAATCATGACGCAAAATTGAAAACTGTCACACGAATATGCATACCTGCCAACCTACCGTATTTTTACGGGAATCTACCGTAAATTTTTCGTTTTTCCGTAAAAAATGACAAACTTCCGTAAAAAAATACCATGTTTATCCCGTAAAAACGCCCGTAAAAAAATCTACCGTATTTTTTTCGAAATCTACCGTAAATTTATTTTTTAAAAACTCGTTTCTTCCATGAGAACGGCCGTAAAATCTACCGTAAATTTTTGAAAATCTACCGTAAATTTTCGAAAATCTACCGTATTTCTGCTAAAATCAACAGCATTTTTGTTCAAACTACCGTAAAATTTCCTGTTATTGTTGGGAAATGCTGAAAAATTGAAGTCTTCCTGTACTGTCCCTGTAATATTCCTTCACCAACCCGAATATAAATAGGTATCGACAGGTCTGTGGTTATCAGGTTATTGCGCATTTATCTAAGTACGCTGGCGTATAATCAGTCCAAACACCAACTACCACAAGAAAGAATTCTTTCTGACATGATTTTTGTAGTTACCAAACCCTTTTGTACACAGATCTTTATTCCGAATGCAACAAAAATATGATTTTAGTTGCGCTTCATCTAAATAATTGAGTGGAAATGACAAAAACTACTTGCTTTACCGTATGAAATATGCGTAGTTTGGTTTATGATCAGTACTGAACGCCACATATACATTATACATAGTTTAATCAATTTGTTTTCAGTACGATAAAATGTTGTATTTTTCATCTGAACACATTATATCAGTAACAAATACATAATATGTACCAACCAGCATGAGGATTATGGAATTTTTTATGCATCTTTATTCTATTTTCACACTTTTGGATTTGATTACAACCATTCGATATTCCACTCTATTAAAATGGTTCGAAACACGTAATAAATTCGTTTGTTTTTACACATTTATATTTGAGTTATGTAACTATATATGCGATAAATGCACTTGTATATGCGGTTCATGTTATTCAGTGTTTGGTAAAATGTCACATATTTAAGTCACGAACAAAGACGGTTGACACATAATATATTTAGAACACACATCAAATACAAATATACTTTAGAACCAAACAATGTTCATTTACCGAACATTTACCAAATAGCACGGACATATAGTGACTTACCCCACATAATTAATGACATATTGCACATAAAATCATGTGGGGTAGGTCAAATTCTTCCACAAAACTAGTTATTTTAAAATCTATCGCAAAAACTACCGCATTTTTTCCAAATTTACCGAAATGTACCTCATTTTTGGCAAATCTTCCGCAAAAGTACCGGTTTTTTCAAAAAATTACCGTAAAAACTACCGCAATTTTCAAAATCTACCGTAAAACTACCGCATTTTTGGCAAATCTTCCGCAAAAGTACCGGTTTTTCAAAAAATAACCGTAAAAACTACCGCAATTTTCAAAATCTACCGTAAAACTACCGCGTTTTTTCAGAATCTTCCGCAAAACTACCGCTTGTTCAAAAAACTACCGTGAAAACTACCGCATTTTTTCAAAATCTACCGTAAAACTACCGCATTTTTTCAAAATCTTTCGCAAAACTACCGGTTTTTCAAAAAACTACCGTAAAAACTACTGCATTTTTTAAAATCTACCGTAAAACTACCGCATTTTTTTCTAAATCTTCCGCAAAACTACCGCTTTTTTCAAATTTCTACCGTAAAATTACATTTTTTTTCAAAAATCTACCCCAAACCTCTGAAACTACAGTATTTTTTTAAATCTACCGCAAAAACTACCGTTTATTTTATAAATCTACCGCAAAAACTACCGTTTTTTAAAAAATCTACCGCAAAAACTACCGTTTTTTCTAAAATCGACCGTAAAAACTACCGCAATTTTGTTGAAAAATACCGCAAAAACTACAGTATTTTGAAAAAATCTACCGCAAAAATACAGCAATTTTAAAAAAATCTACCGCAAAATTTTGGTCTTAGGTTGGCAGGTATGAATATGTGTCACCATATGTTGGATTAACAACAAAGTGATAAACTTAACAAGAAATAACAAAAAATTAGTACCGTGGGTACTGGGCTCACATGGTGACAGAAAAAAACAGATATAATTTTTTGCTGATTTTTTGTAATAAAATTATTTCAAGCCACTATTTTGGACTGACGGAGAGACAGATGGACAAATCGATGTTAAGTAAAATTGCTGAAAAAAACAGATATAATTTTTTTTTAATTATTTGGAACAAAATTATTTCATACAACTACTCTTTACAGTGACATGGCTTTTTGCAATGCAAGACACCTGAAATTATTTGTAAAGCTAGGAAATGGGCCAAAATTGAATTTCGCGAGACAAAAATGACGACCATTTTGAAATCAGGCAAGCTTTTGAACCAGGAGTCAAAGGGGAGTTTTTTGTATTGATGTTGAACAAAAATAACGTGAAACTGGAATCCTATCGACAGAGGTTTTAAGTAAATGGTCCAAAAGAGGATTTCGCGAGACAGATGAACAAATCAATGTTAACTAAAATGGCTGAAAATAAAAAAACAGATATAATATTTTGCCGATTTTTTGTAACAAAATTATTTCATACAACTACTCTTTACAGTGACATGGGTTTTTACAATGCAGGACAGCTGAAATTATTTGTAAAGCTAGGAAATGGGCAAAAAGTGAATTTCGCGAAACAAGAATGGCGACCATTTTGAAAATAGGCGAGCTTTTGAACCAAGAGTCATAGGAGAGTTTTTTGTATTGATGTTGAACAAAATTAACTTAAAACGGGAATCCTATCGACAGAGGGTTTAAGGTAAATGGTCCAAAAGTGGATTTTGCGAGACAGATGGACAAATCAATGTTAACTAAAATGGCTGATAGTCCTGTCCCTAGCCTCTCTGAGCTTACTCGGATTTAGAATGAAATAACTTTTGATTTTCTTTTAGTAGATACCCTGAAGTGTAGGAATCCATAAGTTATTTTTCCAGGTTTGGGTAAAATCAATTTTTATGGCAGGTTATAGTGGCGCCATCTAGTGATTTTAAAGTTGCAGGGTGATAATCTTAATTAATTTTTTTTTCAGCCAAACCTAATTTCATATTTATTTTTTTGCTTTTTCCTTAGAGACTACTTCCTAAACTATGCATTTGAATTTTTAGGTGATCCTGGAAGGTCATTTGATGGGTCATATTGCCTCAAATATACAGAAGCGCCACCTATAATCAAGGGTCTACCTTATAAAGTTTATTATTCTGAGGCTGATATGGTAGATAAAATTGTTATTATTGGTGTAACAATTAGAACCATAAAGGGGACATATGATGCAGTATCAAATTAATATATGTGGGACATGGGAACTTTAGAAAAAATTTTTTTTGTAAAAGTGGAAGAAATTTGACAAAATATCAGTTTTTACATATTACCAAATACATATGCTTTTTTATAAGTTAATCCTTATATGATGTAACAAGTACAAACAAATACATTTTGATTTTTGAGAATATGAATGAAGTAATTGTAGGGCTGAATTTTGGTTTTGGCCCATTATTATTATTTAATTATTCTGTGTTTGATATACACCCCTTATTATATCAAAGACTCAACTTCTGGAAATACAACACGGTACTTAATGAATGTATGAAAAGCTTTTCCTGAGTTTCTTTGTATTAATAGAGTATAACATCTATTAATCATATCATTTCCATAAGTGTGCACTTTTAGAATAAATTATATTTTATTTTACAGGTAATTTTTGCCAGAAACATTTTGTATAAAATTAGAGCTTCTCAAAAGATGTATCTACACTTTTCAAATAAAAAATGATCCTTCAATCTATCCCACCCAAATGGAGTTAGATCTAATTTTATATTATATTTATACCATCATAAGTTAATATCAAACTCAAAACTGAAACTCCTGTTAAAAGCCATGGCAGCTAATTTTGGGGTAATTTACATCTTATTAGCATGAAGGTTGTTTAAAACAGTAATCCTCTATAATTGACTTATTGACTAACCTTTTGTTTTTGTATTTAGTATATATTTGAGACTACAGATGAACATGTATTGAATTGGTGGAAACAAAATTATTAAAATGTGATTAAAGTAAGTAAGCTTAAGGTTTATTTAAGATATAAAGATTGCTCATCTTCGACAAAATAGAAGAATTAAAATTATGATCACTTAGAATGATTCAAATTATTTCTAATATAGAATGTAAGTTGGTGTCTAGGAAAATAAAACATATGATCACATCCAGCTTTTCTTTGAAAGTCAAATTTCCTTGCATATGGATTAACGAATTAACGTTAATAACTAAAATGAACCCAGTTACATGATAAACTATGCATGATCCTGAATTGTGACTGTATTTTTGAGACCCAGAGATTGAATATTTTAAAATCACTAACAATCTATTTCTTCTCCAGTTAACTTCCTAAATGGCTTCTATAAACTTTGAAAGAGGAAAATGTATTATCTGCCAAGATGATTTTAAAGACAGTAACAGCAATGTTGTCAAGCCAACTGTGGGACAAGCAAGAGGTGTTGCAACCTTGCTTAGAATAAGCAAAATGAAAGATGATGAAGTTTATCAACGTATGAAAGTAGCCAAACTTGAAAACGCACCTATTCTATATCACATGAACAATGCTTGCTACAGAGTATACACCCAAAAACGGCATACTGAAGAACCATTGAAGGAATGGTTGGAAGAAACACACCTCATTCCTCAACAGCACAACCCAAACAAATGAAATGTTCCCTTCCACAAAGGAATGAAGAAACTGAAACTGATACTGAAAAAACCATTGAAGGAATGGTTGGAAACACACCTCATTCCTCAACAGAACAACCCAAACAAATGAAATGTTCCCTTCCACAAAGGAATGAAGAAACTGAAACTGATACTGAAAAAACCATTGAAGGAATGGTTGGAAACACACCTCATTCCTCAACAGAACAACCCAAACAAATGAAATGTTCCCTTCCACAAAGGAATGAAGAAACTGAAGAAACTGAAACTGATACTGAAGAAACCATTGAAGGAATGGTTGGAAATACACCTCATTCCTCAACAGAACAACCCAAACAAATGAAATGTTCCCTTCCACAAAGGAATGAAGAAACTGATTAAACTGAAACTGATACTGAAGAAACCATTGAAGGAATGGTTGGAAATACACCTCATTCGTCAACAGCACAACCCAAACAAATGAAATGTTCCCTACCACAAAGGCCCTCTGTTGAAGCTGTTGATGTACCTAAATACCAGAATGTTTGTATATATTGTAATCAGGTCACAAAAAACAAAACATATGAAAAATCCCGAATTTCTGAAGAGAAGAAAGCTACCGAGTTTCTTGTACAAACCCAACACTTACAGGGTGAAGTGTATACCAGCACCTGTCACCTCACTGATGTGAAAGGAGTGATTGAAGCTGATCTCTTATACCATAACTATTGTTACAAACAATACAGCCATAAATACCAGAAAAGTACTGATTCAAATTCTCTTCATGACTACTGCAATTGAAGTAGGAATTATTAATGAGAGTACACTGATTCCTCTGAATATGGACAACTTTTGGGGAAGTAATTCCAACAAAGAGCAACTACAATTATTGTTGAGAAAATCAATACAAAAAGTGGCAAGTAGTTACACAAATATAATGTTTGTTTTAAGTGGAACAGTCAGCAATTCACCAGAGTTGTCCATGAAATGCGAAAGCTTCAATGTTCCCTCAACAAGCAACACCCCATGTATCAATAAACCAATAGAAGAAGCAGATACTAGAATGCTTCCCCATATAGTAGATGCCTTAAAGAATAACATATGTAGAGTGTCTGTCATATCAAATGACACTGATGTCTTTGTCATGGTTTTGCACTATGCAGAAAAACTAAAGGACTATGGAGCATCAGAGATATGGATACGAGCTGGCATCGGGGACTCAACAAGATATCTTCCTATGCATACATTAGCACTGAGAGTTGATGAGAATATAAGCAAAGTTTTACCTGCAATTCACTTCCTTACTGGTTCAGATGTTACAAGTAAAGATGGTACAAAACCTGCAGCATTGAAAGTAAAACCAGAATACATTCAAGGTTTAGCAACCTTTGGGGAGAACCTAAGTGATGAAAATTGCAGTAAAGCTGAAGTGTTTCTTGTACAAGTTTTGAAATCTGGGTCAAAATGTATGACAATGAATAAATTTAGGAACTGGATGTACCATCACTCAAAATCAGCTCAAATAAGCTCATTGCCACCCACATCACACCTACTAACAGACCACATAAACGAGCTCACTTAGCCACATATCAAGTCCAGCATGTTCTAGATGAAGAAGCTGTAACACTTGATCCCCTACAATATGGCTACATGAAGGACCCCACAAATGATTCTCTTATCCCAAAGCAGGACATAAGGATTTGGCCTGAAGATTTGATAAAGCAATGTACATGCAAAACTTGCAGCCAGGCATCATGTGGATGCAAACAGAGTGGGCAACACTGCATATCATTCTGCAAATGCACAAGTTTACAAACAAATAAATGTAAAAATCCCTTTTTAAAAGAGAGTGAACTTTTGGAGGCAATGCTTAATTAATGTTTTATGCTGATAAAATGAACTATTTTAATCAAATATCACAAAACAAATTGAATGTAACAGTTGTTTTCTAGTCTCTATTTTACAATGAATTGGAATTTAGGTAGAATCAGATCAGGGAGCAGTTTTCAAAAATATTTATGTCATATTCTTAATCACATCTATTTTCTAGAAATTCAAAGCAGTGCATTCTTTATTAAAAAATAGAGGTATTTCTGTTAATACGTTCAAGTGTTTTGCTGTGGATATATATACTTTGAATCTGAAATATGGTTATATTATTTCATAAAATAGCATGTATCTATTAGGAGGTACAATATTTGAAATGGTCAGGAAGACTTGGGGAGGCTAAAAGCGCATTTTGCTTTCAATTTTGTCATTGTTCTCTATGTTTCTTACTTTGCCTTCAAAAATCATACATGATTTACAAACAAATGAAACTTATAGAAAAATATATTTTCTATAGATGGCGCCTTTTATGCATGGTTTCATTCTGTCTATAATGTATTCATTAATAACCGTAATTGTCAACCATAAGCTTAACTTGTCTAAATATATATTTTTCTACTTGTTACATCATGTTAGGTTTACCGTAGAAATAAAAAAGCATATGTTTTTGGTAATATGTAAAAACAATTTCTTCCACTTTTACAAAAATATTTTTTTCTAAGTTCCCATGTCCCACATATATTAATTTGATACTGCATCATATGTCCCCTTTATGGTTCTAATTATTACACCAATAATAACAATTTTATCTACCATAACAGCCTCAGAATAATAAACTTTATAAGGTAGACCCTTGATTATAGGTGGCGCTTCTGTATATTTGAGGCAAAATGACCCATCAAATGACCTTCCAGGATCACCTAAAAATTCAAATGCATAGTTTAGGAAGTAGTCTCTAAGGAAAAAGCAAAAAAATAAATATGAAATTAGGTTTGGCTGAAAAAAAAATTAATTAAGATTATCACCCTGCAACTTTAAAATCAATAGATGGTGCCACTATAACCTGCCATAAAAATTGATTTTACCCAAACCTGGAAAAATAACTTATGGATTCCTACACTTCAGGGTATCTACTAAAAGAAAATCAAAAGTTATTTCATTCTAAATCCGAGTAAGCTCAGAGAGGCTAGGGACAGGATCATGAAAATAAATTAATAAATTAAAAAATGGATATAATTTTTCGCTGATTTCTCGTAACAAAATTATTTCATACATCTTCTCTTTACATTGACATGGATTTTTACAATGTAGGACACTTGAAATTATTTGTAAAGCTAGGAAATGGGTCAAAAGTGAATTTCGCGAGACAAAAATGGCGGCCATTTTGAAAATAGGCGAGCTTTTGAACCAGGAGTCATAGGGGAGTTTTCTGTATTGATGTTGAACAGAAATAACATAAAACAGGAATCCTATCGACAGAGGTTTTAAAACATGCCACTGTTATTGACGAAAAGTGGATTTCGCGAGTCAGATAGACAAATCAATGTTAACTAAAATGGCTGAAAATAAAAAATGGATATAATTTTTCGCTGATTTTTTGTAACAATATTATAACATATATCTACTCTTTACATTGACATGGATTTTTACAGTGTAGGACACCTGAAATTATTTGTAAAGCTAGGAAATGGGTCAAAAGTGAATTTCGTGAGACAAAAGTGACGGCCATTTTGAAAATAGGCGAGCTTTTGAACCAGGAGTCAAAGGTTAAAACGTGCCACTATTGTTGACGGACAGACAGACAGACAGACGGACGGACGGACAGACAGACGGACAAGTGAGTGATTGCAAAAGCTCACCATGTGAGCTAAAAATAGCATTTTGATGCTACGTGATTGGGAAATAAAAAGTATTATTTTTGTATGTGTTTTATACTACATGTATTACAAATCTCTCATACATCCTTACATTTATATGTAAATGTAACATCTCATTTCACTTTAAGTACATATAAGACAGTTAGTACATGAGGAAATATGTACACAAATATTTTATGACTGAAATGTCAAGGTTGCTCTTACACGCTTTTCCATTTTAAAACTGCAATCAAACGCCTAAATATCACACACATTTCTCACAACTGAGTTCCCAAAGAACAAATAAATGATGATAATAATCTTTCATACAAATTAACAATACTTTTATTAATACAGCTGTACAAGCCTGTAATTTAGTTATAAACTGCTTCGATTATTATCCACCACCCTCCCTTTGTTTAATGTACAAAAATAAGTCCTAGTCATCCAGCCTTTTATCCAAATGACTTCAAGTCTACTGCATCCCATATATAGATATTTTCTTTTGATCAATAATAATTTATACTCATATACTACGCTCCATCGTAGAGTGAGAGAAAGTATATGTACAATAAGAATATTGGGTATAATAGAAGAGGTCTCTTTTGTTGTAATTCCTCTACGCATAGTAATGAGCCGGCACTGTATGAAGCCCATAGTACTCCCAAAAACTGGAACAAACGCAACAGTTCAATGATTCATTATCAAAGATAAATAGAAAGCAACATGTGTTACATTTAACCAGTCGAGTAAATGATCATGAAGAATAACTGAAAATTGGTTACGATTCCATAAACTCAGCTGTAAAGCAACATTTTCTCGGATAAAAAATACATTACTAAATTCAGAAGCATTACCTTAACCAAAAGTTCTTTTATAATATTTTATGCTTATGTAATACATTATGTAGGAGTTCACCAACAAGTGAAGAGAATGTCAACAGGACATCCAAATATGGACATGTGATGGGACAATAAAGGATTCCCTTAATAAGAGAGGTAATTTCCCAAATTTTGCAATATAATGGTTCTTACCTTTATTGTCATTGCAACATAGTGCATGGATCTGAACAATGGTAGAATGGCTGCTATAATAATCAAGGGTAGTAATGAGTATCCTATCACTCCTAGACACTGAGAATAATTCACCTGAAGCAAATAAAATGAGAATAATTCACCTGGCTGGAGCAAATCTTATATGAAACCAAGATGGCTTATACATGTAGGTGGTTGTGTAGCACAATGGTTAACCCATGATATAAGCAGGAAAATGCATTTCTTCCTCTGTTATGCCTGGGTCACATTTGCTCCGATTCATCAGCCGGCACCTGGCCGATTGAATATTCTGGTCAAAACTGTATACAATTTTGAACAAAATACTCAATCGGGCGGGCGCCGGCCGATGAATCGGAGCAAATGTGACCCAGGCATTAGTCACTTCATCAATTATGGATAGTTAATGATAAAATGAAATCCTACTCTAAGGGCTGAGTGATTATGACCATGAAATCATTGTTGTTAAATACCGAACTGGTTACTCTGTTGAAACTTACCTCCCCTCCGAGCACCCTTGCCAGCATAAACACAAGAAGAGAACCACAAATCCAGATTGTGATAATCCAAGATAGCACCTATAATACACAATATAATATCTATTAAAAAATAATGTATTGGATTCTATTACAGGTGCAGCTGAAAACCAAAGGCTGAATCTCTAGGCCAGCATAGAATTAAATATACCGATCTGTGTGCATTATTCCACATATTACTGAGTTTTCTCATTTTCAAGTAGGTACAAATAGATTTCCAGTTGGGTGCAAGCCTATTTTTTAAATCTCAAGTGGTTGAAGCGCCCACTTGCTTTTATGCTTGAAAGATCACTGTATATTAACAACGTATATGAAAAGTGACTGGTAATGATTCTTAATAAAAATAACAATCAAAATACTTGTTTCAGATTTGTTTGTCATTAGAATTATAACAAAGACATTCAAGATGAATACTTGTAACACTTTAAAAACTTACCCTAAATTGACCATACAATGAAACCAGTGAGTATAGAAGCACAACCACCAAAGGCCCCCAAAAATCTGGGTTGTCCCGGACAATCTGTCGATTAAATCCCAACTGTGGCAATGGAAACAGAATACAGCGTAACTTGTAGTAAATATCCTTCAGATCAATGTCGAGTTCTTCCCTGAAAAATATGTAAGAGCTATCATTTTTAATGATCTGACGTAACTTACATTTACACGTTTCATGTTTCAAAAATTATTTATTTTACCTGACAATTCTTTTAGATCACAATGAGACTGACCTCTATTGAAAAAATTTCAATGTAACATAAATATGATCCAGTCCAAAGTTTTCCAAAGTGCATAAATGTCCACTCTATCCTTGCAGAGTGAAGCAGATTCTAATTCAAGGGAAAATTGAATTGAGTAAAAAGTTCAACATGGCTCAAAGAAAATTATGATCTCTCCCTTTAAGGTGGACTAACAGTACATTAAATATGATACATGCATTCACTTACAGCAAAGGTTTTTGTTCTTCCTCTTGGTCATCTTCAACTTCTAGGAGCCAGCCAAATCCTTTACTGTCAAGGAATTGACCTGTTTTACCACGATTCCTTACAAAACCTGTTCCTTCTTCAGTATCAATACTTTCACCCCCTCCCATTTTACCAGATGGAGCATCATATTGACCTGAAAGATACATAATACATGAAGTATCACATAGTTTATCATAAAGATAGACGAGATGTTTTTGATATCGTATTTTACATTTACTATCTTGCAATTGATTATTGATAAGTCGTAGATTTGGCATATTTTCTTCCTTGGGTACCTCTAAGGGTTCATACCAGATTATGCACGATGCATTTCTTTGCCACAAGTTTGAGCTCTAATTTTGCTAATATGAAGTAGGGGTAATCTCTGCAAGGTTTGTTTATTGTGGTTAGAACGTAGTGGTAAAGTGCTCAGGAGCAAATAATTCATGTGCGCAAAATATTTGCATGAATAATGACGCATGCACACCTGTGCCATGTTTTTTGCTCATAATTTCGTTTCAATCCATGGAGTTTGTGTTTCAGTGTAACTTCTACAAAAACAACGGACCGAATGGAGAATTAACAGGTAATATCACTTCAAGATTTTAAAGATTTTTTTGCCTATTATAGCAAAAATTTGGCATTATTTTCGCATTCTATCTTTGAGTTTATACTCATAAAATGAGGCTACACTTACCAATCTCTAAAATGACATTTCCAGATGTCCGTCATTGTGTCTGTTTGTCCCGGGTTAAAATTAAAATATTAGCGAAACGAAATTGTTGTCAAATAGATTGATAATTATAATCCCGATTGATAGGGATAAAAAGATCAATTTTGAGGATAACGGGTATCTTTGATTGATTTAAATACTGCGTGTATACAAGCAAAATAGTTATTAATTGCAAACCTACTGTTTGCTAATGCAGTGCTGCAATGACAGTTAATTTATGATACGATTTGCAATTCCGATGTTACCAGAACTGACCAACATTTTTGTTATATTCCAAACCTGTCTCCAATATTTTCGTAATTATTCATCAATAGGGTCTAAGGGGGATACGGGATGGTGTGTACATGTATGTATGCATGCTTGAATCACATTCTTTATGTAATAATTCCACATTTTCAGGGTTTAATTAGTTCCGCTTGTTGAAACCTGCAGAACGATTAAATTAACGCATTAAAGGGCAAAATGATCATGGAGGTTAGACCTAGCCGGGGCCGTAAAACATGTCAGATAAGAAACAAGGCCCAGGCTAGGTTTCATGTTGTTAACAAAAAATTCAAAAGTACAGCGCAATGTCTAAAAAGCACTATCATTACAGGATCTATGTCTATGTCAATAATCCGCAAAAGGCTAATAAGCCCATATAAAGCAGATATATAATTTAACAGTGATAGAATTTGAATAGAATATAATTTAAAACCTTAACATTTAAAAATAGATCTATGGTTTACAACTCATTTTTACCTGGGGAGACTGTCAGGCTAACCGCGTTGACATCACCCCTCTTTACCAGTAGTGCAGGCTTGTTGCTGTGCACTGGGGACCCTTTACATTAAAACATAGATCTATATTAAAAACACACCTATTTAATTGCAGTTATTGACATAGGCATAGTATGATGATTTAAAACTACTTAGACTGTCACAGTCTAAGATGTCACCAGGTAGAGTGTTCCATTTAGCTATTGTCCTAGGGAAATAGCTAAATTTGTATGCATCCGTTCTAGTTGATGGTTGTATGAACTTAGAAGGATGATACAACCTAGTGTTGGTATTGATCTGTTGGCGGAAGTATGGAGGCAGGTCGATGGCTGCTAGGTTCTGCTTTCCTTTGTAGAAAAGGAAAACTCTAGCAGCCTCTCGACGCTCCTTCAGTGGCTCCCACTGTAGGTCTTGAAGAGCTTTGGTGACGCAGCCTGGTTCCCTTGAGTGACATTTGGTTACAAACCTGGCTGCTCTTCTCTGTACCTGTTCCAACATATCAATATCTTTTTGTCGGTACGGATCCCATGCCGAGCTGGCATACTCTAAATTAGGCCGGACTAGTGACTTATACGCCTGAGCCTTCACTTTTTCAGGGCATTGATGGAGGTTGCGCCTGAGAAATCCAAGCACCTTATTGGCTTTGGATACAATAGTTTGAATATGTGTAGTCCAGCGTAAGTTATTTGTGATGTCAATTCCTAGGTATGGGATGTGTGTTACCGACTTAAGGTTTTCCCCTAGCATGGTGTAATTGTGCATGATAGGGGATTTACCTTTGTGAATATTTAGCACATAGCATTTTGATGGATGGAATTTCATTTGCCATGTTGATGCCCAGGAGACCAGTTTATCAAGATTCTCCTGTAGTGTTAATGCATCTTGCTTGCTTTCGACTGTCATGAATAAAAGGCTGTCGTCGGCAAAAAGCTTAAGACTGGCTGAGGATGATAGGTTATTGCCCATATCATTGATATAAACAAGGAAACAGAGTGGTCCAAGAACTGTTCCTTGAGGAACTCCTGATTTTACTGGAGTTTTTGAACTTGATTCACCATCGAGCACTACCTGTTGTGATCTTCCCACAAGCCAGGATCTGAACCAGTTCAAGTTATTATTGCGAATTCCATAATAGTCGAGTTTGAGCAAGAGGCGTTCGTGAGCCACCGTGTCAAACGCTTTGGAAAAGTCTAATACCAACATGTCTGTTTGTTTATTGTTGTCGAGGGCCCGAGCTATATTCTCTATTGTATTGACAAGTTGTGTTTCACATGAGTGCTTTGACCTGAATCCATGTTGGAATTTTACTAGAATTTCATAGAGGTCAAAGTGGGCCATAACATGATGGAATATAATATGTTCCATTATTTTACATGGAACTGACGTCAGAGATACAGGCCTGTAATTCACAGCCTCATCTCTTCGTCCCTTTTTGTAGATAGCAGTAACATTGGCATGTTTCCAGTCCATAGGCACTAAGCCTTCATCGATAGACTGTTGAAAAATTATTTGAAGGAATGGTGATATGCTGTCACTGCATTCCTTCAGGACCCTAGTCGGAATAAGATCGGGTCCAGTGGCTTTTGATGGATTTAGGCCAGTTAGCAATTTGTGAATTCCTTTTGTCGAAATTTTGATATTTGGCATTTCAGGAATTTGACTAGGTACCATTGTCGGTAGAGTGGCATCCTCATCTGTGAATACAGAATTGTATTGGTCATTGAGGATGTTTGCTTTCTGGGCGGCGTCTGTTATTTCGTCGCCATCTTTGTTACGCAGCACGCTGATACCTGATGCATCTTTGCGTTTAGACTTTATGTAGCTCCAGAAGCGTTTGGTAATGCCTTTGTGCTGAACATTCTCATTTATGATTTCGCTTTCATCAATGTCAAGCAGATCGTTGATGTAGCGCTGATGTTCTTTACGCATTTCACTATGGATTAATTTCCGTAGTGATTTGTATTTATGCCAATGATGAGGTTCATTTGAACGTTTGGCAACATTATATCGTCTTTGTACGTCTGAGAACGATATATTTTCAAAATAGCATGGCATTTACCTTGGCTGTGCGATCCTGTAAGTGATTGAGAATTTTGTGATGTGGCAGAAACGTCAACAAATTGGAACTGATCCTGTGACGGGACAAACTTGCTCGGACTTTCCACAACTTTAGTGTAGGCAGGTGGAGGTGTATATTGGCCTCCCGTAAAACTAGAAGATTGTGTCATTCCACTCATATCCATGCTGTAATCTGCATTTCTATCCCCGAATTTTGCCTGATCTAAATCTTTGTCCGCCATGTCAGTTCTCGTTAAAATTATGAAATCTCGCGCAAACGAAACTTCGGAAATTTCGATTTTCTAATCTATTACTCAATATATTTATAAACCTGATATCACATAATGATTGCTTATTTTATTCTCAAGTTTCCATTATACTATATTCTCATAAATCTTCCAAATATCCTAAAACGCTATGTTTACTTCCGGGTTAAAATATCGCGGGAAGAAAAAATTTGCAAAAGTTGTTTGGAAAATATGCACAGTAAATTACAGTTTAGTCTAATATTGTAGCCCATCGAGTTCAATAGTGAGTATCCCTTGATTCCTTTAATACCATTTTATTAGGATTCACATTTTGTCTATAAATGATCACAGATTGTGAGACTTCACCATTCTTGAATATTTTGTGGCATTTTCCCAGGATCATCAGGACCTTATCATCATCATCATCATCATCAGATTCTGAGCTTGTAGGTCTTAACTAACAGTCCTGTTAATGCTCAGATCTTTATTATTTATAGTTCATATTCAATTAAACTATATCATAGTGGTAAGTTTGCCAAAATCTGTCTAGCCTCCCTTTAAACTGATCTACACTGTCAGACATCACAATCATCTCGGGAAGGCTGTTCCAGTCATCAATAACCCTGTTGCTGAAGGAGTTTCTTCTCACAGTAGTGTTGCAGTGATGCTTGTATAGCTTCAAGGAATGCCCTCTGGTGGTAGTGGTAGCCTTAGTAAAGAAGGAGCTTGGCTCTATTGTGTCGATTCCATTCATGATTTTAAAGACTTGGATCATGTCGCCCCTTCTGCGTCTATATTGAAGTGAATGTAGCTTTAGCTCTTTCAGTCTTTCTTGGTAGGGCTTATCCTTTATTCCAGGTATTAATTTAGTAGCTCGTCTTTGTATTTGCTCTATTTTTCTGTTATCGCCTAAGAATCTTGGATGCCAGATGCTATTTCCGTAGTCTAGAATTGGTCGGATCATGGATTTATACAGTGGAATTATATTTTCCTTTATGTGTGTGAAACTCCTTTTAATAATACCTAGTTTACTATTGGCTTTCTTAGCTACTTGACTAATATGTTGCTTAAACTTCAGTTCAGTGTCCATGATCACTCCTAAGTCCTTTTGTTCTGACACTGATTCAATGTCTTTATCATCAAGTTTATACTTATGGTTCGTATTCATATTCTTTCCGCCTAGGTTTAGCACTTTGCACTTTTTTTGATTGAATCTCATTTGCCATTTATTTGACCAGTCTGTTAGAGTGTTTATATCTTGTTGGAGACTTTGCCGCTGTTCCTCAGTTTCACTTACTCCGTATAGTTTAGTATCATCCGCAAAAATCTTTATCGAGTTCCTGATCTTGTCTGGAGCATCGTTGATGTATATGATGAACAGGGACGGCCCCAAAACGGTTCCTTGAGGTATTCCGGAGGCCACTGGCTTTGGTGAGGATGTGCTAGTGTTAACTTTCACTGTCTGTGTCCTGTTTGTAAGAAAACCTCTTATCCACTGAAGTACATTACCTCTAATTCCAACACTTTCAAGTTTTTTTAGTAGTCTCTGGTAGGGCACGGTATCAAACGCTTTCGCCAGGTCAAAATATATTGCGTCTAATCTTGTTCCATTGTCGAGTATCTCCGTCCACTTTTCCATTACAGTTAGGAGTTGCGTGATACATGATTTTCCTGGTAAAAATCCATACTGTTCATCAGCGAAAAGTCCATTTTCAAGCATGTAATTTATAATATCATCCCTTATAATGGATTCTAGTAACTTGCAACACACGCTAGTTAAACTGATGGGTCTGTAGTTCTCTGCTAGATCTCTTTGGCCACTTTTGTGTATTGCGACAATCTCAGCCTCCCGCCAGTCCTTGGGGACGTCTCCTGTGTTCAGTGACTTGTTGAAAATTATTGTTAGGGCTTTGGCTATTGAAGGTGCAGTTTCCTTGAGTACCCTTGGGTGAATGCTATCTGGTCCAGGTGACTTAAAAGGCCTCAGGTTCTTGAGCTTTCTCATTACTTTATCATATGTAATGTCAATAGTTGTCAGTTGTTGGCCTTTACTTCTATCTTCAATTATGGGTATGTTATCAAGTGTCTCTTCAGTGAAAACACTCGCGAAGTAGTCATTCAGTAGGTTCGATTTCTCATGGTCATTATCACAGTAGGTTCCATCTTTATCTCGTAGGTCAGGTATTCTAGATTTCGGCTTAATTTTCGAGTTAACATAATTGTAGAAGATTTTGGGATTCTGCTTTGATTTCCTTGCTATTTCATGTTCAAAGGCTTTATTCAATTGTCTAGTTTGTTTTCTTAGTTTGTTACTTTCTCGTCTTGCGTTTTCATAGTCCTTTCCATCCTTAGTTTTCAGGTATCTCTTCCATGTTGACAGTTTTTTCCTATACTGCTTCAGTGCATTTTTGTCCATATAGATGTTTTTCCTTTTGTCAGATTTTGGGCTAATAAAGGGGACATTACTGTCATCATCATCATGATAGATATGAAGGCCATCCAAAATTTTTCATAGGTACCATTCACTGTGTCAGGTATCAGATCGGGGTGTCTCAGATCTCATGAATTTGATTATCATACAGACACGAAAAGAGTTCATCCACCTCCCACTCACTTTATAAGATTATAAGATTATAAGTGAATTACGATTTATAGGCATGCTTGCCTGTTAATCGATCATTGCAAGGACCTCATTGTCCTTAGATTGTTGCATAAAAAGTTAAAATTCAAAACTAAGTAGTCTTGCAGAAGAAGAACAACTACCTATGTACATAGCCATAATCAATGTTGTGGTCTAATTTCATTGGATGATCCATCCAGTGTTTGTCTAGCCTGTTTTTGAAAGTGTTGGTATTATCAGCCCTAATTACGAATTCAGGGAGTGCATTCCATTGTCTTATCACTCGCTGGCTGAAGGTGTTTTGTCTGTTTGTCGTTGAGCAGTGGAATTTTCTGAGCATCTGTGTGTTTGCTCTTCTTAGTGTTGGTCCTGTGTTTCTATTCTGTTGCATTGGGAATATGTCTAGGCTATTCACATCATATAAGTTGTTCATATACTTGAAAGTTTCTATTATGTCGCCTCTAAGTCTCCTATAGGCTAGGGTTGTTAGATCTAAAGTTCTGAGCCTTTCTGAATACGATAATTCTCTCAGGGATGGGATAATACGTGTAGCTCTTCTTTGCACATTTTCAATAAGTTCTATGTTTTTCTTGGTGAATGGATTCCAGACTGAGTTTGCAAATTCTAGTTTTGGTCTTATAAGTCCATTGAAGAGAAGCTTAAAAGATTCAAGGTCCCAGTAAACGTATGTCCTCTTGATCATCCCTACAGCTTGGTTGGCTTTGTTCACTATTTTACTGATGTGTTGGTTAAAATTCAGGTTAGAGTCTATAAAGACCCCCAAGTCTCTTTCACAGGTAGAGTTGTTTAGGGGGATTTCTTCTCCTGTGTTTATGTCTTTCATATTGTAACTCATGGCCTTGTTGGTTCTGCCTATGTGTAAAACTGAACATTTTTGTGCATTGAACTTTAGGTTCCACTTTTTGGCCCAGTCCTGGATTGAGTCAAGGTCGTGTTGGAGCATATTTCTATCTGCTGGATCCTTCACTATCCTGTATAGTTTGGTGTCGTCGGCAAATAGAGTGATATTGCTATGTTTTATTGTGTCTGGCATGTCGTTTACGTAGAGGACATAGAGAAGCGGCCCGAGCACACTTCCCTGAGCTATACCAGAGCCTACGTGGGTCCACGGGGCTGCTTTACCATTCAGAACTACCCTCTGTTGTCTTTCTGTTACAAAGGAGGACATCCACTTAAGAGCTTTGCCTCTTATTCCTAATGTTTTAAGCTTGGAGAGCAGGCGCTGATGGGGCACGGAATCAAACGCTTTCGCGTAATCCATATATATTGCATCTACAGCGCCCCCTGTGTCGATGATCTTAGACCAGTTCTCAAGCATGGCTAGTAGATTAGTTGAGCAGGATCTATTGGGAAGGAATCCATGTTGTGTAGTTGTTAGTAGCTTGTTGCTCTGTAGATGTTGGAGTAGTTGTGGGCGTATTATGTTCTCGAGAATTTTGCATACCGTGCTGGTAAGGCTAACTGGGCGGTAGTTTGTAGGGGAGGATCTGGTGCCTTTCTTGAATATGGGTGTGATATTGGCTCTTCTCCAGTCCATAGGCAAGTAACCTTCGTCGACTGACTTGGTGAAGAGGAGGTAGATGGGTTGGGTTAGTACATCAGCTAATTCCTTCAGGATTCGTCCGCTTATGTTATCAGGCCCTGGTGATTTGTTGGTTTTAGTTGTTTCTAGTTGTAGTTTTACATCTTCTTCTGACACTGTCCATTCATCTATGTAGGATCCAATATATATGAAGTCCATTGACGGTATGTTCTCTACGTCCTCGATGGTAAATACTCCAGAGAAAAAATCATTTAGTATATTAGCCTTCTGCTCATCTGAATCTGTCTTAGTGCCATCACCTTTATCTAAGTCTGGTATTCCATTCCTTGATTTTGTCTGATGATTTGCATATTTCCAGAAGAGCTTTGGGTTAGATTTGGCAGCTTTGGCTATCTTCTTCTCATACTTCCGTATTGATTTCCTTATTTCAGATTTTGCTTGTTTGCTTGCTATTTTGTATGTCATTTTGTCATGCTCTGTTAGTGTTCCATATTTGGATTTACGTTTCATTTTATTGAAGGCTCTTCTTTTTGTTCTAATTGATTTAAGACAGTCACTGTTCATCCAGGGTGATTTTCTTTTGTTTGGGATAATTGTAGGTATGTTTTTTTCAGATGTTTCTTCTAATTTATTTTTGAAGATGTTCCAGCATTCCTCTGTGTTTTTCTCTTGGAAGAGAAGTTTCCAGTCTATATTGAGATCTTCTTTCATTGCTGTAAAGTTGGCTTTGTCTATGAGCTGTATTGGTTTGGTGGGTGGAATGTATTTTACCCCGCAGTTCATCTCCATGGTCAGTATGCAATGATCACTCTTTCCAATAGGAGAGGCTGTTTTGTTGTTGTATATTGTGTCTTCTTCGTTTGTGATTATAAGGTCGAGTAGGCTTGGTACTTGTCCATCTCTGAATCTTGTTGGAGTCAGTTGATGTTGTATTAGGTAGTTGTCATCTATTTCATCAATGAGGCGTTGGGCGGTGTCATGGTTCGTTCCTGGTTTTATCATTTTTAGTTCCCAGTCAATTGTTGGTAGGTTAAAATCACCTAATATCAGTAGGTATCTTGGATTCTGACTGCATATTGTACTTATCTGACCTAGTAGATTGGTGGAGTTGTCCTGTGTACTATTTGGGCTTCTATATAGACACCCTATTGTGGCTTTGTTCCTATCCGATCCAATGCTTATCCATATTGCTTCGTTGCTTTTGTCTTGTACTTGGATTTGGGAACATTGTAGATTTGATTTTACATAGATGGCAGTGCCTCTTGTATTTTCAGTAGTTATATTGTGGTAGCATTCATATGAATCGATTTTGATTTCACATTCCATCAAGGGGTCTCTTAAATTCTTTGGTTTAATTTCTGTGAGAGCTATTACATCCGGCTCTTCTGTGTCTACTACTAATTTGAGCTCATTTTTCTTGTTCATTAGTGAGTCACAATTAGTGTACAATACTTTAAGACTAGGTTTACTAGAGATTTCATTTTCTTGTCTTGTATTTTTTATCCTATTTACAGGCGGGTCATTTACATTATTTACATTATCTACACTATGTACAGTTTTGTTGTCTAGTCAATGTTGATGGTTTATTGGCTCTTCATACGTTGACACTGGTGGATGTCTAGGGTTGTCTTCCCTTCTATTGTTGTTGTGGGTTGGCTGCTCACTGGTATTGAATGTACCTGGTTTTGGTGTACTGCTCCGTTGTTTTGAGGTTTGAGTTGCTGGTTCATGGTAGCTTGATTGTGATATAATCTCTGCTCTGCTTGGGTTAGAGTATTTTGGTGATTGACCCTTTTGTGTGGTTACAGTGGGGTGATATATGTCACTTTCAAGGGATTTCTTATTTTCAAGTCTGCTTCTCAGGTCTGAGGTTTGCTTCGAATTAGGGAGGAGGTAAGTGGCCCTTTCCATCTCAGTATCAGAATCTAAGTTGTCGTTTTCATCACTCGAGATAAGGTCTTCTGTTGTGTCAATTGGAAATGTATTTTCACGTCTGGGGTGTGGCCTTTGTGTCGTTCTACGTGCAGTTTGTGGCTTTCTGATGATTTTTCCATCTCTTATGATCAAGTTGAATTCTCCATTTTCCAACCTTTGTTTTCTTTCCTGTCTAAGGTTGTAGGCTGTTTGTCTTTCGCATGGGGTCATATCAGCTTGTATATAAGTTCTTCCCCATCTTCCACTCTTCCTGAGTTTGGGCGCCGCCTTGAGTACATCGTTTCTACTGGTTGAATTTTCAAAGATGACTAGAAGTGGCCTGTTTCTATCACTGTTTCGTGCTCCAAGTCTTGTTGTTTTTGCGATTCTAACGTCTTCTATTGATAGTTGGTATTCGATGATGTCACTTACAAGTTGGTAGTCAGCCAATTGTCTTTGCCTCGGTGTGTCTAGTTCACTCTCTGGAACATTTGTCATCACTAGGTTGTTTTTTCTGCGTTCTCTCTCTTGGAGTTCATCTAGTATTGTTGGACTATCCTGAGATTTAGTGACTAGGGTTTTCATTTCTACTATGTTGTTTTGGATTTCAGCCATTTTGCTGTCTTTGGAATCGTCGTGTATGCTATTTCTGACTTGCGAACTTACTTCCTCTATTTTCTCAGTTATGTAGCTCATATTCTGTTTTAGTGCTCTTGTGTTTCTATCGATTTTAGAGTCAATGTCAACACTGTTTAGCTTAGTACATAGTTCCTTAAGTTTTTCATGGAGATTGTCAACTTTTGACTGTGTGTCAGCATTGAGTTTGGAAGATTTCCGGTCCCATATATTTAGTTTCTCGTCAATCTGGGCCTTGGTCAGGTACATCATTTTTTTGCAGGATTCATCGATTTTCATCAAGATCATGGACTTAAGAGAATCTAGGTCTTCACCATCATTCCCCTGAGTAGAGAGTTTGTTTTTAACTTTGGCCTCACAAGTACGGCAATACCAGTGCAAGTCTTGGTAGCTGTGGAGTGCTTTCCACATTGGTTTGGTCACATTATGGCATTTCAAACATCCCCATTTTCTGCAATATTCACATTCAAGTATACTAGGGGTTTTCTGGCAGTATTCACATTTGCTTGTTTTGTTTTCTGTTTCCTTATGTTTAGTACCATCTTGTGAAGCCTGGTTGTTTTCTCTCAGTGGTTCTCTGTGGTCAGAGTTTTGGCTGTCATAAAAGGGGAGATCTTGTTCCTGATCTAACTTTTCTGTGCTTTCAGGAGCTGAGGTATTGCTTGCACTATGTATTAGGTAGAAAAAACAGGCTTGTATCTTAGTAAATCTAAGCCTCTACTCTAATTCGTCCTTTTACAGTGATATCTGTAATATCCACAACGAGCGTCTCATTATTTTAGAATTTTATTTTGATAATTACGATTACCAATCTCAATTCTAGTATTTAGATATACATGTATCTGTGGTGACGCTATGAATTTATTGTAGTAGTCTCGGTATATTTTGCATAGTATATCGTTTAATATATGCTTTTTGATTTCTAAAAAAATTGTTGTGATTTTTCCCCCAAAATTCACATCCAAGAAATGATCATTTGAGTAATCCGGCCCTTAAAAAATCAAAACTTTGTAGGTTTGTAATTAATAAAATTGAAAAAAACAAATAAGTGTGAGAATGTTAAATTAAGTGTGTAATTTAATTAAATAGTATTAATTAATAACTGCTGTGATTTGATTGGTCGACTGCAGAGACATCTTTCAAGTAAGCAAGATGGCGATTGCAGATGTTGATTTGTCGTGACCGTGGGTTTGTGGGTTACTCTGTAAAAGCCAGCTGGACACAAACCCTAGAGATTGACAGCTATTAACAACCATTGTTTCGTCAATAAGATATTTATATACATAATCTGAGAATTTAAGAGACGATCATTGGACATTATGGTGAGATTGAGCTGTTAGAGAAGAGATTTGGATGTTTACGAAGTGAGCCTGTATTTTCTTTCATTATATAGTGAGTGTGTGGGGGGGGTTTAAATCTTCTTCCTGGGCCTGTGGATTATCACATTTTTGACTTACATAAGGTCTCAAATATTCAGTCCTTGTGTAAGTCTGCCCTGTCAACCCTCAAGCATTAGGCGTGATCGTCACGCATTTGCTGGAAAAAATGAAATCACGCATCAAGTTTGCGTTTTCGAAATATTTTGCACCTACCTTCATGAATGCAATTGCGCAAAAAGTGAAATTTGTTTGACAAAATTTGATCTTTCATGTCATATCCTTCAAGTAAGTTGAAGTTATCATATTTGAAATTGTCAGTAGTTTTCCTGAGTATTCATGTGGTGATCAGATAGGACCATTTCCCCTACATGTGGGCTATATATTATCATCTATTACATACTGAAGTCAATGGGAAAGTTCGGGGGCTTCATTGAGGAGAACTCAGGCATATTTCACATCATAGTGACATAACCTCTAAATATTTAAAAAGATGATTGTGTTCCATGCAAACCCAAATACTTACATGTGGTGTTTTGTTTCATCCCAAAGTGATGTGGTTGAACATGTTAATTGAATGACATTGATTTGCAATGTACATGTACAATGTACAGGGTGTCCAAAAAAACAGGACCATAAGAAAGTTGAATTACTGGGTCAATTTTGCATATTTTGCCTTGAAATTTCAGAATTATTTAGTTCATTCAATGTGAATTTTGTTCTGAAAGTTTGATGATAATCTGTTCATTGTGTCGAAAACTACAGTCCTTTACAAAACATGCTCAAAGTGGGTACTTCTCCTCTCTATGCACAAACGAATCCTGCGAACAAAGTTGTTAATGACCCTTACCTATACACATTAATGTGGATGGTAAATATTGGGGTAGTTATTGCCCTCTTAAGATTGTTAGGGGCCTGTCAGTATACACATTGGCTTTGAGAAATCCTCAAAGATAAAAATTTGGGGGATTTAGATCAGGCAAATGAGCTGCCCATATGGTTTGCGTTCTGCAACTGATGAGCTGACCACCAAAGCATTGCTTAAACCATTTCAGCATATCATTTGCAGCGTTGGGGTGGTGTTGGCTTGTTGAAACCACTGCTTAATTATCTCCTTAGATGTCCCTTCTGGTGCTTAGTGACCTCCAAAACTTGGTGAGAACTTACTGGTCCTTGTTCATGGTGATAGCGAGTCCCCAGTCACCTTCGAACCAAAAGGGACTGATGATTCCATGTTTCCTCATTGCCACCCAGGGAGAGCATTGTTCAGAATGCAATGGATGCTGTAGCACTTCATCAGGAGGATGTAAGCCCCAGTAGCAATTGTTCTTGGAACCAACTTGTCCATTCAGAAAGACATGCGTGTAGGAGGATCATCAACAGCTTTGTTCGCCGGATTGAATTGTGCATAGAGATGAGATTTGCACATTTGGGGCATGTTTTGTAAGGAGCTGTAGTTTTTGACTCAATTGGTAGATTATTATCAAACTTTCACAACAAAATTCACATTGAATGAACTAAATATTTCTGAAATTTCAAGGCTAAATATGCAAAATTGACCGAGTTATTCAACTTTCTTACGGTCCTGTTTTTTTTGGACACCCTGTATATTGCAATTGATGCAATATATGCACAGTTGCTTATCAGGAGTATTGTTATATTTTATAATTTCAGGTTGTGACAAAATATTCGATCCCAAGACATCAGCTGCAACACATCTGATAAGCAAAAACACACTTTAACCAAGATGAAGAATTAAAGATGCTACAGCTTACAACAATTTTACGCTAGCCTTTACCATTTAGTATATTTGACAGAAATTTTACTAACCAGTGTACTTGACAGTATTTGACAGAAATTTTAATTATCCACGCACAGAAGATTGGATTTGCAATACTCTTTTTATTACTAAATTATCTAATGCTATGGGAATCTCAGGCCTACTCCCATTCTTGAAGAATGCCTCTAAACAAGCCAACATCAAAGAGTACAAAGGATGTACTGTTGCCATAGATACATACTGTTGGCTGCACAAAGGTGCTTTCGCCTGTGCAGAGAAACTGGGAAAGGGAGAAAAAACAGACACGTAATTGTTATTTACTTTATTATTGTAAATAAATAAAGTATAGACTAAAGTTTTTAAATTCAAATTAATAACAAATAAGTGTTACGTAGTGTTTATATTTTTGGAGTGTGCTGCTTGAAGAAAAGGCTCAATAAAATATTTATAACATTTACATTTATTTTGACAAAATAGATACTAGTCTACTCTTGAACATATATCCATTAAACTGTTTGAATGAACCATCATTTGGTCAAATAGATTGAAGTAGCATTAAAATTGACATTCACCATAATTCTTATTAAGGTATGTTTGGTATGTGATGAAATTTGTCAACAATCTGCTGAGCTGGGACATCAAGCCTATCATGGTGTTTGATGGTTGCCATCTGCCCTCAAAGAAAGGAGTAGAAAAGAGCAGACGAGAGTAAGCATTCAGTCATGTTGAAAATTATCAAGAGTACATTACTATTATAATATTAGGTCCACCCGTATAGGTCAGCGATAGCACAGGTACCTCTTACGCAATAGGTCCTGGATTCGATCCCTGGTTTAGGCAAAACTTAATTTGCTTGTTTGCGTAAAGTCAATAATCCAAATTATTAATTAAAAACAAACTGTACAGTTTCATAATGTTTAAATTGTCATTTTAATGAAATGTAGCTGCAGCTTAAATATAAAACTTTAAGATTATCTACTATTTGTTTTCAGACGTCGAGAGCTTTACAGAAAGAAGGCAGCCCAGTACTTAAGAGAGGGCAAGAAATCTGAGGCCAGAGATTGCTTTACAAAATGTATTGATATTACTCCATTGATGGCCTTGGAGGTCATGCAGGTAATTAATAAAACTCCTTTGTTACACATGACTCAAAACTGAAGATTAGATTATTTTTAATTGAAATTTTTCTTTCACTGAGAAAGTAGGTTATTTGAATAATACAAATGAAATGTTCACATTGATAAATTAAATCAAATTGATTTATTCTTAATATAGGCATGCAGGGCAAAGGGAGTTGACTGTATTGTGGCCCCATATGAGGCAGATTCCCAACTTGCCTACCTTAGCAAGACAGGTATTGCTCAGGTGATCATTACAGAGGACTCAGATCTTGTGCTATTTGGATGTAAGAAGGCAAGTAAATGTTCTTCTATACTCAATTTTCTAGTATACTGAATCACCATATAGGCACACTACCTTCGGACTATTACACATGAATTTTCAGTTTTGAGTTTGCCAAGATCTCAGGAAGCTCAAATGGATCTTTCATGGAGTAATATAGGAGTTTGTGAAATGAATGCTTGCTGTTAATCAGAATGTGTTGTCATGATTTTCTGTTTTTTACATGATGAGATATAAACATTCTGCAGTTCACAAGATTTGTCACCTTATTGACCACATAGCTAACGACATCACCAACATCCCCTGAACACAGGGGTCCAGACATCATCCGCTGTGCTCCTACTTTCTTTCTGAATTAGCCGATCACAGGAGGGATGAAGGAACATGATGCCTAGACACCTGAGTTTGGAAGATGCGTTACCAAAACATTTGGTTTCACTATGTTACTTTGACCTGGCATATAATTCAATACCATTGCATATGCTTAAATGGCCGATCATATAATGTTGTAGGTGATGTTCAAAATGGCATATAATTCAATACCATTGCATATGCTTAAATGGCCGATCATATAATGTTGTAGGTGATGTTCAAAATGGCATATAATTCAATACCATTGCATATGCTTAAATGGCCGATCATATAATGTTGTAGGTGATGTTCAAAATGGCATATAATTCAATAGTCAATACCATTGCATATGCTTAAATGGCCGATCATATAATGTTGTAGGTGATGTTCAAGATGGATATAGCAGGCAATGGTATTCTAATTGAGAGAATGCATCTGAACAAGGCCACCCAGATACAGCAGGACTACTTCACATTTGACAAGTTCCGCTACATGTGTATCCTATCTGGGTGTGACTACCTCCCTAGTTTACCTGGCATAGGACTCGGCAAGGCATGTAAACTCTTTAAGATCACAAGACAAGCTGATATGACTATGGTAAGTCTACAATATGGATTGAAAAACCAACGATAGCAATCCCATGTTTTTGGGGTGTTTTAGTGGTGTTACCATAATGGAGAAGTATAGGGTTCAGAATTCTAGTGTGAATTCTAGGGGATATTGGTAAAGATATTAAATTTAAATTCCCCTTCTAGGGTTGTGGGAATTAATAATAGGAACATTTGGTCAAGAGGTCCATTTTATTTCAATTTATTAAAAGTAAACAAATATATTTCAATCTTTTTTCAAGGTTATTCGTAAACTACCCACTACATTAAAGATGTCACAGTTGATTGTACCCCAGGATTACATTGATGCATTTTTCCGTGCGAACAACACATTCCTGTATCAGCTTGTGTTTGATCCCCTGGAAAGACGACTGAGGCCCCTCAATGACTACCCCCCAGATATAAACAGGGCAGACCTGGACTATGCTGGACCGTATCCTTGCAACAATTCAAGCAAGAATATAATCAGAAGAAAATATTTATTTTGATTCCTTTTGATTATTTCTTCATTAATAATCCTATTTATAAGTAACATATTCATTAATGAGTGAAAAAAGCAGTTATTAATGACTGCATTATTTAACTCCTTTTGGGTCACCCTATATAATACTACAATTGGATTTTATTAGTCAGTGAATTAAGCAAGTATTTATTCATTACTATATAAATTCATTACTGCATTATTTGATATGTTGGATCAGCATACATTAACATATAGTACTACGTTGTATAAAACAGTTCAATGTCGATGTGAATTACAAATATTCAATCCTGAAGCGAATACTACAATTTATATAAATGTCCATCTTTCCCTAATATACTTCCCACAGTCTGAATGTACAAAATGGAATTTACAAACTGAAAATGAAGATATATCATGGTCGCTTTTGTAATCATGTTATCCAGACATTAACCAAAGATAAAGTGAGTAACCCTTCAGTGATATAATGAATGTTTATATAAATGTAGGGTATTAGATTTTTGAATCATACAGTCCTTAACTCTTGAAGATATATCCCAATGGAGAAAGCCTACCAGATTGCACTTGGAAACATTAACGTGAACAATGGACAGATAATTGGTGACTTCGATCCTGACACTTACCAGGTACTACATTCATTATTTTACAACTACTATACAATGATTGCCATGTATATAGTTATGGGCTAATTCCTCATTGTCTCTCACATTGCCTTTAAGACTTTCAATGAGTTTAGATTTGATGAAAACTCTTTTGATTGGTTTTGAATTTTTATGTCACCACCAAAAAGTGGTGACATATTGTTATGGTCTCCGTTTTTTATGTTTTGGTTGGCATCTGTTACAAATGGCAGGTAGTGACATTTTGCATATTAATGCCATGTAATTGATTTTGCAATCTTTGTGCAGTTGCTGACTCATAGTTGAGTTTTGAAGTCCCCTTGTCAAGCAACACTTGTTGACTAGGTATCTGACAGTACATTGAGGTATATGCTGTACTTTGGTACAATTGGCCTTGGTCAGTACATTTTAGGTCTAAGTCTGTGCATTCTGAAGAATATTTTACTAAGGGGTGAAGGGAACATATGGCATTTGTGTCAAAATATTCAGTTCAGTTCACATTGTTATTATAGTGTTTCACAACCCAAAGTTGGTGTTTAATTAAACCAAATTGAAAAGAATCTTGAAAATATATTATCAATTTGTAGGTTTAGCTTCAATTTCTATACAAACTTATACATTTAAAAGGTTGAATTAATGTAATAGTTCAAACCAGAAAAGCAAAAAGTTCATAGCAAAAACTGTACAAATGTCAAAGGTTGGCTATTGGTCAAATTGGCATACATGCTCTTAAAAGTAATTTCTAAAATAATGTCATTATCACTATCACATTAAGTTTTGAAATTTTAGTCATATTCATGTTCAGCATTTGGATTCATTTTCTCCTTTTCTGGAATCATAGCATCTTGATCATTATATTTCTTACGCTTGAAGAAGCCACATTTCCAGAAAAAAATAACAAGCAAGACAAGAAGGAGGATTCCTACGATAACGGCAACAATGATAATCCAAATCTCGACAGTTTTTGGTTTAGGTTTTTCATTTAATGTACCTACATATGTCGATACTTGGATAATATCCAAGGAATATTCCATTGGTTTGATCTTGTATGGCATTTTAACAACTTGGGCTAATGCCTCTGATACAATGACCATACTCTGTTGTCGCTTCTTAGTGAACGAATCTAACCATAATCTGCTGCGGATTTCAATCAGAGCGATATCATCATTTTTCATATCATGCACGTCACATATTATCAGTGTGCACCAATTTGATGTACATTGCATTCTGTTCACTGATCCATGATCAACGTCCCTACGCCGTCTAGTGTAACTGTGGAGGTCGTCTGTCAGCTGATTGGATGATTCAACCTCACCATGTGGTAAAAGTATGATATTGTCAGGGTTCACCATATCTGTTGTGCATGACCCACTGCCTCTTATAATCTGAGGTATTTCTGTTAGATAAAACAAATTGTCACCATTTTCAAACTGGCTCGGCCAAAGAATTTCCACTTCTGCTGCTGCAATTGAACTTGGTCCAAGATTTCGTACTTCATATAAATGAATTACTTCAGGTCCGATTTCTGTGTCTGTTGTTTTGTTTAGGTTGGTTATCTGTGATGCGTTATATAGAAATTGTTCTGGTTTCGATACTCCATTAAGTGTGATTTTTGCACTAACTGTTAAAGGGATATCAAGGTAGTGAGTGTTGTCGGCTAATACAGTGCTGTTTTCAGTGTTTGAACTATTAGCTTTTACAGTAAACCTTAAGACATCTACATTGTCGTTTATGTTACTAGGGGCAACAGTGACAACCAGAGACACCTTTTGGTAACTGGGGAGTGGATTGCCGATGTCACAAGACACTAAGTTCTCATTTACATTAGTACAACTAATTGGTCTTGTAGATGAAACATCACTTGTTCGGATATATTTTGTCCCTGATGGTAGTTGTAAAGTTAACTGAGCTTCAAATGCATTTTCTCCTTTGTTCTCGACAGCAATATGGATCCGTATTGGAGTATTATCGTCCAGGATATGCTGCTGAGTTGACCCTTTGATATTAACACTTAGGTCTGGTTGGCAAATGTCATCATCACCACAGTTTGTCAATATTTTTGCTGAACCTCTGTGAGTTTTCTCCATGTCTTCAATTATAGGGATCAATTTACCTCTTTGGATGTATACATCTTCCTTGAGGTTATGCCTAACATCTACAGAAAGAGGAGTTATTTTATCTCGTATGTTATTCTTAATGTATGCATTCATGGTGTCACACCATTTTTCAGATTTGAATAATCGGACCATTTGACTTTCTTTATGTTGAGATCCACTTTGTAGGAAGAACATGCGAGGAGATATCACACTCTCAGGGTCAAGTGTCCATTCAACATTGATTTCAATGTATTGGGGAACTTCAAGGCCATCATAAGTTAAACATGTCTTAATTGCAATACATGTAACTGAACGTCCATTCGAAAGAATACATGGTCTGTTGTCTAGATTAATCATACCTGGCTCTATGTTGATGTCTGTACTGATACGAATAATCGGACGTGACTTTAACAGCACAGCGTGGCTACTAGCATACGCACCTACAAGGACGTCGGGATATGAATTACCATCCATATCGTAGCCTCCTGCAATCGACCAACCAAATGTCTTGATGCCAGAGTCAATATCGGCTGCATAGACAACTTGGGAATATTGCGTTTGGATGCCTTTACTAGAGCCATGGTAAAAATAAACAGCCCCATTTCCATCATTGCCCCCATATGGTGCCCCAATTGCTAAGTCTTTAAAATTGTCATTGTTGATATCCTTTATAGCAGCTACTGAAGTGCCAAATCTCGATTTGCTCCTTAAACCGACTAAGGTGTCTCTATTTTCAGCATTCATTTGATTTGTGCTAGTCTGATAATATACATAGACACATCCCATTTCTTCCTTTTGTCCAAATTCTTCTGTGTACAATGGAGCTCCGATTGCTATATCATCCAGGTTATCCCCATTGAAATCACTGACTGCTAGCGCTGCACCAAAGTACGACCCTATCTGATCACCTGTTATATTTGTTAGTCTATCCAGGTCCTGATCAAAAATAACAATCTCTCCCTTTAGTTTGCCTCCCCTTGGGATCCCAGCAACATATTCTTTGGCATTATTTCCAGTAAATTGACCAGTGGCGATAGAGTATCCCATATATGTGTTGTCTTCGGAAGGGTCTCGCTCTGGAGTCTCTATGATATCCCCCGACAGAAAAAGGCTCTGAGAGATAACCTGACCTTGCCAGTAGAAACTCCCAACAGCTCCTATGATAAGACGAGACTCGTCTTGCGATATAATTGCCGCTAACCCAGCCTGACACGAGCCTTGTCTCCAGTAGCCATGGTTATTATTTCGACATGGGGAATATTCATTCATGCTTGTCATCGAGCTAGTTGTTGTGAAACATGTTCCAATTGGTTCCCTCTCACGAAATATACCTCCAGCATATAAATACCTTATATACTTTGGAGCGCATGCTACTATCTTCCCGTTTTTGCCACTACTAGTCACAGTTGCACCGAACCATTGGTTTGACTTATCATCAATCTCAATGTAACTCTGATCGATGTATTCAATATTGTTTCCTTTCAAGTCAAAAGGTATTTCCTGACAGTCGTTCTTAGTGTGTATGCTACAGCGAAGTACAGCCCCGCCTTTACTAATCCCAGATTGCCCTGTTTGCGTCAGAGGAGCACCTATCAATAGCCAATTGTAATTGCCATCAATATGTTGAGCGACGGAATATCCAAAATAACTATCTCTCTGTGGACCTTCATGGATGACAGGTCTTTGGAGATCAATGTTAAACCCAGTGACGCAAAATAATTCACTACAAATGTAGCATATCATCCATATATGATGCAGCCTATTCATTTTGAAGTGTTCTGTTTGATTAAATTCTATGCTTTTTTGTGTTTTTTTTTGTTGTTAACTTTTAATCAATTTTTTAAATATTCACCTGTTCTCTTGAATATACAGGTTTTAACTGTACTTTCTTTATTAAACAATTTCCTATATATATGTCTCATGCAAAATGTCATCGGGACCAGATGTTTTGAATAGTGTATACCATGTAATTATTTTAATATGAAAATTGTAAGAAACCCAAATTTTCAATGTCATTGAAAGGAGACTACAGAGTTGAGTATAGAGATGAAATAGGTATTTATTTAATGGGTTATCAAATAATAAAGATATATGTATTGCCAAGTTAGACATGCCAATACAAACACAGCCAAATTCTTTTATGTTGTATTTTTGGGATAATATTGTTGAACGTTTAAATCTAAGGTATGTGTTAATGATGGTGTCATTTGTTAACATCTGTATTGTACAAATGTTAACATTTCTCAGAGGACTACTCGAGTTAATAAAAGAAAGTACTCATGTGGAGAAAAGTTGATTTTTCAATCTCTTATCTCTGATCTCCACAGGGTGTGCATTTAAACCACAAGCATTAAGTGTATCCTGGCTAGATAAATGCATTCATGTAAAGGGATACAGAAAATAAGTGATGAGTTTATACTATATTGCATTGTAATCCAAAGCCCACATGTTTTATATGGACACATGAAATTCAAATATTTTAATATAATACAGGGTGGGACCAAATTAAAGATGCTTATAAAATATTTTTCATATGTGTATAAAGTGGTGAATTTTAAGTTTCTAAAAGGATGATAACAATAAGGGTGCTTGATAATCGGGGGATTGAACAATATAATTTATTCACCTTGTCAAAGATTTGGTGGAAAGTTTGAACAACTTTGGGTCATATTCTAATCTCAACAAATGTTATTAAGATATGATATGTTAATTTCAAAAATATATTTAACGACTTTGTTTCAAGTAGCATTTTGAGGATCACACATGCATCCATTAATAAGCAATGTCCACAGGTCCAGCTGTTTAGTATTTCACAAAAGAAAATCTTTTTTAATTCATGAAATTTAAATAACCGTTGTCAGATTTTGGTCATGTTTTATAGGCATATACATTTGGTTGTGCTCTCAAGGAAATTTTCAAAATTATGAAATATTTCAGAGTAACTTGAATTTTTCTGCAATAAGTCTTTTACATTCTTGAAATCAGATTTAAAAAAATTGTACAGTTGAAATTCTTGAAAAGCTTGCGTCAAACATCATCTTTTGGAAATTTTCACTATTTTTGCTAATTTGATGTGAAAAATCTTACTTACCATATGCTTTGACATATAATTTTAGCCACCAAAGCGAAGTGACAGCTGGACCTCACGTACTGACACCCCATTACATAAACTAAGCATATGGCACCCAAACTATCGTAAGATGGCTGACATGGCACAGGTAAACCAGACTGTGGTAGAGGTAGACCCCCCTACTACTAGGGGTAAAGAAACAACTATTTCAACTCTTCCTGGTCTGAAGAAATTTAGCCCTAGAAAAAGACCAAGAGCCCCAGGTATTTTAATTCTTATATTTTAATATTGGTATTTTAATATGTGAGCATTTCAAGTAATCATTGTTTGTCAAATAATCGAGTCTAATTTTGAATCATTGCTCAAATCACATTATATTGATTATATAGAGGAAGGATGTTGAAGTAGATGTAATCTATTCATTATGAACTACCTACACCTAAATATATTTTATTGAACTTTGAATGGTGCTTGTTCAAAAGTACGCTAAATTCAATAGCCTACCTTTGTTTCAGGACATTTGAAACATACAGTGAACAAAAGTCAGTTAGTTTGGTCATATATGGGCTTTTGACTGATTGATTTTGATTGCCCAAATTTTTGAAAGATTTTAAGATGTAGTTTTAGTCACCTCAAATTTATATATCGAGATTATCCTATGTGCAAGTTAAACATCATAATGTGTGTACTTTGTAGACACCCCGGAGGTTGACCCTAGCAGTAAATCTGAACCTGAGCTAATGGACCTCTACACCACCATAACTGATGAAAATGACATCTTCAACCCAAAGAAGAAGCTGAAAATAACTCCAGCATTCCACGAGTTCAAACCTGAAAACAAAGCTTACGAAGCTAACGATTATTTCTCCAAGAACAAAGTGGGTTCTGAATGGGCAAAACCTAATAAACCCAACACTGATAGTGATAATGACAGTGATGATAACGATACACCTAAGAGACAAAGCGTGGATGATAAACTCAGTCTTGCTTATATGGAGAAGACGACTGCCCATCTACCTTCATTACCAGACACTGCTGAAATACCAACAAAATTAGAGGAAAAACTCAAGACACCTCCTGGACTGAATAAATTTGCAGTATCTACTGGAGGAAAGAAGAAGTTTAATCTGAGTGCTACAAAGCTAATGCCTGAGACGAAGGCAGTGAAAAGCAGGTGAGAGGAAGTATTTGTAAAAGTATGGTCTAGAACATATTCTCGAGAAAAATTTGGCAACTTGGTAATTCAAATTGCATTATGTTGGTGAATAATTGAGAGATTTAAAATTGAGGCATTTTCTCCTATAAATGTATGTTGAACTTTCGTGACTTGCTCCATCTGATAGTTGACTTGATTACTGATGGTCTTCATGAGCTTTATTTCTTTATATACTTTGCATTTCTGATTTCAGATTTTTCACAAGTACAAATAAGTTTGCAGTAAAAAAAGATCCAGAAGCGCAGCCAATCACAAGCTTCTTTGACACACCTCAACCAATCATAAAACCTGCAAATCAATCAATAATCAATGCACCAAAAACTACAACAGTAAATGAAAAGAAAAGTGAACCAGAGCTGAATGTAAATGATCATAAAACAAATGAAGTTTTGAAACCAGACACTGACAGTGCTGAATCGAATAATACTACCTCTGCACATAGACTATTTTCATGGGCAACAAAATTCGAGAGTAAATACGCAAAATCTGACAGTGAATCGATTGATAAAAACCGTCTTTCTCAGGATAAAAACCAATATAAACCTGTCGTGCCATCTAAAAATACAGAAAATGCAAGTCAAAAATCTGAATCCAGTTTAAAATCAGAAGATGCCGGTTCAATAGATACCAATGAATTGTCTCAATATAGTAATGGATATAGCATCGATACTTCACAGATCTCAATGAGTCAGATACTTGGCAGCCAGTCCCTTGGCTCTGAAACTGAGGAGACTCCAACTCCAGCAGGTGAGTTTGTTTTGAAATTGTAACTTTGTTGTTTCTAATGTCTGTTCCCTCATTTCGATTTTTTTGATGGTCTTTATTTGTGATTTCAACAATATTGAACTTAGAGGGAAAATCAGAGATAGCAAAAATGTTGTCTCAATTTTAGAATCTTTTGATCTCATTCTGTGCTTTTGCCTATTTAAAAAAATCAAAAAATTTACATGTTATACTACTAGTATTATTCCAGGGAAACCTTCGATTTAGACATTTTACATTAAAATTGTAAAACGATGCAGTGAACCGAGCAAAAAGTAACTGGAAGTCAAATATATATATTTTTGAACTTCACTGTTCTCTTCTAGATTTTAGAATTTCTTCAAAGGATTGGTATCGATGTGGTGAACTGAATTCAACAATGTTTTTCTCTTATACCAATTATTGAAAACATTTTGTAAAAAAAAAAAGATAATAAAATTTTTAGAAATTTTGGATGACTGGTTTAAGAGAAACGTGTGTAAAAAAAGTTCACCATATCGATACCAATCCTTTGATGATCTTACAATTGCTACAGAAATATTATCATTTACCTTTTCTAATTAAAATTCCAGACATCGATTCAGGTAACTTCACAATGTCTGAAGGTTTAGCATCTACAGAAGTTGAAGAGCCACCACTGTTGCCTTCAATGGATCCTGATGGAGATGCTGCTATACATGCAAACAGTCCTCCATTGCCTCCCTTAAAGTCATCTCCATCCAGTCAGGTAAATGAGATATAAACTTTAACCTTTATATCTGAACACCTCTCATAATCTCTCTAATCTGAACACCTCTCAATGTGAACACTTTTTTCCGGTCCCATGTTTTTAATCCGTTAGACTTCCATGTTGAAAACTTGAAATGTGAACAGCTTCCAACCTGAACACTTTTAATCAGTCCAAGTGATGTTGAGATTACATCCAAGGCAGACTGTCACCTAATTTATTCCATATTTTGTAAAGTTCATCATCCTGAGCATTCTAATTTAAACAAATAATTGTTCAGTTGAAAATTTTGATTCATTGTGATGTATGATACTTTCAATAAACAGGTAACATTATTTGAAATCCAATATTGTTCATTTTCAGGAAAATTCCAAGAGTTTGAGATCCCCACCTGGTGTTAACTCCACCCCTATATCTGCTAAATCAGGTCAGTACATGTATTCAGATGTAGGGCTATTTTAAGGCTCTCATGTTGTAAAACCTAATATAATATACTATACTGTGAAACCTGTATATCCTAACACCTCTCTAATCTGAACACCTCCCAATCTGAACACCCTTTCTCAGTGTCAATTTTGTCGTCTTCAATAAACGCACATGTTAAAAAAACTTGAAATATGAACACCTGCTAATCCGAACACTTTATGCTGGTCCCCGAGGCATTCGGATTAAACATGTTTTACTCTAGTTATATATTTGCTAAATCAGGTCAGTGTATGTGCTATACAACTAAATATGTAGTCATATTAAAGGAAGAATATTTGAGGCTAAACAATAATATTAAAATAGAATTTTTACTTTCACAGCCTGATTTTATTTATGTGATTATGTTTCTAATCCAGGTCAGTCCAAGACAATGGGAAGCTGCAGAAGAACAGGATTGGCCAGAACTCAAGGGAAAACACTACATAAGAAAAAATTGAACAATGAAAATGACACCAGTGGCAAACAAAAGAAAATACAAAGTTTCTTCACTCAGTTTACTTATAAAAATACAAGGTATGTGCTAAAGTTCATTGATGATTTGTTGAACAAATATTTTAATATCACCACCACAAATCTCTAACTTTTTTGTGGCTGAAATTGGTGTTCGGAGTTTGGCATCTATGACAAATGGCAGGTGGTGACATTTTGAATGTTAATGCCTTGTTTGGCAAATATTTTAGTGTGTGAGGATTTCTGATTATATAATAGAGAGATTTCGCACCTAGTGAAAGTACAACTTATAACGTATACTTATACTTATAGGTAAACGTACAAGGTGTTTCATAATGTGAGCTTTTCGTCAGGAAAGATCTTCTCGGACTGTAATAAATACAGGTCAAAGGGATGCCATTTGTACTTTCTTGAATTGTAGCATGTTTAGTTGATCCAAATGTGTTTGTCTAGAATAAAATAGGCTCATATATAGTACACATGTTCGTTATGAAACACCCTGTATGTCATATGTTGAGCTACTGAATGGGTCGTTTCCAGGATTTGCTAGAACCTACTGGTTTGATTGGTGTTTCAAATTGATGGTTAAAGTATTTGATTGGATACTGTTCCCACTCAGCCAATTAATTTTAAAAAATGCTTGCGGTCAATTGTTCCACACACATGTAGGCAAATCTTTATACGGAGATCCAACTGTATACGTTATCATCTACGTAAATATACCATTTTGTAAGTTCATTGAACTTATACTGATCATGAAAACATTGAAATAATCAACTTGTTTATGTAATGACTCACTTTAAAGAATCATGACTCCCTTTAAAGTATCGTGTTTATAATACACTACAACTACAGGACACGGGAGCAAGCATTTAATCATAATGTGCACAATCTACACGTGCAGATGACAGTGCATTCACAGTCTCTAGTTGATGGAGCTTTTCTATAACAGAATTAGTTATGTTCCATTAAGTACAATTTAAAATTGATTTTGGTAAATATAATAGTTCGACATGACCCTTTAAACTATACGTATACGTATAAGTTGTACTTTCACTTATGTGCGAAATCTCTCTAATCTTGTGAATTATGTTTTTTATGTGAATATGTGTTAAAAATATAAGGTCTGTTTGAACCATTTATTTAATCAAATTATGTATGAAAGCCGCACTAAATTGATCAGTAATGTTTATTCCACTATTTCCAAAATGGTAACTGAGTTATTTTTTAGTACTAGTAGAGTTATTAATATTATCGGAACTTCATTTCACTTTCAGTTCCAAAACAGACAAGTTGGCACCAGCGAAACGTCAGCCTCTCTCTCCAAATAAGGACAATGCAACACCCGAGGGTGATCCTGTTATTCACAGAACAGGTGCTGACACAGTGCAGAGAAAACTTCTCACTTGATGATAGTCACTTGATACATCTTAAAATAGAAAATTATGTAACACCAGTGCCATATCCTCCATTTGGGAAAAAGGCAATAGTACAGAGAAGTCATTTGAACATGTTTTTGATATGCCTGTCAAAATTGGACCATAAACTAATACTTGAGCAGTGCAACATGGAACTCTGTTATACAAAGCCACATGTTATATAGAGCAGAGGGAGTTCAAGTAGAGATTAATGTTTGATAAAACAAACTGATAGAAGTAATACTTAGAAATATTGTGTGATTAAATAACTAGTAAATGTATATCATATTACATTTTTTGGAAAATGTATCATGCAGTGACTTCTGACAAAAACAGATACCTCATTGGGGGCTCTATCTTTAACCACTATTATACTGTATGGCAAAGGCCATGGGTTATACTCATATAATGAAAATGGAAATATGATGCATTTATATTTAAAATCTTGTACAGGAGATAAAATGAATACAATAAGAACATAAATTGAAGAATTACAAAAATCAGGGGAATCGAATTTTTAAAAACAGGAGAATGTACCTGTACCTATGTGTTCCAATCATATTACAAGAAGTATATGCATTTATAAAAAAAAAGAAATAGACCATAATGTAAACTACATTTATCTATTTTGTGTTTTTATTTTTCATATTTTCTATGAAGTAGACATCAATGATATAAATACTAGTATCCACTTTTAGATAGATGGCGCACAGAATAGAGAGTGGAATATGTGGAAGTCAATCTTTTCAAAAACCAATCCCATGTACAATGTGCTTGTAAAATTCCAATTTTGTTACCTGAAAATAGGAATTGAAAAATCTGCTTAAATGTAAAATTTCATGGCGCACAGAATAGAGTGTGGAAATGGGGGAATTAATCTTTACAAAAACTATGCCTATGTACTTGTAAAATTCTAAATTTATTAGGCCATAAGATATATAAGTTGATTCTTTGTTTTGCGTCTTGGTAAAATCCAAATCTTGCAAGGGTACAAGGAAAACAAACACAAACTTAAAAAACAACTTATTTGCTTGGAAATGTCTGGGTCTAATAATGGATGATTACAAACACATATCTATGCATCATATATCATATATTTTAACATAGCTATCAAAGCAGTGATTACAATCACATATCTACATGTATGCATTATATACTATAACATATATTTTAACATAACTGTGAATTAATGAAACATTATATCGAAAACACACATGTTTTGAGATTTCTGAGCTAAGTATGGGTTGACTATGACCACATGAGTATATGACAATGTCGTTGTCATTTAAAGTCTATTAAAAGATATTTTTGACTTAAAAGTATCCTCATCCTCCTAAGCAGGTATCCAGAATCCGTATCTCCTTCCCCCTGCTATAACCAATTTGGAAGCGCCTGATAAAACTGAATCACGTGATATAATTATGCGCAATGACTTATACATGTTATCTGTCGCAGTGTCGTGACAGCCAATCAGATTGCCAGTTCTTAATCGGGGAAATGCTAACTGCTTATCGCAGGGGGTAAAAAGAAAGAATATATTCTGGATTTTGAAGCCCTGTGATTTGAGGATGAAGTATCTTAGAAGTGCTTTTAAGTATCCTAGAAGTGTCAGTGTCATTTAAAGTCTAAGTTGTTGTTGTTTTTTTACTTGTTTCTTGTTCTCGCCGGGATTGATATTTGAATGTGTTAGTTTTTTCCGATTTGCTGCAAAACAAAGAATCAACTTCTTATGGACTTACCTGGAAAGGGAATTGAAAAATCTGCTTAAATATGGAAAAAAAGAATGAGCAATTTTATCAAAAACGGAAGATAATAAAAATCTTGTTTATGAACTTTTTATTAATTTTCTTTGGAATATCTTTTGTTGTACTGAACATAATGATGCTTTTTACTGAACACATTTTGAATATTATAGTCAAACTCAAAAATATTTTCTTAACTAATCAAGTTATGGGGAACCATCTAAATTTAGTTTAAGACGATATTGTTATCCCTTCTTTAACCAGAAGTTAAACCTAATAGGACAAATTAAGCTTGGCGAGGAAAGTTCATCACTTTATCGAGATGGGTTCATTTATGAATTCTGGCGTATTTCCTCCTTTTTGATAACCTTTACCTTTAAAGGAGACATTTGACACTGATAAAATAAGGCATTAACATGCAAAATGTCACCACCTGCCATTTTTGTTACAGATGCCGAACACAAACCGCTATCCACAAAAAAGTTGGAGACTATAACAATATGTCACCACAAATCTGAATGTCACCAATATGGAATATTGCCTCTTATGCAAGGTAGTTACCAGTTTCAACAACACGTGATTGACTTGGGTCAGATAATGTGGCAGGCGTACAAAAAGTTCTAACCTTGAATAATTTATGAATCAATTTTCATTGAACCTTTTTAAGTTTGATGATTATACCATTTGTAATTAATTTGTTCAGTGAAATACATTACCATATTCTCTGTAATTGGTGCCTAGGGCATTTAGAAAATACAAAATACCTCCTTCAGACTGTTCTCATATTAAAACGTATTTATTATCATGTAATATGAGTACTGTCTCAGAATAATCTTTCCCACAGGGACTTGAATCAACTGACATCTATTAACCAACCAGGAAGACAGACCATGTATTCTATATAATTGCTATGTAGCATTATGAGTATTAATGTAAAACCTACCAGCTTAAAGATATTTTCAATATTTCAGATATTTATTTAATAACTTAAAGTTATCATTTTATGTATAACAAATACTGTCCAATGACTCCAACCCTTATATAAAAAGACCCATGGCCCCTGTACTCACATAGTGAACCATTGCTAAAGTAGGCCTTATAATGTTTAAACTGGCAATTTATTGAAAAGCAAGAAACCAAACCAAAAAGGACCTTAAAAATGCTGATCACGGGTCAAAACAAAACCTCCAATTTTTTTATGATTTTTATCAAAGTTTATAAATACCGAAAACTGTAATTCCAAAAGTTTTGAAACTTTTCGAGTATACACATAGCACAAAGTAACAAAAAATGCCACTAAAGCAATGCAATTAGTGGCAGTTAACAAAATTGCCACTGTATCAAAAACTGAGAGGACTAGGGAAATGGCGATGATAGGTGAGACAGAATGTAGATATGACTTAATAAGAATAGCAGTTTTACTTTGTACCACCAATGGTGATGGATAGAGAGATGGATGTTTTGTTTGCAAACTGACAGATGTAAGCATTGTCTACATATTGGGCCACTTTGTGAACCAAATTAACGAGCGTTAACCACATACCCGCACATGTTTGATAACATTATGTTACATCATCACATTCACTTGTTAAACTAGAAACAAATATTTACAAATATCATGATGAATGATTTGTTTATTTACAATGTTCATATTACATGTACATGATATATTCTTTGTTTACCCGATCTATCCCAGCATAAACACAACACTGAGACTCAAGTTTCTAACAAAATATATGTGAACTTCATGCAGGGCATTTACTTGCCAAAAAACTATACATTTCTTTAATTAAATCATGTGTTGCCAAGCAACATGTTAGTGTTGCCATGCGACAGTTATACCCAACTTAGTTTGAAGATGAGTTGCCGCAAAGGATAAACCAGTAAAAATTCAGTGTTTTAACCAGTAAAAGTTCCCATCTTATTCAAATTTAAAACTAAAAGATATACAAAACTTTTTTCTACACAAAGATTACTGAATTAAAACATTCATGACCCGGTTATTATAATAAATGACTACCAAATACAGACTACAGATCTGCTCATACAGATTTATACATGCAAACTGAATTACCAAGAATTAAACATATAGTTTCTAAAAATAGAAATATGGCCTTCAATACAAACCTTACCATAAGTTTTACATATATATGTAATTCTCTCAAAGTGATTGTTCAAACATTTTTCTAAGGTAATCAACACAAACCGAAAAAAACTTTATTTTTTATCTGTTGTTACACTATGACCTTTGTTCACATTTTTCATTTCTTGTTCATATGACAAATTGTTCATGTGACAATTAGTCATAGTATGAAGCTCAATTTAGTTGACTAATTGTATCTTATATCTAGTATTTGAATATGTATCTATTTTACTTTATTTCCATTGATTAAAAAATCTTGCTCAATCCAACATCACAATGTGTATCAGTTAAATGGACAAGAAAAATATGACAATATGAAAAAGAAATATAAAATTGACAATGTTCACAATACTTTTGTCATATAAAAAGTTAAAAACATACATTATGATATACAGAGTTGTGTGGTGTGGTGACCAATTTTGAAGAGACGGAAAATGAAACAACGAACATCACAAAATCAATGAGAAACTTGTAATTGTCCTTTACTTTCTTGCTTCTAAGTCAATTGTCTTTCAAATAAACCTTGTTCACTGTACACTCTCATAATGATGCACACAGATCCATTCCTATGTTTTTATTCCGAGTCTAAATGTCTCCTTCATTCCATCAAGTTCATGCTTTGCCAGCTTGCTTCCTTAACAAAATGTAAATTTTTTCTTTGATCCAATCTTTAGGGTGAGGAACGTAACTGGATGTGCTCTTTTGGAATCTAGAATCAACAAATGAAGCATGGTATACATGGTCTTTATTTGATGTCCAAAAACAAAATGCTAAACACTTTATGCTTTCCCAGCTTGCTTCCTTAACAAAATGTAAATCTTTTCTTTGATCCAGTCTTAAGGGTGAGGAACATAGCTGCATGTGCTCTTTTGGAATCTAAAATCAATGATTAAGAGATATAAGAAAAAATTATGAGTCATACGATAGATAGACATGTTTATTCCATAGTTGCTGTGATATTCAAAGGATATGTCAAACTAAAAATGGTATTTTTGTATCCTGGTAAAATATCATGAGGATGAAAGTGTGGAACAAGTCATTAACATGCAAAATGTCACAACCTGCCATTTGTTACAGTTGCTGAATGCTGGATTCTAAATCCCATCACAAAAAAGCCAAAAAACCCATATCAGATCCCGTATTGTATCCTGTATCAGCCAAAATCATGTACTGTTATAATCAACTTAATTTGGCGACCAATTTAATTTGGCGAATTGCAATAAATCATAGGACATCCTCAATGTACCTTTAATTAAGGAAAAGTTAATGCGATAGTTTGCAATAGTTCAGTTCAGAACATGTTTGGTTTGGTAGCTCTAATTCTAGATTAAAGATAATTTAGGCAAATGATGAAAATTGGAAAAGGACCTAAACTGCGAGTTAATTCCGTAAATAAAATGGCAAAAAAACATATTGAATTTGCAGACCACAGAAAAATAATCAAAATATACATACACAAGACAACATAGGTCTGCAAGGCTGTCGATGAAGTCAAACAGCTGACTAATATCATATGTGATGGAGGGTGAGCTAGGGTTCTGTCTTTTCAGGTACTCTTCGTAGATCTTGCACACACCTGCAATATCAATGTGCTTACATATTAAATAGAGTTATTTTACTAAAAGGAAAATCACTAGGAAAATGAATAAAGTTAATCTCTCTTAAATGAGGTTTTATTAAAACAAGGAATTTGTAATCATCAACATCTTGGAAACATTTCATCTCAAAAATATTTTTTCAAGGGCTTGCATTAACTCTGTCCCATACATGCTAAGGACACAAAAAAAATTTGGAGGACATAAAAATTGAAAATATTTCCTGTTTTTAGGAACACAGAATTTTTTTAGGTCAATAATACAGCACTAGATTTAACATTGTGAGTATCGGTTTATTGTTAAAGCAGATATGAAATGGTATTCTTAACCTAAAGGAATCAATATAATTTTTTGATAGATGTATTTGGACATGTTTTCTCATCAGTAGTGTGAAAACTATTTCACTCTAACGATCATTATAGCTGCTTAATGAGCAATATTCAAATTGGTTGTGACGTTATTGGCCCCCACGTGATCTCCGGCACTGGTCCCCACGTGGGCCGTTTTGGTCCATTAGATCATGACGCCATAATGCCAAAATGTTTTGTTATTTGTTTACACAACAATCTTACGGTTGCCGTGACGTTGTGATTACTATGGAACCAATTTACCAAAGCTATATTTTGTATATGATGTTACTAATCACGTGGGGGCCAATTTAATTTATCAGTTAGTTTTATTTCATTATCTATGACCGTTAGCAGTTATCTAACATTTATTTTATAATGGCTATCGCAAGAACTCTAGGATGGGCTTATAATGGAGAAAACCGCGTTTTTGTAGCTGCAAGTTGAGAAAAGCTATTTCAGTTGTCCTTTAACTTTGAACACTAAAGAACATTGTGAGAATCAGTTTGAGAGAGTCAAAGAAAATCAGCTGACAAAATTAACCTAATGGTAGCATTTGGTTAATTTGAACAATTTGAATTTGAATAATAAAGCTATACCTCAAAACAGGCTTGTAATGGTGACACACATTTTTTTGATAGGACACACCTTTTTAAAAAAATGCTTCCTTGGGAATTTTCAACTTTTCAAACCTCATGCAAGACCTGAACTGCTTTCGAAACTAAGATTTGTCTTAATCAAAGTAAAAGCATACTGAGTTCTTGAAAATTGGTATATTATAATATGTGATATATCGGGTGTCCCCGAAAAATGAGCCACGTTTTGATAAGTATTATCTCAGCAACTGATGAACCAAATTCACTGAAAATGTGTACAAAGTAGCACAATAGTATCAGTAGCAAAGTAAAAAATGGAAAAATCAAGATAGCATGTCATAATAATCCATACTATACTGGAGCAACGCAATGAGAACTTTATGGTGTTTACACCAAAAAATGAGAAGCAGCCGGCAGCCAAAATACTTAGAGCTTACCTTCTAACATCTCGTTCATGCTCTCATAGTCACTGTATGTGCGACCCTCAGGACGTGAGGAGGCCTGCACCAATAGGATTGTGTGACTCTGCAACAACAAAAACACAACATTATCATCCTACTTATCATATTAATATAGGGTTCATGCTTATGTTGTCTAGACACTTGCACTGTATCAATATACCGTATTCTCTGTAATTACCGCCCACTCTCTAATAAGCGCCCACCCCGCTTCACAAAGTTCAAGAAACATCGAGGAATCATAATAATCCATAATGAATGAAGGAATTGTTCTTTATCGGCATTCAGAAATTTCAAAAGCTACTGCGCAGATGTTCTGCGCATGTCAAGGTCGTGAACTTTCTGGTTTCTTTTTAATGTTTCTCGACTTTTACACGACTTTTGCACGAATAATGATGATCTCTCATCAAATTAGAAATAATGTATAACTTAAGATCGATATCCAGCAGTCTCTAGTGGAAATATTGAATGTAATCGGCGATAATGACAAAGTGGGCGTGCCGGAAATAAATTAGACATAGACGGGTCTTCAACCACTGTCAATATTGTCTAAGCGATCTTTACCGTATTCTCTCCAATAACAGCACTTGTCATATTATTATAAAAATATGTTGAAGAAAATGCATTCTTGTCAAGAAAAATTGCCATACATGAAATTCCTCGGGATTTCTGATTTCTTTCATACATGGGCGCTTATTAGAATGGTCTAAATAATGTATTTTCAATTTTCTAAACGCCCTGGGCGCTAATTACAGAGAATACGGTAGTCTACTTGGGGGACAATTACCATCTCAAATATCTTTGTAGGCAAGTTCAATGCAATGAGTATATAAATTTTCTCAAGGACACGATGCCCATGTCAAGCAGCGTGCTTACTAGGCACGCAGTTTGAAACTCTGACAAACTGTGTGCATATTTCAAAATGGAAGACAGGGAGGACACGACTCCCAAAAAGAGCCAAAATACGAAAAATACAAGGTTAGTCTCGTTCTAAAGATAGTACCATTCTGTGAAGATGAACTTAACTTACTCATAGTACTCAATGTTTTTCCCGATGTAAACCTAGTTATCTCAATATAAGGGTCTTAAGTAACTTCTGTGTTTAAATTTACAGTGTAAAGTTATATCTATGTCTTTTTATCGTCATTTGCCGTTTATTCAGCCATTGTGTCTGTGTATGCTAGAATATATAGGATCACTCCATCTGATTAAAGCAGCATAGTTTGTGTTCAAAACGATAATACGCCATAAACGTGATTTAAACATTTTTCTTGTCAAACTGCGCGCCTATATTCACATGTATTTCCCAAACTGCGTGCCTAATATTTCCAAACTTGCCTATCCAAGCTTGTTTTGTATTATTAGAAAACGTAAGCGCCATATATAAGGCACATGTGTCTAATAGTAGAACCCCATAATTGAAACACTATGACAGTCCATCCACCAAGATGGTGATCTGAAAATAAAAGATTCTTTCGTTCCGAACTTAATTGTCACTTCTATTATACATTTTGACTTTCAATATGAAAATCTCATAAAATCTGACGATAAAACAAAATTTCCAAAGCTATATGAAAAACACCTACACATGCCTCTGTAGAAATTCCAATGATAATATGTAGTTTTAATAGTGTATGCGCACAGTTTGTAATTTTTGGCTAAAATGGGCGCGCAGTTTGTGGTTTATTTCTTCTTAATCTCCTGATTATCTGTTTTATCTCGAAATATTTTGAATTGTACAAGATAAATGCGTAAGGAATTAAATATAAAACGAGTCTAAAGTATTTGTCATTTATGTTTAAAGTGCTAGATCGATTTACGTATAAATTCCCGTTAAATCAGTGACGAAAATGCCATTAATCTCCTTATGTTTTAAAACTTAGATTCATTTGCACATAGTTTTTGCTAGTATTAGCAAGATTCGTACATTCGCCACAGAATGAACTCATTGAACAAGAAAACAATGCGGAATAAATGTCTTTAAATTACGTTTCAAAATACAGACTCCAACTTAAATGATGCAATGTTGTTAGGCACGCAGTTTGTGATCGAAACAAACTGCGCGCCTAAGTAGGCGCGCAGCTTGACATGGGCACCGTGAAGGATGTATCATCTTAATCTGAAAATCTTGATAAAATATAAAAAATATTCTCCAATTTCTTTTCTAGATACATTTGTGCACTCTTTGTGCAACAGCAAAACTGAAAGATGTAGACAATGTGGGGAAGGAGGAGTTCGTATTTGAAAATAACATGTGATTCAATGAGGATTGATGAACACAGCATGCAGCGTGATTAATGTGCAAGATTCAAAGTTGTTATTGGAGTTATGAATCTGATTGTAAACGAGACAACAGCAACGCCAAAGTGTAGCAAATCCCATCGAACAGCCATGGCTGGGATATTTACAAACGAAGTATATAGCAAAAATGGAAGCCATTTTTCAAAATGGCCACCTTCTACCAAAAGTGTCATTGGACAGTGTGCCATGCTTTATAGTTTCCACATACCAAATATGAACAAAATCACTCTACTACCTTTTGAGTTATAGTAAAATACGTTAACATGGTGGCCATTTTTCAAAATTGGGCCAACGGTATTTGAGTTTTTGCCCGGATGGATGGGCGTCCGTACAATAGACTATATCCTCTAGTCTGAAATTTTTTTTGAAATTTGGAATGAAAATATTCAGACTATAGCCCATATACAGTGGGGGACAAAAATAAAACTCAACGTTCACAAGTTGTCACAATGAGCTCATTTCCAAGTTTCGTGTCTCAAACTCTCCCAAGCGGTAGAAAAATAATTCCCGTTCACTAAAGTAGCACAATAAATGAATCCAAAGCTTCATACCTGCAAATAATGGATAAATCCCTAGCAAATCGAATGAATGTTTTCATGAATCGCCATGTTTGTTATCCAAGGACGGTTGACTCCCAGAATGCAACATCAGTTACCGTATTTACTCATGATAGGTTTCAAAATGGCGGAACAGCATTTTGAAAGCTGGCACGTGTCATGTTGCATTCTGGGAGCCAATCCTCCGTTCCGGCGCAATCGGGCGACAAAATCACCTCAACATTTGAAGAGTCGGCATAACATGTGAATATCCAATTCAACTTTTGAAGTTCTTATTTGTCATTAGGGACACAAATTCCACTATATTTGGACTTACTCAGACGGAGAAAATAGAGCACTGAATACAATGAGGTAAGAATTTATTACATGTGCGACAGCATGTAATTTTCATAGCTTTTGCAATTCTTTATGATCCCCACTGTATGTTAAAATTTGGGATTGAAAATTATTTGTTTACATAGGAAGTGCCATTCAAAATGGCCGATTAGGTAAATTAATTTGCATATTTGTTACTTCCCCTAGCTTCATTTCCATTCGACAATACGCTGTGGTACTTTTTATAGCATTTAATTGTACCTTACTACTTCATTGAATTGTTATAATGCTTATTTTTTGGAAGTGAAGTTTCCTAAAATTGATAATTGTGTGCAAGAAATTTCCTGTTTTTTTCCCACAGGAGGGACATAATGAACAATAGACTGAATTCTCAGGAAATTCAGTCTATTGGATATAGACTAGTACGTACGGATGGACGGAGGCGTTCCCTATATCCCTCCAAATTTCGTTCGATGGGATAATAAGCTATGGATGCTGGAATTTAACTTTTACTGTGTCAAAGATTATTGAATTGTTCCAGGAGCCTGTGTGTCCAAACAATCATTGTAAAGTTGAGGTCATACCTCCAGAATCACGTCGGATATGGACAAACTCCCGCAGATAAAATATCACTATTTTTGAGTTTTTTTGCTAGTTGAGGAATATTTATTGACCTACTTATCCTGTTTCAAAAGAATCTTACCACCATCTATGCTTCTACTTGTAACTATAATCACTAAATCGGTTTCAACTCATTGCAAACAATTGCAAAAATTAGAAAAATAATCGACTAAAATTCAAGAGCTTAAATCTGTTAAATGCATTAACAAAGCTCATATTCTTGCATCTTGAATATGAGTTATCTTTAGTCCTACATTTATCTAAAGTCTTTACAACATTACTTACCATTCTACTGACGTAAAGGAATAAAAGTGAGATTAAATTTTACTTTTTCAATTTTGCAACGTGGTCTCGTGTAGAATCTCGAACTAACGAGATCTTGAATTTTAGATGAGTTTGGTTTTAGAATTCAAATGGTAACTGCCCGAACTGTATAATTTTTCATCATAGTCAAATAATGAAAAAATAATTAAAACAATATAGATTAAAGTTGGATCTAACAAAGTTGTACTATTTTTTTGGAGTTTTTGTAGCGCCACCTATCACTTGAACAATTTGCCACATCAATTTTTTATGATTTGCAATGAAGCACTGATGCAGCTTTCGTGAGACAATGGAGGAAATATGGACGTTGATTCTGTTTTGTTTGGTTATGTTGATAGGTTGTTATGTTGCTGGATCAGTTCCACTTGCTTTCACATTCTCTGAGGTAAGCTTTTTTCACAGAATTGAGGATTCACTCTGATCTGAGAATATGACTCTTCTTATTGACAATCATAATGACTCAGTATTACTCGAGTCTCTAGCTTACAGCTAGACGAAACTTCATTGATTTCGTATGTAATGTGCTACACGCACCTACACGCACCTAGAACTCATTTTTAATAAATTTTATAAATATTTTTAAGAATATTAATAATATTTAGGATGAAGCGTTGCTTGTCTGGATTTAGATATTTCAAAATTTCATTTCGGAGTTTGACAAATGGTGAAATTTTCTCGCTGTAGCTAAAAATGGCTTCCGGTTCTGGACGTGAATAACATTTGAAATTATTCTCGCTTAAAGAAATCAAATATAACAATAGATTCAGACGGGGATGTGAGCTGATGTTCTTCAAATCTATACATAAAGGTATATTTCATATTATTATGCCATATTTACTGTGCGTGTGACACAATGATTTACAATATTTATAATACTAAGGCAGCTCAATCTTCCTCCTCAAAGCCGGAATATAGAGAAGGCTTTGGACCGAAGTAAACTCAGTACAGCCCAGGCCGAGTCTCAACAATAAAATGTCTCTATGCAGATTCACCAGACACTCTATTGAAAGGGTAGTATAAAGGAACACCGCATGTCACACAAAATTATCAACATGTATCCAATTCTTGAAATTAGGGAGCACAGCTATTATCTAAAAAGTATGATGCTTGTCGATCCAAAAATTGATTTATTTCTAAATGTTGGCCATATTCTTCAATTTTTCTTTATATACGGTAAGTTTGGCCATAACGATGTTATATCTTGCCTACCGTTCGTCAGTTCACCACATGAAAGTGAGTAGGATTGCGTCAAATGAAATACATTGACATTTTTTGCATTTTTCTTCTGAATCTGACGAGCCGAACAATTCTAAGAATGTGACATCACCAGACAGAATGGACTCGTAGGGAGACAAGGAAGTTTAATGCAGCTGTCATCTTTCAATAAAAGTCAAATAAAAGTATATTCACCCCTGTTAGATAAACTCGCCCAATATTTGGAAACCTGACATCACTCAAATTCAGGGCCAGGAGAATTTTTCTGTAGAAAATGACTGACCTGTCCTTCGATGTTCGTAACGATTTTCAGGTATTTCTGTTCCTCGTTATGAAATAGATAAAAACACTTGGCCATAAAACTCTGTGATACATCGACTGTTAGTATGCTGAACGATTTAGAAGGAATACTTAAGCGTTTTCAGAAAAACAGATTTTTGATCGACGGACAGCATACTTTTTAGATAATAAGTAATACCAAAGATCACTGGTACGTTAACCAAAAAATAACTGATTCCTGGAATATTAGATTATTTCACAGGGGATTTTTAGGGGATTCTGAAGGTTGCAACAGCACCCAATGTCACAGTCCATATGAATTGAGTGACCATAGAGAAGTCGCACCCCCTCAGAAATCTTTGAAAAAATGTCCAGGGAAATAAAGTCATATTCCAGCAAGCAGTCCTTTTTCTTGTAGAATACAGGTGTACAGTGATCTTCGTTAATTTACACTTTGCTGTTATATTTCCGGGCAGTTGACAAGTTGGCTATTTTTGTTGTGTTTGGTCATTTTCGGGCCACTTCAGATTAAAAACATGAAACTTGAAAAATAGCGCGGCAATACAGTGTAAAGTGCATAATTACATAGTACATAAACAACCAGCGTAAAGCAAATGTAATACATGTACAGTGTAAAGTGTTTAAAAACAGTGTTACAATACAATGTTACAATTACAATACTTGATATAAATTAATGATATTGCATAAAGAATATACAGTTCAGTGTAAAGCATACACAATGCTGTATGTACAGTGTAAAGTGTATCTCTAGTATAATTTCTATCATAAATACTAGTATGCCTGCAATTTAAGTTTCCTCCATTTGATTAAATGCAGTTCAAATTTGAAGTTGTGAAAATAAGGCTGATAAAGTGCTTCTTTTGATCTAAAATAACTAGATTACTTTTACATTATCAATTATCAAACATTGTTGATATATATTTGTCATATTTGACCAGGTCATATCAGGTTGTATGAACGCACAGTAAATCTTATGCTTATACTTTTTTTTATCTACCTGGTCACTAGAAACTATTAAGGGGATAGGTCAAAATTTTACAAATGTCAGAGATTTGTGTAATTATATCATGCATATGTACATTAGATAAGATAATAAGATGGATATAGATGAAGATTCAGATTAATTGGTAATTTTGTACTGAATTGGTAATTAAGACAGGCACTGTAAAATCAATTTAAGGTATTGGTCACTTGATTATAAATTAGAATTTTTACTCTGTCTGAAATGTTCTATTTTTAATGTATATTTTGCCTAAGGAAATTCTGTCATATTAAAATTAGAGATCTGACCTATATTTACTTTATCAATCATTCAATGTTTTATCAATCAATTAATTTCATATCTTTGAAAGCCCCATTATATTTACATTCAACAAGAGTTACCTTATCAACCTAAAGAAACATATTGATTTTGAAAACTTGATCTTTCTGATGAAAATATTAACAATACATTGTATATTAAAATTATTATTGGTAGCTCCAAGACTAAATTATTTTCAAGTCTCTCTCTTGATGACTTTGATAAAAAGTCTAAGATTTACCATTTACATACAGCAAAACCTGTCTAAGTGGAACACCCTTGGTACATCTTAAAAAGTTTTCCACTTTATAGGTGTCCCACTTAATAATATAATATATAGAGGTTCATTTAACAATAAGTAAGTTGGTCTCCACTAACAGAGGTGTTCCACTAATAGAGATGTTCCACTTAATTTACAGGTTTCACTGTACATACTGACCAGAAAAAGATTTGTACACTCAACGCTGTCCTTCACAACATACTTTGCTGAAAATGTGAAATATCCTGGCCTCGGATAGAGGAAGACTCAATGTTGATTCTGATTGAAATGATTGCAAAAATTTTATCAAAGCATTCATTTGTTTTGTCTTATTGACTATACCAACCTAGTGAGGGGAAATGAAAACAAAATCTGAAAATTTAGCCTAGCTAACCACAGTATTTCTCATTATATTCCAGGAAAAACTGAAGTTAGTGACTGTGCTTGGTGCAGGGCTGTTAGTTGGGACATCTTTAGCTGTTATTATACCAGAGGGGGTACATATGCTGTATGAGACACCTGGACACCATGGTAAATTTCTTATGTATTGGTGTATCACACTTTTTAATTTGTTTTGTTTTACTTTGCAAATGTTCAGTATTTACATGGTCTATTTCAAACTGGATGTGAAATACAAATGGCTCATTGGCAGTAACAATATCACTTCTTATGTGGACATACTTACTTGTAAATGTAATATATTATAGGTCTTTCTGTTGACCTTATTTTCCTATAGTTTCTAGAGAAGATTGAAAATACTGACCCAGTAAAGGATGAAAACAATGATGTTTGTGAATGATTAAAATTATCAAGTTTAAGATACCATGCATTTTATTGTAGACAAAAGAATAAATAACAGTGAAAGCTGCATATCCGAACACCTTGCTTATTCGCTTATTCATATGAATACCTCTCAATATGAACACCTTTTCTTGGTTCTAAATTTGATAACTCCCATTTATTTACGTATTAAAAAACTGTGAATACCTGCTAATCTGAGCACTTTAGGCCAGTCCCAATAGTGTTTGGATTAGACAGGTTTTACTGGACAACCGTTAAAGAAGACACGACAGCATTTAAACATATAAAATGTTTTCAGATCATAAGCATGTTGAAGTAGCAATCAAAAGTGTTGACCAGGATGCCAGTAAAGTTGCTGCTGATGAGGCAACACATGTCCACAATCACGCAGAACACGCTCATTCACACTCAGATCCCCATAGCAAGATAGGTGTCACTCTAGTACTAGGATTTATATTTATGTTACTCGTGGATCAACTAGGCGGAGGACATACACATGCTTCCAGTACTGGTGAGTAACTTATAGAGTTTGGATTTAAATAGAGAAAGGTTGCATTTTCATCATATCAGATACGATGTAGAAAATGTTAACATAAGCTTTATAGGTACATTTCACTTGATGTATATACAGTAGTTAATATAGCTATAATTTCTAAATCTGTGAATTCCCCCGTGTTACCAATAAAAATGTGTTATGTGTATTTCTTGTCATATTTCAGACACAGAAGCAGGGGTACAAAACAGACATAAAATCACTGCAACTTTAGGTTTAGTTGTACATGCTGCAGGTAAGATATAGAAATAACAAATCATAATTTCAGAAGTTAACGATCTAGAATTTGAATCTTAGAGATTTCTTTCAATTTTATTTTCAAAAAATATATCAGACTGCCCGATTTTAAATTGTAACCTATTGTCTAAACAACCCATTGGAAAAGGTAGCCCTAGGTTGAAGTATCTCCATCGGCAATTCATTGGTTGGTATATACATCGGTTGTTTTTCAAAAACAAGCATATAAGACTGTTTGAATTTAAATTGTAACATGAGGTCTAAACAACCCAGTGGAAAAGGTAGTCCTAGACTATTCATTTGTTGGTATATACAACGGTTGTTTTTCAAAAACAAGCTGCCTGAATTTTAATTGTAACCTGAGGTCTAAATAACCCAGTGGACAAGGTAGCCCTAGGTTGAAGTATCTCCATCGGCAATTCATTGGTTGGTATATACATCGGTTGTTTTTCAAAAACAAGCATATAAGACTGTTTGAATTTAAATTGTAACATGAGGTCTAAACAACCCAGTGGAAAAGGTAGTCCTAGACTATTCATTTGTTGGTATATACAACGGTTGTTTTTCAAAAACAAGCTGCCTGAATTTTAATTGTAACCTGAGGTCTAAATAACCCAGTGGACAAGGTAGCCCTAGGTTGAAGTATCTCCATCGGCAATTCATTGGTTGGTATATACATCGGTTGTTTTTCAAAAACAAGCATATAAGACTGTTTGAATTTAAATTGTAACATGAGGTCTAAACAACCCAGTGGAAAAAGTAGTCCTAGACTATTCATTTGTTGGTATATACAACGGTTGTTTTTCAAAAACAAGCTGCCTGAATTTTAATTGTAACCTGAGGTCTAAATAATCCAGTGGACAAGGTAGCCCTAGGTTGAAGTATCTCCATCGGCAATTCATTGGTTGGTATATACATCGGTTGTTTTTCAAAAACAAGCATATAAGACTGTTTGAATTTAAAATTAAAATTGTAACATGAGGTCTAAACAACCCAGTGGACAAGGTAGCCCTTGGTTGAAGTATCTCCATCGGCAATTCATTGGTTGGTATATACTGTACATTGGTTGTTTTTTCAGCTGATGGTATTGCACTGGGAGCTGCTGCTACTACATCACAGTTACATATAGAAATGATAGTTTTTTTGGCTATAATGCTTCATAAAGTAAGTTGCTAGATTTACATTTAATCACATGCCAATCCAGTCCTGTATTAGTCAAAATTATTTCAGAAGCTTTTGTATATTAAATTCTAATGAAGACTTTTTTCGATAAGTGGCTTAAGAGAAATAAGATTCTGAATTTTACTCACGAGACCAAAAGATATGTGTGACCTCTAAAAGTTAGTATTATTTAAATGCACAATTTTACGAACAAAAAGTCCTTCAAAAACCACTTTTTGAAATTAAAAAAGAGTTTCACATATCACACTTTGATAAGACTACAATATAAGCCGAAGTGGTTTTAACTTTTTATGGGGGCTTTAAATTATTAAAACATTCAGAAAAATTAAAACCAAACAGAAAATGAAGTTTTTTTAAAACTCCTTCTTAAAATTCAGTTATTCTGATCACGATTTAGGAATTCTGAAAGATAAAACTGAAATCCTGATAAATGTTCAGAAATTATAATGAATACTTATTGAGAAGTCCAGAATCTTTTGTCAAACATTTTTCCACTTAATACTACTGTACATTGTTTTCTAGGCTCCAGCAGCTTTTGGTTTATCAACATTTTTACTCCATGACGGGTTTGATCGTCCAAGGATCCGGAAACATCTGGCAGTATTCTCACTTGCAGCTCCTATCATGGCGATAGTAACATATCTAGGACTTAGTCAAGTAAGAATCCGGCATTTTATTGTTGCATTATGTCATTGCGTTCATCATTCTTTCATCAAGTACAGTAGTATAGAATTTTCAATATCTGCCAACTCCTATTGTGATCACTTAAGATCACTTATGTGATCAATTAAAGTCCCCGTCTAAAGTTTGAAAATATTTTTTTATCATTCATTTACTATTTGTCAGGACTTAAAAAGTGATTTTAGAGATTTTTGAAGAAAAAAAAATTTTTGAAGAAAAAGCTGTGAGCATTTCATTTCTCAAATATTCAAATTTCCCGCCATTGAAATTTCTTAATCATCAAATATTTCTTAATGCATTTCAAAAAGATTATCTTTTTTAACACCATTGCAAAGATTGAACAGAAGACACACTATTTCAATAATAAAATGTCATATTTAATGGGCCACTTCAATGTTTTAGCTTATCAAAAATATTTTGAAACATCAGTGATGTCACTAATGGCCTAGTCACATAGCCCGGCCGATGTCCGGCATCGGTAGAGCTCGGTGGATTTTTTTGGTGCCACCGAGCTCTCCTCATCGGAAGCAGAGCTCGGTGACGTGAACGGACTCCGTCCGGACATCTTCAGGCGACCGACCGAACACCGGCCGGTGGCCGTACTGAGTCTGTCTCAAAATGGTAGTTTTTTTCTGCCGATGTGGCAGCAACTACCGGCCGGAGGTCGGCCGGACATCGGAAGGAATACGGCCGGTACCCGAGCAGGTAACAGGACACCGTGCGATCGCCGGCCGGGTTGTTAACGGGCTTTGAACAGTGACCGGCCGATGCTCTGTCCCACATCGGCCGGAGCTCGGTCGGAGCTCGGCCGCTGTCCGTTAAAAAACATCGTCCTCTGGTTGTCTCAGATGCACGGGACACCGGCCGATACTCGGCCGTGCACCGGCCGACGTGTTTTCCGATGTGGTTACGATGGGGCTGCGATGACATGATGAGGGAGCTCGGTGAGAGCCCGGTGAAATTTAACTCCGAAGTTAAAATTTCACCGAGCTACCACCGATGCGGTTTTAAGCAACAAACGCCACGGATGTCCGGCCGGTGTTCGGCCGAGTTCGGTGAAAATTGCATCGCTGGCTCATCGTAACCTCATCGGCCGGGCTATGTGACTAGGCCATTAGGTAACAAAAACTTTTTGAAAAAAATTGAATTTTTTTTTTCGATGTCAATCTTTTCTAAATATGCTAGACTTTCATAAAAAACCAATGTTGATTGTCTAACCAGGTTAAAAGGAAGAATAAATTATGTTTTAGATATCATTGTACCATTGGTTTCTATGAGAACTAAAATTTTGAAATGCATTTTTCTCAGAACCATTTTCATGCACTGATAAGTTCATTTCTCGCTTGTTTATCAACCGATTTTCTTAATTTTTTCGGCAAAAAACATGGGAGGATGAATGCTATGCATTGGTATGAATTGTGGCTAATTAGAAGATATGAGTGACCTCTAAAAGTTGGTTTTAAATAAATTCACAAATTTTGGAACAAAAAGTCTATCAAAAACCACTTTTTGAAATTTAAAAAAAAAGTTTCACATATCACACTTTGATAACATTGGGTAAGACTACAATATAAGCCAAAGTGGTTTAAACTTTACATGGGGCCTTTAAGCATTTTCTACAAGGTACATTGTAGTACTACATTGATGTGGTACATTATCTTTGTGCCATTCATATCATTGTGTATTTTCTCTTTACTTTCAGGCATATAAAGAGACTCTAAATGACATGAACGCTACTGGTTTAGCCATGTTATTCAGTGCTGGTACATTCCTGTACGTAGCTACCGTACATATTCTCCCAGAACTAGCCGCTGGGAAACACACTCACTCAAGCCCTGGCAATGGCAATACTGTTATACATGAACATAGTGGCTTCTCCAAGCCCGAGCTGTTCGTCATGGTGATTGGATCCATAGTGCCCATAATCCTCTCAATAGGTCACTCCCACTAACCCATTTGTCATACATGTCATACACACAAGACCTAGCAGGCTATTCATAATTGCACAAAGGCTTATTAAAAGTGTGTATACATCTGAGGATTTTTCTGCCATGTTCATGATTTAAATGCATGACGAACATTTCCATTGCATTATGTGTACTGATAGGTGGCATCAGTCTTCAAGATGTGGACGGCTTCATTGGATCCTGTATTTGACATTGACAAATAAGTCACATCTTTTACAAACACGGGTGTGTAGAATTGTGAATGAATCCATGTCAAAAAATGAGATCGCTTCATTACACTGTCTCATTCCCGTCTGAAGGTCTCATTTGTTTATAGATCTGAGCGCAGTCTCATATCATTTGGTTGTTTATATAGTGTGATAAATATTTGTGCAAAAATCAAACAATATTTTATTATTATGTGCTTGGAAAAGAGCACAGAAAGTAGTCCAAATTAGCTCAGAGTAAACTCTTATGTCAAACAATTATCATACATATGGTTTTAAAATTTATAACTACTGGCACTGTGTTATGAACGCTTACTCTGCAGCTTCACATCTCTAAAAGAGAGCTTCATCTACATTTTTCAAATTAGAAATTATTTTTGGTCTGGCCTATCTAATCAGAATGTGTCCTACCAAAAAACATGCACACAATCTGACTGTGTATTATCAATTTCATCTGCTTATACATAACTGACATTGATTTCATATAAACTAGCAAAAGCTATAAAAGCAGCTTTTAAGATAACTTCATCAGCATCAAAACTGTAGATTCGTTTGAGCTACTCAAATGGTAGAATATCACTGTTAGCTTCTGAGCATCAGGGGAGTAGTGAAAACTATTCAAATTTTGAAAATTTATATTTTACCATACTGTCACCAGATTAAGGACCATTTTTATGTCACCACCAGAAGTGGTGACATATTGTTATAGTCTTCAACATTTTTGTGGACAGAGTTTGGGGTTCAGGGTATGCAACAAATGCAACTCCCAAAATATGGTGGTGACATTTTAGGTATGTTAATGCCTTGTCTAACTGAGAATCACATAACATACATGTATTTTGTACATAGATTCATGGTGGTATATTTCTGACTCAATTCGGAGTCTTGTTTTAGCTTCATAAAATGTTACATCTTGTAAGCTGTATGAATGTATGTGCCATTTTATTTATTGTATCTCGTGACGAAAGTGTATTTTTTGAGGTCGTATAACAGAAATGATTTTATGAGGTTTCATTTTTAGTCAGAGAGTAATTGAATTTCACCAAAATGCCAAATCTTACTTAGCCTTGTATTAAGTCCTTGCATTGCCCCAAAATGATGAAAGACTAAATCATGTCTACATGTATAGCATGAACTCCCTTATCTTAATTCTCTGCCTTAAAGGAAGCTATATCCAAATATCTTATTTATTTATTATAATGCTATACCATCTGAACTCTATTTGCTGATGTTTTGACTCATCTTTAATGCGCATTTTAGTTCTGTAATAAATGATTGAATAAAAATTGTCAAATTCAAAAAGCTTACTTTAGCGTCATTCCAGAAGGATTATATAAATAATACATCATTATGGTAGATCTTTGCTTGTACCAGCAATGTTCATTAGGGTTGTTTTGATTTTGTGCATGATAACAACTGAAATAAGTACAGTAAAACCTGTATTATCTGAACACCACTTGGACCGGCTAAAAGTTTTTGAATCGGCATGTGTTCATACTTCAAGGTTTTTGCTTAAAAAAGAAATCTATGTCAGATTTAGCAAAAAGTGTTCTCATTGAGAGTTGTCTAGGTTTCATTGTAGTCTATAGGCTGTTCAAGTAATATATGGTAGAACCTGTCACATTTGGAACCTCTGAAAGGTTTTCCACTTGGGAGGTGTTCGACTTACAAGGTTCATTTAACATCGATTCAGTTGGTCTTGGGACTCTGAAAAGTCTTCCACTAACAGAAGTGTTCCACTTCTAGAGATGCTCCACTTCTAAAGGTGTTCCACTTCTAGAGTTTCACTTTATGGGTTTAACTGTAGTTGGTAGTTAGAGAACCTATTTGGGCATACTTCTCCTTTAACATGGCAGCAAAGGTAATATTTGTATCATCTTTTCCCTCCATCTCTACGAAGACAGGAACAGCTCAATGTTGCTCTGGGGGTATTCTAGGTTTAAAGCTTAACTGGTAAAGATGTGTTATGGAGTGAATAGGGTGCATGAGATATTGTAACTGAGAATTCCAAATCTGTAAATATGTATATGCAGTATGTGCCAGTTGTTAAAAAGTAAAAAATATAAGTTTCATATTGAGGGAAAACTACAATTTTAGTAGTATTTATACCAAAACAAGTGTGTAATAAATAAAGGCAGAATATATAAAGGTTATTTAATGGGAGGTATTTGATACAGGGTATATCTGAGGGAAATACAATATATCAATATTAATATTATTATTAATATATTGTATTTACCGAAGAGTATACCCTGTATCAAAAATTGAGCATTTAATAACTGATTTATTCTACACTTAGTAGATTATGAGGATTTAAAGCCAAGTCCCCTGGCTCAGTATCTACTCCCTGAATTTGTGACGTCGTAGATCTGATGGGTGGGTGATATAAATATCACTCGCTCACGTCACATATCAATTATATTCCCGCATGTTTTTAACCTATAACACTACTAAATATGGAATAAACACGTATAGATGAGCTTTTTATATGTTAACTAAACAGTTGCATTGACTGTGAAAAAACTTTACCGATATCAAGTGAAATGCATTTGATTATAGTATTTACAACACTGTAAATTAAAATCAATTAATTTATAATGACATATACATTTAGTACATTCATGTATTGTATTATATTTTATGCCCAAGGGGAAACCTTAATGAAGGTTACAACATTAAAAATGAATGCTCAACCATATTATGTACATAAATAAAAAAATTTAAAATGCAGTTTAGGATCACATCAAAGCATCAATGTGTGCCTAACCGACAATGTTAATTTTGTGCATTAAAGGTTCTGTGTAAAGTTTGAACCGCAGAATGCTATGGTTGGGTGGATGTTGATGTTTTAATACCTTAAGGTGTGGGGAAATTAGTATTAAAACTGCTGCAATCTCAGAGCATGTGAACTACAAAACTTCAAAAATATATGAAATAAATATGAATGAAGAAGCATTGGTTTTATTATGTATCTTTGACTGCTATCTGGAATTAAGATACTTCAAATAATTTTCGATATATTTTCAGTCCACCTGTTGAATACATCATGGCCTTTTACTGGCCTAGCATATCATGCCCTTTATTGGTTATGATGTCATTCTTTCAGTTTCAGTGCCGAAATGGGATGAATTGATTGCTAATTTTGAACAATTACAATCTCAGTTTTGCTTACAAACATTACAGTCTTACAGGGTGTCCAATAAAAAAGGTGAAAGACATTGTAACTTTCTTAATAATGCACCAATCTTGATGAAATTTTCAATGTTTGTAGCCCAAACCTTCCATGAATTTAAAGCGTCTTCTGTTTGATTTGCCAGAGTTGTGGTTGCTATAGCGACTGAAACAACAAAAAGGCGGGGCAAGTTTGTTTATGTCACAACTTTCCAAAACATATCTATTCTTTCTGATAGCTTTATTCATACTCCCAGGTCTAAAAACGACCACAAATTCAATATAAAAACAGTTCTAAAGTCCCATTGTTATGAAAATAAGCTATTCAACATAATGTCAATCTCTAGCTATACACTTCTTATGCCTGTTCACCCACTCTCTAAACACACTTCCAAACCCATTCTTGCCCATTTCCTGGTCTTGCTAAGACATGTGATCTGAGTTCACCAGTGCTTCCAAATTTATTTCTTCTCAAGTCACGCTTGAGTTCTGCATATAAGTAAAACTCATTTGGTGCACGGTCTGGGGAATATGGAGGGTGTGCAACCTCTTGACTACCTGGAGTGACGAGATTTCTCAGATATGACCTTGAAACCCAGAGTGACGAGAAAATCTGTCACAAAATTGTTCATTAAAATTGGTCTTATTTGAATAATTTTCATCCAATTTATACAAAATTGTTTTAAAATATGTAGAAATGATCTCTGTCATCTAATTTTACCAAGTTGAGCATCTAAAGTTGTATTGGTTTGTAGTAAAATGTCAAAAGGTGGCAAAAATAAAAAATTCTCTGGTTTCAACCGATTTTAGAGCCTGGGATTCAAGAGGTTAAAATGTACTATATCTAGTAACTCTTCTATTGATTTAGAAGAAATGCTGTGGATGGGGGCACAATGCCATTTGACACCCTGTACATACTGGATTGATGAAAAGATGGCAGTGTGGTTTCCAAGTTAGATACACTTTCAGTTTGTATATTATATCATAGCCATTATATTAGTCCATATAAACACTGATCTCACCAACATGAGAAACTTTGATCACCCACCCCACTTGCTAATTCTGTCAACTCAAAATGCAAGAAAAAAAACAAAAGGTTTGAGACTATGTACATATATTTTATTTTATTTCCACCAATTACAAAATAGAGTTACATCTTGCAACATCCAACATTAAATTTTCTAAACATGAGAGTTGTGTACCTCAGTCTACTGAGTTTTGATTGGTCAAGCAGAGGTTTACAATTCATGTGAGAACTGCTGAGGACAAGGACTGATTTACTGATTTAGGTAAAAGATAAAATTTTACCCTTCATTATTTAATTCTTTAACTAGGAAATGCCTCTGCACTCTGTCGACCTTGATTCACATTGCATATAAGTTCAGAACAAGGCTTTTATCAAATGTCAAAATTGTACTCAAGATTAAATGGAATTTATGTCATTAACTCATTGCTGGCCAAAGCTATTTTGGAGGTTTTCTACTGGTGACTGGGCAATTTGATGAAAAATTTATCAAGATGGCATATTTTCATATTAACATAAAATGGACTATGCTATGTTTTATGCCATTGTGAACAATATATTGCACTACGGAGTTCCCCTTGTGACTCCTACAATATTTCATGAGATTATTGGTACAAATTGTGTGACAATTATTGTAAAGGACCCAAGATATCTTGGGGTTGGTCAGATATGATAATGACATAATAGACGAGATATCTCGGGGTTGGTCAGCAATGAGTTAAATTTTGAATTAATGAATGTTTTGAAAGATGCTTTTTCCTTCATATCCACTCTACAAAGTGCCCCATATTCACCACTTACATCTCTCCTTCTAGGCTATATACAAATTAACATGGTCCACAGTTGCTAAAATATCAACACTCAATTCCATGTTTATCAAAGTTTCTCAATATAATTCCAATTTGTAGATGCACTTTCCCCATTGCAGTAGTCTGCAAATGGAACCTCTCTGCTCCGTTATATATGAGATCAGGGTTCCTTAATTGAGGGCCTCCACCCAGGAACATTTGAGATATCTGTTCCCGCATGGTACCTGTTGGTCGCCACGTTGGACACTCTATTGTATGTTGGCCGGGTGATGTAGGAATGTGACAAAATCCATAGCCGTAAAGTTCATTCCGTCCAAACCCATCTTGATGCCAAACCTGGAAGTGGATCTTTGGCCATCCTGCAATGAAAGACATTTTGTAAATCAACATGCTTTCATTCATTCAATATATCCAATTATCCATACACTAAAATTCCCTTCTAACCAGTCATTATAATTATAGTAAACCTGTGTTTTGGTTGTTGCATATAATACACAATTTTAAAAGAAAGTTACTTTAAATATTATACTAACACCAATTATCTGAATTTAAGGCATTTGGTGCATTCTTAAACCCTTGAATGTGGCGTGTGGTAATTATTAAAATATTTTCTTATGATTGGAAATTTTTCTAGGTCACAATGACATGGCAGTATTTCTATATTGTCCAATTGAATAGCCTCATTTACGAGTTTAACTCGTATTAATTCAAGTCATGACATTCAGGAACAGAGTAAAATATAATTTTCCCGAATTTTAAATTTTACAGATGAAATATATTTATTTCACATATTTTTAAATTCATACAGATTTAATTTAGCAAAAATGGTGTCCTCACAAAAATATATTCTTCTATATATATATTCTATAGTTTTTCAAATGAAATTTCAAAGTATGGTTCAATCATTTGCATTCTCAGGGCCAAAAGGCCTAAATGCGCCATAAGTAAGTCTACCTTGTAAGCCTTTAGTGGCAAAGTGCACATCTATAGGGTGAGCCCAGTAGGCCATCTGACCATCTACTGGGGCGTCAACTTGAGTTTGACCATCTCGCATACCAGCAAGGATTTTCCAAGCACTTCCTGAAAACATAACAAAGTTTAAATATAGAGGCGTCAATTTTGTTTCCTGTTGGAATTTTTGGATTAGGCCCAAAAGGTTAAGTTTTGTGATAACCAGGGCAGGTACCACTAATTAGATATTTAATTTATAAAGGCCTTAAGGATTTAAACATTTAATGATTTCTCTGAATGCTCCTTCAGTTAATCCAGTGAGTATAATTTTTCTTTTATGAACCATCCATTGACCATTAATTGAAACATTGCTGACGTCATAGAGAATTAGTATGGGTGAGACCTACAGCTTCAAATTGTTTTTATTAGACCATTCTAGCTGAATATTAATCCTTGAATACTGATTTATGTTACAATTGATCCATCTGATGAGTTGGGTTCATAAATGGACAGATAATGAGAAATGAAGTATCACCATGGTGGAAATTGATTTGGTTTATGTTTTAAATGATTTAAACATCCTCTGAGTAATTTATATTAAATCCAAAAAATAGTTCCAGGAAACAAAATAGATGTACATATTACATTATCATAAATCAGAGATGTATGGGTGACAAAATTGAAAGCAATGTACAATTGACCATCTCAATCTATCTATAATCTATCTCCCAAAAGATCCATGATCCATGATATCTTTCTCAATTAAAATATGCCATTTCTTAAATCAAACTTTAAGTTGAAAAATATTGTTTCAAACCACATTTTCATATTTCAATATGAATGCACTGAGGTATGTAGAATAGAACATGATTATATTTTTCAACATTAAAATTCCTTCATTTACATATTACAAACAGTTTGGTATGCATGATGGACTACTTCTCTATATCAATTGCATCACATATTATATGATTTAGAAAAAACACTACGGACTATGTAATATTTTGACAACCATAATTTTAAGATTTCTCAAAAATGGTGAATATGTAAATTACCTACCAGCAAGGACAGATTGACAGAATCCTTAAGCTTACGGTACCAAATGTGTGCCAATAAAATGTATTTATTTGAGATTTAATTTTAGATACCTTTCATTTGTAATTCAGCTTAATAAAAGCATCATTTGAAGAGATCACAACACAAAGCAATTCCGCATTGGGCACCATTCATTGGTGGTCATTTTTGATTTTCTGAGGCAAGAAAGTCCACTTCTACATTTGGCAGCAATTTTTGAGACCTTTTGTTGTCTTTACTAATGTTATTCTACTTCAATTTAAAATGAAACACAATCATTTTGACTTCATTAAATCACTGATCAAAAATTATCCAGCCATCTTCCTACCAAACATGGACACAATCAGCCAACTGGTATTTGAGTTATTGCCAGGATTGATTGAGTAACATATAACTCCACTAGAGCTAATCACTCTCATTGGGAGATACTTGTATGTAAAATACTACAACATTGTGGCAACATATCTTACCAGTCAAACATACAAACAACCAATCAATGAATATACCTGTATGTATGCCCCATTTACAAAACAAGCTCTGGTCAGGAAATCCACTTGCTCCTACTAGTTGCCCAATCACATGAACTTCAGCCATTATAGGTGTCTTGTTTCAATGGTTTTATTCAACAGATCTGGAATAAAGATTAAAACAATTATTTAAGCCAAAGGTAGTTCTGCACTTTTACAAAATTGCTGATTTAATCGTCAATTGGGGAAATATCATTTCAACATTTAATCATCAATTGAGCCAATTTTTAAGAATACTTTCAAAGGAAAAGAAAGATATCTTTCTTATGGGGGATTTCAATATAAATTAACTGAACAAAGATCATGCTAGGACAGACAATGGAAAATGATAAGTCATACACCCCCTGGGGTGTCTTTATCATGACAGTATTATATAGATATTTTTATATGATTTTAATAAATAAATAAAAAAACATTGAAGCAAAAAAACTTGATATACGATATACTATTATACTAGTAATTTATGCCATCTAAACATTTTTTCTAATTCAATCCCAAACCATATGGGTTTCTTGCTACAATGAGAGCCATACTCTGTGGCAGTGATACTGTGATAGTCTTCAAATCTTCAACATAATCTGAGACACTGCCATGGGAGTTTGAATGAGAGGATTTTGTTTAATAACTCATGCAGTCTAGACAGTATCATTGACACAGTCTCATAATTTCGCATGTTCCAATGCTCAACCCAACAATAACATCTTTCCTTGCTAATGTCCTACTTCTCCAATTATATGATTGTAAAATGCATAATCAAGCAAATAAAAATAAGTCTTGTTTTTATTACAGTAATTTATATATTCACCATATTTCTGAACCCTGAAGTTCAAGATGGCGGCCCAGAAAAATCTGTGCTAAATTCAACTTAGAATAATAAAAAGTTTATGTAAAATAATAGATAACTTACTGCATCTTCAGATATGTCATCAGATATGTTACTGTCAAAATGTTAAAATGATACTAGTGATAATGTTAGGTCGGTTGCGATATGTAGTAGTAGGTCATATTTTTTTTCAAAATGTCATAAAAAGATCTTAAAATTCTCAATCTAAAAAATCTACAGCATCCTTTATATATGTTGGGCTATCGGATAGTGGGTGGAGGCGGTCACAACAAAATAATAGAACAGTTCAGTTTGGAACATTTGGCTTCGGAATGGAACAATTTCATCAATGCAAAAAGAGTAGAAAAATACAAGCTATTTGATGTTTTAGAAATTTAGAAGTCCTAACACAAAAAGTCTAAGGGTATAACTTACAAAATACAGTCAAGTGATTAGAGCATAGGACAGGGATCATGTATAAAATTTTGAGTCAAATACACCAAGTAAAGTGGAGAACATAAATAATGATTACACTATGAAAAAGACATTCTGTCACATATGTCATAAATTCTTACCTCAGAGCCCGATTACGCCGCAAGGAGGATTGGCTCCCAGAATGCAACATGACAAGTGCCAGCTTTCAAAATGCCGTTCCGCCGAAACCTGTCACAAGTAAATAAGGTTAACTGATGTTGCATTCTGGGAGTCAATCCTCCTTGGATCACAAACATGGCGATCCATGAAAACATTCGTTCAATTCGGTAGGAATTTATCCATCATTTGCAGGTATGAAGCTTTTGATTCATTTATTGTGCTACTTAGAGTGAACGGGAATAATTTTTCTCCCGCTTGCGAGAGTTTGAGACATGAAACTTAGAATTTAGCTCATTGTGACAACTTTTGATGGTTGAGGTTTATTAATGTCTCCGACTATAAAGAGAATACTTGTGTAGCTTCTTTGGTGTATATGACTTGACTTTTTATACATGTTTCCGGGCTTATGGATGAGAGAAGAGGGGGAATAACCCCAGAATCAAAGAAGGCATACGCTTATGATGTAAACCTGTATTGAGAAGACATACATCTCTGATTCAGATTGGTCAAAAATTGCCAAGCAAGTGACGTCATCAATGGCGGCTTCAAAATTTTCAAAATACACTCCGAATAATATTATGTTAATTTCTGGAGTGTTAAGCAATATCATAGCTTCCTATATCACATCAAGATAAAGAAAGTTGTATGGAATATGACTAAAGTTTGAGCAATATAAATTGATGAGTAGTCGATTTTCTATCACCACTTCCAAACTTACTCGAGTCTCTAGTCAATTCTTGGCTAGAAGTAATTTCATCTGGAACAACATGAACGCTATTTGAAAAAAGCCGGCCAGCATGTCATAATTTATTGAATATTTTAAAAATCGCCAGATAAATAAATCATTAATTAAAATGGGACCAGCTGGGCTCCTTGATGAGATATTGCATGATTTCGTCTAGAGCTGGCATCGAATTGGATTTTAATGTCGACATGTCGGAGCTCTCGATCGACGACCTGTCAGGTCCAATGATATTTGAAAAATGAAAAAAAATTTGAAGAAAATCCGTCTGAATTTTAGATTTTCTAGGCTTGTAATTAGCAATACGATGCACAATAGTCATCCTCAGTTGTATGTTTTATATTTAACTTACAGGTAAACCATGTTCAAGTATCAGACTTTGACGAAAAAGCAATAAATAGACATAAAACTACGATTTCTGTTGTTATTTCCGGGCAGCCATTGAAAATAAATCTCGAGGATAACTCTCGAGAGGCCCCGAGACCTAATTTGAGAGCAGGAAGTCGATCAAAACAAAAAAGAAAATTTGAAAATGTAGGCGGTAAAACTTCACTAAAATACACCATACAGCAGATAGAAACAGAGATTTTAATTCATAGGGAAATAGCTTATTATGTTGTGAGTTCCGACTGTCGATCAAGAGGCGTTGTGACGACATGGGTGTCGCAGAGAGCATTCGACTGACAATCGACCATTCCGACATTTGATGCCAGCTCTAATTTCGTCTAAAATTAAAACAAATGGCTCCAAGAAAAATGGCGATATTCAAAAACTGGACGAAATGTCATTAATGTCTGACATTAGTAACTGGCTGTAAATTCTAAGTTAGCAATCCAGAAGATGTGAACTAATACACTGATCACTTTATGTGTGTTTTGGAATTTTTGGTGAGGTAATAAGACCAAAACTCGCATTTCAAATTGTGATGTGGAAAAATGGCAGACATTTGATTTCAAATTTTATGATTACGACATGACCCGTTATACATGCAGGAATTTATCTTTGGATGAAGGCCATGATACAGTGGCCTTAGAAGAAGGTAATTCCAAACCATGGTGGTTTGAAAGCCCATAGCTTCCAATTACTCTACCGAGCTGACAGAAGTCAGCTCTGGGAAGTTGGATGTATGTGTACTTGAAGAGAATAAATCGAGCCCATTTTGACTAAACGCTGTGCTGAGTAGCGTTTATAATAAACTATATATTTGAATCAATACATAATTTATTTGTTGTTACTTTATTTTGTTCCTTCAACAGTCTGTTGCTGTAGTAAATCAATGTTCTATTAGACAACAAAACTTTTGAATTTAGATTCCAGCCATTTTAGGTCTCGCGAGATCTCGTGACTTTCGAAAGTAAAAATTTGCTACAAAATAACTCGCGTTAGCTAAATATGATATAGTTATGTGATCTTTCAGCGGTAATACCCATGCGCATAAAAAGTACAATGCGCATGTGCATGCATGCATAAAAAGTTAAAAAATGGTGCGCGCCAGATCTGGAATTTCTCCACTTTAACTGCAATTACACAACAAGTAGGACTTATTGTCACCACGCGTCATGAAAAGGGCAAGTTACATTCAATTATCTTCTTAAATACCGTTTCTTATTCCAGCGCGCCTGCTGGAAGTTGGAGAAAACCGCTTCACAAGACGGTATAGTTTAACGGTTCGTCAGCTGGCTTTTGAGCCAGCTGTGTTCAGTAAGCTTCCAATATTATCTAAATAGAAAGACACAATTATGTCTGTCATCTCTAAAGTTCTGGGGTTTTCCCTCCTCTTGGATTAGATAAGAGTTCACATTACAAAAATATTGAAGAAATATCTATGGGCGATAATAGGAGTGATATTCGAATTTTTAAAATAAACTTACAATGTCATTGTATTCCCATCAACTGTCACATTTTTCTATTGAAAAGGTAAACAATTATGAATCATACCTTTGTGAAACTGCATTCTTTCCATCGAAACGGCGCTATTTGTCGCAATATATATAAGCTTCAAAATAGAAATTCAAATATTCAAAATTATTTATGTATAGATGGCGGTACTATGCATATACATTTTCACCGAACGAAATTAATGAAACAAAGAATTCCCGGGTATGCAAATTACGTCCCATCTTTGGAAGGGGAATGGGAGTTGCGGAAAGCTGCGGAAAACATTTTAGTAGAATTTGGTCATCATGCTTGGGTTGAATTATATTTGATTCAAATTCTATCACTGTTAAACTATATATCGGCTTTAAATGGGCTTACAGTATTATTAGCCTTTTTCAGATTATTGAAATAAACACTACCCGCCACAGGGGCGGATCTGGGAACCAACAAGGGGGGGCAGTAATGACCAAAAAGGCCCACTTTATGGGGCCTTAAGGCCTTTTTTGGCCCAAATTTCATTTGCCCCCCCCCCCAGATCCACCAGCGCGCCATGCCCACTTTTTAATGGAGGTGAGATATGTAGGGGGTGACAGGGGCGTAGCCAGCTTTCAGTCAGGGGGGGGTGCGATCGCCAAAAAAATTTCAGTTTTCGGTCAGGGGGGGGGTGCGATTTTGGCATAAGCAACACAAAAAATTAAGATTTCTTTTGAATTTTACAGAAATTGATGCAACTTCCTTCAAAATTGAGCTAGAAGCTTCAAATAAAAAGCATTTTAAAGCTCTGTTCTTTCTCTATCCAATGGTCATATTTTCAAAGGTTATGGGGGGGTGCGATCGCACCCATCGCACCCCCCTGGCTACGCCCATGGGTGAGGCCTTCTCAGAGGCTTGCAAGACTAGTTTCAGTACAACTACTGTGACATAATAGCCTTGTATTTCAAAATGCCAGTCCCTCAAAATCTTTTAAATGACTATGTTTTCGAAAACAAAAACTTTTCATTGCTTAGATTAATCTTACCCCGTTATATATTACATGTATATGTAACTTATATCAAAATGTATAAATGAGGCAAAAATTAGACAATACAATAAAGAAACAATTACACAAGTATATGACATATCTACCCCTTCCAATATCAAGTTTGACTATGAATGGCAATTCTCTAAATGCCGATTTATTTTACAGTCTCAAGTGAATACTGGTTGGCATCTTCCATGCCAATAACTTGAACTTGAAATTATATTGTAAAACATTTAAAGATTGAATAAGCTTGAAAAAGTAAAAATCTCTTATATTTGGCTATAAGACACAAACTGATATCTATCTATACTTATTACTTATTTCTAGAATGAAATCATCCGAGCTTATTTTAATGAATGGGCAAATGGTCATTTTTCACAGATACTGTAATATTCCAAGGACGACGGACGGACGTCTATCTCAAACATGATCTGATGTACATTGTTATAAAAGCAGGAATATATACATAAATTAAAATTTCGATAACATATTTTGCTTATTATATTGAGTTTCTATTTATTGTTTGAAGTTTGACCAGTCTTATCAAATGATGGAAATCTAATTATCATAAATTATGCACAAGAAAGCCTTAATGAATAGTTTTCATTTACTAACTTTAATCAAATCAGATTATCGATATAATTCCTATATCATATGCTTACATATTTGGGATTTCTTAAAAAGATAGAATCATTTGGACACATATGAAATACAAGCAAAATAAACAAACTGACCACATTCGAAACGTCATCTTACTACACATTCATAAATTACGGCAATATCATGTGACAGATCCCTATGCTGATTGGCTGATCCGGGAGGGATTGGTGCATCCTAATTTACATAAGAAATATCAATGTAATCGGATAGATATTCAATTATTGTCTTATTCCGAATGCATTTAGCTAATAAAATAGGATACACTTTTTCTGCTACATGTTTTTAATCCCCTGGTCACATAAATAGAAGTTTGATAACCTGTAACAAGTATAAATTTAGCACTAAAACTAACCAAGCACTTGAGGATTATTTGCATGTCGGCCATTACAAATATCAATGCGCCAGGAAACTAAATGTTAATGAAGTCAGTCTAAATTTGAAGTAGACCGTGATGATATTAAATATAAGTCGTTAGAATGAGCCAGTTGATGTCACTTTGCGTTGCAATTATCGCTGAACTGGAGAAATTATACAGAAATGGCTTGAAATATATTGACTATTTTCTTGCGTAGGAATACTGCAGTGATAAATAGGTTCATTTCCTGCCTAATTTTTTTTAACAATCTCATCCCAAATTACCAACATTTGGTAAAATTTAAACCATAATCATGAGGAAAAGAAGATGACAGACGGGAATATGAAAAAGTAAGTACAGTTTACATATTCATTATAGCCCTGAATGTCAAAGGTATCTCGATCATTGAAGGTACTCAAAAATCAACATGGTGGTATTGGTAACATTTCAAATCTCAACAATTTTCACTTTTTGTGCCACCTAAAATGGGTCAAATTACGATTTATATCACACAGAACTGTGTAGTTCCTATGATCGATGTACCAGGCATATGTAGAATGTATAAATTTGTGTTATAAATGTGTATTTTTGTTCAGCAAGGTATACTTTTGAAGGTGTGTAAAACCAGTTTTAGGATCAATCACATCGAGGTCAAGTCATAGGCTAGGCATTCATTCATAAATCCTGAGTTACATTGGGCAGTAGAAACATTGCAATCAATATCATTTATCACCATGAACAGCAATAATCATTGTTTAGCTCGTTGTCAATTATTTGTTTCATCTGTAAGGATATAAATGCTCAGTCAGATGCATTGAAAATGTAAGTCTCAAGTCTAGAAAATTAGCACCCAAAGGACCATAGTGCAATTTATAATATGGGAGATCCATTCATATCAAAGATGCAAACCATTTGTACATATTTTGGATTGCTCGTGGTTCACATACAAATGTTTTGCCTCATGTATTTTGATTCTTTTATGACATGTTATATTCGAAAAAATCATTATCAATGACTCCCTCGATATTACAAGAGGCCGCAGGTTTACTACACACAAAACAAATTTATCTAAAGTATATTAGTTTTATATCTAAAATATGGATGTCTTCAGATATAATATTGCACTGTCTTCTTTTCATTGCCTTTTTAGAGTGATAGACTAAAGTTTCACTGCCACACGTTTTAATTATTTGTTCCCTCAGATAGTTCAAGCAGTTTAAAACTAGCCAGTCTTATTTATGGATGGGTGCCGTCTTGTAGCTGGCAGAGTTTGATATTCATGCTATTGATATCCTTGGGGCAAGAATCCATGTAGAAATCATATGAGACTTCAGGAATACTTCAATGAACAGTATATCCCAATACATGTGTTACATTCTACTCTGAAAATATGAAAGGTGGGGGTAGCTACAAATGAAGCATATAGAAACATATCATTCCTATTTATGAACCCAAACATGTATGTAAACTAAAAATGTATTTGCATGTTGTACACGTTACGTATTTCGATTTCTGTACCATTATAATGTAATGAAAAAGTAGAGTTGTGAACATTTTGATATATTTAAAGTTAAGTAGCATGTTACATGTGCACTAACACTGTATGAAATTATGAATGCCATTTTGACTGACTGCCCATTGATCACTCAGATTATAGATTTGACAGCATTACTAAAATCTTTGCTAGAAATAGGATCATCTTATTTTTTGGATAATCAATTATAGTAAATAATTAATTAATTGATTATTTTGAAACGTTATTTGAGGTTTTTCAGGAGAGTATTTCAAAGTAAGTGTTTCTCAACTGTATAAAGATTGATTTTGACTTTGATTCTAGCTCTTAAATTAGACACAATATTCAAATTTTCATGGTTTTCTTTTTAAAATTTTCACCTGGATGTATACCTGCGTGCAAATCTCAACTGCAAGGTAATTCTTAACTTGTAATTCTCAACTGTTTGCAAGCAATGTAATTCTCAACTGTTTGGAAGGTAATTGTCAACTGAGTGTAACTTAACTATCAACTGAGTGTAATTTAATTCTCAACTGAGTGTAAGTTAATTCTCAGCTGAGTACAAGGTAATTCTTAACTGAGTAACTGAGTACAAGGTAATTCTCAACTGGGTGCATTATGCAAAGTAAGTCTCAACATAGTATAAGCTAGTTCTTAACATGGTGCAAGGTAATTCTCAGCCGAGTGAAAGGTAATTTTTTCAACTAAGTAGGTACTGGATTTCTTCACTAAGCGTTCCAAAGCCTTTACTTTTTCACAATCAATAGATAAAGATAAACTCATGATCAATTGAAATGTATTTCTGCATGTATTTCAATGCATTTAAAGATGTTGAAATATGATAATTGCATTGATGGAGCACTGATGGAAAACTTGAAACCCCAAGTCCCAGTGAGAAGTTGTAATCCTGGTTCATTTAGAAATATTCTCCACATGACCAGATTAGATAGACTATCACTGTTTCCTGCTTAGTGTAATATTGACCACTATATGCACTGAAATAGACCTGCAGTAAAACCTCTGTTTGTGAACACATTTCTAGAGTAAACACACCAGTCCCATTCACTAGAAAATCTCCCAATGATTATTCCACAAATAACTTTTTTCAATTGAAATTGCGATGATCATATTTTGGATAGGTAATACTGATTTAGCATCTACTTTAGTATAATTATCTGTGTGTACTCAAACTTTAAAGGAAAGAGGTACTGATTAAGTCATATTATGAATTTGACATATTTTCAAAATACTCATTGAAGCCGTAGGGGTTGTTGTGTGTGATAACTTTCACTTGTATTTGTAGATAAAAAATTGGCTAAAGGGATCATGTAAAGTTACACCTCAACCATCAAAGTTTGTCCATTAAAATCCAAGCCAAAATGAAGTCCTTGGGTAATAACATTTCGAGCAGGAAATTTCCAAGTAGTATTTATCCAAGCAGTGTTACACAGAATTATAAAAGGGTGTTTAGGGACTGCTTAAAAACAATGGAGAAAATATATTGTAAACTTATTTTAATAGGAGGGGAAGTTTAAACGTCTTAAAAATGAGGCAATAGAAAAAAATTATACTATTATCCTACATTGATGTTTTGGAATGGTCCCTTAGATCAAATGAATGTTGGTATTTTTAGTGGGAATCTAATATCATTTTAATTATCATCAGATTAAGTTTCATAATTTTTCTTATGTAGTCACCATTTGTGATTTTCTATTTAGCATTATCTTACACTTTGTTAAGTTTTGATTCTATTTTAAAAGAGAGCTTCATATGCTAGGTGCTGATACTCATGGTAGCATTATCTTGAAGTTATGAGTCAGGATTTGTCTTCAACCAAATTGCATCATGTGGTCCTTGGGAACGTCCATGAGTTTGTGGTGTCATAAAAAAGGCACAGGAAGGAGTTCAAGTTGCATTTTTGTGGTCATCCATGATAACTTTTGCCTTTTTAGAGGAAATGAGAAAAGAAATTGGTCATAAATAGATGTCTGTAAATTGCCACATGATGGTGATGGGGCTGTTGGTTTGTATGTTTTGGGATGGACGCTTTGCCAGAGATTTTGACGAGATTGAATGGGATGCCCTTATACTGTTAAGTTTCATATCTTCAAAATCGGTTGTAATGTTAGTTCTGGAGACTTTTTCCTATATTGTTGTCATAATCGTCTTAAATTTTCACGATTACAAATCACACTGCTTAGCGAAAATATGTCACAATTAAATGACATATGTATTCAGTTAGTCTAAAAAAAATTATGACTTGTTATTTTACGCACATGTGTTTATTTAGCTAAATTACATATACAGTATGTATATTTCAATTATATTGTCTCGTCATTAGTGTTTAGTAAATACAAGATCACAGTAGGTTGTGACATAAATAATAAACTGTTAGATTTTGAAGGAAATGATTTCACTTCACTCTAAGTAAAATTATGCTTTTATGTCACCACCAGAAGTGGTGACATATGTTGATAGTCTCCAACCTTTTTGTGGACATTGTTCAGTGGTCAGCATCTGTAACAAATGTCAGGTGGTGCATGTTAATGCATTGTTTATGTGTGCTGGTTCAGTCTGAAGTAAGTGATCTAAAATCACATTTTATGCACTGATTTATAAGATGTACTTTCTTAAAATTCTATAATACAGATCTTACACCACCTTGATCTATTTTACATCACCTTTATCAACAAATTCACAACCTGGTATCTTATATTGATATCCTTCTCTATTTCTGACTACAAACTAGTGAAAAAATTTAACTAAAATGTTCATGTTTACAGGAAATGCCATTCAGTTACTGTATATCTTTTTAAATTTTGAGTTAAAGCTATCCAGGGTGTTTTTCTGAAAGTTAGTTGGTTCTCCCCCAGGAGAATATGGGATACTTGGTTATATAGGATTTAACATCTGATACTCTTGACATCATTATGTTCTACTTTTCTGCTACAATGTCTCATTTCTGAAAAAATAATTTCTAAAAATTAGACGATGCTGTCTGCTATCAGGCCCGTAGCCAGGATTTGCCAAGGGGGGGGTCATTTTTCAAATATTTCCAGGGGGGTTCACATTTCACAATTTTAGCTCAAATATGGCTAAAATCACTTGAGAAGTGCTCCCCCTTGCTACGGGCCTGGCTAGGATGATCAGGTTTGAATTGAAAGGTCTATCCTTAAGAGACAATGTGCTACATGTCTTTGTGAATATTTCATTGTGTTGAACAACCATCAACCTTACCCAATCTCCAGACAAACTAGAGTTGGTGATACGCTGGCTTAAAGTGAATGACCAGATGTGGTATTTAGATAACGGTTTTTAAATATCATATCACTTAAAAGTAATAATCGGATTCAGCTTCCACTAAAGAGCTTTTAATTTTGTATTCCGAGTACAGTTTATTATAATCTACGTCAATGACCTGTGTCCCTGTGACTTTCACGCACACACAGGGTCTGGAAATGATAGTTGGACGGGGTGACACGTTTTGATAGAGCATAGTAGAAACCTCTTGGTGCTAGAAAGAACCATACTTGATTGGATTTTAAAAGTATATTTATTCTGGAGAGCTGCTTTAAGAGAAAAGTTTATCAATTGTGGTCATTGGAATAAATATTTGTATCATATTTAAATCTTGATATCACGATTTTCTGGTAATGCTGTGACTGACTATAGCAACTTGTATAAATATAGTTTTCTATTAATCTCTAGATATTTTGTGATGAGAAGCATGACAACCATGACATTTTAAGATGAATTTCCTATGAGACAATAAAAATCTATTTGTAGTCTAACCTTTAGCATAGATTAGTAGATTATCCCCTTCTCTCTCCTGTCTTG